GGCTCTGTGCGCAAAAGACTTCCGTCAGCCTTTCCCGCCAGAGTTAATCGTATTGTCGGGACGAGTGGGGATGTGTAGTAGCGAGATTACGTCGATTTCTCTTCATTTCGCTCTAATCATTATCCTACTGAGTGTACAGTAGTAGATTGAAGCATTGTTTCCTGCACAAAGCCGAATAATGCAGTGGTTCTTCCATATGGAGCATATGGAGTACGGCTGCTCTCACCTGGAGGAACCACCTTGGACGGTCCCGCGGGCCGGGCCACAATGGAGAAATAATTTCCTGCAGTTTCAGATTGCTTTTTCTGTTCATATGATATTGGCGTTTACAGTGCCGATTATTATTGAAAGCCACCGGTATATTTGGAATGGTATGCCTAAAGACCGGGGGTACGTGTAGAATAGCAGGCAACACGAATGACATCTAAATGAGGTTTGGTAAAGAACTTAGTGTTGCGATCAGCATAACTATTGTCATGGCACATGTGGCACATGAGGCGGACTTTTGGCATAGTAGGCAGATCTCTTATTTAGGAGAAAGCAGGTATAGGGGTCGCTTCCTGAAACCTCTAACTATACTAAGATTGGAGTAAGATAGATTGGGGATTCCACCACTTTGGCACTGAGGAGTAACAGACTCGATGATTGCCAACTTTGTCCTTTCCCTTGGGACCCCGTGGGACCAACTAATCCCGACTTGGGGTTTGACAGCTTTAGTGTCTCCGGACCGCCATCCCCGACCCGCAGTGGCTTGCAGGGGAGTTGAGTCTGGACCGTCTTTTAGCGAGGCAGAGGTTCAAGGTTTCATCGGGGCATTCTTACTGGTCAAGGACACAAGTACAAGCGCAGAATAACCCTTCCAGATGACCCAACCCCGAGAATAAAGCTACCATTCGGAGGGCTCTGGCCCCAAAAAACGCCCCGACAAAAGGGCGGGCGCAATATGACGCAATGCCCATCTTTGTCGGTCCGATCAGTGTTCGATCTGGGTGCATCATTGATCGATCGTGCGTGCGGCCCATCGGCTCTGCACAACCGCATGCACCCGTGTGCCTTGTTGGTCCGCCTGCTCTTTGTATGTCCCGAAGATTCAAATAGAGTATGGAAATGATAGGCCTTGACACCTCTCCAGTCTCCTACTAGACTCGGAATACACTCTCTTCAGTTGCCTGTACCTTTGCTCACACCGATATGCAACTCTAGAAACAACGATTGTCTCGATATACTCTGCGAACAGACTCATGTTCTCTGTACACCCATCCCCTTTTGTCCACATGCTCAAATAGCTCAATCCTCTTCTCGATCGATACGAACGCCAGTCTAATAGTGGCCCAATCGATTCCTGAAGCGAACTATGAAGTTGAAGTAATTTCCAGAAGTACGAGACTGCCTTCCCTGCGCTTTATACACTTTTCTTTTTACTCCGTAGCGGTGAACCCGATCCCAAATGGGAACCTTTTTCATTCTTTCCAGAAATGAGACCCCGACTGTAGATCCATATACCCCCTACACCGAATCGAGTCTGTTTTGCAGTTTATCCCCATACCCCCCTTCAGCCCGCCCCACTCCCGTCAGCGCGCACACCCGCTGTCACATATCCGCCGAGTCCGCCGAGTTAACGCCTCACTTTGATGGTTTCAGGGTGATTGCATCGCCGAACAGCTCCGTGAGATTCCTTGTCTGATCTAAGCGGCAAAGGCGGTGTTTAGATTAATTAGCTAGCCCTGTCACGAGTGGGGAACCCCATGGATGTTTGCTTGAAAGTACATGTACATGCGGGAACTGCCAAGCTGTCAAACTAAACAAGTTTTCATCAGTATCTGCGGATGGTGGGAAAAAGCAGAGAAAACACGACACAAGGAACACCCATGTTGCATACTTCGTATGTGCAGCTGTTCCTCTTCAGCTGTGGCGGTGCTAGAGCTCTCAAAATAGCACACAGCCACGTTGTGGCAAAGGCTGGGATCTACTGAACTTCCAATTAAAAGCTTTCATTGGCAGGTGTCAGGTGCAGGACCCTGGTCACAAAAATAGGGGTTGTCTCAAGTCTAGACCTTGTTCAATGCTAAGATCTGATACGCCCGGAGGAATCCGTCATTTCAAATGTAAGTGGGACTTTTGATTGAATAATCTTTTTTACTATCCGAGTCTCCATAGTTCTTGATCGCCATGCTAAAGGATAACAGCGCCGAGAACAAAGCAAACAAACGTGTCTAAGTATGACTTGGCAAACAGTGGGAGGGGACGACTGATAAACAAAGAAACAAAACGTCTCCGCCAACTACAGTCTTGTTCTACGAGATAGCGTTGAGGCTGTTGTTTCTGAAGTGGGAACATTGACTGCGCTATGCAACTGAAAGAATAACAAATAATATAGGGCGACCCTAAATCTTTAGTTCAACTGTACTGCTTCATTCGATTGCCTTTTGGAATATCCTAAAAGTCCAATTAGACCGAGGGGCAGACAACAGTTTCGCGTAGGTTGCTCTGCATCCCACTATGGAGCAATGATTTGCAGCCGGTGCCGTTAGTACTCTGTATAGACGGGACGGCAATTGTAATGTCACCGAGGTTACAGTAGCATAGGCAAATCCCATCGAGACTCATCATATTGATCAGATTGATCAGAACTCCGAGTATCAAAGTACACAATCTGATCGGAATAGAGCACTGCTTGTGTCAGAAAACTCTGCTTTTATCCCCGATCTAGCGTAGATGGTGGAACCCGGGCAGAATGTGATCCCCCTTTGTAATGTCAAGATAATCATGTAGTGGGACGAAACTAATTGAAGAGAAACGCGCCTGCCTCTTTTTTGGGTGTTTTTGAACGAGCCTTTTAGCCGTTGACGTCTTTTTTCAGGGTGGATTTTGACGTCTTACTATATCATCCCCTGTCATCCAATTTCCAAATCTCCAAGTCTGAATGAACCCACCAGAGCGGGAGATGGACGCGTTGACAGCAGCTTGGGTGGTCCCTTTCCCCTGGGCTCTTTGTTAGCACAGACCCAGGGGGAAGAATTGGGGAGCTTTGTGGGTCCCTGATTGGGCACTCACAAAGACGTCTGTCTGACATCAAAAGTACCGCGCCAAACTCGCCGTGGGATAATTACTCGAACCATTTTGCGACCGGTTTCTTCCCCGGGAGAGGGGGAGATCACGCTGTAGTATTCATATGTCAAACTGTCTATCTCGATCCGTCTGAGAGGCGTCTTATTTTATTTTTATTCTTATTTTTATTTATTCGTTGCCCGCGGCTAGAACGGGAGTATAGGCGAGAGTTACAGTCGTACTAGCTAAATGGCGGCCTATACAGTACTTTTTTATTCTGCCCACGCAAATTGCCATTGTCTCTTTGATTTGGCGAAATTTGAGGTCTGATCTCAGGGGCTTTTTGGACATTCCAACTGAAGTAGCCACCCAGACCCCCATTGCCTCATCAGTTCCTGCCAGTGAACGGAGATCGACATTGGGATCAAACCAAGAGAATGACACTTTATCGGCGAGTCATCTTCATCCCAGGATCCAGGGTGCTGGGCCATGCATACGCCGCATCGTGATAGGGTAACAGTGAATTGGGACCAGCAGGCTAATTCGCTGGTTGGTTGAGGGTCACAGCTACTAGCGCGCCGGGGGCCCAAGGGCTAAGATCCGATCGAGAGACAGAAATGTTACAGATAATATTTCACATATATTCTAAACGGTACTTTTCCCCCAGATCCATGAAGGGGGGAGGTGCGCAAATCAAACTCTGACGGTACCTCCGAACTGCACCGGTGCGGTCCAGGTACAGGTGCCTGGCAGTATAGTAATTAGGGCTAATCTCCCAAGGTATTAATTTTGTTCCCACAAAAACGAGGAAAAACACACAAAGAAGAGTATTAAATGCTTACAAGTCTGGACCAAAGAATCTCACTATGGGTCTCGCGCATACCAATGGAGATCAAGGGATCCGATCACCTTTTGGAACTGACAGAAGCCATGGCGCCCCGGAAGAGCATTCCCCAGTTCCCTTGTGGGGGGTCGATCGATAATCAAGCGCCACTTGGGTTTGGCCCGACATACACTAAAATAAAATAAAATAATTATAATTAAAATGATATAATTCAAATAAAAACAATTAATGCGATCTACAAATAGTAGGACAGGGATGCTGGATCGGGACTGGGCCTAACACTCACCTGCATGTCGCTTTGAAGTGCGCCAATCTCGCTGCATGCATACGATGAGGGATCCCCCCGGGCTTCCTAGGATCATCCATGCTGCGTATTGCTCTGGGTTGAAGTCGTCCTTTTGTCATTTTTTCACATTTGCCTGGAACTTCTCTGGAAACTGAAAAAGGCTTGCATATCCCCATCTGTTCTCTCTTTTTTTTCTGTACAGAGTATACACTTCACACTACACTTTGGAGATTTATTTAACATCCCACTTGACCCACCCTCCCTTCTAAGAATATTTTATTCTCATCTGTCCCAACCCGGCCTGTGTCACCTTCGTTTACTTGCGGGAACACAGTGGCTTCCTTTCGTTCCTGCATCCCGGTTGCCAACAGTCTGCAGTCATCCGTTTGAATCCATTGAGACGCTTGCACATTGTGATATCGAGTGTGTGAGTACATTCCGGTGCCAATCACCACTATTTTCTATGGCCCCATTTACGGGAGCTTGATTCCCGTTATTCGGCATGCGTTTGTCCTACCAGTTCCCGCGCGGGAGCAGGGAGGGCTTTCCAGCCGTTGGGATATCCATATCCAGCACTGCTGGTCCTAAAGCAGTGGCAAGCAGTAGACTGACGCGAGTCGACAGATTTAGTGTCAAGTTCTTGTCAAGTCTCAATCGCAAGTCCCCAATCAAGAAAAAAAAAATAGTCTCTATAAAGAGTACTTTTCTCGCCGGATCAGCCTCTTGATGTGCCATTTTGACTGAGTTACTACTACTCAAGACGACGAAGTCCCTGCTTCCGTATCGACACTACGGTTTAGCAATTTGGTTCATATCTATACAATGGTTTACAGCAAACCAAACCCCACAACTGGCGCCATGAAGCGGTCCGCTTCAGCCCTCGAAGGACCTCCGGGATGGGACGTTGCTCCTGTATGTTGCCAATTACTATGATAATGATTCTTTACTGACAATTCCAGCCTATGATGGCCCATTCTCGCTCATCATTCCGTCCTCCTTATACTCACTACGCTATGATCTACCTCGACCATGATGGCAAGCTCAAGGTTGACGAGTCTTCATCTGTTCAAGAGCACAACGCAACTGTGTTCAGCCCAGAAGTCCGCCAGAACTTCCTCGAGATCCTCGGTGAACGCATTGGCTACCACGCACCCATTCGTCGTAAGTGATCTGAAAGTCTTCTAACAAAGTATGTCTACTAATACTACAACAGAGGCAGTAGACGCATCTCCTCGCCGGGTCAGGCGCCGCAAGGGCAATGCTCCCTCTATCTCCGAGGACCGTCTGACTGAGCAGACTTCAGACAATGAAGACTTCTCCAATGGGTCTACCGAAATGGTTCCTCTCCGCATTGGAGATACCCAGAAGGTTATGTCTTACTATGAGGGTGCTCTTAAGCATTTCCAACAACTTAACTGCCGCATGGTTGCCAAGGCATTTATCAAATTCATCGAGCCTCGCAAGCAGGTTCGGCACCCTTACAACGGTGGCAAGCCTCCACCGGGATCTGCCCCTGGTACCACCGGTGACCCAGAGAAGACCAAGCCCGAGTGGTGGCCCCCAGGTGTCATGCACAAGGAACCCGACCACCTGCGCAAAGAGTGTATGTTCTACCTGTCCACAACTAAAGTTATCCTACTGACCAAGTATCAGACCGCATTGAGCTTCTTCTTCATATCATTCGTCACCTCGGTGGCTACGGTATCACTGCCGACAAGCTCAAGGAAGTCGCTGGCGACACCAAGCGGAGCTTGAAGCACCCATCCCACGTCGAGATCATCTACGAGATCCTCCGCGTGCGCAAGATGGAAGAGCGCCTCGAGCGCGGCGAAGTTGACTCCAACATGATCGTCTACACCATGAACCGCGGCCCCAGCCCCAAGGGCGATGAAGAAGAAGAATCCAATGACGCCCCTTCAGTAACAATCGAAGAGCCTGAGCACAGCGTGCAAGGCATCATGACCCCCATCTCCTCAGTCGGGCAAGTAAGCGCTGCCCTCACAACGCCAATTGATACCCTACCCCCCGCCCGCTCCCTCCCAGGCAGCTTCTCCATGCCAGAGCCCCTCAGCTTCGAAGGACCACGCCAGGACCGCCCCTACTATGCCACGCCACCCCAATACACAGATTCCTTCACCTCACAGCCAATGCTCAGCACAGCCGTAACAGCCGAGATGATCAGCCCCCACGACGTCTCCGTCTTCGACTACTCAACCCACAACGCCTTGGACCAGTCACGCGCCGGCCACTACGACCCCTGGGCTCCTGCCCCAACCTTTCGCCAGAACATCTTCGGCACAGTCGACTACAGCGCCGCACCAACCAGTCAGCCCATGTCCCAGCCTTCAATGAGCTACCACATGCCCATGGCCCCTCACATACACGACATGTCGCAGTCTCACATTGATCAGCGGTCCCTGCCTTTCCGCACGGGCTCGCTGGGCCACCCTCATCCTAATGGCTTGCCTCTTTCCCACCCTGTCTAAGGATGTTCAATGGCCGGGCGGGTCCCGATTGATCTTTTGGTTGGTGCGACGATTCATGGTGATGTCGAGGAAGTATATCCCCAGCTGCCTGTGGGCTTTGCGGGTTTAACGAATATATATGACTGATGGCTCTGCACTTAGCGCTTGTCATAAGGCCTTGTCATGGGAGTTATTGTCTTTTACCTTTCATTCTGGTTCATATTTCGTGGATAAAAATTTTTGGGGGTGTCGTTTATAAGATGGTGCTGGACAAATGGGTTCTGTTTCTCTGTTTTTTTTTTCTTTCCTTTTTTATATATATTTTTTTTCTGAAAATACTTTGGGCTTGATCTTGGATTTTTTCTGTCATATTCCGGACTTTGGCTTTGTGTTTCTTTTCTTGTTCTCTTTTCCTAGGGTCTTGTTTCTTCACCTCGTTGGTGATGCCCTTGTTATCATTTTTATATTTGGTTCTGTATATGGTTCACTTTTCTTTTTTTGGTAGCGGAATTCGACATTCGGGCTCTCTGTTGATAAATGAGATTTGGTAGATACTTGGACGTTCTTTGCTGTTTATAATATCAATTTGATGCCTATTATTACTTCATTTCTACCGCACTTTGTAAGGTTCTTTGTTATGACTCACTAGCCTCTTGTAATGCCATTCGAACAGATTCCAGAGCCTTGACCTTTGTACAGTAGGCATGGCCTAATAGAATCCTGTTTTTATATTCTGGAAACTGATAGTTGCTCTTGAACACATACTGTATGTATAGTTCACCAGTCAAATAAACGCCAAGCGTGCGGGTCCGGTCCGGCCAGTCACCGCGGAGCAGCGGAGGACTCTCTCCGCCTTTGAAGCTCCGTGAGAGTTGCGGATCATCTTCATCTTCAATCCATTTTGCGACTTTGTGAGTAGCTGCTTTGTCCCCTTCAAGCCGCTTGATAAATCTATCTTTGTCTAATAACCACCAGCGACCGCAGTTCATTCAATACCTTTGTCAGCGGGAAAGGTCGACGCGCACGCATCACCGAGTCGAACTCTCATCGCGACAGTCGAGCAGCTAGCGAGGCTGCTAATGCCTTTCAATCAATCCGGCAGATAGTGACAGCCTAATTCTCTTTGACAGGTACCGTGAATCCCCCGTGTCAGACCAAATTCGAGTCCGCTTTGTTCTCCCCTTCGTCTTTGTGCCCGCCACCCGTTGCGCGTGCGCCGCGACACCTTGGGAATATCGGGCGGGCTATTGTAATATAGCAACATGAGCTGACTTTGTTTTCGTCGCCTCGGCGGTCACCGTCTCCGGCGAATAGCATTTTTAGACTCTTCAACGTTCGATCGGTCTTCGCATATCATCGCAGAGTAAACGCAAAACCGACCGACAACTGAGATCAACCTGCAGAAAGAATAAACTCTGGAGTCATCGAAGAAGGAGGCGGCCTTTCCATTTTCTTCCGCGATCAGCGGGCAGGATGGCTGGCCCGTTCAATCCTTTTGGCGGTGCCGTGAGCACCAGCCAGAGGGGAGGACGAGGCGCGCAGGGCTCCGCCAGTAGAGGAAGAGGAGGAAACCCTGGGTTCGCTGCGACTCCATTTCAGGGGAACAACGCGCGGGGTGATAGTAAGGATCGCGGGCGCGCAAGAGGTAGAGGTCCAAGTCAGTATCGGGGCCGGGGTCGTGCACGCGGCGCTGGCGCTGCGAGTCACGGTGTAGATGGTACAAACCAAACTGCAGGTAACCCCAGTGCTACTGCCTCGCCATTCACCCGACCGAACCAGCAGATTACTGCTGCATCTCCGTTCTCCAGCCTTCAAAAAGGCACCCCAGCTTTGAACTCTTCCCACAACCCATTCGCAAAACCTGCGCAAAATATGGGTCATCAATCTTCCGCGGCTCTCGGCCGCAATGGCTCTGGTAATCCCTCCGGAAATATGTCGTCGGGCAGCTTCCAAGACCGTTATGATCAGGTGCGTAAATCACCGAATAAAATGCGCGAAAAGGAAGAGCTAACCAGAATTGCAGTTGAAACTCGACCGCGCGAAAGAGCGCCAGCAAGCGATCAAAGATGGACAGATGGCGGATCCCAACCAGCCAACATCGTTGAAGCAGGCAATCACCCCCGTGGGAACATGCACCAGCATGTGCCCTGAATTCGAGCGTGTCGAACGAGTCGTGCAGAAGATGATGGACAAGTGCGAAAAGGTGAGCTCTTTCCTGTCTTTTGCCGAACCCCCACTCACCCTCTTCAGTACTTTGACCCGGCCACCAACCAGCTGGAAATTATGGAATCCAAGATGCTGAAGCGGTTTCGACGTTCAGCTGCCGGCTATGACGAGCAATTGCCCTCGGATATTCGGACCCCAGGGACCCTGCTACAGAGTATGAACTATCTCATTCGCTATGTTCTCGGCGGCAGTGAGCCATTGGCCATCATTCACAAGTTCGTCTGGGATCGGACGCGTTCAATTCGCAATGATTTCTCGGTTCAGCAAGTCACGCAAGAGGAGGATGTGAAAAAGGCAGTGTTATGCTTGGAGAGAATTGCACGTTTCCATATCGTGTCTCTCCATCTACTTTCGAACCCAACCAACGAAGAGCAATTTGATCGCCACCAGGAACGAGAACAGCTCAACAATACCATGCTTTCGCTCATGTACTACTACGACGATAACCGTGGACGCATTCTCTTCCCAAGAGAAGATGAGTTCCGTGCCTATTACATCTTGTTCTCAATTCACGACCAGCGACCTGATCTCGAAGCTCGCGTCCAGAAGTGGCCAGCCGATCTACTCGCCTCTCCTCGAGTTCAAGTGGCCCTCGATCTCTTTGCTGCTGCTGGAAATACTTGGGAATACCAAGGTGCTCTCGACGCTCGTCGGCCGAATGCCATTGCCCAGGGGTTCTACACTCGCTTTTTCAACATTATCAATTCTCCAAGCGTGTCCTATCTGATGGCCTGTGTGGCAGAGGTTTACTTCAACCACATTCGTCAAACAGCAATTCGTGCAATCTGGAAGGCTTACTGCCGATCTCCAGTTTCACAGCAAGCCAAGAATGAGGAATGGACTGTAGAGGAATTGACCAGGGTACTGCACTTTGATGACCACGAGCAAACTATCCAGTTCTGTGAAGAACAGGATTTGCAACTTGCCCAGAATGCTGATGGTGCACTGTATCTCAACTGGGGTTCTCGTCCAGTTGACTCCATCGGTACGTGCTCTCCCATCGCAAACACGTCTCAACCCCCCAAACACGTACTCACGTTTAACCTCCCACAACAACACCTCCCCCCCCATCATATTTTACAACCCATTAACATTTCACAGGTTTTTCACCATCATCCGACCATTCGTACTCCGAGACTTACGTGGAGTCGAAGCGTGCAGGTCGCTCTCTAGTTGCCATCGTTCTTGGAATGACCATCCCAGAAGCGGCGAGAATGGACATGCTCGATAGATCCTCTTTGGCTCAGCGGAGGGACAGAGCGTCTGATATGTCAGACGACAGCAAGAGTCTTTTTGTCAGTGATGACGAGAACCACACTCCAGCCCCAGTAGTCGCGCCCAATGGGTTCCTTGACAACACGTCCGCTTCCGATCTACGCACTGCTTCCGAGGTCGCGCATTTCCCTCCTGTTGCCCCATCTGCTCATTTCCAATCGCCGTTCCCACCTCCTGCTCAGTCCTCGAATCCTTTTGCACAGGCTTCTACGTCTGCTACACCTGCTCCTTTCTCCTTCTCGAAGCCGGCTGAGCCTGCTCAGAATGTCGAGTCTCCTGCTGTGACTATTTCAACTTCTCCTTTCTCGTTCTCCAAGCCCGCGGAGACCCCTATTGCGAGTACTGCCTCGCCTTCTCCTATGGCTGGTTCTTCGAACCCTTTCTCTTCCACCAAGCCAACCGAGACTGGCCGGAAGAAGGAATCACCTGCCGCCTCATCTCCTTTTGCTACCTCATCGTCCCCATTCTCCTTTGCGAAGCCAGCCGAGAAGACGAATACACTTGCTGCACCGTCTCCCTTTGCCCCTGTGTCATCTTCCATCTTCTCGTCTCCCAAGCCGGCAGAGGTAGATCAAAAGGTCGATGTCGCTTCCGCAACTACCTCTACGACATCCTCGCTCTTCAAGACTAGCACTCCGTCAGAGACCTCTGCGCCGAAGACCCCATTCGCATCTCTGACTTCCGATACATCTCAACCACCTTCCAAGCCAAACCCTTTCGCTGCCTCTCTATCCGCGGTGAAGCCTTCTAGCAGCCCGTCAGAGTCTTCCGCGCCAAAGAATCCATTCACATCCCTTGATTCCGACACATCCCTGTCATCTTCCAAATCAAACCCTTTCGCTGCATCTCTATCCGCGTTCAAGCCTTCAGATAAAACCGAGTCCCCGAAGACGCCTGCAGTGATTGCTGCTGCACCTTCTTCGACATTCAAGCCCAGCACTTCGCCGCCGGCGTCATCGACTCTAGATTTCTCCTCCCTCAAACCTTCTTCCTCGCTGCCTCCCTCCACCGCAGCTCCTGCCGCCGCTTCTCCGTTCACATCCACAAAGGCACCGGAAGCAAGTCAAAATCAAAAGGCGGAGGCACCTGTGACAACATCATCTTCGGGGCCAGTTTCGATAATCACCCCCAACGGTGCACCCGAGCAGTCATCGACCGCATTCAATAACCCTTTCGCGTCTTTGACCCCTAAGGCATCAATTTCATCTTTGGGTCCGGGGAAATTTGCCTCCCCTGCTGCTCCTGCAATCTCCTTTTCGCAGCAACCGAACGCCGGCGAGAAGGCGAAGGAATCAGGTACGGCGTCAACCACTGCGAAGCCCATCTTTAGCTTTTCAGCTGGTAGCACGAATGCCGCGCCAGGAGTATCGACTGGGATGGAGCCTTCATCAGCAGCTCCAGCTCCACAGCCAAATGGTAAAGTCGAAGCCGCTGCTGCTCAATCATCAACGCCGCCCACATCTCCTCCATCTGTACCTGAAAATCTCCCGTCAACTTCGCCCAAGCCGAGAGATGACCAGCCAGCGAAAAAGCGCTCCCTCGCATGGGAACAATGTCCTACGCCCGAGCAAGTCTTGTCTTCTTTGTTCAACTACACGGGAACCCTCGCCTCTTCCCCTCACGCCAAAAGTTCACATTCCAACCAATCGCTTTCCTCCCAATCTGGGCAAATATCCAAGCTCTTCGACGCCAAGTCGTCTGCGTACAGCCCTGTGACTACTTCTACTGAGTCTTCAAAGCCTTTGTTCCAAGGCTCAATTGCATCAGGGTCTACAGTGGAGCAAACTTCGTTAAAACGGCCGCATGAAGATGATGACACTACCAAGCAACAGAGGCGCTCCTCGCTGAAACGCCATTCTATGGGCGCATCTTCAGATAATCCTTTCAAACGCTCCGTGCATTTCGAAGCATCCTCCGCCCAGCAGCCAAACGAAATGCGAATGAGTCTCTCCGAGCTATCTCAACCGGATGGTAAGTTGCCTACGAATAATTTGCTTGTGATGTCGTACTGACCATTTCTTTTAGCCCAAGAGCCCAGGGCTAATGTGTCCCAAAAGCGTTCGCGGAGTAAGACGACAAGCGCGCACAAGAAGAGAGCACTGGATGAACCGACCCTGGCCAAGTCAGACAATGGGCCAAGTCCCAAGCTGACGAAGATTTTGGACCCTCCCGCATCGCAGGAGCCTCTTTACCCCAGATTCTCCCTATCCAAGGTCTTAAGCGAGCCCATACCAAAGCTTCCAATCTTGGAACGACTTGAAAGAAAACTAGCAGAAACACGGGCTTTGGTTGGGCCCAGACAACTCACCGATGAAGAACAGAAATGGCTTGATGAGCAAAAGCGTGTTCGAGAGCGCCAGGTCCAAGAAGACGAAATATTGCTATCCCGTGCACGGATTTTAGCTCACGAGCTGAAGAACGGACCAGGAATCTTCGATATTCCAAAGGACATCCCATACTCTCCACCGGTGGACCCCTCAGTCAACCATCGTCGTTCTGCGTTACTCGAAAAGGTTTGCCAATTCTAGTCCAATACCAGAAGTTCCATACTGATCCCATACAGCCTACCCCTCATCCATACATATACAACCATATGCCCGAGTCTTCTTTCCGTGCATCGTTTAACCCTGGTCGCTCCGCACACGCCGCGCACCCCCGCGTTGATGCCAGGTTCCGACGCACCGCTTCTCACGGATCGAGTTCTATCTCACTGGGAATTGAGCGCTACAGACGTGAAAGAGAGGAGAGGAATGAAGCTGAAAGGAAGAGAAAAGAAGCTGAGAAGCTGAAGGCTAGAAAGGAGAAGAAGCTGAAGAAAGAGAAGGAGAACCAACGTGTGGTTTCGGTCGAGGATGATGACGATGTGGTGTGTTTGGACTAATGTCCATACTCCCTTCTCATTCCTGTTATGAGGTTTCGATATCATTGTGTCTTTTTTATCTCCATTGAACATTTTTTCACTTAGGCATTTGTCGGGACTTTCACCTTATCTAGATTTTCATGTTTGCATACTGTGATGGCGCTTTGATGTCGATATTTTTTCAGTTCAATATCCATTGAAGACATGCTAGCTTTTCATTTGCTTCATTCCTTCCCCAGCTTGAGTAATCTCACACAGTGTTGTGTGCCTCTGCAATGCTGTCGTATCTCACGCAGAATACAATAGCCCTAATCTAGTGAACAGATGGTCACATTGTTAAATCCATTGCAACTCAAAGTCATCTGATTTGGATACTAAATTGCTAAAAGTTGGAAATTATGAGTTCTTAATCAAATTGCTCAAATGCTCAACTGTACTCCTCCCTCTCCCCCTCAACGAGATCAAAGATCTCATCCCAGCCATATGTTGGCCCGACACAGTAAGCAGTCCCACTAACCAACTTGTCACAGTTATCAGCACTAAGCGAAGGATTCACCTCCATAAACAAGCTCCAATAAATCTGATTCTGCATACAAACCGTCGTGCAAGTTTCCTGCACTATTTTATTCGTAACAACATGCCACCTCCCACAACGAGTTGTGGTCCTCTCAGCAATAGTGGCATTTTGAGGAGGCGGCCTTTCGGGAATGGCATAGCCATCAGCTTCGGGCGGCGACGTCGGATCCATCCAAGAAGTAGTGGCAATTTCATTCGAAATACCAGCCTGGGGCGAGAGACAAACAACATGTCCGTAGGCGACATCGCTGACAGTATGAAGATTGGAGCAATAGGAGTCGATCCACGGGTTGTATTTGCGGAGTTCCTTGTATCTGATGCCTTGTGACTTCTCGATGGAGTTGCAAGTGTCTCTGCTTTTGATGGTGTAGACCTTTTCGCATTGCAGTGGCATGCAGAGTTCTGTGCCGACTACGATATCTTCGCATTCGAGTAGGTTGTCGTGTCCTATGAAAAGGGCGGCTGATGAGACATTGTACTTGGTAGCAATTGAGTCACAGGTGTCGCCTTCAACGGTTGTGTATTCTATGCCCGATACGCACGAGCCTGAGGGTTTGTTTAGGTTGGTTCTTGGCTGGAGAAAATCTGGAAAATCGGTGGGAATGTTGAGACCGCATTTTGAATTCATATTTTTGAGTTGGGATTGGAAGCTTATATCGTACTCGGAGTAGGGTGTTGACTGCATCTTCTGGAAGCGATCGATATTGCAGGGTGAGCAGAATCTATCAATTGGCATACTGCCACTGAGAATGTCTATATTCAAGCATACTTAGGATCGATCAAATAGAATTGAGTGTAAGAGCTTGGACTTACCACCACAATATTTACCACTCGCCGCGTCCTTAGCACAGGTTTCGTTCCACCCTGCCCATGTTTTCCCACCTACCATGTTCAACGGAGCTTCACTTCGGTCATCGCCAGCACAGTTGGTAGTGACCTGGTTGAACCATGTCTGTAAGGATGCTCCGCAACTGGGGCTACAAACTAGATCACTTAGAGTGTCATTGTTTAGGCCATGCCTCCATTTAGGCACCTGGAAGTCGAAAACTTGGTCTGCACAGTCAATCAGTCGAGTAAGGGCTGTCTGGCATGTAGGAGAGAATCGTGATAGGAAGCCTTGCTGGGATAGAGCATCATAGAAGTAAAATCCTGTGAAGCGATGGGGCAGGTCATCAGAATGGGTATGACTTGTCCATATGCCAGTGACCTGACATATGACCTGCAGCCAGTGTAAAAATGCCATCCCCGCCCTTTTGCAATGACAAGATGTTGTTATTGCTTTTGGCTCAGGGGCTTTTGGCTAGAGTAGCCCGAGAACTAACAGGGTGGGCCTTTCTCGAAATCGAAGTCCCAAAGCAACATGTCGGATGAATTCTTGGCCAATCCAGATCAATCTCCGGTATGCCTCAAAGTCAATGGTGACATCGCTTCTAGTTGTTTAATGAGATGTCTCAAAATTGAGAGCATGTTGGCTCTTGCCAAGAGTTTAGCTCCAAATTTTACACAACAGGGGGTCATAAGTTTGTCTACAGTGCCACGTATTGGACGGTCTCTACACCAACCCTATCCTCGAAACAAATATACCGTCCTGCAGGCTTTGGCTACTCTTATTTCACCTCTTCCGAGGCTCATATTGAAGTACTTCAGATTTTATTTTGCCGGGCAGTGGAGGCGCAACAGGACTGACATATGGATGTGACTCTAAATCAGTTCGCACCTCGGCCCGCCTCCGTAGGGCCCGAACACTTAGCTTGAACGGCAACTAGCCCTGTCTTGGTCGCTTACAGAAATGAGGCTTGAAGTTGACCATATTGTCTTGCCCTGCCAAGCCAACCGGACAATGACTAGTCGAGTCTTGACGCTTGGCACACTATCATTTTTGGTCCCCTGTGTTAGACATCCGTGCCCTCTTCAGGCCATGGCCACCTATAGGCGAATAGAAATAAGCTGCCGTAACAAAGATACTCCACTAGCAAAAAACACCTTGGTTGGAGCATGTGTCTCAGATTTCAATGGTTTGAATTTATACCGAAGCCCTGTCTTCTTTCAAGTGTACAACAAGTCGAATCGTTCCATCTTTTTTTCCCGCAAGAGTACAAGCCATATACTGAAGATGTTGGGAAAACATCTCCTCAGGCTAGGTGTACTGTTGTTTGCTTTTGCACTACTACGCCTGGGACTTAATTTGCGACAGGGGTACGAGGAAAGAACAGAGGAGTTTGTAAGAGATAAATCGAGTATCTTCACAACTGAGAAATTAACTGACATCGTTCAGGGCGGTAACAAACCCGTCAGACACGATACCTGCTCCAAAGGCCGTTATATGTCCCGAGTTGTTGGCTACTATGAAGGGTGGTCCCCACGACGTCGCTGTCATGCTTTCTATCCAGAGCAAATACCACAGGGTGTCTATAGTCACATCAACTTCGCGTTCGCCACCATCGATCCTAATACATACAAAGTGAAGCCGTCACATAGTCAAGATGTTGAGTTATATAGCCGATTTTCCATTCTGAAACGATTCGACAATGACATGAAAGTCATGATCGCTTTCGGCGGCTGGATGTTCAACAATCATCCCCAGACTGCAAATGTTTTCTCTGACCTAGCAGCCTCGGAAGAAAAGCAGAATGTTTTCATCACCTCCTTGATATCTTTCATGTCCACCTATGATTTTGATGGGATAGATCTGGACTGGAAATATCCCGCAGCTGAGAACCGTAATGGAAACCCCGAAGACTCCAAGAACTTCACCAAGTTTATGAAGAGGCTTAGGACTGAGCTAAACAAAACACCTGGGCGAAATGAGCTCTCTATCACGCTGCCTGCTTCCTACCGGTATCTACGGCATTTCGATCTCAAGGGCCTTGCTGAATATGTTTCATTTTTCAACCTTATGTCTTACGACATGCACGGCACTTGGGATCAGGGCCACAACTGGAAGGGTGCACTTTTGAATGCTCACACCAACTTGACGGATATACAATCTGTGCTTGACTTGCTCTGGTGCAATCATGTTCCGGGACATAAAGTTGTTATGGGCCTCGCATTCTACGGCCGCTCTTACACAACCCAAGGCTGTACAGAGCCTGGGTGCTTATTTACTTCTGCGGGTCTTCCTGGTCCATGCAGCAACCAGGTAGGGATTCTACTCAACAATGAAATCAAGGATATCATCAATGAGAAAAACTTGACGCCAAAGCTATACAAAGAGGCCGCGGTAAAGGTTGTCACTTGGGATGATCAGTGGATTTCCATGGACGATGAAGAGACATTTAGCCTAAAGGCCAACTTCGCTCGCGAGCAGTGTCTTAGTGGCTTGATGGTCTGGGCAATCAGCCATGATACGGTCTGGGCAGGCTTCTCTCGAGATTTGGCAAAAGTGACAAATCGCCAGCTGACAATACAACAAGGAAATGGCGTTTTCAAATCAAACAAAGATTACAATTAGTGCCTCTGGGGCAACTTTGAGATGACTTTATCTGCAGGATGGAAAATGGTCAAGCATCGACGAGTGGTAGGAAGCCAAGGTTGACTACATGATGGAAGATACGCACTGCAACTGTTTAGGTTCACGTTCTTCGTGCTATCCTCCTGAGACCACACTCCTAGAATCAGGCTGGTATAGCTTCAATGGCGGCAAGTGCAAGTCTGAATGTCCCGGCAGAATGGCCGAGATTGCCCCTAAGACCGATGAATTCAAAGACTAAGACCACCAATCGGGTTGCTGCACTTTGGAAAACGATGCCAAAAACGAACTGAGGGGCATGGCACTACATAAAACCTGCGAGTGGGCGAAACCCACTCAGGGTGGTGAGGGCAAGTACTACGGTTGGAAGTCCTCACTTATAGGAGAATCTGGTCGAGGGAAAGGTGATGTCACCTGCTACGCCGAGGATGTTTACAAGAAAGCATTCCCAAAAACACAATATACTTTGCGAGAATACTGCTGCAATAAAGAACCAAAAATCCTTCAAGAACTGCGAATGGTGGAATGGTGTGGGCTTAGCTCTGCCAGTGTCCTGGCAGTCAGGTGCGTGTGGTGATGACTGGCTACAGCAACGGCTCTTACAGCTCGCGGGGGGTGGGGTCTCGCGCATACTGTTGTGACGACGCTTTATCTTCGGAAGAAAACCCCGAAGAAATCAATGAACATCAACTCAATTCTGCACGTCATGACCCAGGGTAGCGGTCCAACGAGATCTCTGAAGAGACTGGTGTGGCTTCAACCGATCCGTCCAGGAGAAATGAAGAAGCAGGGGCTAAGACCGAGACAAACAGAAAATCCCAAAAATATATCTATAGATGGGTCTTGAAGCCCACTCTCATCTCATAAAAATCCATGAGCATCAAGACCCAGGTCTCTTCGTCGGATCATAGTAAACAAAGGCCCGGCGTATACAAGAAGATAATGCCAAGAAAGTGATTGAACTAATCCGAAAATAGACTGGCGTCTCTTGGCAGAATTCGGGAAACAGTGCTGGCGGTGACACCGATCTTTGGAAGTACGGTAATCTTTGCTGTGGTCAGGGATTGGATCAAGTAACCAATTGAATTATTTTTCGGGTGTAATCAAGAGTTACCAATCATCATCATTCTGGCCAATATTCTGCCCGGCTGCGTCCGCGTTGGGGCCATAACACACGGACTTCATATCTCGACCGCACCCAGGGTATCATTGATCTCACGCGCATACCTCTCAGGGGCCATCAAACATCTTGTCGCAAGGCGAAAGACATCTTATTCATTCATCCGAACTTTCTCAAGTTTGCGATCCCTCGAGATGAGGATTGCTACGCTTCAATTCGCCCCGAAGCTGGGCGATGTCAAGGGCAACATCGAGAAAGCCAATGCATTGCTGAAGAAAGGCAAGACCATCTCTGTAGATGGCGAGCAACTTGGACTCGGCCTGGGTGTAAACATTTTGAAGCCTGATGTTCTGGTGCTGCCCGAAATGGCATTAACAGGTACGTACTTGGACGAAGCTTGGACCCCTTGTATCGCAAGTCTGCGATGAGATTAGCTTCACCTAACATGCATTATTAGGATACAATTTCCCTTCACTAGAAGCAATTACGCCATACCTTGAAATATATGGCGAGGGTCCATCTTCTTCGTGGGCGCGTGAAACCGCCAAACGCCTGCAATGCACCGTGTGCGTGGGATATCCTGAGATCGAAAAAGATCCTCAAAATCCCGACCAAAAGACCTGCTATAATGCCCTTCTTGTGGTGGACAAGAATGGTGATTTTATCCATAACTACCGCAAGAGCTTTTTGTACATGTGCGACGAGCCGTGGGCGGCCGAAGGAGATGTCGAGCGAAGTTTCCATGAGCTCAAATTCTCCCAAGCAAAGTCACCTTCCTCAGATACAAGTCATCTGGTTCCCGAAACGAAGGGAAAACAGGTTGCGACTTCATTTGGTATCTGCATGGATATCAACCCATACAAGTTCGAGGCGCCATTCGACAAATGGGAATTTGCAACACGGGTCCTAGACTCCAAGTCCCAACTCGTTATCTTGTCTATGGCGTGGACCAGCATGATGAGCCCCGAAGAACTCGAGGAGTTGAAAGACAAGCCTGATATGGACAATTTCAACTATTGGCTGCAGCGGTTCTGGCCCCTGATAAAGCAAAAAATGCAACATAGAGTGGACCTGGATGGCGGAGAGGCGCCGGATTCCCCAAAGAGGATCATCATTGTCTTTGCAAACCGGTCGGGGGAGGATCCACCAGCAGACGAGACCAAGCCACCGGTGCAATATGTGGGGTCTAGCACTATCCTCGCCATTACGCAACGGCCGGAGAAAGATGCAGATGTAGGGTCAGGTGCCTCAGAAAGTGAGACAGATGATGACCTCCCATTCGACGTGAAGATACAGTGCTGGGACATGCTAGGCGCGAGGGAGGAAGGTATTTGTTTCGCGGATACTACGGTAGATCCCAAAATGGTCTTTGCCTTGAAGCGGACATCCGAATAATGAGGCGCATCGAACACCTTCAGACTCTTCTACAGATAATGCATATTCTAGGAACAGAGCCAAGGTCAAGTTGACGCCAGAAATAACATCTCACCGGGTTTCCTGTGATACATCACCCCAAAGACTTATACACTGTGTATATCTGGTCAGTGATATGGCGATCCTGGGACTGACCGATTGCCACAGTCACATCATGTGCAGATGATCCATGTGACAAGGATCTTAACCTTGACATCGAAACGAAGATCATCGAGATCTTCAACATCTTCAGGCAAAAGCTCAGAGATTCTGGAACAGACGGTCTCATGATCACTAGATCTTCATGAAGAGCACTAGCGACTAGTGAAGTCCGTTTTTTTTGTCTGATGCAACCCTTGAGAGATGGTGTGAAGGGGTTTGAGGAGAATCTTGGTATCTCTGAAACATGTGATTCTCCCCCACCCATAAGAATGAGGGGGATCAGATGTAGACTGAGAATAGAAATAGGAGTAACCTTGAAAGCCCGGGTGGATTGGAAAGTGGTCTTCTATACCACGATTCGAACTAGGTCATCCCACTTTCTCTACAGTGTCCTGCATCGGGAGAATCCCCTTGATCTAGACCGTAGATATCGATGTAGGTTCCTTTGACGGTCCGACCCCTCGCACTAAGACCCGTGAGTGGCCCATGGGATATACCGGCACGTGATCCGGGATTCCCCCCGACATCCGATGGCCAATCAAATCACGCAAAAGAGGGTGTGCAGCGGAGGGGCACGGGATCGCTGCACATGACTTGCAGAGACAGAGAGAGGCATTTGAGCATTTCAGTGTTATCTTCAGCTCGATTTGTTCCTGAACTTCCCCGGTTCTCTTTGGTTAACAACTGGACGAACTGGAGAAGAAAACGCGTGATTACCTAATACCCAGGACATCAGGTGACCGTTCTGCATTATTGGTCGTTCTGCCCGGGCGGAACCTCCTCGCAACCACATCTCCTCGCCACGTGAGTTCCGTCTTGACTTGCCTACTCTACATATCCAAGAATCCCCCCCCCTCCTTTAAGTAAATTTGCCGTGTTTCGATACATGGTCAAATCGATTCCACCGCTGTCTACCCAATCCATCAATTTCTTCACTTTCCAATTTCCGTGCCCCAATTTTCGAGGTTCGGGGTTTCACAGACAACGTGACCTGCGTCTTGTTGTTGGCAGGTGACTTGCTGTCAGGTGATAAAGAGGATCATCCCAAGGTACGGGCTCCATCAAACCCCATCTCCATCTAGTTTCCCCCATATCATCGCATACGTCGCGATGAGATGCTCATCGCGAGTGCTCACCGCGATGCTATCCCACCCCCTGTGTGACATTCGCTGCCTGCAGACCACCATGACGCGTTGATGTCCTCACCCTCACGGGTGTCGCGAGTTGTCGCGTCGGATATGGTAATAAACAGAGTCATGGCCCTGTAAAAATCATCTTTGCATTGCCGACCGCTGCCAGGCATTGCTGGCGATGGCAGACTCTGAGATGGCCGGCCTCCCTGGGATGCCGAGCGCGTCTGACCCACGCGTCTGTTTACTTAGCGGGGTGCCCACTGATCTGCCCCGAGTGGCTTGGCCTATGCATCGAACTTCGAGGCTGCATTGACATTGACAACCCCTATCATTGCCTTGTCTTATTGTCCGAGACGGTTTCACTTGCCTGTTGGCGACCCCTGACTAACTCTTTTGTTCAGACGATCGCTTTTTAGGCTCAGTATGTCTGATCCCACCATGAACAGCCCCGACAATGGATCGCACAAGCGCAAGAGAGACGGCTCAGAAGATCTAGGACCTGATCCCCAGCGTCTAAACCGCTCTTCTCACGGCAGCAACGGCAGCATGGGAGACAACCAGCACAACTTCGGCCACAGCGGACTTGGCAACTATGACCATGGCCTTCCCAACACCGGAGCTGAGCTCAACATTGACCAGCAGATCCTTCAACACGTTGGCCCGCAGAATGGTCTGTCAGATGACAACGCGCTGACGGCCAACGCTAAAGCCGCTCTCGCTGCACACACCCCTCAACACAAATACCCTCCTCCTCCTGACGCTGGATTCGATGCGAGCAACCTCACCCAGGGTTTGTCGTTCGATGAGATGAACCAGACTCCTATGGGTGGCGCCCATAACCATAACTCGACGGCTGCTGCGGTCTACGCCGCGCGTGAGGCCCAAAGCATGAACCAGAAGCCCACTGTCGGCTCTCCGGAATGGCACCAAATCCGCAAGAACAACCACAAAGAAGGTAAGCGCTCCTGGATCCATTGTCGTACATCTCCATGCTGACCAGTCTGCAATAGTTGAACGTCGCCGTCGCGAAGCCATCAACGAAGGCATCAACCAGATTGCTCGTCTCGTGCCCAACTGCGATAAGAACAAGGGCGCCATACTCCAACGCGCTATCGAATACATCCTCCAGCTACAGGAAGAGAAGAAGAACACCGAGGAACAGTTTGAAAAGCACAGTCTCACTGCCAACCACGCCATCGCCGAGATCAGCAACTCCAACTCCAAGCTGAAGGGCGAGGTCGGCCGACGCAACAATCTTGCTTTGAAGTGGCTGCAACGATGCCGCGATGCCGGTCTAGAGTTCGACGACTATGAGGACTCAAAAGAGCTAGAGACACTGGAGATGGAGTAGGCAACCCCTGTTCTTTCTACATGTGCTACGACTATTGCCTGCCAGGAGGTTAAGACTTGAACATACCCTCATCTCCTCTTTGTTTTCCGATCTCTTGTTCGGCTCTTATCGGATCTTTTCTCCTTTCTACCAATCGATGTGACCTCACCATGGACCTATCATTACCCCCGTGTCCTAGAGAAACATTCTGCCTGAGGCATCCTGAGTGTTACTTTCTTATCCCCTTCTAGCTTACTTTGCGATCCCTTCGCGGTGTTTTTGATCTTGAGTCCCCTTGAATCTCTCACAGATTTGCGTTTGCACGCTATTCGTGATTTGTTTCCCCCTTTTTTTTCATTTCTTATCTTTCATCTTTAATGGATGGGCTGGCGAAATCTACGGATGGTATGGGTCCCCTTGGGAATGGAGCTGCGGTACAATATGAGTTATTCTTCAATATGTTATGTCATCGTAGCTGCGCCACTACGTATGGGGTGAGATCGGAACTATATCTCGTGCCCAATTTATATTAGCGTGCGGAGATAAGCGTACCCCTCTATGATGTAACGCCCCCTCGACTATTTAGTCCCTGCCCTGCCCTTCTACTCGCTACCTACAACTACCATCTACCATAATACACCATGCCTTCTTATATCGTAAGATATCCCCGATCTGGACAAATGAAAACACTAACCATCTCAACAGGTCACTTGCAAACAGGATGCCTCCGACGAGGACGTGCAGGCGTATGTATCAACCAATCTCCACGCGACACCAGAGACTAGATACTAATCTTCCCTTAGTGTCAAGCAGCACTCCATCGATCAGGGTGGAAAGATCAGTCACGAGTACTCGCTGATCAAGGGCTTTGCGTGAGTCTCCCCTTTACCACCTACTGCATGCCCACAGTGTCTCTCGATTCCCCAAGACACAAACAGCTGACCAGATCCCATTCAGTGTTGAGTTCCCCGACAGTGTCGTAAACACCCTCGAGTCGCACCCCCACGTGGAGAATGTCGAGGCCGATAGCGAGGTCAAGACACAGTAATTTGAGTACCAGACCAGACCCGATATTGGAGATTGGATATTAGATCCCGAGCCGGGATGTACATATGAGCATATATCAGAAACGAAATCACGTTACAACTGAACTTGTACGGCGTACATGTGCATGTAGGATGATAGGCGTTGATCAGCCTATAAGATCCTAGCGGAGTACGGCGGGTCTTCCGTCCCTTTCCCCTACGGTATTTAATCACCGAGCCTCCCCTCTAAGCTTTACGACCATAACTTAATCTCCGTTCATCATGCCTAACTACGTCGTACGTTACCAAATGTCATTGTTAATGTATCGATAAGAGAATGGCCCAGAGTCCAAACTAACAATCCCAACAACAAAAAGATCTACCCCAAACGCAAAGCCACCGAGGAACAGGTGCAGAAGTATGTATAAAATCACATACAAATCCCCCCCCACCTGCAGTGACTAACATGAAACCCACAGAGTCAGACAAGATATCCTCGACAAGGGCGGAAGAATCGGCCAGGAGGACTCATTGACCGGTGGTATCTGGTGAGTCGCCTATTTCTACCGAGCGTTTTCCCATACCATCAGACGGAATACAGTAACTGATTCTGGTTCTGGTTATGTTAGTATCACCTTCGACTACGATGAAGATATCATCAAGCCCTTTTATAAACATCCTCTCATTGCTCGCGTTGAGAGAAACTCGGAGTTTGCGACGGTGTAATTTTGAGCGCGGATGTTGAGGTGGGATGTGTGAGCTGATTGGACATTTCCATTACTTTTGATGTGTCAATCATCACCTATTGGATATACTGTGGCCAGATGACTCTACGCTTTAATGCAATCTTCTGATGTATTCTCATGTTGTACCTACATCTCTAATTCAAATGACGTCAGAACCTCGGCGTGAAAAGCGTAGAGATGGGCACTATGACCATATCGCCCAAGTCTTTGTTGTTTGAGAGTAGGCCGTGAGAAGGGATATATAGGCGAATAGTCAATGGTCTTGGAAGGTTAGATAGCGACATGTACGGAGTAATCTAGGATGTCGTGGTGTTGTCTTGAACATCCTATGCGAGATTAAGCTTAAATCACCAAATCAGGCGATTATGGAATCGGTATAGCACATGTCAATTCTAATGAGATACCACTAGCTGTCATAAACTCAGTTTCTATCGCTAAGAAGAATGAATCAAAAGAGAAAATAACGTCAAAGTTGAAGATAGCCACGGGAGGAGCATGTTTCCAACACATACATGAAGTACTTTGATGCTCCTCCCACAACAAAATAAACTATATCAATGGAAGAAAGTAAAACTAAAGGCCCATCATAAATACCATCCTAAATCAGAACTCAATTCCTTAAGAAAGGTTCGACGAAGCAGTAACTTCAGAGCCAGAAGAACAGCCAACATCCTTCACAACAACAGTCTTACCGCTAGATCCGGTAACACGGATATCAACAGTGTCCTGGCCGAATCCGGAGGAGTTCTCGAAGTAGTTGTAGTAAGTACGGGTGGTGCTTTGCCACGAGCTACCGCCATCGGTACTGACTTCAAGCTTGGTGACAGCCTCGTTGGCATTGATAACCTGCATGGAGAACCAGTAGGCGGATGTGCCTTCCTTGTTCTTGAGCTTGACGGGGCCGTCGAGGTCACAGGAGACGTAGGACCAGTCGATGTCGATCACGCCGGCGGAGATGTCGGAGAGTTCGGCGAAGGCGGACTGGAAGAGGTCCAGGTGGTTGCTTTCACATTCGGGGCATTGGTCGACGACCTGTTCAAGAAACGCTTTGTTAGGATTTGGGCTTTGGGGTATTAGAGAGCCATGTTCTGGGTTTAGACCTACCATAGCCTTGATGGTTTTACCGTTGGGTCCGGTGACTGAAACACAAGAACCGCAGTTGGCGGCGTCGTCCCATCGATCAGCGGAAAGGGCTGTGCCGAAGAGAGTGCTTGGCAGAGTGTAGCTGGAGAACGAGCAAGTTCCGCCGGACACATTGCCGCCGTAGAAGGTGGCTGAGCCGGAGTTTTCCTGGGAGCTAGAAGAAGAAGAAGAAGTAGTGGAAGTGGAGGTGCTTGCAGCCTTGACAGCGGCTTGAACGGTGGTGGCAATCGCCTCAGTAGTCTCGGCGGCAACAGCTTCGGCCGAGGTGGTGGGAATTTGCGCAATGACTGCAGCTTCAGTAGTCTTGGCGGCAGCAGTAGTCTCGGCAGCGGTGGTAGCCTCAACGGTGGAGGTTGGAACCTCCGCAACAACCGGGGCGGCAGTGGTCTCAGCAGCGGTGGTGGTCTCAATAGTTGAAGGAGAGATGAGGCCAATAACTGCAGCAGACTCGACAGGGGGAGTCTGGGCGGTGGTAGTTTCAGCGACAGTAGGCTCGACGACAGTCGGCCCAGCGGTAGTGGTCTCAACAACAGGAGCCGAAGAGGTAGTAGGCGAAGAAGAGACCTCAACCGCAGCGACGGGGTTCACGGACTGAACGAGAGCAGCAGTAGACGACAGGGCGACAGTTGACTCGACAGTAGCGGATGCGGTCGATTCGGGGTAGATAGTCTTGTAGATGACGCTCATGGTATAGCCCTTGGGGCATTGGCCAATGTCGTCACGGATACCGAGAGGGCCAGCGGAGACAGTGGCAGCGCCGAGAAGGGCGACAGAAGCAAGGCTGAAGTACTTCATTGTAGATAGTTCGCGTCTGGCGCTGAATGGTGTAATGTAGAATGAGAGAACCGAAGTCGGCAGACTACAGTTTTGAAATCAGAAGGGACAAATGCGTCGCTTCTTGGAATGATCGGACGTGCTGGTTGCACTGTGGAAGGAATGGACGTCGGGGGTGAGGATCCCAGGGAAAAATTGTACTGTGCCAGACAGGAGTGAAAAGAAGGTATGAGAAAGAAGGGTGAAATGGGAGACGACATGTCTATTAAGTCTAGAAGGGCGACTCATAACCCTGGTAACTGGCGACTCCAGTAACAATCTGATCTGAAACGACGTGGATCAGCAACGGCCAGTGTCGATGCTCGGGAGTAGCCGAAAGGAGAGTGTGGCCCAGTATGCTATACCGAGTTAGGGCTAGTGAGGAGGTGCTTATATTAAAGAGGAAATGACTCTGGAACAAGTGAGATTGGATGTTGAGAAGTACTCTGAAAACCGCGGCGAAATAATTTGCCGAGTCTAACTAAGGGCAATAGTATGAACAGGTTCCCTACCGGGCGTCCCACATAATTTCGTTCAGCCTTAGCAGCGCATCCGCACTGGCTTTCTTCGCCGACATGAAGTCCTCTCGGCTCTCTGCCCCACGCGGGCCGCGGAGGATCTCTGAGAAACACAAGTCTACCAGGACGCATAACTCGTCATATGTAAATGGCTCGCCATTTCCAGCGACCAAGGCCTTGGCACCTTGCGATGCGAACGCCTCCTTTTCATCCTTGGCGTAATCCAGCGACTTTTCGGCGCCTTCAAGGAACCAGTCCAGGAATTTAGCGCTTCGGGGTAAGGCAACGACCTCCTGAGAGGCCTGTTGGTGCAAGTCTGTTGCGGAGTCAGGGGCATCACTGGCTGGGTCGATGATGATGTTCTTCAAGTTCTGTTGTAGCACGAGCACATCTAGTTGTAGTCGCAATGCTCCATTCTCATTCATTGCCCCGATGTACCGCGTGCAGGCGACAAATACACGATCAATGAACCGGGCTAAGCCGGATGTGATGAACCAGCGCTCAACGGACCCGAGGTACATCGAGATGTTAGTGTCAAACTCGATGAGGTCATTGTTTAATGTGAGGATCGTGGGTGATGCTGCGGTTGGCTGGTTCATGATGATGTGCCACCAGTTATCCTGCGTATTTGGAGATGGGGTTACGGGCTCGGAGTTGCGCAATGTAGGGGGGTTTGGCCCAGACATAGTCTTCGTCAACATGTGGATGATGCCGCAGCGGATGTCTACATGCATTGTCAGGAGAGCAGTAGTACCAAGGCCATGCAGGGATTCAAGAGTCCCATCAAAGGCTACTACAGTCTCATGGTTGAGCGGCAGATGGACCGGGTTGTTAATGCTATCCCGCTTGGGTTTCATAGCCCCGAACAGTGTCCATCTGCGCGAAGGTCGGCCGGTTGCTGTCAGACTTGATGACTCGGCGTCAGATGTGTGCTCAACAACAAGGCGAATTTTGGCGAGGTGGCTTCCAAGCCATTGCTAGAAGAACGTTCAGAACTGAATGAATGAAAGAATCGTGAGAGCCTCGTACCATGCTGTTATACAATAGGGAAAGAGAGACAACTGTCTTGGGGTCAGATATGATGTCGTACGGCTCCAAAGGCACTTCATTTGTGCGCTTGAGAAGCAAGTCGATTTCCTGCGTCTGTCAGTAAAGGATTCCGTGGATGGCTACAATTTTGCATACCGTATCAATGAGTGTCTGCTTCTTGTCACCGGGACCTTTCCACAGCTCATCTACTGTATCACGGATGTCGCCTGTTTCGGCATACGATGCCGCAGCTTTCAGCCGGACCCCGCCTCCATGATTGCGCGCGGACACTCTCGTGACCATGGCTTTACACGAGATCAGCTTGAATTCGTAAAGAGCATTCGAAATTGACTAACCTTTATACCATCCACAACACTTGTCATAGTAAGTCACGATCTGGTCGATAAGAAGTTGTGTGAAAGCCTGATCGTGTGGGATACTTGACAGCATCTTGCTAAACTCTCGAACAATAGTCATGAACTTGACCGTTCCCTAACACGCACTGTATTAGCATTCTAATATATCTTTATTTATGAGAATTGCACTCACCCTGAAGATAGGCCGGGGAGAGACCTTGGACCACTGAGGGTCCTCGGTAAATGCATCAGCAGCAATAAAACTGAGCGTGCAGAGATCCGTAACGGTCTCATCCAACTGGGGCAGGAAGACATTGACCATGAAGTCATCCAAAAAGGAAGTCAACGTGCTCATGGAGATATCAGCATCAACAGGCACAATATCCTTGAGACGCTGAATGAAGGAGAGGGAAGGAGGTAGGAGGAGACCCATGTTGAAGACACTTGGCTCGAGCAGGATCTTGTGGCCAGTTCCTGAATTGCCCTTGCTCGACTGCGAAGTATCATTCGTGGCAACCTTTTGTCTTGACTTGGAAACAAGTCCCGGCACAGAGGACTTGAGAATGTCATCCAGCTCATCTTGCTCGGCTTTCATTTCCGAATTGTGCTCAATGTCGGAGAGCTTGAACATTTTCTGCAACGCAAAGCTAATCAGCCCCATGGATCTACGATCAAAGCCATTCTTCTTACCTTGTTCTTATCGCGGTTGCCCGAGTACTGATTGCGTCGAGAATCAGACTCCTCGCCTCTCGATCGGACCGAGGAATCTCCATCTGTCGCAAGATAGTCATGCATGAGAGACCGTATCTAGGAGGAATATCAGCAAATTGCCTTGGAATTGTTTCCACCACTTGTATCTTACCTCGCTCTGCAGGAGTTTCCACAACTCTTTGAATCCACCAGAAAGCGTCTCACTTTTGATGAGGCCTTCTCGCTCAACAATAGCCGAGACAACATCGTGAATGATTCGGTGGCCTTCTGCAATGGCCTCAAACTTGGCATACAGTGCCCACAAGAACTCCGAGAGCACATGACCACGCTTTTCAATGATCTCAGTGGGGAGATTGGACTTGCTGTAGGTGTTGTCCTGGGCAGAGAAGCTTTTGGTTGGCGCAGGGTAGCGAGTATCAACATCAGCATTAGTCTTGTCCACCACGGCAAACAACTCGACTGGAAGACGCTGCTCAATACGATGTACTGCAACATCAAGATGACCCATCTTGTTAAGGGCTTCGATCAACAGCTGTATATATGAGAATGTGTCTGCCTCCGGGTTTCGAGAGGCATCTTCGACCATGGGTGTCAAAGGATCAAACTTGGCAAGGAAACTATAGATAGGCCGCTCCCAGGATCGGTTGCCGGTCCAGCTGGACGTGTTCGCCTCTCCCTCAGCCGTCGGTGCTTTCCACCGATCAGAGCAATATGGTGATTTGAGGTATAGGTGGTCATGCAACTCTTCAATCAAGATGTCTGTAAGCGAGGTTTCCTGGTTAATGAAATAAGCACGGATATCAGACAAGGCGCCGATGTCCTCCAGTTCCGATCGTCGTAGCAGTCGAAGACCAGTGTGAAGGACATCCACCGCGGCAAGGAAACGCTTGTCCGAGATCTGAGATTCGAGCTTTTCGGGAAGAGATTGAACTTCTTCGATCTGAGTGAACAGTTGAACGATATCATCGTAGTTCTGCGAGGATGTTGCCAGCCCTTTCAGCTCGGGCTTGGTCGATATTAATCCTGACTTGGCCTGGTCCAAGGCGTGCCTCAGGTTGCGCACTCGGTTTTGTGAAGAGGATATGTTCGACTGGATTTTATGATAAGTACCAATGGAACTGTTGAAGCCCTGGTGATGTTCTGTCGTGCAATGTTAGTGGCTATCCCGCTTCGGTCATTAGAGAACACCTACCATTCACAATCGCCTTCAGTGTCTTCTGGATATCGTTGTACATATGCAGGAAATCATCTTCGCGATCTGCCTTGCCCAATGTACTCGTATCCATTAAGCTCAAAGCGACGTGTACCGGAACACACTCGGCATCCGTCATGAAGTCCCAATCGCGCTGAATGGACTGAAGCACAGCTGCAGAGAGTACTCATTAAAACCGGCTATTAGAAGAGCCTCGAGACGAACACAAACCTTCAATAGCCTGCGACTCCCCAGAAGTAGTTCCCCTCCGAACAAAAGGTGACGCATTTCTTTCCTGATCCCTAGTATCCGCATGCCGACTCGCATCCCTAGACTGATCCTCCCGGTATCGTTGATCGGCATCTTGATTCCTCGTCCTAGATCGCGAAGTGGAAGTGGACTGTGAGGAGGGCTGCTGGTAATCCCGATTCGCTCGGTCGCGCCGGCGCTCAGGAGACTGGCTCTGCGAAATAGGCGACTGCGACTGCGAATTCAAATCCGAATTCGACTCAGGGTAAAAACCACCGTAGCCTCCCGGGCGACGATCTGACCGTCCACCTCCGCCTGGTGGTGCTCCGGCACCCCGTCCACTGTATCCGTTCACGCCGAGGTTATTGTTGGTACCGCCATATCCGCCGTCGTTCGAGTCGTAGCGGCCGGCGCCGGAGTAGCCGTATCCGTTCCCGTAGCCGTTTTGACCGCTCATTCCAAATGATGTCCGCTAAGCACGGGGTGGACCGGTTCAGTCTGAAAGCGCTGGTGGGCTGCGTCAAGGGGCTGTGGGGCCACGGTTGGCGAGGTGTATGCGGGTTTAGGTGTGGCTTGCGCGCGACTGTAGGCGATGGGCAGTGGGCATTCTTTGTCGAGTGTTGGCTGGGAGCAATTGAGGTTGGTGGAGGCAGGGCGGAGTTGCCAGCTCCACTGGAGCTTCCCGCATTCCGGCCAGTTGTACTGAACCAGGAATCTACGATCTACGCGATACTCCGTGATATCTTCTTGTTTCGTTAGGTTTTTACTTTGTTTTCTAACTCGTAGTAGATACAGATCTAAGATGCTGTAACTGTATGCATGCTGAGATTATGTTATGATCATAGTGCCAGGCGCATGCCTTTCAACGCCATTTACTTGGAGATAGGCTGGGTTTCACGCTCGAGCCACGACCGAGTCAAGTCGTCTGCCTGGAAGAAATGCTCTGTCTTCGCCCAGATCTCAGCATGGTAGTCGTTTACCCACTTCAGTTCAGCATCACTCAGCAGGGACGGCTCAATCAGGTTGCGACCAATTGGGGTCATGGTAACATGCTCGAAGCCGAGCCACTGCTTATCACCAAAGTTGTTGGAGGTCTTGACCTCACGGGCCATTACAACATCTGGGAAGAATTCAATTAGTATGATTCATCTTGTCTTCTCCAGATATATACTCACTCTCAATTCGGATGCCGAATTTGCCGTCCTCATAGTATCCGGGTTCTATATCAGTGATCAGCTGTGGGCTGTGGCAGCAGTAGAAGATATGCTTACCATCTGAAATGACATTGCCGGCAGCAATGGGGACCTCGGTGTACTGGACGCGAGTTCCGATGCCAATAGGTCCCTCGTGGACGTTCTAGAATGGAATTAGTGGCGCAAAACGAGAGTTAAACGACAAATCTTACCAAATATGAGCCAACACCGTGGCCTGTCCCGTGAAGGAAGTCAAGGCCTTCCTTCCACAAGTGCTGACGAGCCAAGACATCAATTGCAAACCCACTAGTGCCCTTGGGAAACACGGCCATGTCAATTCCAATGGTACCCTTGAGCACCAAAGTGAAAGCACGCTTCTCAAACTCAGTGGGAGTACCGAAGTGGAAGGTTCTCGTGGTGTCGGTCGTTCCATCAAAGTACTGGCAGCCAGAGTCGCAAAGGTAGATGGCCTTAGGATCGATGATAGCACAGCTTCCCTTCTCGGGCTTGTAGTGAATGACAGCACCATTAGGACCTGTCGAGGAGATAGTATCGAATGAGAGACCGGCAAACAGCTCGTGCTTGGAGCGGATCTGCTCTAATTTGTCAGCTCCGTCAACCTCGTCGAGAACAGTCTTCTTGTTGACGAGCTCGTTCTCCAACCAAGCAAAGTATTCGGTCAAAGCAGCGCCATCACGAATGTGACAGGCCCGCATACCCTCGAGCTCAGTCTCGTTCTTGATGGCCTTAGCATCTGCAATGGGACTGCGAGTCTCCTCGACCTGTCCCTCACCACCAAGGCTAGTGCTGAGCGCCCAGGAAGCTCTGTTCGAGAGCAAGAACTTCGATGCGGCTTCGCCAGCAGATTGACCGCGGATGCTTAGTGCTTGGGCATCAGCGAAGATAGAGTCGTATGGCTTAACAATGACATCCTGTCCCAGGTGAGCCTTGACCTCGGGGGTCAGCTTGCCGTCTTCAATATAGAGCTCGGCTGTGGTAGGTGTGATGATGGCATAGGAGAAGAACACGGGGTTGTAGGGGATGCTAGACAGAGTTAGTGGACTATTCTGTATGATGTATAGAGTATCCTCTTACTCTGTTCCTCTCAGGTTGAATAGCCAAGCAATTTCATCAAGCATAGCTGCCATCATTAGTCACCTCGAGAGCTTGTTTGTAGGCGGAGTACTCTTACAAATGATGAAACCGGCCTTTTTTCTGGACTCAAGGTCCTTGCGAAGCTCGGCAACCTTCTCCTGGAAGGACTTTCCGGCATACTTCTCAGGGTGCACGCGCACCTTTTCACTAGGACGAGCTGGACGCTCCTTGCCCCAGACCAAGTCGATCAAGTTTTCCGGGACTCCGACAAGAGATGAGCCGCTCTTCTCGAGCGTCTCTGCGAGTTTCCGCGCACCAGCTACTGATGTGAGCTTCACTATCTACATCAACTTGTATATGCAAACTTACCCGCTGTGATCAGGGAAGGGTCAACACCAACAGCCTTGCCACCTTGGGCCTCCTCTGTAGTCCTAATCAAATGTTTAGCATTCTGTGTTGAGCACCCCGCATGATCACCACCGCGTACCATTCCTGCCATGTGGGCACACCCTCAACACCACGCTTCAAGAGCTCCCAGTTGGTATCCAATTGTTTCGCGGCTTGGTTGAAATAGCGTCCATCGGTGGACAGAGCGGCTTTGCCGAGAGAGATGATAGCAGTACCGGCGGAGCCAGAGAATCCCGAGATGAATTCTATAGAATGTCAGATATGATTGCGAGAGTATTCGCGGCAGGTATCGGTATCTAACCTCGGCGGGCATCGCAAGGCGCAATGTACTCGGACTGGTGGCTATCCTCGGAGGGCACAACTATGCATGACTGATTAGCGCAAGTCCAAGCTCGGGCAGGCCGATACACTGAGTTGATAACATACTGTAAACATCTACCTTGTGCTGTTGCATCAGCTGCCTGAGCTTCGAGAGCCGCTCGGCGGTATCGACGGTGCCCATATCGACTGTGTAACGCGGGCCGAACACAGAGAAGAATCTCGGGCGGGAAAGAGGCCTTAGCGATCGGAAAGATGAGAGACGAATTGAGGAGAGGAGCATGGAGGGGAGTGACGTCCCAAAAGCCAAAGAGTCGGGACAAGTGCGATGACGAGCTAGGGGCCTGTCGTGTGAGTGGCCTTAACCGGTGGAGAGTTGGGATCTCCGGACAGCTCGGCCCACTTTTATGTTTGCACTCGGAAGTATAAGTACTTGGCTTGCGCTTTCTTCAATTTTAGAGTAGACAAAGACATTGCTTGAGTCAGGTTTTTGGAACATGAGATGAGCTTGGCTCTATTTGTATAGTATCATTTATTCCATACGCAACACAAACCGGTGCCACACTCTGAAGTATTCAGGCAAGACTATACACTTTCTGTAAGATATACAATGCAGGATCCTATATAGACAGATTTAACTAAAGAAATTTGAAATTCACATTCTGTCTCCTGAAACCATTAGTTCCAGAACACTGAAAAAGACTCTGGGGGCAAAGGACCCAGTTCTCTGGTTCAAAGAGATATATTCAATCATGAAAAATCATATGCAAAAGTATTTCGTATGAGCCTTTCTTTTCTATATATCAAGCAATATACCTTTTCAATGGGATAATGTTACAGAAAAGAGGAAAGAGTACTATAAGTATACACATTAACACTGAAGAACCCCACATTCACCGCCCTTAATACCGCCCCTTTATTGATTGGGCCAATGATGCAAACACCAATTTCTGCCAGCTTTTAGCTCGGTGCTTGTATACACTTCTCTTTTTCACTTTCGCAACCACGCGCTTCGCGGACAACATGGCAACCTGGATGTCCGACGAGGCCCTTGGGGCCAGAGAGTCAATCTCTGAAACCCACATGGTACGAACCCCAATCCCATCTTTGAGCATCAGCTCACAGTTTACTAGCTAGTTACTGAGCTCTATAACCCGGCAAACCAACGAGACCCCACTAGGATCAACGAGATCCAGGCACGACTTCAACAACTCCAGAAGACGGAACATGCGTGGGCAATCGCTGATTCTCTTCTACAAAACGAGCACTCTCCCCAGCATCGCTTCATGGGAGCACTCACCTTCACGGTGAAGATCAATGTCTCCTGGTATGTTTTTAATTATCTCCGTTCCATCTCAGTTCCAATTGAAAGCTCAGTGACTAATCTATTTTAGGAATGAGATCGACGAGAACGCAGCAGCGGAGATAATGCAACACCTCATCAATCGCTTTGTTGCTTTGGTCAACAAGGGTGAACAAGCAATGGTCATGAGGAAACTCGCTTCAAGCCTGGTCGCTATCTTCAGGCACCCAGCTACACCGTGGAAGCAAGCTGTGTGGCAGCTTGCTGCATGCCTTGCCCACGGCGGGTACATATCAGAGGAGGAATCACAAGCGGTGGATTTCCAGGGGCGCATACTGCCAGCTTTGGGCAAGAGTGGATCGGGTGCATTGTTATTCTTCTCAATAGCACTCGCCGAGGAAGCTTACAGGCTGGATTCGGAACCTCAGGATGGGGCTGGAGAAAAGTCCGCTGTCCAGCGCGCCATCTCGAATATCAAGGACGGCTTGCTTCTAGCTCAATACGCCCTAAGAGAGATTGTACATCACGCAAAAGTAGCTGGTGATGATGCAGTTGACGTGGCACTGGGGGCTGAAGCGATGAGTTCCTGGAAAGTGAGTCTATTTAACCCATTCTTATTTGCCCCATGGCTGATTGCATGAAAGACATGGCTAGGAGTTCATGGCAACCGTCAGCGCTCTTCTGCAGAAGATGTCAATGTCTTGGCTGTGAATTGTGGCCATACTATCATCGAAACACTGAGGGTTCCTAGCTTGAGTGAAAGCGCAGCTTCCATTCTGACGCAGGCTTTCGAAACCCGCCGGTGGGCTTTTGACAATAGCTCAATTTGGCTTTTATCCGAGATTCTCGCTGATTCATTCGTCACAGCGCGTATCGCTGCTGTGAGAAGTGGAGACGAGGGCAACGAGAGCATGTCGTTTGTCGACCTCTTAATAGCCTACGTCTCGCACTTACACTTGGGCATTTTTAGTGACCCAGTGACCCAACAAAATGCAGCGATTTTGGTCCTCGTGCATGGCATATTCGAGACACCTGGGTATGCTGCCATTGATGATCTCGGTACCCCACGGGTATTGGAGTTTTGGAATGAGATCGCTGAGAGCCTTCCCGATGAACTAGAACATGACAGCCCGAGGTATCAGCTAGTGAAGTCCCATATAGCTCAAGTTGTCTTGGGTCTTTCCGGGAAGCTACTATACCCTAGTGCCGAGGATTTGGAGGATTGGACCGATGAAGAGCGGAGCGAATTCGGCGCTTTCCGCCATGACGCTTGTGACTATCTTCTATCAGCATACCCAGTCTTGGGTGTTGAACTAGTGACTGTCTTCCAGAGAAGCGCAACCTCTTACTTGGAGGCTCGAGACTGGCGCAACTTTGAGACAGCCATGTTCTGCATCGCTCAACTCTCGGAGGCAGTGGATGAGAATGGTCACGCCGATCAGTGTCTGGATGCTATTTTCGGGAGTGACTCCTTTGCCAGGCTTTGCGCTGGTGGTGAGATAGAAATCCCGCTTAAGGCTCGTCAGACCTTAGTGGACTCGTTCGGAAAATATCAGTCGTACTTTGAACGCCACAGCGCATTACTTGCTGGTGTTCTCAACATCTTGTTTGACTCTCTCAATTACGAATTGTGTGCCCAAGCTGCTTCAAGATCTATATTGACTCTCTCAAAGTCTTGCGCCCGGGTGTTGACTGCAGATCTTCCAGCATTTTTAGATCAGCTGGACCAGTTCAGAAGCAAGCCGACGGCAACCGTCTCCACCATGCCAAAAGTCTTGGAAGGAATTGCGACTATCATTCAGAACCTAAACACTGATGAAGAGAAAGTTCAAACCCTTGAGCGAATACTTGGCTTCTTCGTCCAGGAAGCCACAACAGCGCGCGCAGAAGTCACTGGCCCTGAACATGAGTCCGGTCGTGCACGCGGGCACCTTGTACTGAGCTGTATTGCCAGTATTGGAAGGGGTCTTCGTTCTGAAAACGATGAACCCATTAATATTGATAACCAAGCGGACGGAAATCCTTATCCCCCATCCTTTTGGAACGCCGGACCGGGTGCCGAAGCCCAGCGACTAATCATGGAGGCTATGAGACTTCTCATTGTGGACTTCCCCGTGGATAACAGTATAATTGAAGCAGCCTGCGATATCTTGAAGGCCGGATACACAGAAACAGCTGGGCTTTTCGTCTTCCCACCTTCAATGACGGTTGATTTCATTAAGAGCTTCCCGCTTGGTATCTCTGGAACAGATGTTATTATGGCGACAGCGTCATCATTCTTGGCATCACACGCTTCTCATGCGATGAATATTCGCAGCGAAGCCGCAGCGCTGATCGATCATGTCGCCCAACTGTTCTCGTCGATGCTTCAGACCCCCGATCTGTACGACCCAGAGACTGCGAACGCCGGTATTGACTTCCTGGCGCGTCTCCTGCCCAAATACTATCCAATTTTGTTTACTTCCGGACCAGAGCTCAGTCCGGAATCTCCGCTCGTTGTGCTACTCCATTTCACGCTTCACGCATTAACACGGCCTGAACCCCTCCCTCTCCGGTCCGCCTCATTATTCTGGATCGCATTAATTGATCTCCGTGGCAATACCCCGGAACAAACCTCCATCATCGAATCAGTTCATCAAGAGTTCATTCCACGCTTGTGCTACACCATCGTCCAACAGATAGCAGGTCGGTGCGCAAGATCAGACCTAGTTTCACTAAATGATGCCCTTCGGCGTACTATTTTTAAGAAAATGGTACTGGCTCGCCCGGCGTTAAGAGCTGCACTCGACTCTTTGAATGCGCAGGTCACAGATCCAAGCGGACAACAAGTACCTCTGCTCTCGACGCAGGACAAGTCTCGATTCCTGGAATCCCTTGTCATTGCTCGGGGTGCCCAGAAACAGTCACTCGATATTGTCCGTGCCTTCTGGTTGAAATGCCGCGGAATGAATTTCGATTATGCTCAGTGATGATAGTCGCGAATATGACATGATGAGGAGTTGATAGGACCTACAACTTCGGTTCGTTTGTTTAGATATCCATTTGCATGATATGCGGTGCAGGATCATTTGATTAATATATACAAAACATTTCGTTTAATTGATACAGTTATGTAGACGGGGATGCACCGCCTCATGTTTTTACTGCGCCACATAGACGTGGGTATAATGACGTTCCGTGTCAGTCGTTAACAAAGAGTCCTTAACACCCATGCTCTGTCTCCTATTTTTAAGTGTGGGTTCCTTTGTCTGTACTCCTTAGGAACAGACCTATATACATCACGTTACCCGGGATCCAACTTCGGCGAGGGATCGGGGTAAATGAAATTAACCATCCATGCATCCATCCATCCATCCTGTAAGAATATAGCTTCAATTTGACGAACAGAAGAAAACATCAATGAAGGTTTATTATCCGGCAATAGGTAAGTCCGCTTCTACTAACCTTGATTGGGGGCTTCTATGATTAAACGGCACCAATATTTCCCGTTTCCTCATCGATTTGGCGTCTCTTTCCTTTTTTTTTTTTCACTGGTCACTGCGGTTTGACTCGAAGAATCATTCATGTCTGCAGCGACGACAGAAGCTTGAATTTTCCTTCCATCTGCATAAGTATCTGGCTGGTTTCCCTCAATTATCTGCTCCGCGGAAGTGTACATTTGAAAAACCTCTTGTAAAAGAACAGACATTTCGTTGTTCGAGGTTTGACTATTGCCATATCTCAGTAAGGTTGCTCTTTCTTGAATAAAATCCAAAACCTTAGCAATCTCGATCGAATTCCTCCTTAGTCGCTCGGGGGGCCCTCTTCCTTTAAGCAGTGCTAACAATCCAGCAATGGAGGTATTAAAAGCCCCTAGGATTGTGATTGCTAACATGTGTTCACCGCCTGAAGGTCCCAATGCGGTAATGGCTGCACCGACGATTATCTGCGCGATTGCAATCAAATTGAAAGTAATGCTGATAAGCTGATATTGGAATCTCTGTTCTTTTCCCTTGCGAGTCAGCTTCTTTCGTAGTCCAGCCGTTGCGGCCTCATAGGTTAAATATGTCTGAGACTCATCCGAAGAGTCAATTGGGGTTGGCTGATGATTGTTCAGACATCTTCTATGGTTGGCTTTTGAAGAGAGTATTCTGAAGAACGTCAGGGATTTATCAATCTTATTCTAATGGTCAAGCTTTAGCGACTCATTGACGTCAATATCCCCTTTCCTTTTTCTTTGATGATCAAGAGTCTCTCTGGCTTCATGATGTGGTTGGGCTTGAAATCACGTCTATCGTGGTTCTTCAAATCTAGACTCGACCAGACTAGGCTCTAAAAAGTAAACCCTTTAATGATATTCAAATTTCAGAAACCTCTTGGCACCCGTTCTGTGGAGAACACGGATTCTCCAGTCCAGACCAGTTCCCGTACCATATCTTCATCGTTTACGGATAAACCATTGTTGGCTCTAACGTGATTGAAGATCAGCCGACAATATACAGTTGACTTGTTATATCCACAGATTCTTAGGGCATCGATTTTTGGGTAATCCAAGTATGATGATGCAATACAATTCCGAACCAACTTGTGCTATTATTTATGTTCTTCTGTTCAGAGATGTTTGGCTTTAATTATTATGGCTGAATCGATGATCCTTTCCCCCCGCTCTTCTTCATCCCTTTTCCTAGGGCATGATGGTATGAATACCTCTGATCTGGATTATATGATTATCAAGATGCTCGTAAACGGTGTGCCCTATAGGTTGCGAGAAATGGAATCAACGGTTGTTCACCTGAAGGGAGGTGCTTAACATTGTAGGAAGATATCTTGGTCTAGAACAACCAAATGGTAGTGAAATGGGGATGGCACGATGGCAGTCTGGCATAGCAGACGGGTCGCGATACTAACCAAGAAATCACACAACGACCACTCCCATGGCCTGAAGTAGACGTAGAGAGTAGTCTGTGAAGGAGTAGATTGTACTGAGCCTGATGGAGAACTGTAGTCATATGGGATGGTTGGATGATGCTTGCCTGGCTTGTATGAGAAGACTACATATCTCCTGAGGCAGTCGTACTACTGTCACTGGTTCCACCCCTATAGTGGGTAGTTTGAAACATAGAAATTCGAAGTGATTTTCCATGACACCCCACCCCCATAGGCTGGGACCGGATCCGTAAACCGGCATGCTGCGGGCTCTACTGAGCCAGGGTACTAATAGCTCATTTCCATCTTTCGCGGCATGAACCAAAACTGGTATAAAAACCAGTCATATATTCTGATGATTTAGCAGCTTTATAAACGCCAAAAGAAAAAGCTTCCATTGACCGTATGAATTGTATAGAATATCATCGCAGAAGAAATCAATACGACGAGCACCAACCTGCGCGTATACTGAATTCCACATCGTGGTTACCGGGTAGGTTGTAAATAAATTACACTAATCGTGTGATTATGGTAACAACTATGCTCGCGGTGGTTTTATATGCGAGGGTTACGAGTACCGAAGTATTTGGCAGTGAAGTCATCTGATGATAGATTATCCTTTGCCATCCTGCAGCTGAGTGTCTTGTAAGCTGCGCCCGTTCACCCGGGACCTATTTTCTTTAAAAGACTTGCTAGCACAGAGGGCCAGAGCACTAACCCTCTTTCCCCCTTGTGTTAATTCAGAATTTAGCGTCCAAATGGATGATCCCCGCCAACTTCGGGTACGCCGCTTGGCATAAGTCGATCATCTGAGCCCGCAACGTTCTGCTCACTCCGTCCGTGGTTCAACCATCTGCGGTTCTTCTATGTTGACGAAGCCACCATCTACTTGCACATGACTAAACGGTATCTACCGGATACGAGCTTAGAATCAATCTACATTGACGAGGAGCAGATACCAGAGAAAGTGTGATAGATATGGGACGTGAAAGTCTATTCTAGACGTCGCCTAAACACGGGTCGGGTTTCGCTTTAAAGGGAGCGCCCACTGGGAATCCGCCCGTTGGTTCTCAACGGTACCCGTGGGTAGACCTAAAATACTCAAAGTTAATATAATCTGAGATACAATATAATGTATGGCCTCATCCAGTGTTTCCCCTGCTCTACGTCGTCTCAGTCAACGCCAGCCACAGATACCATCTACTGCTTTGTTACGTTTCCAAAAGTTCAGCCCAATCCTGCGAACTGAATAGTTTGAATTGTTGGACCAATGTAGCTAGTCTCTTGGCTCTCTAAAGAGGTTTCAATTTCAGCATACATCATCATGTCAGATGACGGTCTCTTATGCGAACACTATCCGTGGAGATTTAATGGTGATTCGCCGGGGTCTGGGCATAGCAATCTGGGTGCAGGAGCTTGCAACATTGAATAATCAGGTTTTCGGTAGGGTCTTGGTTTCAATCTTGGTTTCAATCGACAGCAGAGGGTTTAGGAAACACGGAGAACTACGGTGTAGCCAAGCTTTGGCGCAACGGAAGTGTCGAGAGCCATCGAATTAGAATCGGATATAAAAACAAGTTGATGTGATTAACCATATTACTACTCTATGAAAGACCGCTTGCAGACATAAAGTGGCGTGGTCTAAATCGAATTATGTGTAACCTGTTTAATCCAAAACTTTAGTTTCTATTTTTCTTCCTATATGGTCCGTCGTAGTCCGGATTTATTAGTCACGTTCTAAATGTCAATTCTTTTTCACTATGAGCATATCTTTCCAATTGTATATAACGCATTCTGATGATTATATGCCATGTACAATGCCTGGACCCAATGTCCCCGTCAAAATGACCTATCCAAATAGTCACAGATACTGTAGTTAAGCTAATGCAATTTGTCATGCCTATCAATTTAGGCGATGGCTATATTATACGCTTTACACCTGTCTACTTGAATTACAACATTTGCCGCGAGACATGCACATATTGTCTTCATCCATCCGGTACCAGTCAGGCCTCTACCTAGGTTTCGGCAGACTTCAATCGTCTTTCGGAACTTATCCACCAATGACTATGTTGAAGCTGTTTTTACTCCAGTGTGATGAACAAATTCTGTCTAGAACAGCCTAATTCTAAATCCAGATGTCTGCTGCCTGCCAAACTCTTCCTGCACTTACATACGGCGCAAATAGTCTAAGGTATAAAGAAGGCCTGATATCACCAAACGTTCTAAATCCACTATTTTCTTATGAATCAGATACCTTGAAGAATTTCCCAAGGTTTTTGGACCAAGCCAAAATCTATGTTTTCTCATCCAATCCTGTTTCAAATAACCGATTTCTAAGATACAATGACTATGAAAAACACCAGAATCTGCGTTGAGCGTCTACCCCCTGATAATGATTCAAAGCTACCTCCCAGCAACCTTGTGCTGCCCGCTTTGGGCTCTGGACCATCGCAGCTTGCGATGGACAAGTCCGCGTACTGGCGTCCTGGAACACAACTTCATGTTCTTTTCCTCTCTGGAAGCACCTTCGTGAAGAATAAAGTCAAATTTTTTGCTCAGATATGGGAGAAGTACGCGAATATTGATTTTGTATTCGATGATTCGGCGAATGCACAAATCCGGATCAGTTTCGTCGTGGGCGGAGGATCATGGTCCTATCTTGGGAGACATAATCTCCAGATTCCATCTGACCAGCCAACAATGAACTTTGGCTGGTTTGATGACAACAGCACGGATGAAGAATTCAGCAGAACCACCATTCATGAGTTTGGCCACGCTTTAGGTTGTATTCATGAGCACATGAGCCCCGCAGCGTCTATCCCTTGGGACAAACCAAAGGTTTATGCATATTTTGGGGGACCACCAAACAATTGGTCGAAGGAAGATGTTGACCAAAACCTTTTCAACAAATATGCAGTTTCAGCTGCATATTACACTGAATTTGACCCACTTTCAATAATGCTGTACCGAATCTCGAATGACTTGACAATGGGCGACTTCGAAACCCCTAACAACACGGTGCTTTCATCAACTGATAAAATGTTCATTCACTCACTATACCCCGAGCAGACGCGTAACATGGCTCGCTTCAGCACCCAGGACTTCCGTCTTCCGTCAAACCCGAAGCTATTGAACGCAACACAGGTTAATTTTGAACCGAAATACCCTGAACCTCCAGCCATTGCTGTTGGTTTGACCGAGCTGGACATTAGCAAAGAATTCAACGTCCGTATAAAGGCATATGCGGATCGCGTTACGCAAAGCGGATTTGTCATTCATGCCGATTCCTGGGCTGATACTGTTCTTTTCTCTGCCGGAGCTGCCTGGTTTGAGGTTGCCAGCACCGATACCGAATTTCAGATTGGGCATTTCGACACCCTAGAGCTTCGCCCGTGGAATGAGGCCGAACAACAGAATACAAAACGTATTATTTTTGAAAACTCGTTCACGAAGCCTCCCAAGGTTGTGGTCTGGCTCCAGGGGTTTGATATGGATAAGCACAAGTGCTGGAAGATTGCAGTTCATGCATCAAATATATCCAGTGAAGGGTTTGACGTCCATATCGACACTTGGGGAGAGAGCCAACTCTACAGCGGATCTGCGTCTTGGATCGCGTATCCCGCAGACAAGACAGGCATCGTGAGCGGGGTGGTTGATTCTAGTACTTCCCAAGATCAGTCAGTCCAGGGACAATACAAAGGAGGGAGAGTGGACTTTCCAAAGGGGATATTTGACAGAAAACATCGGGTATATTTGGCTATCAAATCGTTCAATTCTGATAATAAGCATGATTTGAGGCTCAAGGCCGTTGCGGAGAATGTCTCCAAAGATGGATTCGATTGGAAGGTCGAAACGTGGAGCAATAGTGTTCTGAATGGCGCAGGCATTTCATATCTGGTAATTTAATCAAAGGTAAATGTCTTTTGTTCTTGAATTTTGTGGTCCTTTCTGGCGATGCCCTAATCTACGGCTCGACTAGCAATTTCGTGTTAATTTCTAGCAATATCCGTCATTTAGTTATCGTCTCATAAATTGGAATCATTTTTCTTTAGTATCATCCTGATAAGCGATATCAGATTCGCCCACGTACGCGCAAAACTGCAGTGTTCTCTGTCGAGCGTTCCAATGCTACACTGATGCCTCGGTCCTTGAGGTTTTTATTGAGGTGCCTCATAACTGCTGGGAAGAGTCGGAACTGAAGTGTGCTTTAGGCAGGGGCAGACAATGCATCCTTCTAGGAACGCAACCCATTCAAGTTGGAATTGGAGCGAGCGTGGCAGATTCGGCAGGCTGCCACGTTCATTCTCGCGTTTTATTTTATCTCTCTCTTCTTAAACCTCCAACATGCCACCAATTTGCTCTATATCAGCTTAAGGACATACAGAGCAAGAGGGCAGGATTGTCTTAGCAATCGAAGTTTGAAAAAATGGGTAGGTGCGGCGCTCCCTTGAGAAATATGGAAAGAAAAAAAATCCCCTTTATTTAGGAATACGAATATTGTCTGGGCTATCCAAGAATGCAGAAAGGACCCAAGGAAATTCAATCCACAGGCCCTAGACAGACCAACTATTTTCATTACCGTCACGTGGATACGGGGAGAAAAAGGATAGACTTTGACGTCCCGTAAATTGTCAGTATTGATTAACGTTTAGCTCGTACCTAGCTGATACCGATTGGTTCCATGACAGTGGAGTATGATTTTGACAGTGAAGAGGAGCTGCGGATGGGTGAACCACGGACGAAATAAGCACAAGGTTACGGATGATCGACGTGCGTCATGTGGCATACCCGAAAGTGGCAGCGTTCATCCACTTCAAACGCTAAATTCTCAATTAACCCGAGGGCAAAAATGGTTAAGTGCTCTGTCGCTCTGGGTTTACAAGTCGGTTTCGGATTCTCCACCGCAACTGAATACGCAAGCCTAAGGGCATTGGGTTGGCTGCTGTTTGAGGCTTCATTAGGCTGCCTGAAGGTATCGCTGTTGTGTAAGATGTGATCATGGTGAATCATTATAAAATGTATGGGGATACCGGAAGTTGTATCTCCGGGTTATGAGATGAACTGAATGAATTTGAATTTATTCTGGCTTCTAATCCACTGTCTACGTCCGCAATATATCGGTCTCTTTTGGCATCCAACATTCAAGATACATATCCCAGAAGATCAGCTTACGTATTTCCAAAAGGCAAAAAAAAAACAGAGATCGGCATTCTTAGCAGAAGCCGGAATTCATGATCGATGCTTACTAGACACAAATCCTCTTTAGGCCGAGTCTCGCTCAACGCACTACGGTTGTCTTGCTTAACCCTATCGTAAGGCAGATTATTTTACGTTCAAGAACGGATACCCCACGCAATGGTGGAAATAACTGACGTGATTTAAATTTCGCACTTTGTTCGTTTAGGATGGGGTTGAGTTATTATGTTCCCAGAGCTACCACAGAATGGCCACGTTGTACGGATGATCAAGTCATTGGATTTGCAACTCGCCGCTTCTAGATGTTCTAGATTCTGTTATTCTAAATGCGGTGCTGTACTAACACAAGATTGCTCTCGATATGACGTACAAACTGAATCGCTCGGTCTAGAACTATAGCAGACATATCTAAGCGCAATAATGCTTGTTGGTCGCAGGCAGTATATAAATTAGAGCCAAATTCCTATCCAACCTCACCAACCTGCGAACAAAATTACTGAAATCACTGAGACTTCTTAATCTAAGATCCGAACACAATGGATGCTACCGAGAACCTACGCATTGCTAAGTCCGATCGAGATACCTGGCTCATGGGTGATTGTTACAACGATGTTACCGGACGCTGGAACTTCGACACCCTGCTACTGGACAGCTGCCTTGGAGACGAAAGAGGTTCGGGATTTGTTTAATTCATCTGATCGTGACTGACAGTATAGTAGGAGAATTTGCTTGGGGTGGCAGCGAATTTACTGAAGATGCCTACAATATCAGATTCAATGCCCATGAAGGTGCTAGTGACCAGCCCATTTTGCGAGCTGAACTGCGGGACTCCGCGGGGCGCTTTCATGAAAAGGATAAGAACTTGTCTGAGCGAATCAAAAACGTACATGGTCGTTTCGAATATCATTGAAATTGGTAGGTGTGACTCCAAGATGATCGAACTTCACTGAAATCTCTAAAGACCTTCAATTATCAGGTCTGAGCCAAATATGCACTTTTTCAAAGTTACTGTCCTTACGTATGTTGTCTTGATCCGATTTGTGGCTGTTAAACTGTTATCGGGAAACACCTCTAATTGGATTGATCTTTAAAAACAAAATCCCTGATTGGAAGGAAACGGTAGTCGAAGTTGTACCGTATTGCCACGAGTAACAATTGTGGTTTTATTGCTCAATATGATGATTGGTCTTCACGTAACCACAACTATTTTGCTACAATTGAATCAACCTGATTTTCCGAAAAGGGACACCCATTCCAACGGGACCCAGAAAAAGTTCAAATGCTGCAAACACACTTAGACCACTGAAAGAGCTCAGCAATCGGAACGCGGACCAAATGGCCACTATGATTACCTGACCGCAATCCTGCTTTTACACCGTATAAAGTACGCGCTCCGCCCACGTGCCAACTGACCCAGTCAGTATGGCCGCGCAGCCTGTCAGACCCTATGGGTCTAGACAATATAGTACCTTTCCTTGACTATATACATATCTATATAACTGAATATCTTAATATCTCTTAATATTTATATAGAAATAGAGAGAAGAACTAACCTATAAACCGAAACCTTACTACTTAATTGTAATCCAAGGGGATAGATTATTAGTATAATATATCTAAGGAAGGAAAGGTCGACGCTTTTATGCAAATAAGGGCGGGTAAGGGCCGCCCTCGAGCGGTCCTCGATGAGGTCTACTGATACCTCGTAGAAGGGAGGTAGATAGGAGATAGATAAGAAAGGGAAACTAAATGGCAAGGTGAAGAGGAAGTCAAACAGATATATAGGATAAATATGTTGCCGTTAAAGGGATATGCTCCTGTTTTGTTAACCACAGCATATGTTTCTATTTTGTTGACATACTACACCAATATATCACCTTCAAACAAACGTGCACGATGTTTGCAAGTTGAATAATATATAAATTAAGCTTATACTAGCTATTTGGATGTAAATTTTTTGAAATGATATAGTATTGCAGTAAAAATATCTACTGTATACTATAAAGAGATATATAGATATCTAGGTAAGTTTCAATCGGGTGGAGTTAAACATCCGTAAACGGCAGTGGATAGATAAACACATAAAGAGGACGCCAAGAAGTGGCAGAGGAAATCATGTTTATAGTGTGGCCCTACGATAATAGAAAATGGTACGCCTAATATTCAACCACTCAAATTTCATGCTTAAAGGCAAATCACAGCAACAGCCTGACTAATAACATCTGATTTAACCACAGAATGTTTTCCAAAAGGGCTGTAGTCAACGTTCGATCTAACAAAACTAAGATGGAAGATTGTTAATCTAAATTCCAGGAATAGAAAGAGAACCAAATTGGAATCAACTGATGCGAGAAAATTACGGTATTGGTTAGACCAAGCCATTCACCTAGCCTCTTGCCCAAAATAGCAAGGCGCGTTAGAAACATAGAAATCATTCTTTCGCTCAGTTTGTCGACGGCCATGTCGACTAATCTGTCAGCTACTTTGCAGGACACGCTAATGGGCATGGTACGGATAGAAAAAATAGGAGTAGTAAGGCACATTTCTTTTGTAAGTGGATGTTTTGTATACTCGGTTCGAGGGTATAGGTTCAACAGACTACGGAGTACCCCATGACTATATAGTTAAGGTCCATGTTTAGCTCAAAGTATAGCATCCTTCATCTTAATTAGATTACTAACCATTGCAAGCTAGAAATAAACCAGAACCCTGCAGCCAATGTTACATGTAGTTGTTAGAGTGCCTTGACAAAGTGGATCAGGTGGAGTGTAGATGGCAGGGCAGTTTTTCGCATTCCTCACCGCATTGCATTGACATTTTTAGGCTGACATTTTTGTTAGGTATCTTTCCCTTATCTTATATCCTATTCTTATGCCTCATATCGCTAACACACCTGAATCATTACTCGCTCGCGCAGACTCGCGGAACCCAGCAACAACATGTAAAGGCATCACCGCGAATGGTCGGCCTTGCCGCCGAGCCTTGGCATCCTCGCAGGGCTCCTCACCCTCAGTGACCCCGAAAAAGGGCAACTACAAAGCGACAAATTTGGAGTCACTGTACTGTTGGCAACATAAAGACCAAGCAGTAGCATCTACGCCATGCGTCAGTTCAATTCCCGAGGGAAATCCTCGGACGAGTATCGATACATTAATGGATCGCCTCGGAGTACTCGACATCAATGATGAATCTGCACCTCAGAAAAAGCAGCGAAAGCAGACCCAACGTCCAAGCAATATGCGTCTAAGCGAAAAACGTCACCCAAAAAAGAAGAGCGCCTTCTGTTGCTTTATAATAGACGAGGAGAGTGACGATGGCGCTTCTTCAAAGCCTATTCAGAAACCCATGCAACAACGTCCAACTGGATCATCAGCATCCCAGACTCCGTATAAAAGGACTCCAAAACCTACCTTGACTCAACACCCAGAAAATGCACGAGTCTCAGCACCATCCACCCAAGGACAAGGCCAAAGCCAAATCCGGCCCCAAGCCCAAAAACAAAGACACTCATCAACGTCCTCCCAAACCCAAACCCTACTATCCTGGATCCCCCCAACAATCTCCCCCGAAACAACCTCAACCCTCCTCACAGAACTAGCCAAACCAATTTCCACAGCCGACGACGAAGGCTACATCTACATGTTCTGGGTAACGCCCCAAACAACAAACACAAGAGGCGACCCGTCCCAAAACCAAAACCAAACCCCACCATCCAGAGATCTAGCAGCATCCCTCATCCCACCAACAACCCCAACAAACAGCACGCACCTCCGGCCCCCAGCCCAGTCTCGCAGCGTAAGTGATGCACTCCGCGCCGCGAAAGATCTCAACGCCCTATCCTCGAACCCGACGTCCACATCTCCCGGCACGATCCGACTTAAGATTGGTCGGACGAGTAACGTGCATAGACGGTTGAATGAGTGGTCTAAGCAGTGTTCGTATGATTTAACGCTTATTCGATACTATCCGTACACGTCGTCTTCGTCTTCGTCTTCGCCGGCGAGGAAGAAAGACAAAAGTGCTGCGGAGATGTTAGCGCCTGGTCGGAAGGTCCCGCATGTCCATCGTGTTGAACGGCTAATTCATCTTGAGTTGGCTAGTTTGCGTGTGAAGGATCTGGGGAAGTGTCCTGATTGTGGGAAGGAGCATCGGGAGTGGTTTGAGGTTGAGGCTGGGAAGGAGGCTCTCAAGAGTGTTGATGATTGTGTTCGGAGGTGGGTTACCTGGGGGGAATCTGTTTGAGATTTGAGATTTGAGATTGGACTTACATATTGGAATTGGTGTGTTTGTTGGTATTGTATATAGCATAGAGATGCATATTGGCGTCCAACATCAGATAGAATGCCATTTTGGACTTTTGCATTTGGTGTAGTGCTTGGAGCTAGATTATGGTTGGAGACTATATAGGTCTACGACTTATGACCGGGCAGATATTCAGTGAGGCGTCTACAGACACAGTATTCGAAGAACCTAGATCTCCTCAAGAACATTCTAAACTCCTAACTACAAAAGGGTTTATAAGTCTGTTCTCAGTGCTATGAAGTATTGGACAAGTTCTTAACAAAACCCTTAATGTGAGTGTGCCATTTCATGCATTATTTGTGTCCTAACTAAGCCTGGTTTTTTTACCTCTTTTTTCACCTCTTTTTTCACCTCTTTTTTCACCTCTTTTTTCACCTTTTTTTTCACCGCCTCTTTCATCTCCTTTTCGCCGATTTTAAAGTGCATCAGGTGAGCCATTTGGATCATATAAATGTGTGGGTGAGAAAGGGCTTATGACCACTTTTGTACTCTCACTTTCTCATTCCAAGCCTGCAATACAATGAATAGTATGTAAGGCGCAATGTTCTATAGTAATAATCTACCAAGTACAAACATATCACTTACAAATAATCCTTAGTACAGGATCCCCCTTCCCAAACCAGACAAGTCAAATTAGGGTACCGAACCAAATAAGCATACCCCGAGACCCCGAAGCCTCGGAGTGATACGGGGTACAGAAGAACGGACTTCGTTTAGACTAACTAACTGTCACGCGTAGATCCATCCGGCTGTAATCTGAGCGCGGGCAGAAAACACCAATTGTATTGGTACATCTTGGCCCTCGCGAAGGCGATCGGTGGTTCGGCGATGATGGCCTATCACGGTGCGGATCTAGTTTATTATTATTCTCCGGGGATCTCGATATGGCTGGTTGCTTGGCTTTAACTTTTTTTTTTTTTTTTTCTTAGAGTTGTCCTACGGTAGTCTGTTAGTACTAGTAGGTTTACATCAATTAGATGAGTATGGAGGTATCAATGTAATGCCAATGTCTAGATTCGTAGATTTGGTATGTATGTCATAAAGACATCTGCTCGTGGCTCATGTACAGTAATCTTTTAGGTACAACAATGATAAGGCTGAAAAAAGGAAGAAAAAGAAAACAGAAACAGAAGAAGCACATCTACCAGCCGCGGCCAGCCAGCTTATCAGCCTCAGGCATCTGCTTGACATTAATACCAACCATAGCCTCACCAAGACCCTGGCTGACCTCAGCCAACATCTTAGCATCCTTAAAGTGAGTAACAGCCTGGACAATAGCACGGGCACGCTTCTTAGCATCACCAGACTTGAAGATACCAGAGCCAACAAAGACACCATCACAGCCAAGCTGCATCATAAGCGCAGCATCAGCAGGAGTAGCAACACCACCGGCAGCAAAGTTGACAACAGGCAGACGGCCAAGCTCAGCAGCCTGGCGAACAAGCTCATAAGGAGCCTCGATCTCACGAGCGAAAGCGCGCAGCTCAGGCTCAGCGTCCGCACTGGCAAGGAGGATACCGCGGGCACGGCTGATCTGAGCATTGACAGTGCGCATGTGCTTAACGGCCTCGACGACATCACCGGTACCGGCTTCGCCCTTGGTGCGGATCATGGCAGCACCCTCGGAGATGCGGCGCAGGGCCTCACCCAGGTTGCGGCAGCCGCAGACGAAGGGGACCTTGTAGCCGTGTTTGGTGACGTGGTAGACATCGTCGGCGGGGGTGAGGACTTCGGACTCGTCGATATAGTCAACACCAATGGCCTCCAGAATCTGTATTGAATCAATTGTTAGTTTCAAAGATTCGTCCACTAGTCTGTAACGTTTTTTTGCCTCCACCGCCACTCCCGTTTTTTTTCTACCCCGTTTGCCCCTCCCCCACAAAATCGATCGGGTGATAGTCACATACCTGGCACTCGACGAAGTGGCCAATACGGGCCTTGGCCATCACGGGGATGGTGACGGCTTCCATGATCTCCTTGATCATGCTAGGGTCGGACATGCGAGCGACGCCACCCTCAACGCGGATATCGGCGGGGACACGCTCGAGGGCCATGACGGCGGCGGCACCGGCTTCTTCAGCGATGCGGGCCTGTGAATTGAGCATGTTAGAGTTGACATTATGCGAATCGAGATCAATTGCTCGAACATACCTGCTCAGCGTTCACGACGTCCATGATCACACCACCCTTCAGCATCTGAGCGAGGCCAGCCTTGACAACGAAGTCATTGCTAGAGGTACCGTTTGTAGCAGCCATTGTGAAGGGTCAAAATGAAAGGAGAATATGGAAAAGAGAGGAATGAAGAAAGTAAGAGGAAAAGAAAAAGGGAATGAGTCAAACGATAAGAAATACAGTTTACCCTCGCCCCAGGCCCACCGGAGTGCCCCTCGAAGCTCCGAGGGTCGTTTCCCGAGGAGATCCTTGAATGGGCCCCGCGGTGTATACCTGACCGCCTGCTTTGTATGGAAGGTTCCAAGCCTCTCAACCTTGGGACTTTGCAAGGTTGCAGCCTGTCTTAGTCACCTTGGCAGACTGGGTAAGTAGACCCGCATGAGCACTTTAGGGCATGTTCGCATAGGAAACTTTAACTTGTCGATCCAGGCACATTACGGTAATTAGCTCTTCAATCAGTGACTACGCATGACCGTTGGTTGTGAACATGAGACCTACTCAGCATATAAGTGAACTACAGTATAAATGTACATAGAAGGCGCCCAGACCAGCCAAGAGAAGCTAACCCAAAGTGGCTTAACGCGTGTAGGTCGTGCCAAACGTCTCCATAGGCGCGTTGACTATGTTGCACTTCCAGACACGCAGATACTCTTGGCCCATATAGAACATTCATTTAAATATGTACATGAATAGTGCATAGAAACTCAATGAGAATTAAACAATTCATACTAGTATAGAATAACGTTGAACTCCCAAAGCCAAATCCAACCCCAACCTATGACATCACCGATCTGGTCATCAATCAAGGGAGCTCTAGCTCCAAAACATCTACATCTACACCCAACACCTCCCCGAACCACCAGCACCCTAATTAATCTCCCCAACTACCAACCCCAAAAATGTCCTTCAAACTATTCACTCAAACACCACACACCCTCCTCCGCCTAGGCCTCAGCCTAAGCATCGGCCTAGGCGCCGCAACTTTGCATCCAACCTCACCCTTCCGCGCTGCACCCTTACAATGCCAATACGCAGCACCCAGCGCCAGCGAAGCAATCTTCAATAAAGATACGGGGTCTGGATGGGCAATTAACAATGGACCATCGGAGTCAATGGCGCAGAAGCAGAAGCAGAAGCAGGGGTTTCTCAATGCCGAGAGCATGAAGCAGGTCAGTCTGGGCTGTGTACTGGGTCTTGTGGCTGGTGTGGGCTTGAGAGCTTTTTCAAAGGCTTTGGTTGTTATTTTTGGGATGGGGGTTGTTCTTGTTGAGGTATGTATATCTATAGATGGATGACTTATACTTTGGTTTACGGGGGTGGTGAGGGGTCAAAGGACGCTACATGCTAACATTGTTACTTTTTGCTTAGTATGCTGCTTCCAAGGGCTACAATATCCTTCCCCTTAATCGCATGCAGAAATATGTCAAGAATGTCGACCTCAAGCGGGCTATGAGCGAGAAGAGGCCGTTTAAGATGAGTTTCGGGGTTATGATGGCGCTTGCTGCTTTTGCCCAGTTTTAGGGTTTAGTTTGCGCATTTGGAAGAATGAAATATCTGTACATACTTCTTATCTGAAGGGAAATCAGTCTCGGCAATCGACTTAGTAATGAGCTGATCTACTGCTGTGATTTGTCCAACTCTCGAATTTGTAAACAGTTCATTCGTACAGGGGGTATCATGAGTCTTGATCTATTCCACACCTACAAGAGAGGAATCTACACTACCCCAGCACCAGATCCTCCAACACACCCTCCATCTCATCACGAGACAGAGGAACACCGAGTATCTCACCACCACTGGCATCCATGCGGGACGTGATCATCTGGTGATCGTGGAATTCCTTCAACAATGTCCGGAACATCATCTCAGAAGAAGCGACAAATTCTTCCGTCGCCTTCTGGTACAGCTGACGGAATTCAATACCCGTGTCATCAGCCTTGCAGCCGTCGGCTGGTGCTTCATCGTCGGACTGGTTACCGTCCTCCATGACAGTGATCAATTCCGTCAATAGGAGACGGTATAGGTTGCGTGCGTTCTCTGGAAGAGACTTCAGCACGAAGCCTACACCCTCCTTGCCGCCGACACGACGACCCTTACGGCCGAGGAGGGAGTGGACTTCTTCGACGACGTCTGCCTCGGCCGAGAAGGGGAGGAAAGTTGTGCAGTCGTGGAAGACGAGGTTGAGCTGGTCGCGGAGACTGATATCCCACATCACTGGGAAGTTGGGCGTATCCGCCGTGACCAGCAGGCGGATGCGCGGTGTAGCAGCCAGACGGGCAAGAAGGGCCTGGTTTGCTGCGCGGCGGAGAGGAGGGGCGTCGATCGAGTTGATCAAAACTGTGACAGGCTGCTCAGTCTCTCCACCGGATTTGAGCGCGGATTGAAGTAACTCTAGGACTTCTGTTGGCTGGGCACCGAGCTTGGAGGGGACATCGTCGCCCATAACAGCTGTAACGATCGTAGCGAAGATCGATCGGATAGAGATACCCGGTGTGTACCCATTGACGATGATGATGATAGACGGTGACGCAGTATTTGACAGGCTGTGGTGATATGTCCAATCGGCAAACTGCTCGACAAGCTTGCGCTTCGATCCATACCCAAATATACAGATATTGAACCCTTCATCGAACTCGAATGCCCACTGCGGGAAAGACCGGTGGTGCAAAGAAAGGAGATACTCCTTCTCATCCCTGCAGGGATCCTCATACAGACCCATTTTCTCGAAATACTCCTCATGCGTCAACAACGAGACTTTGTTGAGATTGGCATTCGACGTCTTAACAGGACCAGCACGGTTCTGGAAGAAATATCGCTCATGCGCAGGGAGTTCACCCTCCGGCGTTGGCGAACGCTTGTTCCTCGCGCCCTTAGGCCGTCCCGCACGGCGCTTAGGCTGTTTTGCACCCTTCTCCTCTACCTCTTCCGGATCAGCTTCAATGCTATCCGCCAACGGCGGAGCTGCTTTCCCTATGTCCGGCTCGTCGCCCTGTAAGATTTCCTCTGCTAACTGCTCCGATCCATCCCAGGCTGCATCCTCATCCTGCTCAAACAGCACACGCGCGCTCTTTTTCCTCGCCGACCGATCCGCATTCTGGACTCTGGATGGTGTAGCCGCGGTTGCAGATTTGGGCTTGGTTGGCGTAGCGAATAAATCACGAGCCTTGGACTTATGAGTTGGAGTCTTGAGACCTGATTCTTTCAGCGGCGTTGCTGAGATGCCGTTGGCCTTTTTCGGCGTTGATTGGTCCCGTGAGGGAGGTAGCTCGTAGGAGGCATCGCCGTTCGGGGGTGGATGCGTGGGCGCGTGGCCGTTCGGGGCGCCATTGGCTTGTTCTAGGGCTGTTCGGCGTCTTTTGGGGGTTGAGACTGCCGGCGTCTCGCCGGAATCTGAGAGCTTGCGCTTCATGGTGGACGGGTCAGAATGGGATCGATGAACGCGAAGGGAAGGGAATCAACAATACCATCAGATCCGGAGAATGTGCACAGGGACGGGGACGCAAGGGTTGGGCTAGCTGGGGGTGATAGACGATGCTCTTTTGCTGAGCTTGCAGGGAGCTGCAGGTCTGACACAGGAATGTAGGGCTTAATTAGAAGTCGAGGAATGGAATCTGGTGTCTGGAGTAGAGAGAGAAGCGGGTGGGTTTCTCCGACTCCGTACCAACAACGGAGTGAAGGACTCGAAAGTAGTGTTGTCTAAACTTTCGATGATTTTTTTTTCTTCCTCTCAAACCTCGACTATATACTATTTAAGGAAAGCCCCCGGATATAATCGTTATATTCATATCACTCATCTTCTTGCGTAGTGGTATTTTTCCCTAGTGACAGCTTTGCAGATACAACTAGGAATGCAAACGAGTCAAACATAAGCATGGAGATTGCCTCTATAAAGCTGTCCACGTTGGACCGGCATTTACTCTGCTCTTTCTTTCTCATTCCCTGGCAAAAGACAAGAATCGCCTACATCTGGGGGGGTTCGATGACACTGAGAAATAACGTCGAAGTTATGGATTATTAATATGTACTTCTCACATATTATAAAAGATTGAAGATCTATAGAAACATTGAACGAATGAGACCACAACCCAGCTATTAGGAAGAGGTAGCATAGGCCTTGACAGGAGGCTCTTCACCAGATCCGGTGTATCCGAAATTGGCAATGTTAATCATACCACCAATGCTCGCCATAGCCTCCATGCCTAGCAGGTCAGTCAATACAAGCCCGAGAGGGAGTCTCCAACCTTCTTTGTATAATTGCGCTTCCTTGTGTATTCACTGGTCCTCCCTTCTCCCCTACTATGCTTCTACAATCTGAAACTTCCAATGCTGGCGCTGAGTTTGCTTAGTCTGGTTCGTATAAAACTTGATTTTCGCTCCTTGGACGACGGGCAAGGATTATAGGGTTTTATAGGCATTGAGGGAGATCCAATCGACAGACATCTAGGTGGAATATATGCTATTGCCGATGGAGGTTCGCTGACTAGAGGTAGCGATTCTCCTCGGTGACCTGGACGATAGAATGACCACAAATAGAGCCTGTAGCTCCACGGCAGTGGCAGTTCTTCGAGCATTGCGGTTTCTTGTTATCCGGAGAGAGGTAGGTATCATGGATCTCCTGTACTCAATTGATGGCTGCATTAGATATCAATCGGCTCATCTCCCAAAGCCTTACTATTTAATCGGTCTGAGTCCATTGTACTACATATTAAGGGTAACTTGCTGCTCAATCTGGATAACCTGGCTGCCTACGGTCTCCCTGATTAATCGGAGGATTTTGTAGAGGTGACCCATAGCCGTCAGAATCCCGCATTGCTGCATGCTCCCCTACCCTGTAGGATGCTGTAGTTAGTTGCACACTCGACTCTATATGTCAAGACCTCTGATTCGCTGGCATATGACAAAGCTTTACGGAGGCAGCCTGGTTAGGAGTTCCAAGCCACAAGCAATATAAGTATCTGTATATTTCTCAATTTCACATTAAGAGCTCCTAAATCCTCGTTTAGTAGCTCTATATCGTCATAGGGCAATAATGCCAAGAGAGAATTATTTAGCGCTCTGCATTTAGGGACTTGAAGAACCTAGTGGCTATGATCTGTGATATAGCTGGAGCCGTATAGATCTATGCCCTCTATGCAATCAGCGCAATTGCATGTATGATTGCTTAACTAGTCATTACACTCCAATCTTTCAGTTTTTGGCTGAGTAGAATGGGATTGCTTCGACATTCAAGACGATGGCGTTTTCGATGTTTCTTTGGCCAGATTGGAGGGTCTCATCTACGTAAAGCAATATCTCCGAAGCAACTATATGTATAGGAGTATTGTAATATCTACAACGAAGACATGTTTAATTTTTTTTCCCTAATAATTTGGGCATTTCTGGTTAATACAACAAATTTGCGACTGGAAACTGTCTATACTGTTGGCACCGGGTTTTGGTCCAGAAAACCGCTCAATTTCACCAAGAAGATATACCAAGTTAGAAATTGAACTGAAGCTTGTCTAAGCTGAAAAAATTGAACAGTTTCCAACCCAATTGCCTCATAGTCACTATACAAAATCTCGTTCCCATACAAGGTGGGCTCATCCCGCGCGGATAAAGCCGAGTCGGCACCGCCGAGACCGGCATCTTTTTTTCCGTTCAGTGACTCAACCAACCATCTTATCTCCAGCTTTATATAGTGGAGAGAACCCGGTCTTTGACATAGGACTCCCACGCACTTAGAGATGGTCCCAACCACTCAGCCCACAATGGCATCCTTTGCCCGCATGGTCAAGGGCCAAGTGCGATGCTACTCCGCACCGCTGGACATGGCCATTCCCGCCTCTAAGCAGCGCTACATCCCCACGAGCGGCTCCTACCCCCAGGGCTTCCAGGTATCTGGCACTCACGTGGGTGTCAAGGCCTCCAACACCCGATTCCCGGATTTGGCTCTGATTGCCTCGGACACGCCGTGCTCGGCCGCCGCCGTGTTCACCACCAACAAGTTCCAAGCTGCGCCAGTGCAGGTCAGCAAGAAGACACTTCACAGCCGCAAAGGAGAGGGCATCCGCGCTGTTGTTATCAACTCCGGATGCGCCAATGCCGTGACTGGCAAGGGTGGTCTGGAAGATGCAGTACAGATGGGCCGCAAGGTCGATGAGTGCAATGGCGTCGAGAACGACAGCTCGCTGGTCATGAGTACCGGTGTCATTGGACAACGGTAAGTCTACATTTACAACCTGCGAAATCCAACAAGCACACACGGTACTAACAAACCCATAGTCTCCCCATCACCAAGATCCTCGACCGCATCCCAACAGCCCACTCAACCCTCGCCTCAACCCACGAAGCCTGGCTCACAACCGCCCGCGCAATCTGCACAACAGACACTTTCCCCAAGCTCATCTCGCGGACCTTCACCCTCCCCTCCTCGCCAAACCTCACCTACCGTCTAGCAGGCATGACCAAAGGCGCAGGCATGATCCACCCAAACATGGCAACCCTCCTCGGCGTCCTGTGCACAGATGCTCCCGTCGAAGCTGCAGCCCTGCAACCTCTCCTCAAGCACGCCGTCTCCCGCTCTTTCAACTCAATCTCCATCGACGGCGACACAAGCACAAACGACACAATCGCCGTGCTAGCCAACGGCGCCGCAGGCGGCGAGACCGTCCGCGCCCCTTCAGCCTCTACTCCCAGCGCAGACTACACAGCCCTGCAAAGTGTCTTAACAGACTTTGCGCAGGAACTCTCGCAGCTCGTCGTCCGTGACGGCGAGGGCGCTACCAAGTTCGTTACTGTCCGTGTTACCAACTCTCCTGACTATGAGTCTGCCCGCCAGATTGCGTCGACGATTGCACGCTCCCCGCTTGTCAAGACTGCCCTTTATGGACGTGATGCGAACTGGGGCCGGATCCTGTGTGCTGTTGGTTATACGCAGGGTGTTGCTGAGGGAACTGTTGTTCCGGAACGGACTTCTGTTTCTTTCCGCCCTGTTGATGGAAGTGCTGTGTTGAAGCTTCTTATTAATGGTGAGCCTGAGTCTGTGGATGAGGAGCGCGCTAGTGTTATTCTTCAGAATGAAGATCTCGAGATTGTTGTTGATCTTGGTGGTGGTGAGAAGGGAGATGCTGGGTGTGGTGGTGAGGATGCTGTTTACTGGTTCTGTGATTTCAGTCATGAGTATGTTACCATTAATGGTGATTACCGGACATGATCGAGGTGCGGATGAGTATGCATTGTTCAGGTTGTATACAAAAAAGCAGTTATTTCGGTTAGACAGATATCGATATCAATCATCTGAGTAATGGCCTATGAATACTCTTGATCAAGTATGTTCATGGAAACAGGGGTCATGGCAATTGAATATATGGTTTTGGTTTTTCTAGAAGATATGGTTACAGGGCTCAAGTAGAGCACTTTTCACTGGCCACTGTCTGCTATGGTCAGACGGACATGGCTCCAATCCAGGCGCAACAGGCAATGCCAATACATTCACCCAAAAAGTATAACAAAATAACGAACAAAAGTGACAAAAACTAAACAGAGAGTTGCAAAGGAACACTAAAATGATCCCAAGTCATGCTGCTCGTAAAAGAACGGGCAGTCCGTTTAGCTGCCGGGGACGAGACCCTTGAGGCCAGCGCCAATGTCACCCTCGCGGGCAGCAATTTCGAAGTAGCCGTAAATGATACTGTGATGGTGTTAGTTTGAGTCAATTGAATTGGAAGACAGGATAACTTACGTGACGGCAAGAAGAATACCAGTACCGCTACCAAGGGCACCGAGGAGGTCAGAGGCGACAGACAGACCACCAATGCAGGCACCACCGAAGGCGGCAGCAGTGGGGATGACACGCTTAAGCTCCTTGTACATGCTCTGCTCACGGTGACCAGACATGACGAGACCCTGATCCTTGAGCTGCTTGGCAACGTCACGGGGAGCGGAGCCGGAAACCTCGATCCAGGTCTTGGAGAAGAGGGCACAGGCAACGAGCATAAAGGTAATGTAGACAGCAGTGTGGATGGGGTCGAGAAGGGCCTCCTTGAAGTTCAGAGGAGGAGACATGTAGTAGGCGATACCGGAGGCAGCGTAGAGCTGAGCGGATCCCTCGCGGGGCTCCCAGACTCCGAGGAGCTTGACAAGGATGTTGTCAGAGAAACGGGAGTACAGCATCTGACTAATCAGGAAGATGTTGGAGCACAGAGCGGACTGCAGCATGATGGGCATGTTGGAGGTGTAGAAGAGGCGGACGGGGTAAGAACCGCGCATGCCACGCTGGCGGGAAGACTTGACGGGGATCTCAACGCGGAAGCCCTGCAGGTAGATGACAGCAGCAAAGACGAGAAGAGTGGCCAAGAGGTTCATAACGTTGGGCAGGTTCTGGCGGTAGAAGGCCTCATACAGGGCACGCTGCTTGTCGGGCCAGGTCAGGAGAAGGTGGAAGAGAGCGATGATGGCACCCTCGAACTCGGGGCCACGGCCGGTGTTGATGGTCGTGGGGGAGAAGGCCTTCCAGACAATGGACTCGCAAATATTGGTAGCAATAAACAGAGAGATACCGCTGCCCAGACCGTAGCCCTTCTGGAGGAGCTCGTCCAGAAGAATGACAACGAGACCAGCAACAACAAGCTGGACAATCAGGAGAACACAGATACCGGCGCCGAGGTCGCTGGGCTGGCCGTAGAGACCAGTCAGGACGTAAACGCAAGCCTGACCGAAGGAAAGGATGATGGCAAACAGCTTCTGGGCAGTCTGGTAGAGCTCGCGGTCGGTCTTGAGGTCAAGGTTGACGTCGATGAGGTGGGTACCGGCAAGAAGCTAGAAAAAAGGTTGTCAGTGCGATTGTCGCATGAAACCGATTGCTGTAATATTGCATACCTGGAAGACCATGCCGGAGGAGATGATGGGGGTGATACCCAGTTCCATCAGAGTACCACGGTTACTGGCCAACATCATACGGAGCCAGTACAGGGGGTCTGAGGTGTCGGAAGAGACGATACCGTAGAGAGGCATCTGACTCATGACCAGGAAGATCATCAGAGTCAACTGTAGCGAATTGATTAGATTCCAAATGTTGCGCTGGAGCAGTTTCGAGGCGACGTACACCAGTCCACATCAACTTCTGGTTGAAGGGCACCTTGGTCTCAGGAGCTGCCACCTCCGGGAGGAGGGGCGTGAAGGGCTTGATCAAGTCAAGGAAGCGTACTATTATCCTCCATCAGTATTCGATGATCCATTGGGTCGATTCGAGACGGATTGTCGCGATCGCGTGCAAGGCGAGGGTTCGGGGACTCACGGCCGCTCATGGTGGCTAACGTCCTCCCAATCCGTTAGATAGAATTAAAGAAAGCTGGGGTCGAAAACCAGCTGAAGGAGTGTGTTGGCAAGAGGAATAAAGAAAAAGAAAAGGGGAAGGGAAGAGGTCGGAGGGAGATGGGGGGAGGAGGGAAGAAGAGGACAGAAGAGGTTCGCTGGCCACTTTTCGCTTCCGCGCTAATTAAGGCCACTTGGTCTTCGCCGCAACCACCTTGTCAGTGACTCAACATAGTACATGGCATCTCGAATTTGAGATCTAGTTGGCTCAATATGCTCTATTTCATTATCCGGAGCTTTTGATCCTATCACGAATTAAGCCCGATGTGCTGTGTGCTCCCAAAAAACATAACGAGCTATCCCCACACTTTAGAGGCCACGGTACTATGAACAATTCAGGGTCTATGGGGTATCCAAATATGCCAAATGGGTGGGAAGTCTCTATTGTGCTAATATACTCGGACATAAGCTCCAATCATATTTAAATCCCGGTAATTTCAATGTTGTATCCGGACACCGGGTCTCGTAGGATCAATAAATTGCATATAGTAGGAAATCCAGCTTCAAGGGCCAACAAGACCCAGACAGTCATCAATGACCACCTCGAGCTCGCCCAAACGAGTTTTGAGACCCCGATTCTCGTCTTTCAAAACGCCCATAACACTCCAAGCCTCTGAGGCTGGTACACCATGGCAGTTGCTGCAATTCGAAGAGGTACCACCGAAAGAGCTACCTAAACGCGTAGAAGCAAGTCCCTTCAAAACGCGATCATACGCCGAGGAACGAGCAGGGGGCGGTGCACTAGTGGCCGCGACCAGGTTCTTCTGGATTGTGGGGGTGGGAGTTGGACCAGTCGGCGTAGACAAGGCGATCTGAGACATATTGGGGGATGGTGCTGCGAGGGTCGAGGTTGGAGACTCAACACCTTCACGCTGGGAGAAGACGCTATCGGCAACACTCTCGTCGCCAGACTCGAACCCAGAGTCGCTAGTGAAGGTGCTATGACTTGCACGCTTGCCACCGCGACGGGGAGTTTGGAGCGCCACGGACGGGACATCGTCATCCTCGTGTACCGCGCGCATAGTTAGACTGCGGCTTCGTGATTCCTCCTTGCGCAGGTTTCTCTCTTGCTCCAGCTCGTCGGCCATGGCCTGCATGGCTTTCTCCTGGTCAAGCACCTTGACCGCCATGCCGTCGAGCTGGATCTTTAGATGATCGACTCTGGCGCGTGTCTCCTCCAACTCCTCTTGCTTTTCATTCTTATCTGCCAGTGCCTGGTGCATGGCAAATGTGCGCTGCTTGTAGGCCTCTTGCATTCGTCGAAGTACCTGGTCGGCATGGTCTCTTAGGGCATCCAGTGCCTCGTTGTCGGTAGCATCCGAGTTGGATAATGATAGGGCTGCGGTAATGTCCAGATTGAGGAACTCGTCGTCTGCAGGTTCAGGGAAAGTAGGTTTGTTCTCTTGTCGCCGTAAGCCGAAGAAGTTGAACCGACTCGTTACTGGGGCTGAGTTCTTTCGCGAATGTGTCATGCATGTTGAAGCCGGACGGACATCCATCCCCGCGCCTTCTAAAGCACCGTTTGGGCCCATCTTGACTCCCAAATCCACAGGGTCTGATTTGCCCTGGAACCAGTCAGACAGGACTCTGGCTCTGGCTTCGAACTTCTTCTTGGGGAAGGTGTCGTTCCAAGGGGTATTTCTCGGGCGGTCTGATATCGTGTCTTCTAAGCCCTCTTCAAAGAGTGGGGGTTGGGCAATGTATTCTGTGTTGGCCCGACGGTGCAGAGGCAAAGTGCGCGTGTTGTTCCGTGAGATTAAAGGAGCTGTCGATCTTGGGGGTGACGAGGTGACGGTCTCGTGCTTCGCGCCATCGGAATGTAGGGTGACAGGCGTGGAAGAGATACCGGACATGATCTGAGGGGAAATCATGACAGCACAGGTGAAATGAAAATGCCGAGTAGCCCAATGTGGCGCTTGAATGCAACGTCTAGATTTAGGGGCTTGTAGGGACACGTTCGAGACTCAGTGCGTAGTGCGTAGTGCGTAGTAGTAGAGATGTAACAACCCCTGGATATGATCAAGGTCAAACGAAGGATGGAGTATCAAAGTAATGTTTCACGTCGAGTTTAATCCTCTCTATGTTTTTGTCGAGAATTGACGTGCAGGAAAACAGAGGGGCTGGGGCAACGAAATAGCGGTGGCTGAAGAGCTCTCTCCACCTCCACGATCCACCAACTCTTCCTTTGCAATCTGATTGCCAAATAAAAGCGATTGCTCGCCACGCCACATATTGCTGCGGGTTGTTGTCGTCAGTTCTATTTACGTCCGCATGGTTTAGGATCTGCGTCACTGCACGTTCTCTGCATCGTCATGGCTCCCACCAATCCCGGGCTGAAGCACCTGTCCAACGCCCTAGCGACCCCCGACCAGCTATCAAACTCCTCGTCCTCGATCGATGGTGTCCCAGCTGATCTCGAAACCTCGATCCGCTGTGCAGGTGCCCAGCTCACTCAATCTGCGGGCATTCTCCTGCACTTGTCGCAGGATATCATTTCGCAGGCCATTGTGCTTTTCACGCGTTTTTGGCTCGGAGCTGATGGCGGCAGCTTGCGAATCTACTCAGTGAAGGTACTTAAAGTTCCAATAATCCTCAAATCTCTTTCCTTGTCTGCTAACCGGACCAGGATGTCTCAGCTGCAGCTCTCTACCTAGCGGCCAAGCTTTCATTCCTACCCACCTCCCCGCGCTCCGTGCTCAACGTTTACACCCTACTTCTCTCACGGGATGCCTCGCCCTTGTGGTTTGTGAACCCAAAGGGTGCCCCTGAGGACCCTCCAGCTCCTGAGACCTACATCTTGACAGAGGGCGGTTACCAATCAGCCCGGTTGGTACTTCTTCGCATTGAATCGGTCATTCTCCGCACTCTCGGCTTCGATACGCATGTCGCCCTACCACACACCATTGCATTGACTTATCTTCAGACTTTGGGTGTGTCAAAGCCTGCTGTTGCTCAACGTGTCGTACAACACCTCAACACCGCACTGCTCTCGCCCCAACTGCTATATGTCACCCATCAACCCAATGCCCTAGCCGTCGCTGCCATCTACCTTGCTGCGCGTGAGGTAGGAGTCAAGCTTGTTGACGGCGACTGGTGGGAAGTCTTCGATGTTGATCGTGAGGAGCTGGGCTTCTTGGTCGTGGGCATGCAAAGTACCGAAGGGTTCATGCGGGCCGAGGCCAGCCAATGGAAGGACAAACTCATTCCTATGGTCCCGGATGAGGTTGACGCTGAGCTTGAACGACGCCGAATGATGCAAGAGGGCGAATGAACTCAGGATTGAATCGTGTTTCAAATCCCCAATTATAGGACAGAGGCGAGGTGGACAGCTCTTGTAAATGCCATGATCTACCTATGCATCCAGCAGATGCAGCAATGATCTTTGGCAACCCAATCTGGTCGAGCAGCCTCTGTTTTTGTGAGAACATGGTCCAGTTGCTCAAGGTGTTCTTCCTGTGAACCACTGCGTGCTCAAAACGACCAACCCGTCTATGGACATGGCCTATGTGATACCTCAGCCAGGAAACTAGCTGCTCAAGTGGCACTGGCTAACTTATGGGTCATATGAGCTCCAGAATCCGGGGACTCCTGCTTCAATACCTCGCACACTTGGGCTCTGGTTTGACTCGAGCACGCTCTATAGCTTGCTTGTATGTTGATATCAATACATAGCTACCCTCAGTCGTGCAACCGATGGCAACTCGTAGTAATTTACGCCTATGGCAGTAAATTTAGTCAGTGAACTACGTTATTTTTACGCAAAGTGATTATTCTATTGGTGTATAAGAAGGGACCTCTAAGTAATACAACACTATCCCGTCATAGCTAAGGTTGGCAACATTCAAAAGTATCCAAAAGGATAAGGGAAGAAAGGCCAAAACGGTAGGGCAGTCGAAATGTGGGCAGAAGGGCAACTTGTCTAGCGGAAACCCGAAGTATCGCATATACATTCATAGCAAGACTCGAGCCCGTTCCCGGGCTTCAAAGACCACAGGAAGACACAGGTCAGCGAGTCGACACGCTTCTGAGTAAGAAGAACGACAAAAATCTCATGGATGAATGCTTCCAAAGCCTCTTGGATTTCTTCATTCGCGCTTTCTAAGACACGCAATCTCTTCACAACATCAACAGTCATCTTGCAAAGCTTACGCAGGAATTGCATCTCCGTCAGTCCTTCGGTTTTGGCGGAATTATCGACGAAATTCCACTCTTCACCTTCGAAACCCTCCTTATACAAGGGCATGATATCGTTCAAATAGTAGGTACACTACATGAGATATGGAATGTTGGCATATAGTCAGGGAGATTATCTTCGCGGCATTGCGGTAACAAGTATACCATATATGCGTGGCATTCAGAAATTCGGGTTTTCATTCGAAAGTATTCAGGCAAAGCAGGGGCCTCTGGGGGGAAGTCTACCTTCTTCCCGCCGTCAACTTCGAGGTAACATCCTCCGATGAACTGCGACGTATCTTTGATCATCCTCTCTCCGGCGAAATGTTCAAATGTCGATGGATGGAACTTGTCGGAAGTCAACAAATGATTGGAGTACTTTGTTCCTCTGAAAAGTACCGCTAAGCAAGCCCGTACTGAACTCTTCCAAGTTTTTCTGGAACTCAGGTTTATGTGCATAGTCATCAATGATGGCGACGTATGTGCTGTAGACCGCAGTCATATATCATCTCTCAACGGGCTTTGTTTGGTACGGTGTGATCGCTATACCAACGCCGGTTTTGATGGCCAGTGCAAGTTTCAGATATTCGTTTGAGATACTAGATCTTTCAAAATGTAGTTTTACATGTTCTATCAGAGCTAGGCCTATCTTCAAATGGGGAGGCTTGTATCCGATGTTGGAAAGAAATCCTTGGGGGACTTCAGCTAGCTCTGCTTGTACAGAATCATAACCAGCGAGTGAGTGCTCCCAGATGGTGATGAGAAATCGTAACAGAAATGTATGTGAAAAATGAGTTGACCCATAACCCAACGGGCTCATGCTGGCTTTATATTCTTGGGGATAGGACATGGTGGGGGTAGAGCTCAACACTATCAACAACCAAGTCTCATGCATGGACGGATTGGTAGAAAGACACTAACGATATCCTCGGTGTAAAGGTGTGGTTTATGTTTCCACCCCCATCCGTCTAGCGTGCTATAGTAATAAAGTATAGAGCGCAGCTAGTTCCCCATTGTATGACGTTGACAGGGAATGTGAGTGGGTCATGCTGCGTGTTTTTGAGAGGAATAGCTTGCAAGGGTATTTCAATCTACGGATGTGTCCTATGAGTGAGCAATTTATTATCTTACAGTGTTTATGGTCTACAATATGCATGATGATAAGGCAGAACCCACTAGCCCCTAGGCCATGACATGAACGGGGAGATCGCGCTATGATCTGCCATTATAGGTCTATCGATCTTTCAATCTCAAGAAGCAACCCACCGCCCGCGCCTGCAGTAATAAAGTGTGGCTTGTCCGTCAAGATATAGGATTCTTGGTATTGAACTGAGTTTCTCGCGGGTATGCACATTCTACCTGCAGTAAAGCTTTTCTCGTGGTGGATAGGATGCTTAACGTAGCATCAAAGCTGATCTTTCGTCCACTTCGCCCTCACCTAGTATATTGGCGTAACATGCACAGTTCCATATCTCCTATGCTGATAGATGTATCCGTAGACATCAAGTCGTATACGGGACCCTAGCCTGTATTTAAGTCATATCTATCATTGAAAAGAATGAACGGCACAGGGATATAGCACAACTTGCGGTGCAACCAGATTCTAAAAGCAGAAATATGCAAACAAAGGCCGACTCTTTTTTTTCTCTCAGGTTATGTTCTGTACCCAGAGATTTCAATTTTTGATTTCCTCTATGTACACGCGATCAAAAGTCAGATGTTTGTTGATCTGTATATATCTGATCTTTCATCTTTAGATCACACCGGGAGGTGAGAATCTTGAAGTAAGTGAGATATATATAAACAGAGACACAACGTTTAAAACCTCAAAATCTGACCCCTAAAAGATCACAAAACTAACAGCCCTTGGTCAAGTAGACAAGAATGCGAAGTAAAGTTGTCCGAATGACGAAGCTCACGCGGGGCGGATCATGTGCTCCACCGCTTATCACTCACCCCCCATCTTCCATTCAGACCTTCACCATCTCACATATTCAAAAGAAACCATGAACATCCTACACTCAACACTATCAACCTGGCGGGACCGCCTAGCGCCAGTATCGCGGACCTCAACCTTCCGAAACACCGGCCAAATTACCCCGGAGGAGTTCGTTCTCGCAGGCGACTACCTAGTCTACAAGTTCCCCACATGGTCCTGGGGTGACGCCTCAAGTCCAGCCAAGCGAGTCTCCTACCTACCAGCCGGCAAGCAGTTCCTTGTTACTCGCGGCGTGCCCTGTCACCGACGACTGAACGATAACTTCGCCGGCGATGCGGGGCTTGAAGATGAGATCGTGAGGGATTTCTTGTCTGGCGGTGACGGCGGGGAAAGTGCTGCCGACGGAGAAGATGGCTGGTTACGCACCGGTGGGGGTCGCGATACTGTTGCCGATGCGGATAAGCAGGAAGCTCGCATCCGCGATGTGCGGACGGTCGATGAATCTGGGAATCTGGGGGAGCAGGAGGACGATGATGAGATCCCAGATATGGAAGATGACGATGATGACGAGGAGGCTATCATTCGAGAGCCGGCTGGCCAGGCCGGGACTACGCAGTGAGTTTACATCTCTTTCAGTTTCCGTCGCGATTATTCTGACCTTGAGATAGACCTCTCCGCACTTACACGCTCTATATCACATACTCTAACTTCTACCGCACACCCCGTCTATACCTATCCGGGTATCTGTCCCCATCAGAACCACTTCCACCGCATCTAATGATGGAAGATATCGTCGGCGACTACAAGGACAAGACGGTAACACTAGAGGATTTCCCCTGGTTCGAGGGTAGTGTCAAGATGGCCAGTGTACACCCCTGCCGCCATGCATCCGTGATGAAGACGCTCCTCGACCGCGCCGACGCGGCACTCAAGCTGCGCCGGGAGAAGATCAAGCAGACCCAGTCGCGCGAGGAAGCAAACCGTGTTCTACGAGCTGGCGGGAACAGCGGGCTAGAAGGTCTGGTGGATGAGACGCAGGCCCTCTCGCTCGGTGAACAGCAGGCACAGCCCGGCGGGGATGAGTGGGAGATGCTCCAGCATGACGAGGACGAGCAAGTTGCCATTCGGGTGGATCAGTACCTAGTTGTGTTCCTCAAGTTCATTGCTAGCGTGACGCCGGGCATTGAGCATGATTTCACAATGGGGGTTTAAAGACCGGTCGAGAGGAGTTTGTTTTGATCCGGTCCTTGCTTCCAGGCAACTTTATTCCGAATAGATTGGATGCGACTATCTGGGCGTCAGACCTGGTGATTTGATCGTTTCAATTCCGAGATACGATATGCATGACAACACACGAGTTTGGGCGTTGATTACTTCTGGGCACAGGAACAATTTCCGTTTATCTTAGTTTCCTTGTTATTGGATGTGCTTTTCTTACGTATCACCTCTAGTGGGTTTGCGCAATATCCCATTCCAAGGATTGCAGTCTGTTCTCTATCAAACTTTCTAGAAGATGTAGACATGTCACATTGCGAGATCACAGGTGCAACCCCCTGGCGTCAACCCCAAGATTTGGCTGAACGCCACGGGAGATCATCGGATCCACACAGATTAAACTTGGCAGAGAACAGTCCACAGCAATGCGCATTGCATTGACAACTTATAATTGATTTAGGAGCTAGCTGGTTTGGACTAGCATTTTTAGACTTCATCACATCGGACCACTGGAAGTCTACTATTACAAATCTTACAAACAGACCAAGTATCATATCAAGAGTAATATATTCGAACTCGGTCAAAACAAAGAACCAAACAAAACTCAAAAAGGAACTCCGAAAAGTGCGAAAGCACGCCCGAGCGCCTGATATGAATCAATTGCATAGCTCCACAAATAAACAGATAGATAAAAGGAAATGTTCCAAAGGACAGTAGTAGGCGAGAATAAGTTAGTAGGTAGTAAGTAATAAACCAAGGATGGGCTCTCGTCGAAACAAGCACAGAAGATACAGGGAAATCTGAGGGTGAGTACACCAGCCAGGATAAAGACAAGAGCAAAACATTATAAAGGATAATATCGCAATCCATAGAAAAAGTAAACAGGAAAAGGAAGAGAGGGAAAAGCAAGGTACAAAATGTCCGCGATCAATCATCAAAGCGATTAATCATGAGAAAAAGCATGCACAAGGTAAACCCCGGATCTGTAGCTGTCCAGTCACTGACAGTGGACAGAAAGACAGGGGATAACCGGCGTAATCTGCGTATTATGTCGTCTTCGTATTGGGTAGCGTGGCTGTGTTACTATAGACCGGCTATGCTTCTAAAGATGTGATCTAGTAGAAGAACGCCAGGACGAGAGGAAGAGCCACGGCCAAGATGGACGAGCCTGGGGCCATGGAGGAGGCACCGTTGAAGACGGGCATAGCAGATGGCGCGGGAGAAGCGGAGGGAGCAGGGCGAGGAATCAGCGGGGTGGAGTGCTGAACGATTGGGACAGCGGGAGCCCAGGCGGCGGCGGGAGTGGTTGTTGGGATGGAGATGGGAGTGGTGTAAGTGGGAGGGAGGAAAGCCGGAGCGGACATGGTAGGAGCAGTAGGAGCGGGAGCGGGAGCCATGACCGGGGCGACCGGGGCGGGAGCTGGGACAACAGGAGCGGGAGCGGGAACGACAGGCGCGGGAGCAGGAGCCATTGGGGGCTCGGGGCAAGGGTAGCCGTCGTGGTGGCTGTACTCGCCATTGCCGACGTTGACGGACGGACCGCCGGGGATGCCAACGTCGACACCTGCGCCGGCATGGTGGTCATCGCCTGAGAGGGGGCCGCAGGGGCCGCGGTGGCTATCGTGGTAGCCGGCACCGGCGTTCACGAAAGGTCCGCCGGGGATGCCAACGTGGACGCCGCTGCCGGCTCCAGACTCGCTGTTGCCGAGTCCATCGTCGGTGGTGGTAGCAGGGTGATTGAACAGATCAGGGACTGGGAGTCCGGGGATCTGGGGAGCAGAGAGGACGGTTGAGGGGGCGAGAGCCAGGACAAGGCACATCAGGCCGGAGAAGTTGATAGTGGAAGAGACCATTGCTGCGATTGTGTTGGTTTTGTTGGTTGATTGGTTTGATAGAGAATGTGGTTGTAGAGTGAGTTCTTGAAAGACTGAACCCGAAGATTAAAAGTTTGAAAGTTTGTATAGAGAGTTGAAAGAGTGATTGGAATGAAGAGACAGAAGAACGAGTGACTGTCGAGAGAATGATTGTTTGATGAGGATGAGGAATAGAAGATGCGGCGCGCAGGATGGTCCTTATGTAGTTTTCCAACACCCACGCAAATCAGATATTGAGGGGCACCGTGGGAAGATCCAAGGGCTAGACAGGAACCGATAGGAACCGATAGGGAGAGTTCTGCAAGGTACGAACCATAGTCATTTGGTGGCACCCTAAAAAAAGCCACAAGGGCAGTGATCAGCAAGGCACCAAACAAAGGGCAACGGCAGTTACCGAGATAGGAATCATGAGAGACATCAAATCTAGGCTCAGGGAGAAAGGAAATTGGCGCAAATGAACAAGCTGATTTGTTGGAAGGGAGGTGTAGCTTTGGAAGCCAAGGCAAGCCCTAAACGATGAACAGGAAGCTTATGCATGACCCCGAGTCCGAGCCCGAGCATCCGAGCTTTACCTCAGCTAGGATAGGATATGCAAGACTTTCACAATTGAATCGCGTGGGCAATATGGAGAGCAGCAAAAACACGTGGAGTCGAATTGAGAAAGGTTGCAGAGTTGCAGCAAGGGGTCCCCGGATTAAGGCACACTAGCAAAGACATTAAGGCACACTAGCAAAGACACCAAGATCCCCTCCACAGGAACAGCTTTGAAGGGACCAATCAGGACATCGAATTCAAGTCAATTGTATACATATCACACGCAAGGAACTCCAATATCAACCCAGGGGAATCCAAATGCAACTTGCTAGGGCCATGTTTATCTGTCAAAGTAAGACACCATGGAGTAGCCCTGGAAACGGGGACAAATTTGGAAGAAATCAGAAACATGCATTGCACATATCGGCATAGATCATTATCTCGTGGGATGTTATCGCCAAAAGAAGAAAAGAAATTGGTAACAAGATGAAGTGGACATGCATGCATGCACCAAGATGACAAGAAATGACAACATGCACAACAGATGCACAGGAGCAGGAAGACAGATCACAAAGCAATCAAAGTACAGATGAGGAAGAATATGCTCTTAGACCTGACCGACATTCGATATTCCAAATGCCGTACCAAAGTTGGTAGATTTCTTAAACTTGATCTCAGGCTCGCTCTCGTTTTGGTTAGGCTGTTCCGGGTCGGTCTCGTTAGGATCGGCCGATTCAACTGAGCTGCCTAGAATATTCTTTGCCTGATCAAGGAGTTTCTGATCTAATTCACTCAAGAAATTAGAGTCATGTTCTTCCTCGTTAATGAGACCAAGGGGCCCCTTGAGAGCGGGATCCTCTGGTACTTCCGGAAAGTAGGATATCTTGTTCTCAGCAGGCTGATGCACATTGGTTGCCACGGGCGCGAGAGGGCTTTCCTCGTTCTCCAGAGGACCCTCGAGGGGAGACCCATTCTTGGTGGATTGCCGGCTCTCATCCACCTCGATGATCGCCATCGGGGTGTGACCTGCATCGCGGAGTAAATTCTCATTGGGCCGGCCGAGTTCTGACAGCTTCAGTTTGAGACTGTTTCGATGTTCCATCCCGGGCCTTGCAGCCGTTGAAGGGGCAGTTCCCCCAGGGGAGGTAACCAGGGGCGACGGCGAGGGCGGGGTGATCACTCGAGCGACGACCCCAGGTGGCAACGCGGTGGATTTGAGCGTGATGCCATCCAACGTGCTGTCAAGCTTCTCGATCGGCACGGGTTGACTCAGTGTCTCGACCCGCGATTGGGGTGAAAGGGCCCGATCAAGGGACGGCGGGCTCATCCCACTCCCTTCGGAGATCGGCAAGAGGTGATTTTGCTCGGGAGAGTGATCGCGGAATACCCTTGTTGGCCGACTACCTGGACTTGACCCCTCCCACACTTGTGCTGTGAAGTCGTTGCCATTCAAGTGCGATGCGCCCAGCATTAGCCTTGCGGCATCCGGTCCCAATTTATTTGTTTTGCTTCCTTGGCCCTTGAGTGATGATTCCAATTCGGCGATTTTCGATCGTAACAGCGCCCGTTCCTTGTCCCATAGCCGTCTTTCCTGCGCGAACAGTGATCTTTCACCCTCAAAGTGTACTCGTTGGCTCTCGAGGAGCGCTCGCGATTGGTCGATGTAGGCGGTATCCATAGCGTACGGGGTCCCTTGGACTGACCGGGCGGCTTGACCGTGAAGTGTAGGAATAGCGGCTGAAACTGATCTTGTGCGACGAATAGGGGTATCGGTCGGGGAGAAGCGCACTTCTTTGTAGAGACTTCCGTGGCCGTCTGGTAACTTTGATGTCTTCATGACGGCGAGATTGTTTTTCCGAAGGGAAGTGCGATAAGGCGATATATCATATACTGAGTGGATCTCGGCCACCTCAGAGCTTCGCTGTCTAGTGAAAGAAGCGGTCAATCACGATGATTCGGTGTGCTAACACGGGCCGAGTTCATGTGAGGTTCGCATGTGAAAGTTCGTTGGGCAGGCTTGGGTACGGAGCTAGGGTAGGGTAGCATAGGTAGCCCAGGTAACTGAAGGTAGAGTACAATACTTTGAAGAACGGAGAGACAGACACCGGCTTAAGTATGGGGAAACAGTCCCCACACGGGGAAATGAGGAGAGAGTTGCAATGAGGAACTCTCCGTGAACAGATGCTATGACGTCAAGGTATCTATACCTCCGCACTAAGGCATATATCAGATCATTCCAGGATATGAACAAATCTATATTATATGACTATCATCTAGTAAAAGAACTCCTCCAAACAAGTACGCACCTTAAACATAACCGCAAGTTGCGCCAGAGATGCTCCCAATGATATATGCCCTTCTCAATGGACGTCATGGTGCATAAACTAGCACCTGTCAAACCACGAGACCAATCCCCAAAAACAAACGCAGAAAAAGCAGGCTTTGAGAGACACCCAAGCGCACAAGATGCAAAAAGACAGACTCTCATCAGAAAACAGATGACGTGGACCAGTGACTTGGCAAAGACTTCTTCGAGAAGTCTGAATACTTCCTCGAAAGTGAGCAGTAGACAGGCGACCTAGGTGGTGATCGACTCCTCCAAACAAACTGCTGAGCCTCTTCCAAAAGCCGCTGATCAGCATTTGGCAACGGGAAGAAACTGATATCCCGACAAAACCTAAATCGCATAGCAAGATCCAACACTCCCCTCGCGGTGAGATCCCTCCCACCGACATTAGCAGAGGGATAATAAAAGCGCGGATCAAGATAAAACAACACACTCCGCCACTCAGGCAATTTCTCAGCAAGCAGCCTGGCCGCGAGCTCATACTGCTTGATAGTCCGCTTCGGCACGCCAATCTGCGTATGAACGAAGAAGAAGACCTCAAAACCGACGCTGCGAATGCGCGAGCGAGCAGTTGCACTAAGCGTATCAAGGAAGTCGCCTAATCGATCTAGGTTGAACGAGTTGCGGAAGAACAGCGTGTGCTGCGAGTACAGGTAATCTTCTGCCTCATCGTGGATTTGATGATTTACAGCAAGCAGCTTGCGCGCTGTGCCGTCTTCACCGACCCAACTTGGACTCATTGAAAGAGCTCTGTATTGGCCGCGGGCTGTGAAGGCTTTGCCGCGATCGTCGACCACTATCAACGGCTTGTTCATATACTCGTTTGGTACTGCCAAGGCATATTCGTAGATTTTGAGACGGAGTTCTGCTGGTAACCGGAGGAGATGTGGTGTCAATGATGACGGATTGGATATTTTGAATGATCCCATCTCTCCAAGACTTGCTTGCAGGAGTAATTGAAAATATCGATTTCGTTGATTGTCGCTGGCGATGCTCCGAATATCGGTGGTACCGCTCGGGAGTATATGTAGATATTTGTCGCCACCGTCAGAATTTTTTTTCCAGACTCGAAAACGAGAACTTTCAGGTACCGAGAGAAAGGTTCAGTTTAAGATCAATGCTTTATCCCTGACTAGATCGATAGACCAATAGATCAAACTTAAAGTATAAAGTGGTTCTAGAAAGGGGTTATAAAACTTTCCACTTTCTGAGTGTCAGACAATGTGATAAGAGTCCAACATACAAGTATCAGACAATGCCACCCGGCAGACAACGACATTTATACGAGAACATCTGATCGGCACCTCCGTGGCCGCCCACTACATCAGCTCACTTTTCGCCGAGGCGGGATTACGTCCTGAAAGTTCTTCGGCCAATTCGACTGTATCGGCATCTGGTCTCCACCAATCGCCCGAAGACCCGGCAAGGAACCCGTATATCCACAATGATGTTATATGGAAGGGTTTTCGAAGATTTTGAGAAGCTATAGAGGATTGGATCGGTGGCACGCCGATAATGACTCTGAGTTTTGCCCCTTTTTTATACTTGCTTGCCTTGAGCTTGGCATGCCGCAGATATGCTCCTGAGTTTAAGTAAGGATATCTCAAGGGCTGATCATTTGCAAATCAGGTGGCAATCGGGCTCTGAAAGGGACAAATTAGGGATGACTGGTAATTATACTTGTACACCATTCCCATACTTGGAGCTGTACTACCGCTGGGCTACACGACGTCACTTAGCCACCTGCCCATGTTCACGATCAGAGTAAGGAGACTTTGGTAGTCCCTTTTCCGTAGCATCCAACCCTGACCCACACAGTGGAGAGTTCGTTCACACGTGGAATACCCACTATGAGACTGTTTAGCGGCAAAAGGAGCCATCTATCTTCGCACTCAATTCGGTGACTTTGCGACGTAGATTTTTGGCTGTTTCAGAATTCGATAGTAGCAATTGATGTAGTCCAAAAATTATCCAAGTAGTAGTTCTATTATAGACAGCAGGAAAAAAAAACTCCTGAAGAAGGGCTGTTGAAAACTTGGGCTTATACTCTGTACAGTGACTCCAAAGTACATAAAAAGCCGACCCAAACTCTTTATGGAGCCGAAATTCCCCATTAAAGGGTTGGCGTAATACATTCATCGCGACCCCTACATGCAGCGTGGTGTACACAACATGGTCGATTTCCTCTTTCAGCTGCGTGCGTGATACATGCTGTGCGCTACATCAGTGCAGAAATTTGACCCCAGTGACGACGCAGGTAAGCTGAATGCAATCATGTCCAACCTGATCTTGCAGGATATTGCATTCCGATATACTTAGGAGCGTTTACGATCGCGCCTATCGGGCGTGATATAACTTTACATTATCGAGGTGGTATGTACTCTCGAGGTTGTAGTGTGCTGGTCCGATCGCTAGGTATAGAGAATGTCGCATAGAGTAGCCGGGCAGATCTTAAATAGAGTCCATTGGATACGTCGGTGTTGCGCAGGCCGTACTCGCTGACAGCGTCTAAGTACACCACGCCCGATCAAGAACCAAAACTCAACTATGCATAAGTCCAAGATGCAATGTATTATCTTTAAACGCCAGTGTAAACTAAGCAAAAAATAGCCAGAACAATCAAGTCCTAATTTCATCGCTGTCTATACACACCAAGAGACCAAGCCGCCCGCAGGACAGCCAGACCCCATGCCATGCCAATGCTATCTCGGAGAACATTCAACTTGCTCCCCTTAACTTCCCTCCAGCCAATGGGTACTTCAGCGACAGGGATGTGTGCAAACTCAGCCAACATAAGCATCTCGACATCGAAGATCCAGCCTTCGGAATGCATGTACGGCACGATAAACGGCAACGCAGAGCGCGAGAACAGCTTGAAGCCGCACTGCGTATCCTTGACCGTAGCAGTCTTAGGAGGCGTCATCAACCACAGGATCAAGTGGAAAGAATGCATAAGGAAGTTGCGTAGTTTAGATCGCTGCAAATAGAATCATTAGTACCAATATCAAGACCAGGAAGAATGAACAAGGATGCAATATACCTTAACAACAGCCTCACTCCCAACCATATGCGCGCGCGAACCAACAGCCACACCGCGCCCACGCGCATCCTCGACATCCCGACACGCCCCAACGAGCTTACCAAGATCATCAAATTTACTCGCGCCATCCGCATCCGCGAAAACAACATATTGACCACGAACATGGCGCATGCCATGCGTAACAGCACCACCCTTACCCCGGTTCTGAGACAGGTTCACAACCCGAATCGTTCCAGGTGGGATATGCACGCCCTCAGAAACTTGAGGTGTCCACGGCCCGGCATTACCCTTGGGATGAAGCGAGAGCTGGTGATCGCGCGCAAAGCGGAAAGCAACTTCCTCTGTGCGATCTGTGGATCCATCCGAGACGAGGATGATTTCCCAGCCGCGGTCTGGCGTCGCAGCGTGGCCGTTCGCGTCTCCGTTGGTGGTGGTAGATACTGGTTTACGTTTCCGCATTGATCGTGTTTCAATCGCGCTCGTCTCGCTCTCACTACCATTGGTTTCACGGGTTGTTGCTGTGCCGTACATGCGTTCGAGGTAGTTGACAGTTTCTTCCAGCATACCGGTTAAACGATCTTCTTCATTGTAAGCCGGTACGACAACGGACATGAAGAGCTCTGCCGGTTCGAGGAATGGAGCGGGTGCCGCTTTGGTTTTGCGATCGCCTCTTTGGAGTTGCGCATCTAGGCTGTCGAGCCAGCAGGGAAGTGGTTGGGGTTCTGTGACCGAGCCATCTTTGGCTAGGGTTCTATACTTCTTTTCTTCTGGGAGGGGGAGGCGGGGGGATGGCGCGACGAGGTAGATGAAGAGGGAGAACTGGGAGATTTGAATGTCACGTTAGCGATTTGCAATTGCAATTGGGTTTGGTCTGGCGCGGGCGTGTCTGGAATGGGATACGGTACTGCGCGGCGCGCGCTGGTACAACAAGCGGGATGGAGGGGTGTGTGTATTTTGTACTTACCAGGACAAAGAGACCTAGGAGGGTAGCTAAAATTGTGACGAGTAGGATTTGGATTGGAACTTCTGCGACGGTACTGACGCATTGGCGACAGATCTCGCCCCAAGCTGTCGCCATGGCGAGCTAGAGCCAGACGGAGACAAAGGGAGGATGTACTGGAGACTTGGGTGATGCCTTAGAAATGACATTCACTTCAGCCGAAAGGGAAATGTTCAATTCATAGGAAGGACACGTAGAATAGAGGAACTCTGCGGGTGAGGGGGAGAGGGGGAGGAATGAATGTTGCATGTAATCGCCAGCTTGGCCTTTTATCGGCAACGCGCAAGCTGCACCCGAAATAACCTGCGCTCCACTGCCGGGAGGAGCTACGTTTTTTAGTAGATACTAGTTGGCTTCTGAAGATGCTTATTCGTGGGTATTTGTTGGTGTTTTGCTTTTCGGTTTTGTTTGTCGTTTACTCCGTACTGAGTAGAATAGGATTGTTGTCTACTCCGTACGCGAATACATAGATCGGTTACCACTTTAGGTAAAATGTAACCCTCAATTGACATGAAACAGAAGTCAAGCTTCATTTTCACAGGGTGATATTATAAGAGTAGAAGAACTATGCGAAACTATCCGAGGCTCTTGCTACACGGTTGACGATGCAACCCGAGGAAGATGTCGTCAACATGCCAGTGAACGCGAGTACACGACATTCGGAGCCCATATGGCCATGCGTAGTTCTGCAATCCAACTCTAGATTCTTTCCACGGGTCAGTAGAGGGGAAGCTAATTAAAAGCTATGGAAGACAGCCCTGAACCTTCCCATCCACATCTTTTTCTTCCCTTTCTTTTCTAGTGTCTTCCTACTTCTTTGAAGCTCATCTGTAGAGCTATTTATCCTTGTCCTTGCAATGGTCTCTTCTGCCAACGCATCTGCTTATCCTCGCAAGCAGTCAAGGCTGAATTCCTTGCAAAATTCCCAAGGGTGACCTGTCTGGTCGTCCTAAAAAGAAGGTGTTCCAGGTTTTTCACATTCTGCAGTAACCCAACCTGGATAGGTTATTGCTGGCATCCTTGTAGGTTCAGAGTGAAAATCCCAATGTCACTGCAAGCGCATAGCTCAGTCCATGGGAGACTCCCGCGGCCATTAAAAGACGCAAAGTGGCAGTCCACGTTGGAGAGTCCTAGCATCATAGAATCCAAGGCCAAAGAAATAACAATTTTAGTCCTCGGATTTCGAGAACCCTGGCGGAAATTCATTCCATGGGATGGTCCAGGTGGCCTTCGTCCGGGAGGAATCTGAGATCTGGCATCTGAGATCTGATATCTGTCGTGTAGTCATGGAGACTATGAATATCGCTGCCTGGTAACGAAGATAACAAAAGAAAACAAAAACAAAAAAGAAGGTCCACTCTCGGGTGTCGTGTACGGAAAGGACCTCAGGGAGGAATACGCGCTCAAGATGGTTCCCTGAACACTTGATCCAAGAAGGGGAAAAAAATCACCAGGATTCCACCAGCCATTTATCCCCACCGAGTGCATGTTCCATGTCATACACGCTCACATCCCCAGGGGATCTAAACAAAATTGCCGTGGTCACCCTGACCACACTTCAAACCCCCTCCATCTCCTGGTTGACAGGGCCAGGTACCAAGTAAATATTTCCACTGAGGTGATCAGTAGATTGAGCAATTGGCGCGAATTCATGTGCCAGTCTGGTAGGCGTGAACAGTCGAGTCTGGTCATATGTCATCCACCGAGAGAACTAAATGAAGGCATGGTCAGCAAACAATGTTCTATAAATCATCCCAAGTCAAAACAGACAGTTGCAATCCGCACTCCAAGCCACAAACATCTGTGTCTTCTAGGGAGCATTGTCGACGGCTCCCCAATCAACGGTCTGTCGTCCTCTATAGCCGTCTCCTCGAAGAATTTCCCCGGGTAATAAAGTCGGCTCCATGTCTGTCCTCTAATCAAAAAGTCCTCCGGTAGCTGTTGAGAAGTTGTGTCTTCAATTCGGGGGAAAGATTCATCTTCAATCTTTGCAATGTTGATATCGGGCCGTAGTAAAGTGTTCAAGTAGTTTGCGAGTATCGTCCATGGAACCAGCGGCTCGAGTCGTTGGATAGCCGCTGGGATGAGTGTCAGGCACCACACAAATGCCATCGAGGCATGTACGGATGGGTGTAAGTTTGGGTCGCCGGCTTGACCGAGGATGATGATCAAAGTGTGGAAAGCGAGAGAGCTCGCACGGAATGCAAATTGAGATGCAAGATCGGTATATTGGTGGTTGTTTGGATCGATTGGCGTAGTCGTAGATGCCCACTGCCTTGAGATAGCATACGCGTCCGCTGTGGTGTTTTCGTCAAATGTAAACTCCGTAGCAAAGACTCCATCGTTATCGCCATACTGAAAAATCGCAGCGATATTACAGGATGTGATAAAGACGCCTTGCTGTCCCTCTCGGCCTAGCCGGCTAACCTCCTGCCGCAGATTGGAAAGGAAGAACTTCGACCGAGCAACAAAATGCTCAACTGGCATGCGCATAAAAAGAGCACCATGAGCAGCCACAAAAGAAGTGATCAGAGTGTGTCTATCAGCCGGTGCACTCAAGATAGGATTGAACAACTGAGCTATGCTCACCCGCGCATTTGCAAATGGGCGCACACTGATCAACGCTTTCGTGTAGTAAAAGAACTGCTGCAAAGTATCCGGACGAGAAAGCACAGCAAGGTGGTGCTGGATTCGACCAGTTTCAGGACATGCATCAGTATCTTGGTTATACCAATACTTTGAGACTCCTGCCCAGATATCGCGATCCGTCACATCTGTGTCCTCCACAGCCATCCGGTACCTAGCTAGATCCCCTAAACATTCGATCCAAGTTCCCCTGAAATGCGGGACACTCTCCAGAAGGAGTGTCATTGTCGAATATGAGAGGTATATAAAGGCTAACATATGATCTAGCGAGGCAGGCAGTCTTTTGCGCAACAGTTCCAAGCAAGAATGGATCCCATATCGCCACATACGTGCAGGCATAGCATACTTTTCTGCGAGATGCTTCACTGCCGGACTGGCCGAAGGATGTTGAGAAGCGAGGAAAAAATCGTGATGCTCATGGAGGAGCATTCGGTGCAGGGAGATGACTGTGCTCCACTGATCCTGTGATAATTCCGTCCTTAAGCCCATCTGCGAAAGATATTTGATAACTTCGATGCACTTTTTCTCCACTTTGACGAGCCCATCATATATCGCTCTGACTTCGTGAGTAAGATGCTCTTCGGTAATGGGGTTGGTCTCCAACTGCTTGATCATCTGCGGATTTGCTTCCTGCGCAAATGCCGCATAGTCCGGGTATGAATTGTGACCTTTCATTTCGGACTTGCCCATATCATGCTCAAGAGCCCTCTGGGCCTGATGCTGTGAGTTATCGTGGGTCCCTTGGACAGCCATTGTACTGTGAACAAAAGTAGGACCTGATTGGGACCTTCCCAACTCGGGACGCGATGCATGGTCGCGAGTTAAGTCTTGTTTTGGTTGAATGTTTTGATCAATATTTGCTTCTTGTACATACTGAGGCACAAATTTGTTTATCGGGGAAGCTGACCCAGACAAGCGCTGTCTCTCTTTCACAATGCGAAAGCTATCTCGACGTGGTTTGGATGAGAGAGCTACACTGGCGCGCGGTGAGCCTTTGATTGCTCGCGGGCTTCCGAATGTCTCCGTGCACTTGTCCCTCGGTCGGGAAAGACTGTCTGAACAGCAGCTCCGATTGGTCATTGACTCAAACTCCTGAGAATATATCCTCTTGATTGATCTACAAAAATGAGCTGGATGAAAGCAACAGGGAGGGGGATTACTTTACCTGGGTGACGTGTGAACAACTTCCGAGAATCTGGCCTTGGCGCCCCGAGACCAACGCCTCTCCTTGCACGGTGGCGTATTGACCATTTCAACACATTTGAGCTCAGCCAGTGATCTCCTATGCGATGGGTACCCAAAAGTGGAACCTAAGTTCAGGCTTAGACGTGGAAGGGGGGGGGGGAGAGGACCAAGTGAAGTTTATATATTGGAGGCAAGATCAGGCGCCTGCTAACCATCGCACCCGGGTGCTTCAAAGGATGACGATCGCCATGGATGCCTGGCTCTAGTACTTAATACTGTAAGTCCCCTTTTTCCCGAGTTCCACTGCCTTATTTTGCAGGGAATGTCATAACGGCGCCTCTGGATGATTGGCGCTGCTATAGCCGCCCTACTGTATTCTGATCTATAACACTATACATCCCGAACAGCCTCACTTTTTGGTTGCTAACCCTCTTTGATAGATCCAGTATCTGGATTATATAAATACGACTTCGTTTGATCTATTTGAAACGGCTGACCCTATACTTTCCACTCTGCCCAACGCCTTATAGAACCCACCAAGCTACCCAACAACGGCCAGCCATTCCAAATCTTCATACAGAAAGAAACATGCAACCCGATTTGGATAGGCCAAGGAGTCCGTCCTAGCGCGCGCAAGGAAGCCATTTTTGAGTGTGGTCACCGCTCTTTGGCCGCGGCCACCGAACTCGACTTCACCGGTTCTTTTTCTCGCAAGCTTTACAGCTTTGACCACGAGAAATGGCGATTTCGACCAAAGAGCTTTGTGCGGAGCTGGAGTTGTGTGGAAAATTTGCTTCGCATTGACAATCTAGCACGGCTTTTTCTTTTTCGGCTTCCAAATCGAGGCAACTATGAGCTAACGAAAGGGTTTCATTGGCGTCAAGGGGGCTAGACACAACCATTATCGGTGAAATTGCCAGTAGATATCATTCCAGGCCATCCGGTGATGTGCCTCATGATTGACATGCAAATGGGGCCCAGGCCAATGTACTGGGTTTACCAAGGGGTAAATCCACGAGCGTTGGACCACATGGCCAGACGGAATACCGGGCTCAGATGATTCCTCCGACTCGGTTTTACTGTGCTGCGTACTGCGCTGATCATTTCATCCTGCCTAGAAATGCCCCTATACTGTATGCAGTACTCCCTTGGTATCCTATATTAAGATCAGAAACAGCCCTTTTTGGCATTCGTATAGTACCAGCCTAACACGAAAGTGGACACAGACACAGACCTAGGATAGGCTATAGCAAACACTCAATATCAGCCGCAAACAAACTGTCCGCACGCTAAAAGTGCGGAACGCGATGACGTTGGATATAGCATATGCCTGATCAGCGCCCGTAATGTCTCAGTAGCTAACCATATAAACAAAGCAAGGATCCCCAAGTCAACCAGCCTCACACCGAAACCCCCCAAAAAAAAGGGGGGGGAAACAAACCCTGCCCGGATCAATGGGCTCACGGATTCACCCAGGTCGCATTTTAGAAACGAGGCAACTACCCACTTAGAGAAAGGCCTCTCCCGCACTGCAAGGAGTGATGAGGTGATATTGAAAAGCCACAGCGGATAAGCGCAAGTGATTCCCACTTACCCGGGTGAGAATGATTGTCGATCTAGCCCCCAATATGTCGGCTAATGCGGTACCCTGGACATCTAGAAAAGTCCAGGTGTCTAGGCAATATATAAGCTTGCAGTTTTGTATGAGCTAGCGCGTATGCAGGCGGGGAACGCTGCGGGTTAACGCCAACCTTTTACCCGGGTGAATGTCTTCACCTTGTTCCACGTACATGATCGGCTTCTTGTGTTTGTTCCAGGGGGGTGTGCTCGGCTATGGGAATTCTGCGATTGGAGAGATTGTGACTGTATGCATCTGATTGTGGGTGGCCGCATGCTGTGCTCTTGGCTCGAACAGGGATGGTTGAGAATGGTCAATGTGACCTCCGGAGTATGAGGCGACCCTGTTGATAAGGGGTTCTTTCGACTCCCAACGTTTCGATTGTTCATTCTTACTGTCATCTTGGTTTTCTAATTACTCACATCTCAATAGTGCGAAGGAAACAATCCTTAGACTGACAAGTGTATCTCTACGCTCGAAACATGTGTTAAAAAAACTCACATTGGAATCCTACACAGCACTGCTTTGCTGAGGACAATAAACTAGGTTGTCTTTGTAGCAAAATATATTTGTCGACTCAAATTGCTTTGAAGTTTTGAGCGATTGGAAATACCAAACTAGGGTCCACGGGTGGACCTAGTGTCACTTGACTAAGAACACTGGGCTTATATAATCACATTGTCATCCATGGATCTATGGACCTATGGATCTAGACATAGGTACCTGCCCTAGAATCACATCCGTTCCCCAGACTTGTCAAGATGGACTCCAAAAATAACCCACTGCTCGAGGACCACATTATTCGCAAGAAGCTCCGTGCAGTGAAGAATGAATGGAAAGCCAATCATGCACCAGCCGCCGAAATCGTCCAAAATACTTTCAAGGAGCTCGGCAAAGATGAACACGAAGAGTAGTATTGGAGGTATATTGCAAAGGCACATGACGAAATTTAGCAGTATGATAACAAAGCCTCGATCAGCTTGACATTCACGGATAAGAAGCTTACTACGAAGCAAGTGGCACAATGTTTAGACGAAACGGATAAGAATACCAATTGAAACGGTATACCCAATGAAAATATTTGCGAGAAAAAATAGCTTTACCCGAATGGAAGAATACGAAAAATGCAGGGAAGTTCTGATGTCAGTTTCCATATGTATAAACAGCACTATGGACGCTGACCTTTTTCAGTCCAATGGTACGATTAAAGGTCGGTTTATCTTACTGAGGATCCTCGTTTGCTTTTTGTTTGGTAGGAAACAGAAGAGAATAAAGGTGTTCCGAAGACTCTGTGCTCGTATAACTAATTAGGAGTAGCTTTATGGATTCAACGTTGTACTTTGCTCACAGCTGCACTCAGCGGGCCAGGTTATCCCGACCATTGAGGCAGCACTACTACAAGTAGATCTCAATTTCTGTTTCATGGTGGACCAGAAGAGTACTCAATGAATAGACCACACGTAAGCTTTGACAACCTATGAACTCGACCTGTCTATGCGACGTGGGTTCCAATATGTAAGTACTGTGTGTGACAGCATGCACGCGTAATACCAGGCTGTTTAGTATTCGACCTCGCTGATAGTTTCTACAAGTTATCGGTGTAGAGTTGACTAAAGCGAGACTAGGGCTTTGCCTTTTTGACTCAATCCATGAATGGTTAGGGGTATGACGAGGTCTTAAAATAATCACACAAACTTAGAAGTGCACATTTCTAAATACAACAGGGGTCATAAGTCTGTTCAAAGTGCCATGAGGTATTAGACAAGTTGTTTACAAGTCCCTCGAAGTGAGAGTGCCAGTTCAGGCATTATTTGTGCTCTTATGAAGCTCCTCTTTCTTCATATCATCCTTCACCTATTTTATACCCATTTTCAAGTGCTTTGGGGGAGCTATTCAGATCACATAAACGTGGGGGTGTGAAGGGACTTTATGACCACTGTTATAATATGAGCTTCGCGACAACCAGCTCTGTTCAGTTGGATTTTTTGCGGCTCAATACGAATTTTAAGATTATGATGAGCAATCACAGATCGCTCGTTATCTTAAAAAAGGGCAGGATCGCTGAAGGAACAGCCCTAAAAGGTGGATCCTCCACCAGAACACGAACGTTGCCGTGTCTTGCCGTCTGCCCCTGCCAAGCGTTGAAGCATTGATCGTTATTATTGGCTATACAATTAGGGATTAGATCTCGCCAAGAATGGCTATGAATCGGGTGAAATCCACTTGAGAAAATCCTCCGCCGTTTGAAGACGACGATCTCTGCCACCTTCACAAGATAAGTAAGGATCCGGGGAGCCGCAACATGACTTCTCGAAGAAAATCAGATCACTAGCGGCTCTCTAGTGACTGAAGTTGAGAAAGCGCTGTATCATTCATATTCTTACTCACGATGGTGAACATCCGGCGATTCTGGTTGTCATCCAGCCTGATCGTGTGTCTTTTTGCCCAACAAGGCTTGTCTATGGTTTTTGAAGACACCGATGCCCCAGATGCCGCCCACCACCTTCTCGAAAGAGACCAATTAAACGAAAATGCTGCCTTTTCTGTTTTTGATCGACTGAGCAAAGACTCTTACTATTGGAGCGGTAGGCTTTCCTTTGAATAGAGCCAGTTCTTCGAGTCAACAACTCACATTGTACAATAGGATCTCAGAATGGCCATAAGACGCTGGCAAATCTTACAGTCGACGTGGGCGATGATGAAGCAAACATCATCTCGATGGAAAAGTTTCGACATCTGCTGAAATCCGTTAACTGTACCGATAATGGCATGATCGTGGAGTTCGATGACACTCGTGCGTTTGTATACACTCAGCGTGGATGGCAGTGGGTCAACGATGACAATGATCGTAAATTGATCCTTGTGACCGGTAAGAATCATTGTGGCTGGAACCCTCACAGGATGCCATTTGTCGTCTCATCAATTGTGTTCGACAAGCCATCACTGAAGGCGAAACTGAGTGGTGTGGCATCGGAATGGAAAAAGCTCTTCAGTAACTACGAGATCACGGTGGGAAAGGCTCCGGGATCATCCACAGCCAGACGAGACTGGGACAAGGATGCTTCCCTGAGCTTCAACCATAAAATCCCCCTCAGCAAGACGATACCTATCCCAGGCAAGGATGTCTCCATGGAAATCTCATGTGAAGGATGTGAAACCAAAGGATCCTTCAATTTTGGTGTCCACATCAAGACACGCCTTGAAATTCCCGAGTCCGTCTCGTTTACACTCTCACCCAATGACGTCTCTGCAAGCTTCACGCCACGCTTAGGACTGAGTGGGAACATGACCAGTGAAATCTCTGACGAGCACGAGCTCGTAAAGATCCCCGTGGACGGTATCTCAATCCCAGGGGGTGTTCTTGACCTTGGCCCGGAAATTGTCTTTAGTTTTGGATATCAAATTGGTTCTGTCAAAGGTTCCGCGGGCATTACATCTGGAGTGACCCTTGTTCTGAAGGACTCTGCAGAGCTCGAAATTGATGTTCTGGATCCGGACGTGTCCGCTAGCGGGTGGACTCCTCACGTCGAGACTCAGCCGGTGACTATCGATGCTAAGATCGAGGCTGAGGCTGAGGTTTACACCAAAGCTCAAATTCAACTCACTGCATCATTTCTTGGTAGGTATGACCGGGCCAGCATATATTCTAATTACTAACATCATCTAGACCAGGGCTTTGAAGCCGGTGTCAATCTCAAACCCTATCTCGGAGCCGATGTAGCAGTCTCCACCGGTAAGTCAACTCCTTAATCTGAACGCAATGTACTAACGTCCTCTAGACAAGGGCTTGGGAGTCGATGTTAATAAACGATCTGATGTTGGAGCTCATGTCTCAGCTGGCGGTAAGTTGATGCTCAAGAAAAGCCTTAAATATTCTCTGACCAATTTAGGCTCCAAGGCTTGCATCAAACCGAAGGCTGGAGTCAACCTCAATGTGGATGTTGCGAAGGTTGATACACCCGAAGACCCCATGGTGGAGAAGACAGTCGCGGTATGTCAATCAAACAGTGAATGAATCTTTGAAGCCACCACTTACTTCTGTAAAGGTTATCAAAGCGCCGATGTCCTCGTATTGTTTCAATTTCGGTCCGAACGGTTCCATAAGCTTAGGTGCTGGCAAAACCAAGTCAGCTTCAGGTAGAAAAGCTTCTACTTCCTCGGCCAAATATACACCTACTTCTTCAGCTGAGCCAGACACCGCGTCAAGCTCCACCACCACCTCATCTTCGACATCGCAATCGTCGTCTGCTACCCCGACACCGTCTCACCGCAGACACGGCCACCGGCGACATCATGGGATGCGAGGACACTAAATACAAAGTCTCTTTGTAGAGTGGCTATTGCCTCAAGTGCAGTATGTGATTGAAAATGCCGCAAGTGGCATTCAAAGAAGCACTCAACACACATACATACGCGTCGACTAAACTTCGGTTCTTTTTCTTAGATCTACTCTTCCCTGAATAGCTTACATTCGCCTCTTCGAGCCTAGTAATGAGTTTTCTTTCTACTGTCTTTCTATCTCAGTTTTCACATGGATCATGGATAAAGTTTAACCTTATCAGAATCTCCTTCAGAATAGTACAATGGGCCTCAAAATTCATTCAAAATCTGCCCAGGGTTTCCATGTAGCCCTAATTTAAGCGTCTTACTGGGAAGCAACAGTATTAAATTACATACTACTTATATTTAAAAAATCATTGTAAGCGCATAGTCTACATGTAAACATTGGCGATTTATGAAGTCGCGAGGTCCATACCCAGATGCACGACGTCATGGGCCCCCAAAACAATGAACTTCACACAACACGACACCTCCACTGACCCAATTGAACACCCAGCACCCAGCCAAGAACCCAAGAATCCAAGAGCCTAATTAATGAAGCGACTCCAACATACGCTCCTGCGCCTGAAACCAACACAGCCCAGCCCCGCTCTCAGGTCCAATCTCAACCGCTACCTCAACCTCAACCTCAGCCCCAGCCTAAGCTTGAGAGGCACAACCAAAGCCATGTTCACATTCACAGTCCCAGACACAGACCTACGTGTCAACAGCATCCCAGAATTAACCCAGAAAGATCTACTCGCATTCCCAGCCTTCAAAATCTGGATCGCGACACTACAACAATCCCTATCCCGGCAACAACACCCCTCGCACGAATTCCACAAGGACCCATACGTGCTCCGTAAAATCGACATCCAAGCCGTCGACCGATTCGGCGGAAACAGACTAGGCTTCATCAAATTAAAGGCCGATGTATCAAATGGCCAAGGCGAGACTTTGCCCGGCAGTGTGTTTTTGCGGGGTGGGAGTGTTGGCATGTTGGTAAGTCAACCCGATAAACAAGACACATCGATGATCAACCAAAAAGGACATTGTCATATTTATTTGTTGCATATTCTAACTTTATCAATAGCTAATCCTCCAACCAAACGACCTCCCAAAAGACTCAGAAAAAGATAAGAAAGCAGTTCTAACAATCCAACCCCGAATCCCAGTAGGATCCCTCTCGTTCCCGGAAATCCCAGCAGGAATGCTAGATGATAGCGGGACCTTCGGCGGCGCCGCCGCAAAGGAAATCCAAGAAGAAACCGGGCTACTCGTCGAGCAGAACGAGCTAATTGATATGACGGCGCTTGCTTTGCAGGTGGGCCAAGAACCAGATTACGGAGAACGACTACAGCGCGCTGTTTATCCTTCTGCTGGGGGTAGTGATGAATTTATCCCGTTGTTTTTGTGTCAGAAGCGTATGCCTAGGTCGGAGATTGAGGCTTTGCAGGGGAAGTTGAGTGGATTAAGGGGTGAGGGGGAGAAGATCACGCTTAAAGTTGTTGAGCTTGGGGATTTGTGGAAGGAGGGTGTTAGGGATGGGAAGACTTTGGCTGCTTGGGCGCTTTATTTGGGGTTGAAGGGGGAAGGGAAGATTTGATTTTGTTTCTCTATCTTCTAGATGTGCATCTGTATGTATTGTTGAAATGATGGTTTGATATCTGGTGGTGAAGCTGAGGCCAAGACATAAATTTACCACTCTACAACTTATACTTCTTCGCCAATTCAATTCCCTCGGCGAGTGTTCCAATCCGAGCATCAATGGCATACCCCTCCTTCTCAAGCTTCTTCATCTCATCAAATAACGAGCTGAGCGGAACAGTGAAGCACTCAATAAACTCACTCTCCTCAAGTTGGGGCTTGGGGTTCTGGTTCTCAGGAAGAGACATGTCGACACGGACGTGGACCATGTGCAAGTTTGTGTTGCATAGTCCGGGATCTAAGAGGATGTCAGCACCGATAAGATGTACCTCAAACAAGAGATGAAGGGAATACAATACCATTGTACATCACAGGACTAATCTGCTCTGCCACGCCAACATACCCTGTCTCCTCGCGGAGCTCCCGAACAGCACACTGCTCAGGCGTCTCGCCAGCATCGATCAGGCCAGCCGGGACTTCGATGACGACCTTGTCAATTGGGGGCCTGTATTGCTTTTGCAGAAGTAGTTCGGAGCCTGTTTCTTTGTTCAGGATTGTGACGATGCCAACGCCGTCAAGTTCTATGCCGGCTGGGCGGGTCTGTGTGTGAGATAATATTAGCAATGAATTGAGAGATATGGGGGTTAGTGTAGTGTAGTGGTCATTGGTGTGTATGTTTTTTATTGGTTGCTTTGGCATGAACTTCGCAATTTAACAACTGGACCGAATAACATGCTTGGTGCCTAGTTTTATAACATCAGGCAACCAATACTTTCAGCTGTGATACCCCGGGTAACGCCTGGTTGCATGCATTTGCAACAGTTGAGGGCGCCTCAGCGCTGTCCATTCAAAGCAGCCATCCATAATCCAACGGAGTGGATCTGGGGCTGTGTCTATGTCTGGAGCTGAGGCTGGGATCTGCCATGCAAACGAATATCACAGCAGCCTCGAAACGTGGAGAGGCCAACACCCTACTCTGGGTCTCATGCATGCACGTATACACCCTAGCCACGCCAAAGAAACCGGCAAACGGGGATCAAAAAAACGATTGCGAGTAAAAGACGAATCTTACCGTACGCTCAGCTGATTCCCATGTTCGTTCAACGCCAAGGGGGTCGCAATATGTTATCTTGACCATTCGGGTCCAGCGGGCTTCGCCGGGATCCTGGGAGGGATGTTAGTGAAGTATCGAATAAAAAGAATGCATCATGTCACGTCTACGGTTGATCTTGCTGTGTCTATCTCTGGACATAGATTGGATGGGTATACTTGGGCGACGTCGGAGGGCTTCGGAGGAACGGTAACTTACCAATGGGCCGCTGGAGATATGATAGGATTTGGCCTGTGAAGGAGCTGACATGATTACTGGATGAACAAAATGGTGAGATTGAAGGTGTATTCGTCCTATACTATGCTTTGATGTTTATACGGAGTCGAGGAGGGGATGGTGGGGTTGGAGCCCTTATCTTTCTTATCGGTATTTAGTTATGCATTGCTTCCCAACGCTGCACTTTTGGGATATCTGTGTTGATTGATCATATTGTTGATGTTATTGTCTTTTTTTCGACTTGAAATAAATAATCACACCAGGATATATGGCATTTGGAGATTACAAACGCCAGGAAAGCAAGCACTGACATTTCAGCTACAGGAACCCTCAACAAAGAATTAACACCTCGATATCATTGCGCGCCAAGGTTACTTATGCAATTAAGAACTAAAAGAAATGCACCAGGTAAAAAACAACTGGGCTCGGACTTGGTGCTGAGAAATCGAGCCTATACTCTTGAGAGTACAGGTGAAAGACCCACGAACCCAGCACATGAAGAGAAAGCACAAATACACAAAAGCTCCATAACGACCATACGCTTGCTATCATAATCATGAGCGTGGGAAGAGTGCCAGCAGAACAATCAAAGGCTCGAGTGGACCTCAACAGATCCAGTCTCAATCTCCTTAACACGGTCCTCAAACTCAGACCAATGCCACATGACATTCATTGCGCCAAGTTCAGTCAACTTCTCAGCCATCTCCTTCTGTGTCTCTTCGCCATTGTAGCTACCGACATAGGCAATGACGGGAATACCAGCACGAATGGCCGAGAGAGCACCAGATTTGCTGTCCTCGATGGCAATGGTCTCAGCAGCAGTCTTGCCAACCTTCTCAAGAGCATGCAAGTAAATAGCGGGGTCGGGCTTGGAAGTCGGCTTCTCAAGAGAGGTTGCGGCACTGAAGACCTTGTCGTGATCAAAGAACTTGGCCTGACCGACCTTCTCAATGGAGGCGCGCACGCGACGCAGGGCAGAAGAGGAAACAACCGCGAGACCGTACTTCTTCGAGTTGTACAGCTTCTCCAGCTGCTCAGAAGCGCCGACGCAGGGCTTCGCCTTGGCTTCCAATTTGGCGATGACCTTGTCCTCCTCCTTCTTGACGTATCTCTCCAGCTCGGTCGGCTCAATCTCAAACCCGTACTTGGTCTGCAGAGAGCCCATCATGCCGCGGAAGTTTTGGCCGACAAAGTCCTTGATGAGCATGTCGCCGGTGTAGCGATCGGGGATGTTGTATTCCTCCAGAATCTCATTGGCCAGGTCGGCGCAGGCCTCGAAGGCCAGCTCCTCGGAGAGGACCAAGGTGTTGTCGCAATCGAAGAAGATCTCTGTAATCTGCAGTCCGGTTAGTGTCGGTGGGTCTTGAGAGGCGCGATCATCTTACCTTAGCCATGATGAAAAGCGGGGAGTACTTCTGGTTTGGAGAAGGGGTGTGAGATGCGCAATGAAATTAACGATCTAGAGAGCGGAATGTAGAGGTGGTCTGACCAAGGAAGGGAATTGGCTCTCGGTATTTAAGTCGAGGCAAGAGCCCATGACGATAGAGAGAAACCGGGCCAGAGCGGGAGGGGTGACGTGGGTACCGGGTACTTGCACTTTGGTGTATGACGGAATACACAACAAAGTACCCGGTACATCGAGTCTGGGGATATGATTGTAAACTCGGCAGGCCACTAGTCCAAATAGCGTTTAGCTTGCGCATTCCTCTTTTCTACTGGTTTCACTCTTTTTCTCGAACTTTTCTATATGTTTCTATTGAGAGCATCAAACTGTTTGAAATTGTCCTAACCAGGTCTCGTGATATGGCAGTGTCCCCGTTCTGGGTAAACCTACATCGACCTTCCTAACCTTGACGAGAACCTCTTTGACGATGTAGACCACGGACCAGGCATAACCAGTTTAATTGGACATAGAGTCCACTAGGCCCAAACTCGGGCTGCACGGTCATATCTCCATTCTCCCTTGCGGGGATTTGGAGCACCTGTTCGTAAAACCCGCAGGGAATGGCATGAGGCATGAGGCATATAGGTGGAACATGTGTAAAGGCCCGACATTCCGCCGTTGGCCCATCTGTCCGTCGAACAAGCACAGTCAGATAATATCAGGTATGCACTCAGGCGTTCCCAGGATGCTTGGCAAGGACTACAGAGACCCGACGTTGTATTATAGGCCAAAGGCTAACATGAAACCGAGCTAGAGATATCAGGCCCAGTCAACAGGTTAATATAACCAATCTATATGGAGTACACTTCTACTGTTGTAAAGTCAGTCCTATGTCGGATATGCGGGCGGGACACATTCAAGCCGAAAACTACCGATACCAACATGAGAAGCATCCCACTCTACGGTATACAGGAACTAGGTGCATGGATTGCATACAACTCGGATCCACTTAGAATCCACCGTGATTGGCCCGACCCGAATCACAACCGCATCAACCATTTCCACAACCTTCACAATTGATTCGGAAAAACCACAACCCACCAGAAAAGCGAATTGATCAAGTACAACCGGCAAAATTCACACATAGGCCAAAAGTTCCAACCTCTGCACAGGACATTCCGCAAAGCCGAAACGCTCTCGGTACAACGCCAGAGTACAACACCAGAGCCATCTGAATCCCATTTACTTAGCACCATCCGTGCACCAAATACAGTACCAGTACGACCTTGAACGAACATGGGGTCCTCGGAACCTCTTCCGACACTGGAGTCGTTGCATTTCCCGTCGGCACAGCTGTCTATCTCCCAAACACTCTCGTCACTGCGTCGATCGGCGCTCTCCGTTTCAAACCGACTTCAATCTATTGAGAACGATGGCGCATTTGTGCATGAAGTTGCCGAGCATTATGGCCTCCCCCTCGTTGCTAATGAACGTTGTGGAAGCTGGTATATCCCACCTTCTTCCAAGGTCGGTAGTGCTTATTTTAAAAGCACCGATGGACACACTGGGGAGTGGGATTTTAGCTTGCGTAGGCTGAATCTGCAGTTGTTGTCTCTTGTCCGGGATCATGGGGGGTTAGTATCTACTCCATTCACTTTGTTTTTGGTTTATATATTCATGGATTATATCAACACTATAAACTACACCCACCCCAAACCCTACCAAAGACCCGTCTCAGAACAATAAGCTGACAGTATCCTACAATCCCACAGCTGTGTAATAGTCGACTCAACCCGCCGAGGTAAACGTAAGCACTCATCCATCCCACCCGATCCCTGCACTACACACCTCGGAGCAAAAAAAAAAAAAGGGAAAAAGGAATTAACCAACCAAAAATGATTCCATTCGCCCCAATGGTCACCATGCATTGCATATACATACATCATGCAAGGCCCAAATCCGATTCCAAAACTAACAATGATTCGAACCAGTAATGCCCGACGCTCTATCGAAAACAATCCCAATCTGGAGTGCCGTCCTGAACCGGGCCCTGTTCCCGTCTGAGACTGCTTACCATGCTGTACCACTGCCGCCTAATTATCTCGGTGCCTCGGAAGAAGCGCAGATTGAGAGTCGGATTGAGGGGTTTGTGAATTCTTTGAAGGTGTGTACTGTACAGAACTTCCACATGCATATTTGATATGCATGTGTCTTCTTTACTTTCATTGTGTTCTCTTTTCTGGAGTTTGACTATTTGTTGTTCATTATCTTCCTTTTTTTAATTCAAGGGGATAGCAGGAATAGCAAAGAATTGACATGAACAATACCCTCACCAGAAATTGAACAAGGCCGCGAGAATAACTAACAAATCTCACAGTCCTTAAAACTCGACCTCGAAACTCTCCGTTCCAATCTCTCCAAACCAATCCGCATAGCATGGGCCAACAGATCATACTACCACCCCGCAGACCTCCAAAAAAGCAGTGAATACAATCTTCTAGTCCTATGCTCAGCCTCACGACGGGTCCACGGCGCGGAAATGTCCGAGGGCGGATATATCCAAGGAGCCGGCGATGATAGTGAGGGTTGGGCGCATGGACTAACACCGCCGGTTTTCTGGGCGAACCATGACCTGTTGAAGGGCACTTCTGAGGAAGATCTGCCCGATGTTATTGGACGTTTGGTTGGGGAGTTTAAGGTTGGGAATGTTAGTGCTGATGTTACTGGTATTAAGCCCACGTCCAATTTGTTTATTGGGGATGTCGGGGCTGCGGGTGGGAGGTTTGATCTTGTTATTGATTGTAATGGGGATTCTGGGTTGGGTGAGGAAGGGGATGGGAAGAGGCTCAATCTTGGATGTGCGTCTGGGAAGTTGGGGAGCCGCGATCTACGCAGGTCATTGGAGAAAGTGCGTGATTTTGTTGGGGCGAGACTTGGGGTTGACTCGTCGCTTTCTTTGCTGGTTGTTTGTGAGACTGGGAAGGATCTTTCGGCGGGCACACTGTTGGCAATTATTTGCCTTTTCTTCAACGATGAGGGTATGTATGCAATGGGCCGGATGGGTTTCCGGGTGTTTAATTCAAGCGCTAGATGAAAGGGGAATAAACAGCTAACTACATTTCTTCACAGGTGGCTTTGATGCCTCGCTGAGCAAGCGCGCTATCGGCAAGCAGTTCATTCGACAGCGTTTCGCTTGGCTCGTGTCGTCGAAACATGACGTGAATCCGTCTCGAGCCACGCTTCAATCGGTCAATGCTTTCCTAATGTCCTGATGCAACCACCGGACTATTGAACATGATACAATGTGGCTGTTCATGGCGCCAATTGGTCCTGCTCGGCCGGCGAAAGCGCTTGGGCCGTTAATGGCCGTGCTTTTAGCGTTGCTCATTCGTTGTCGACGGCCTCCACTATAGCACCTGCACTGCCCTGATCCAGGGAATCCAACAAGGACATATCGTGATCGCTGATATTAAAGGTGAACACATCCGCGTTGGCGACAATTCGCTCTGGGTTGTCGGTCTTGGGCAGGGGAACCCATCCCTTCTGCAGCGCATAGCGGATCAAGATTTGCTGAGTTGGCCGAGTGTATCTCTTCGCGATATCCACAAGTGTGGGGTCATTGGCTTTGTAATTTCGCACAATTGGCGAGTATGCCTCAATAACAATACCATTCTCGTGGCAGTAATCAACAATGGTACGCTGCTGGGACCACGGGTGGAGCTGCAAAAATAGACAAATTAGCAACAGTAACAAACAACTCTCGACAGCCAGTGAATGCACGAACCTCAATCTGATTCACATGTGGCGGCCAGACCTGAGCATATGACTTCATTTCTTCAATGTGTCCAACACCAAAGTTGCTAACACCAATGCTTTTAGTCTTGCCCTGCAGGAACAGCTTCTCAAGTGCCTGCCACAAAAGCTTGCGGCCAGCCGATCCCGAGCTGGAAGAGTGGATCAAAAACAAATCAACATATCCATCTGCGCCGCTAATCTTGTGCACAGAAGCAAGCAGCTTATCGTAGGTAGCCTCTACCGAGGCAGCGGGGCTGAGAATCTTGGTGGTGACGAAAACCTCCTCCCGGGGTACGCCGGAAGTGCGCAAAGCTTCTCCAACTTCAGCCTCGTTGGCATAAAACTGCGCCGTGTCGATGTGTCGGTATCCGGCTTCCAATGCCTTCAGGCAGGATTTCACGCAAACGTCGGTTGGCGAGCGGTAGACACCGAAACCAAGGCGAGGAATGCGCGCATTGGTGTTGGGGAGGGGAAGCGTATCGGTAATCTTGAAGGAGGCCGACATTTTGAAAAGAGCTTGGGGTTTGCGAAAATGCAGTGTGTCTAGAGGAGCTGGAAATGAATATGTTAGGGAATATTCATCGCCCCGCTTTGCGAAATGAGGTCATCTGGGATGACTAAAGATCTATCACGATTTCGACCTTTTCTCTATTGCGCCATTTTAGGGCTTTTTCTTTCTTTTCAATTGATAATTGGATTTTTCTAGTCTTTTCTAGTTTAGCTGATTTGCCGGCTTCGAGTCACTCCCGTGGTCGCCTGACACTTATATATATAGATTAGCGCTCCCTCGTTACGAGGCCAGCTATATAAGCGAATCACCGGCAAAATTAGAGAAACATTTGAATCGCTATAACAGACATAGTATTCTGGTCTTAAATCAAACCTACCGGAAAGTAATTAATAAGGTCAAGCCAGGCTTCCTTTGGCGCCAATGTCCCTATCCATGGGTACCGCTGGGCGGATACCTACCTGTGGATTGAGAGGAAGAACCTTGGTAAGCAGATCGAAAACATACCCACATTGTGGTAGAACTATATAACTTAACATTTTGAATATCAGACTGGCTAACAGCCTTGGGAGAATGGATATCTCGACACTCTTTCTCAACCAACTAAGCCCTACTAACCTTAGATTGAACCTATTTACTATAATTCCTCCTTCATAGAGACAGTTCTTACCCCCAATCTCTCCTAGCCTAGGCTTCGCCTGCTGAAGTACTGACAACTCTCTCGTAAGCTCTTGTTACCTCAACTCTATCACCCCGATGGGCTTCAGAGATCAGATATGCCAATGTAGACTCTCGGCTTTGCGTTTCGTAATCATAGGTCCAAGCCCTATAGTGAACCTCCTTACATGACCGATGAGATCATATCTCGTGACATCCAAGCCTATGCTTATCCCTGTGGTTTAGTGGCTGTCGAGGACAATACCCTTGTACGGAGATACCCAAACTAATAATCTATTTTCGACTCTGCTGTTCAAGCAAATTTAAACGAACGGAAAGGAGAGAAAAGGAGAGACTAGCAGCAAAATAGATGAGAACAAGGGAGTGATTATAGGCGTCTATACTTAGAAGCCAAAGAAAAGTGGGTCGCAAGGGGGTGCATTGCATCTTCAAATATTGTCGAGTCAAACGTTTCCTGTGAGAAACTCAACTTCTACATTCTCTATACTCGTCGAGTTCAAAAGATAAAAAGGCGTTGCTGGGGTGACTCTTCAGTTCCGACGTGCGGAAAACACACCCCACCCGACATTGCCCCCCTTTGTGCTCCATCTGATCTTCAGCCCGAATCGGAAAGCCAGCCTGATCATCCTCTTCTCAACCCTGATCGCTGTCACCTACAAACCCCCACTTGTTGCCATTCGGCCCTGAATGTCTCGTGAAAGATGTTGACGGTCGAGAAGCAGTGGATTAATGTGCAGCAGAAGACCTTCACAAAATGGTAATCGCACAACCCCTCATGTCCCTGTCATGCATGGCTGACCCAAATCAGGCTGAATGATAAGCTGAAGGCACGACTCCTGGCCATTGACGACTTGGTCACTGACCTTTCCGATGGTGTATGTGCCTCAAGTCCCCCCCCGAATCTAAGTCACTGATCGCATAACCTTTAGGTCATTCTCATTCACCTCCTCGAGATTCTCGGAGGGGAGTCATTAGGTCGCTATGCATCGAAACCCAAACTGCGCGTACAAAGATTCGAAAATGTGAACAAAAGTCTCGATTTCATCAAGGGGAGGAGGATCCAGATGACGAATATCGGAGCTGAGGATATTGTGGATGGGAACCAGAAGATCATTCTGGGATTAATCTGGACACTGATTTTGCGATTCACCATCAGTGACATTAACGAGGAGGGCATGACCGCCAAGGAGGGTCTGCTACTATGGTGTCAACGGAAGACGGCATGTTACGATGATGTGGAGGTTCGAGACTTCTCATCTAGCTGGAACAATGGCTTAGCCTTCTGCGCACTCCTCGATATCCACCGACCGGACCTGATCGACTACGACTCGCTAGATAAGAGCGACCACCGTGGGAACATGAAGCTGGCCTTCGAGATCGCATCCAACGAAATCGGCATTCCAGACCTGCTCGATGTGGACGATGTGTGTGACGTGCCCCGACCCGACGAACGCTCCCTCATGACCTATATCGCCTACTGGTTCCATGCCTTTTCGCAGCTGGAGAGAGTTGAGAACGCTGGGCGACGAGTGGAGAAGTTCGTCAACAACATGCACGGTGCATGGGACATGCAGAACTCATATGAGCGCCGGGTAAAAGAATTATTGCGATTGATCCGTGGCCAGCGTGAGCACTGGAAGACTGCCTCTTTTGAGGGAACCTACAAAGATGCCAAGGAACAGGCACACCAATTCTCGCTTTACAAAAGGAATGAGAAGCGCCAATGGGTTGCTGAAAAATCTGACCTGGCTGCTTTGCTGGGTAATATCAAAACTAAACTTGGCACATATCGACTGCGCCCTTATGACCCACCTCAAGAGTTGAGTCCAGAAAACTGCGACAAGGAGTGGGAGATTCTTACTCGCGATGAGCATGAACGCAGCCAGCTTATTAACGAGACAATTCGTGACATCAAGAATCAGCTGCGCCGCTCGTTCGCCGACAAAGCAAATGACTTTGCGCTGACCTTAAAGACCTTGTCATTGGCTATCTCTGGACTAGATGGCGACGTTGAAGACCAGCTAGACCATGTCAAGAGGTTAAACGATAACTTGCCACCTCTTGACGCTTTCCTTGACACTATTGCAGAGCTGGATCAGCAGTGTGCCGAGGCCAACATCGAAGAAAACGATTTCACTACATACACTCTGGACGAGCTGGCATATGAGCTCAGTCTTGTTAAGTCTAGTATTTCAAAGAAGCTGGCTTTCCTAGACAACCAGATGGTTGCTCGTAACATGACCAACCTGACACCCATTCAATTGGAAGAATTCGAGTCTGTTTTCCGCCATTTCGACCGCGATTCTTCCAACACGCTCCAGGAACTCGAATTCTCTGCAGCATTGGCCAGTCTGGGTCTGGTATACGATGAAGAGGAGATGCACCAGGTGTACGTTGAGGTCTGTGGGGCCAATCGCCTATCACAAAATGCCGGAGTGAGCTTCGAACAGTTCATTCGGTTCATGGTCAGCGTGACAGAGGATCAGAACACTGCCGAGCAGGTTTTCCAGAGTTTCAGGGAAGTAGCCGATGGCAAGGTACGTGGAATATCTGACATATTTCATTTCGTTGCTAACATTAATCACAGCCTTATGTTACTGAACTTGATCTCCGACACTCACTCATTCCTGATGAAGTTATCGAGCACTTGGTCAAGACAATGCCAACGCACGATGGACCCGATCTCCTTGAGGACAGAGAGTTGGCCAAGTACGACTACATTAGTTTCATGGAGAAGATGAGAGAAGAAGGCAAAAAGAATGGGTGCGAACAGTAAAGGGTGTATCATGGTTCTTCGCACAGCATTGCCGGTGATTCTGGGGTGATTCTAGGGGATTTGCACTGACTCGGTGTTGCTGTGTTTCTGGTGTTTCTAGGAGGATTCACGCGTGTCTTCGTACCCCGGCTTCCTCCATTGTTTTTTTGTCATGCATCCTGGGGTTAGGTGGTCGTTCTTGCATATTCTGTTTGTGTATGCTTTTCAGTAATGCTCAGGATACCATATGATGATTTTGAATTTTTCATTCCATTTTTAGTAGAATAAACGCGAATAATCCTCAGTTCCAATCACCAACAGATGTTGAGGCGACTAGAGAAACTCGATCCATCTTGCCTGTCACGTGCTAGGCCTCCCCAGATCAGATCATCGGAGCTGATGAGAGTGATCTCTCTATCCGCCACATCTCCTTTCAATCCTCTACCTACGCGACCAGGACTGAATTGTTTCATTCCTTCCGGTCTAATATCATTTTTTAACTGATCAATTGCGCTTCGTGCAATATCTCTCAAGATGGACCGCAGCCTCGACGAGATTATCGCTGAAGACACGGTAAGGCAACGGCAGTGAATCAACCAAGCATTGTCCCCAAACATGTGCTAATAATCACTATTGCAGCGCAATCCCGGTCGCCAATCTGGTGGCCGCCGTAACAACAACCCGGGCCGTCGCCGTGACCGTGATGGCGTTAGAAAGGTACTTGACCTGAAACTGCGGCTCTGCTCCGACGACATCAATACTAACTCCCTTGATATCTAGGTCCGCCATCCTCTTCCTCTTGCGAATTCTCCTCTTGCCACGTGAAACCGTGGCCAGTTCTGCATTGCCAAAGACTCGTCTGCGAACACTCCACGGCAAAACACATGGAAATGAACTTTGCACGGTACCTCTTCTGACCTGGAGCTAACATTCCGTCTTTCGAATAACAACAGCCATATACCCAAGACCGCGTTGACCTGAACCTGTGATTATACCTCCCGAAGCAGTGAGATGTGGACAATACTGACGAGTCTGTTATCCAGCGACTGGGTTCATGACAAGTTCGACGACGACCGCTGTATGTTCCCTGTTCGTGGTGTTATTGAAGTTTCTCTAACATCTTTTCTAGCCCGCCCTTCCCATGTCTCCCGCAGAGGCCGCGATGGACCCGGCTCTGACCGGTATGAAGCCTGCCCGGCGAAAGTTGCTTGACCATACTGATGGAATGATTAGCACATCCGGATTGACCAAAGTCCGTGTGGAAAACCTCCACTACGATATCACACAGGCCGACCTTGAGGTGAGTCGAAGCCAGTCCAAACTCAGCATATAATACAGTCCTAACAGATTATCCGTATAGGATCTCTTCGGCCGCATTGGACCCGTTTCCGACCTCTCCCTTTCATACGACCGCGCTGGACGCTCCGAGGGCGTTGCTCACATCACATACGCCCGCCTGAAGGATGCGCACACCTCAATCCAAGAGTTTGACGGTGCCAATGCCAAGGGCCAGCCAATTCGTCTTTCCCTCGTCCCCGGCCGCCGGGAGCGCAACCCATTCGATAGCGCGCAGCACCCCAAGTCCAGCCTCCTCGACCGTGTGGAGCGTCCCCGCGATGGCCGCAGCTTGAGCCCCCGATCCGACGACGAGGGTGGTCGCCGTCGTCGTGGCGGTGGTGGTGGTGGTGGCCGTCAACGCAGCGATGTCACCAAGCCTGCTCCTGAACACATTGACCGCTACGTCCCCGGTGAGCGCTCCCAACGCTCTGGGCGTTCCCCTCCTCGCCGGAATGGAGGAGGCCGACGCAACGGACGTGAGCCCCGCGCTCAACCCGCCGATGGATCCCGCCGCTCGAACGCTCGCCCTCGCAAGACCCAGGAAGAACTCGACCAAGAGATGGAGGACTACTGGGGTACTGCCGGTGGTGGCGGCGACCAAGAGGCTGCTCCTGCCCAGGATGCCCCCCAGCAAGCTGCCCCGGCTGCCAGCGCACCTGTCGCTGACGCCGATATTGACATGATTGAGTAAATGTTACCACTTCAAATTTCCGGACAATGTGGCTCTTGTATACCGATCCGTTACTTGAAGCTTTCATCACCAGCCTGCCATCGACTTTCTCAAGTTAACTGAGATCACTCGACGTTGTTTCCACTCTTCCTTCTGCCGTCAATGTTTGTACGCACCCCGTCTAGAATCCTGTACTTTACTTAACCACGAAATTGTAATTTGGACTCTTTCGCACACCTGGCTTATTCCTGTACCTCTTCGTGTTCTTGCTTGTTCCTTTTTATCCCATGCGCGGGCGAAATGGGAGGTCTCAAACACTTTATGGCTTATTCCACGCTAGAGACCAGAATGCACATTGCCATATCTCAAGCTTTGCCCAAAGCATCTCGCATACATTCTGTCTTCCTACACGTACACCAAAACATGAAATCTGTTTGTATGGAATGTCAAGACTCAGGAACTTGATCGATACATATCAATATGAATAAAGTGGACAAAAGCCGCCGCAAATTATGAATAATGAAGCCGCCAATGGCTAGGGAAGACTTGTGCTTCCGTGATTTCTTCTATACACTGTAACAAGGATGATGATGGGCAGTCCCTGCATCACCTCCACAAACCATAAGGCTCACGGCACGCTTTCCAGAGCTTAACGGTACCATCCTCGCTACCGGTTCCGTAGAGCTTTCCATCAGGCGAGAAACTGACTGACCAAATAGGTCCATGGTGACCCTTTTGAACCTCTGTAAGAGAAAACACACCCAGATTAGCAAATATGCAAAAGCAACCCCAAAAGGAAAAAGAAACATACCAAGTTCCTCGTCCGTGTTCAAATCATAAACCCGCGCCCAGGTATCATTAGCACTACCAGTAACAAGCCGTCCAGACTCACTGTTAACAGCAGCACTAGCAACATCATACCCAAAATCAACCTTCTTAAGCAACCGCCCAGGAGATACCCCATCAAACAAATAAACACTCTTCCCAGCAGCGACAGTCAAGATACCCGAATCATTAGGCCGCGTCGCAAGACTATTCAACTCGCACGTGCCAATCGGCCCATCAACGGCATACTCAACGACCGGATGGCGGGATCGCAAATCCCACCAGCGGATCTTGCGGTCTTCGGCCGCTGTCGTAACGACATTGTAGTCCTGGTTCCAGACGATGGACTTGATCGTGCCGCCATGCACGCCTGCGCCAATCTCGTAGCTTGCTGGGCCTCCGTTTTCGGTTGGGTTAGCGCCTGTGGAGGGTAGAGGCGGTGTTGAGGCATTGCTGCCTGTGCCACTGCCGCCGCCGCGTGTCAGATCGAAGATGCGCAGCTTCTTCTCTGCGCCACCTGTTGCTAGGACTTGCGGATTGGCTTGCATTGGGAATGCTACTGCTCGCACGATGTGTGCGTGTTGCAGTGTGTGCAGGCATTCGCCTGTGTAAGTGTCCCAGACTTTGCTGGTTGTGGGGAGGATAAGTTAGTATGCAGTTTTTTGGGGTGCTTGGGATAGCTTACGCTGAGAAGTCGGCTGCTGCTGTGGCTGAGATTGCTGCGTCGGCTGAGAGTCTGGCTTGCCATACTGCTCCTTTGTGACCGAGGAATGTTCCAATCCTGGGGTTTGATTAGTTGGTGGGGCTTGGGTTTTTGGAGATATCATGTAGCGTACCAGTCGCCGGTTATGCCATCCCGGAGCATAGGATTATTATCTTGGATAGGTTAGTTATGACGGCAGTGGCTGGCATTTGGGAAAAATCCATACCTTTGCATGAGGAGATAAAGTAGTACTGTTCATCTTCGACAGTGGAAGAGAAGCTCAAATGCGTCACTGGACGAGAGTGTCCGTGGCAAGTCAGGGGAACAACCTTGGGAATATCTGTGGCATATAGTTAATAAACATCCAAAGTGGTCAATGTTGATATCCATCAACAGATATCACTCACCGGAAGTCATTTCGTTGGTGTGGAAACAGATCTCCGTAGGTTTCAGTTGGTTTTGATGTTAGGTATTAAGAGCCAATCACAGATCAGATTCACGATGCGAGTAAGCTTCGAAAGCCGAGTGACTGATATCAAGTACAAGTCCGAAGAAGACCAATAGGAAGTTGGATATGTCTTAAGGAAAGTACATAAGAGATTCGTCACGTTCGTCAAGTCATCAGACGTGGTGTCGAGTTGCCAAAAGGATGGAAGAAAGGTGAGAGGAGTGATATATGAGGTTTCCAGACACCTCAAAAGGAGAGCAGGCCCTGGGAAACAGCGCAAGCAGCTTGGTAGATGTAGATGGGATATCGAATTTCAATTTCCAACAATAACGGGCGATCCCCATTAGGTAAGGCGCTAGTCCCAGCCTGGTATAATTGAAGTAACACGTGAGGCGTATAGTTGGACGACTTGACTTCGTTTCTGAGCATCTATTATAATTATATGTGCTTGCATTTGCATTAGATATGCGACCGTGATGGGCTGCTTTCACCGCTGCTTCACTTGCATTGGGCACGGTCATGGATTAGCAGCCAAACCTCCTGTTCTGGCGTAGTGGACTCGAGCCGATGGGCCCTGGGTTAGGCTACTTGACGACTTTGGAGCTAGCTTCAGGCCATATGAGTCACTAATTAGAACCAATCTATGCAGACACAGGGCTACAAATGCACTATTTTTAATCTCATGCTAACTTCCAAGGTTGATAAGCTCGGCGTTCTAGCAGGTTCCTATGGCGCTACCGCCCACGTGATATGATGCTTTGGCGGGGATCGCCCCAGAACGACTAAAGGACAACAACGGGGAGCTTAGTTAACTACAGATTCTGTTGATATCCTCAGATAATTCTTACTCGAGTTTCTCCTTTCTTTCCCATCTCCCCTCCCCGAGTTACATGTATGCCTGACTTCAAGCTCTCGGCAACCCTTGAGGGCCACGGCGATGATGTAAGGCTCCTGATCCCGGCAATTGATCGCGCATTCAATCCACGCAGAGTACTGACATTCTTTTGATCTGCTATAGGTTCGCGCCGTGGTCTTCCCAAACCCCAATGTCGTCCTTTCCGCTTCTCGAGATGCCACAGTTCGGCTCTGGAAGCTTGTCGCGACTCCTCCCCCCGCATACGACTACACGATCGCTGCACATGGCACAGCCTTCATCAACAGCCTGGCCTACGTTCCTCCTACATCGCAATACCCCGAAGGCCTTGTTCTATCTGCTGGACAAGATTCAATAATTGAAGCCAGACAGCCGGGCAAAGGCGCAGAGGACAACGCCGATGCCATGCTTCTAGGCCACGGCCATAATGTCTGTGCTCTTGATGTGTCCCCGGACGGTAGCTGGATTGTCAGTGGAAGCTGGGACTCAACTGCACGTCTGTGGAGGGTTGGAAAATGGGAGAATGAAGCTGTGCTGGAAGGACACGAGGCGAGCGTCTGGGCTGTGTTGGCCTACGACAACAACACAATCATCACAGGTACATTCTTCTTACGCATATTTTTGCGACGCTCACACTGACATTGTCATAGGCTGCGCCGATAAAATGATACGGATATTCAATACCTCTGGAACACTTCTTGGAAGCGTACAGAACTCCAACGACGTCGTGCGGGCCTTGTGCAAGCTTCCCGCATCGAACCCCACAGGCGCCCAATTTGCATCGGCCAGCAACGATGGTATCATCCGTCTCTACACAATTCAAGGTCAACTCGTCGCATCTCTTCATGGTCATGAGAGCTTCATTTACTCGCTTGCTGCGCTCCCATCTGGTGAACTGGTCAGCTCAAGTGAAGATCGTACTGTAAAGATTTGGAGTGGAACTCAATGTGTGCAAACCATCACCCACCCTGCGATCTCGGTGTGGAGTGTTGCAGCTTGCAGTGAGACAGGCGATATCGTCACTGGTGCTAGTGACCGCATCGCCCGTGTTTTCAGCCGAAGCCCAGACCGCCAGGCAGCCCCGGAGGCTGTGGATCTCTTTGACCAGGCTGTTAAGGAGTCATCTATTCCGGCGCAGCAGGTTGGCCAAATCAATAAGGAAGAGCTACCTGGTCCAGAATTCCTTAAAGAAAAGTCTGGCACCAAAGAAGGTCAAGTTCAGATGATCCGAGAGAATGATGGCAGCGTTACCGCACATACCTGGTCATCCGCATCTGGAGAGTGGATTGCCGTTGGAACGGTGGTGGACTCAGCTGGGAGCAGCGGCCGGAAGACTGAATACCATGGACAGGATTATGACTACGTCTTTGATGTCGACATTGAGGATGGCAAGCCTCCATTAAAGCTACCATACAACGCCTCGCAGAACCCATACGAGGCTGCCACCAAGTTTATTGGAGATAACGAGCTTCCTATGACCTACCTCGACCAGGTTGCGAACTTCATCACTCAGAACACCCAAGGCGCCACGATTGGACAATCAGCCCAGGAACCAGAAGGCTCCGATCCTTGGGGATCGGACCGGCGATACCGCCCTGGTGACGCATCAGCTGCTGAAGAGTCACAACCCCCTGCTCCCGACCCGCGGCCCAAGGTGCTCCCGCAGAAGACTTTCCTCTCGATCCGCTCAGCAAACCTCAAAGTAATTACGAAGAAGTTGCAGGAGTTGAATGAAAAATTAGTTTCAGATGGATCAAAGGATGCGGCCTTGAGCCCTTCGGAGGTGGAAACCGTTGTCGCCATGTGCGGTCAAATGGAATCAACTCAGCAGCTCAAAGACTCGCCCGAGGTTGAATCTGGCATACCATTAATTCTCAAGATTGTCACTTCCTGGCCTGCCGCCAACCGACTCCCTGGTCTCGATATTCTCCGCCTCCTAGCAGCCGCCTCACCACTTACAGCAACGGCCGAGTACGCGGACGAGAATGTTGTGTCAGGCGTCATCTCTAGCGGTGTCTTCGAATCTCCTCTTAATGTCAACAATGCCATGCTTTCCATGCGTACATTTGCAAACTTGTTCGAGACCCCCGCTGGCCGCGAACTGGCCATGAGCTCCTTCGACCAGATCCTGGCTGGAGTGAAGTCGGCTCTGGCTAACAGCGGAGCTTCACCAAACCGTAACCTCATCATCGCCATCACGACGCTGTATATCAACTTTGCGGTTTACCTTGTTTCCGAGGGCAGGAGTCAAACCCCAGAATCCGCTGAACGGGGTCTCGTCCTTCTCGAGGAACTCAACAAGATCTTCAACGGAGAGAAGGATTCTGAAGCAGTCTACCGAGCACTTGTTTCTCTTGGCACACTTGTTGCCGCTCTCGGCGAAGAAGTCAAGACTGCCGCCAAGGAAGTCTATGAAATTGAAGGTGTGCTCGCCAGACTTTCAGCATCCGGCCCAGGCAGGGAGCCCCGCATCAAGGGTATTATTGGCGAGATTCGGGAAACACTCTGAGAGCCGGGTACTTTACAAGCATTCAGCATCCAGCGCATGTGTGCATAGATAAGAGATACATTACTTCCTAACGACGACAACGCAATTCCCCAGGAACTCAATTATCACATTTCATTTCATATCGTTCCACTTCAATAGTAGTCCTCTCTACACCCTACTAACTACCCACAACGACTGCCCTGGTGGAACTCACAGCTTCCCCTCAGCATCAACCCCAACCTCCAAAACCTGCTCAACACCCTCGTAAGCAGGCAAATCAAGCCCATACCTATCGGCAATACCCTTCGTCAAAAACCTACCTCCAATAAAATGCCGTCCCTTATAAAATTGCACACAAGGCTTTGGCGCCGTCAAACTAATCAGCGAACTAGGCATGAATCTCGCACCGGGTCCTTCCTTCGGTGGCCCGCTTTGAATATCCCATGAGCTGGGCGCGTCAACACTGAGCACGGGCACATTGGCTGATTCGATTTGTGAGACTATCTCGCCGAATGGATCGCGAAGTGGTCCGCCGAAGGAGAAGCCGAAGATTGAGTCCACTAGGAAATCTGTTCCTTGCAGGGCTGTTGGGAAGTCGGTTATGAATTGAACGGAGAGGTTTTCGAGTTGGATTCGAAGGCGCTGGATTGCATGTTAGATTGGGGTTTGGGGGTTGATGTATGATACGGCTGAAGTGGGTTAGACGTACTTGGTAGAGTTCGTTTTTGCCTTGTTTTGGGTAGTATACTGATGGTTTGTAGCCAAAGTGTGCTAGGTGACGGGCTGCTACAAGGCCATCTCCTCCTGTGGGGTGTTTGTTAGATCATGGACTTGATATTGGGTTTTGGGGTGTATAGACGTGGTCTTACCGTTGTTACCTGGTCCGCAGACAACTAGGATATTTTTACCTGCGCTTAGAGGGTGGACTTTCCATACTATTTCCTCATATATTAATACTTCATTGGTGTGGGTTGGGCTTGTTGGAGCTTACCGGCTTGCGCGACAGAGAGTCCTGCTAGCTCCATCAATTGGTCAAGGGACCAGCCGCCAACCTCCATCAAATCTTTGTCTAGGGCAGCGGCATCCTTAGAGGAGATTGCCTGATTGAAGACATAAGCATGAGCTCATGTATCCTGATTGCAGGTCTATCAAATGACTCTACCTTCAACGACATTGTTGCTGATTTACTGTAGCGCCGAATGGGAGCAGGAAGACAGATCCGCTTGAATGTAGAGCGGAACATACAATTATGGTAGCAAGAGAGTCTGTGTTAAGATCAATCGAGCGAAACAAAGAGAAAGAAAGAAGTCATGCATCACCTCATAAAGTCGATCTACAGGTTCTCACATTACATCACTACGCTAATCCCCAATGGGCAAACCCGGAACAACTATTCCGCCGGAACACCCAGAACTTTTGCGGAGGGCATCGCGACCAACAGACCTGTTTCGCGCCATCATTAATTGCAGATCACACATCCAAAATGGTTCTCCGGATCAGACTTGCCCGCTTTGGCAACAAGCACAACCCCTTCTACAACATTGTCGTCGCACAAGCCCGGTACGTGCCTATATTCTCCCTTGTCAACGGCCGAGTCTCCCGATCCACGTCGCCAACGCAAGACTGCAACATCGCCAGATGGAATATCATTGAGCATCCCGTTAAGAAATTCAATTGACTCTTATTTGAATAGCTCCGCCCGTGGCGCCAAGCCCCTCGAAGTCATCGGCACCTACAACCCCATCCCGAAGCGTCCCACGAACCTGTACAATGAGAACGCCAATGCTCGCCCATACAAGGAGGTAGCCCTCGATCGCTCGCGCGCACAGTACTGGCTCGGTGTTGGTGCGCAGCCCAGTGATCCCGTGTGGAAGCTGTTGGGCATGGTAAGCCAAATTCCACTCTTTCAAAGCGGTGACAGGTATTTGAGGATGATGAGTATCGTTCTCAGAGCGTACCGCTCTACCCGTTCACGCTATCATGCTGAAGTGTTGGTGCTAACTGAATGTGTCTATAGGGTGGCCTCGTGGTTCCTAAACCCACGACCTTCCACAAGGCGTGATCATCGACTTGTGTGTGACTTTTAAGGCGGTGACTGCGTACCACAGTCACTCTGACTCCAAGGGCTTCGGCTGACGGGGCCGCTTGGATTGGGGAAAGCCTTCCCTGGGAGGACTCAGGGGACTGGTGGTGAGAAGGCCGTCTGTTTGATTTGTGTTGGCATTTTCGGCGTTTATTGAGTTGCCTGGGAACATCTCTGTATATTATGGCAGCCTAGCTGCGTTGGCTCTGGAAAGGGCATGATTATCTACGACTTGAGTGTCAGGAATGTGGTAAACATGCACGCTGTAGGCTGTCTGTACCTCGGGTAGATACCAACTTAGGTGCATGAACTAGGCACCACCCTGGTGTCTACCTAATACCTATTTAGGTATCTTGTAGTGACTAGACTCATTAAGCATCAGGTTACGCGTAGACCAAGGTTTAAAGTGCGGTATTTAAGCCCTCAAGACATTCCCTATGTTGACGCGCTTATGACCGCTCCAGGCACTAAGATCAGCCAAGCGATGTCTTCTCTCCACGGCCCAACCATACTCTTGAGCGCCCCCTCGATAAGGTCGAGTCATTTCCCCGTGGCAGCCAATCCCATGTGTTGCCAGGGTTCACCCCGTGGCAATTGGTCCATTGTGGAGGATCGTCGACATTTGACTTTCTTTGGACCTGACTTGTAGATTCTGGTTGAACGGGATATGCAAGTTTATTGAAGTCTTTGCTAAGTGAGTATAAGCTTCACTTAGACTTGTCAATAGGCTGCACTATAGACCGGGACATAGGATATAGAGGTTGACTACCTTTGGTTCCCGGTAGACACACCCCTGTATGGTATCTTGTGAATGGAGCCCCAACAGCCGAGCCACATGGAACATTCAAACATGCATCTAGAAGAGATCGTAAGGTCCACCACACAGTCTGTCAATGTACGAAGTCAAGCAAGTTAGTCAGAAAGAATGTATTATGGGCACGCACTTGGATCTCTGCAAGCGGACAGGTTCCAGGGTCACAGTGTAAAACGGTAACGATGTACTGTCATATACTCTGAGGTACTTCCTACAGTATGGAGATCCCCATACTACCCCATGTACCACCTGTGTCACATACCTGTTCCTCAATGAGTCGCGTCGTGAGAGCAGATCCATGGATCTGGCACTTGTGGACTGAACTCGACCGTTCCGGACTCTTTTCTCTCCCCCCCTTCTCTTCCTCCCCCCTGCCCTCCCCCTCTTGCATTCTCCATCCATCTTTATTCTCTGTCGCCCGTCGCATTACAATTCTCGATCTGATTCTTCGATCCCTTTGCATCATTTCTGATCGCATCATCTTGCGCACCTCATCGCGACATTTCCGACTCGCGACACCCCCCGATCCCTGATCTATCTCACCCGGGGTCGCGACAAAGGCGAAAAATTCGAAACTTCAATACTCGTGGAGGGATGAGCGGTAGCTCTAACCAGTCCACTCGTACGAGTCCAGGCTCTTTTGGAACCACGCAGCTGACAGAGTCCGTGTCGTCTGGTTCATCGCCCCCACAGCAGTCTCTCTCTTCGGCGCCCTCGACGGCTCAGCATGCGATGTCGACCGACGTGTATAGCCCGAATGCGTCGCAAGCGCCCTCTCTGAACAACTCCTTCTCCTACCCTTTCTCCCCGATCGGTACCTCGGCTTCGTTCGATAACAACATGCGCCTGGGCGATACCGACCGTAACCTCCAGGGCCTGAACGGCCTGGGTCGTAGTGGAGGCGCGATTTTGATGCGCAAACTGCCACGAAACACTAGTCGCGAAGCCTTGCGCAGCATGCTCCTGTTTGCCAAGGAACTAGTGGATGCCGACTTTGTGACCCTGGATCTGCCGGAGGATGACGGCTTCTTAACCGCGATCGCGCGATTCCACACTCTGCCCGCCGCCGAGGAAGCCAGAGCCTTGCTTGACGGCAAACCCAACTCCAAGAACGACGCCAACATGATTGTTGAGATGTACCCGGGTGGTCCCATGGGATCCGCCATGTCAAACGCGCGTCGCAATACGATCGATCACACCGCGAGCCGTGCATTGCTGGGGGGTGTTCCCTCAAATGGACCCCTGGCGCGTCAATCTTCGCGTTTCAACAACACTTTCCAGAGTTTGGAGAGAATCTCGGCCGCGAACCCCAACCAAGTCATCGGTGAGGGGCTTCCCCAAACCTCGGAATCGGGCTCGCGCATGCATAGCCTCTTCTCCCCACATTCTCCGATCGGAAACGGCATCGATAAGCTCCCTCGTATAACCGGGAAGTCTATGATCGATGAGGATCCGGACGAGGAGACTGGGGAGTTGTTGAAGGATCCAGTGGGTTACGCGGAGAATGGACACTCCGCTGGTCCTCCCCGCCGTTCTACCAACCCCCAAATTCCAACCGGTCGCTTTGCCAACCTGTCTCTCTCAACCAACATGTCCTCTCCTCCTCTGCCGAATTACTCCGGAGGAGTGGGACAGCGCATGGGCGGTGGAGCGCCAGCATCCGCCTACCCGAACCAAGGCCATGGTTTCCCATACAGTGCCCAGCACACACCGCGACACAGCCTTCCTGCTGCCAACCCTAATGATTTGAACCCTCCTTGCAACACATTGTACGTGGGCAACTTGCCACCGGACACTTCGGAGGAAGAGCTCAAGGCGCTCTTTTCTAAGCAACGTGGATACAAGCGACTTTGTTTCAGAAACAAGCAGAATGGTCCCATGTGCTTCGTTGAATTCGACGAGGTCGCCATGGCCAGCAAGGCACTCAATGAGCTGTACGGTTACAAGCTGTCAAACAGCGTCAAGACCGGCATTCGTCTCAGTTTCTCCAAGAATCCCTTGGGTGTGCGCTCCGGTCAGCCCGGCAGCATGAGCTCTTCCAACTCAATCTCTGGACAGGGCGCATCCTCCGGAGGCAGTAGCCTAGGTGGCATGCACAACAACATGTTTTCCGCTGTCAATGGACCTCCCCCTGGCCTTGCGGCACCTCCGGGCCTCGGCATGGCCTTACCCACGCCCATGCGCAATGGAAACAACATGCACGCCCCCAACCCACATGCTGGCCTGATGAGCAACGGTTCATATAATCCCAACTCGGGCCTGGGAATCCGAAACGGTGGCAATTCTATGATGATGTCCCCACCTCCTCCTGGGAGCGCCGGCGGCAACAACGGGCCGAATCTGAACGGCTATAATTCCTTCTACCCCGATTACATGATGGGTCGTTAAGACCAAGCATTATATTGAGATAATGTCCGGCATGTTTGAACGAATTGGGGTATCTGGCGCATTGGTGATTCCTTTCATTTCGTGAGCTAGATCAGCATTCGGCGGCTGCATAACTCTCGGGAGTATTGTTACGGATTTGCTTTCTGATTTCTTCTTCTTTTTCTTGATTTCCCCCCCTTTTCTGGCTTTTGCTTCTTATTGCATGGGAACCCGGGCGCTCTTACATTCCTTATTTGTCTTCATTTCATTGGGAGGATTGCATTTCAGGTCATTGCCACACTTGTATTCTTATTTGGTCGGTGCGAGGCGCTCGAGTAGCGCATTTGTTTCTGCCACTTTCGTTTCGTCCACACCATACCCTAGTTTTCTTGCTGAGTTTGTCTTTATCTCGCTCATCTTGGGTTGGATCTGTCTGACCAGGATCCCCCCGAGCTATTATCTATTTTATTTGACGTGATTCCCCCTGTTCTGTTTTCATCTATCTCTGGATCTTTTCGATGCATCGTCGTGCGAGGATCGGAATGGATTTTGCTGATTTACCCTGCAATGCGTGTGTCTATTTCTACCCAAGTATGAAAAAGAAGGGTCTTATGTGGCTTTCTTTAGCTTCTCTTTCTAATATCTCTCTACTCAAATGGCATGAGCTATGGAAGGACATGACATCGGCTTTACGCTGACTACATATTGTCCCCGGCGTTGGTTTTGATATTTCTTTGCAATTTCTCTTTTAGCGGTGGATGTCTTGCTCACGTTGATGTTGATGTTTGATGCACTCTTGACGGCTCTTGCACAGTCATTCGCTCTTGGTCTATGCTCTTTGCGGGATATGAAGATGGGCAGTCGCGTTGTCTATGTTTATTTACCCGTCTTGCTTGGTGGTATGATACTGATGCATTGGCTTTGATGTACTTCATACAATGAACTTGTTCCAGCAATGATCAACAATATTCACAGTAGGATTATAATCACTCGCGTACAGACATGTCCAGTAGTCTGGTGATCGGAGCTTCGCGTGGAGATATGATCACGTGATAACACTACCGAAAAGTTTCTTCTCACCAAACACTCCCGGTGCTGTCCGACTTCCCATCTGCCAATTGCATTCAATTGCAACAGTGTTTCCTTTTTTGTTTAACAGCGTTTCCTATTCTCTTCCTTGATTCCCCTTTTCATATCTCCCTTTATTTTTCTCAATTCCTTCAAGATGCCACCCCGGGTACAGACCGGGCGTGTGTCCAACACCCTCCTCCCCTACCTCACCTCCACATCCTCCACAACCTCCTCCCTCCCTTCATCCTCTTCACAATGCCTCCGTCAGTTCTCTGCCACGACGGCTTCTCAAACGAAGCTTCGTCGGCAGATGTTCGAATGGCTTAGCACCGCCGGTGCTGGACTGAAAAACCATGTTCCTGGAGAGACCAACTATCTGTCCCGGTTAAAACAGGGTGGCCCCGATGATTCAAATCGGCCATTCCCTAACAACCCCAACTTCGTCAGTGAGAGTATTCTCAGCGAGGATCTCCGCGAAGAAATTTATAAACGTGTCGTTACCAAGAAGCAGAGTCTTCGTGCTGTCAGCGTGGAGCTTGGAATTGATATGAAGCGAATCGCTGCCGTCGTGAGATTGGTGGAATTGGAGAAGAGGCAACGCTCACAGGTAAGAATCTTGTTCTTCTATTCCTCTCTTTTTTTTGGACTTTCCCTCCCTCTCGCATATGATGAGTCAAAAAAAAATTCGATTAGTCTTGAAGACACCAACATGGTTACACCTTACTTTTTGAACTGAATTGCGCTACAACACACTTTTGGATATCTGTCACAATTGGCCTGAACGCATAACTGACAAATTCAATCAGGGCAAACCTCTCGCACTTCCATACGCACGGGCAGTCCACGAAATGGTCCCCGTAACCCCCCTCGCCGACAGAGGCGAGCGCCAAACGTACCACGAGTCAATTAACGACCTTCCCGCCCACCCTTTAACAGGATCGCAAATCTTCTACCCAGTCCCTGAATCGCGTTCCTTTAACCGAGTTGAAGCCGGTCGTGTCTTCTCCGGCGCCCCAGCCATGACCAATGAAGAAGCCGCTGAGATCCAACACCCCTACGACCTAGCCCAGAAAGTGATCGAAGACCCCAAGTCAATCGGCTGGATCGGCAAGGGCGAAAAGGCCCGCCAGATCCTTCAGCCCGCCGACGCCCGTATCCCACACCCACACATGATCGGTCTCGAACGCGACCGCCTCGCACACCCCAACGAGCGTCTCACTGTTCAGCGACGCCACTCTGACCGTCTCGCTCGCCAGGAAGCCCTCGAGCAGGAGGCCCGCCAGCGCGCCCAGGAACATCGCGAGGCTAGCCAGAAGACTGTGTCTCCTGCCGACTCGCGCTTCGATTACCGCATTCAGGACACCAAGTTCACCAAGGAGACCACTGGTGCCAATGGCCGTGCTCCTTGGGCTGTTGGTCGTCGCTACGGTGTCCCGCACGAGGACCGTACTCGTGGCACAGTCAAGATCCCAACTCGTGTTGACGCTTAAACGGCTGAATGCTGCCTCTCGATTGTATACTTCTTACCCTGTTTTTGAGCATTGTCCCGGCTGTGTCGGGCTTTTGTACTTTTATTGTATGCATACACTTGTATGATGGGGTGTCTAATTGCTATGTATCTATACCAAACTATTTGACTATTCTCACGATCTGAGTATCCAGTTTTATTGTCCTACCTAGCACACTCCGGAAACATAGCTTGTCATAGTAAACTCCAGGTGAACCAGATTAGATGAAGACAGAATGGTAATCCAGTACCAATATCCTCATGAAAGAAAGCAAGTAAACCCCGAAAAAACATCAAAAACACAATAATCAGCTAGCGCCTGGCGAAATCATCAAAAGAAACCAGTAAACGAGTAAACGAGTCGAACGTCGAAATACAAAACCGCAATGCAATCTGAATCGATTCATCAGCCCACCAGCCCGAGAACCACCCCTCGCTCCAACACAAGAGCTTCCACCCCCAGGTCCAAGGATAGCACTCGAATGCGAAGGCGAAATCGGGACAAAAGTCGATGTCGAAGGCCTAGTCAAATCAAAGCCAAGCCCATATCCATAACCGCTAGTCTCAATGAGCCTCCCCAACAGACCTACACCGTCCACCCCTCCTCGTCCCAACCCAGCCCGAGACAGCATCAGACTCAGATTCAGACTCAATGTGGGAATTTGGACCTTGGAAGAGGTTCCCAATGGACGCTAGGACATTTTGGAGCCAGCCGTTATTTGTCTGGGGAATTGGAGAGGGTGTAGATTGCATCATGGCAGGAAGCGCTCAGGTGGATGATGGTGATGGTGATGGTGATGGTGATGGTGATGGTGATGGTGATGGTGATGGTGATGGTGATGTGGGGGTTTGGGGGTGGAGGGGCATTAAAGAGAGCAGTGGATGATCAGATGAGACAGAACTGCTTATTGGTATTTGCAGTATTGAAGCTGGATATGGATATCAATCGTGGACCACAGGCAAGGTCAAGAGCAAGCTGTAGAAGAGCGAGAAGAAAACGAACAGAAAGGACACGAGCACGCGATACATCGTTAAATAACCACAGTCTACAATCACATGCTGTACCATGCACTTTGCTTCATGCAACTCCCCCTCATAGGAGAGCGAGAATGACCCTATCAGACGACCGCGTCCTGCTCGGTCTGGATAGCGTGGAATGGGAACTGGGGGGGGGGGAAGAGACACAGAATGGGGGCTAGGTCTTGGTCACATGCACCGGTACCCAACTTGCTATTCTTTGCAGATTGGATGCTTCTCTCTTGGGGGTTTGTTTGCGGGTTTGAGGTGTAGCTTGGTGGTGATCTACGCTCTTCTGCAGAGTTGTGCATTTGGGGCTGTTGCTGGTGGCTGGAACCATGTCGATCTGGCTTTCAATGGGGGTACAAGGTCACGTCGTGGTGATCGTTTTCTTTTCTTTTTTTTTTTTGGGAGGGTCGAGGGTTCTTTGTGTCACGGTGTGCGTGTCGTTCTTTTATGGCTGAGACAGGAGGTTTTTGGTACTTTGTTGCTTTTGTGCTTGTCTGTTGCGCATATTTTCACTTGTTATTAGGGGGCTGGCGGAATGGAAAAGGCAACTATGTTAATTCTGACTATGAACAGCATTTGTAATCCTGTAGATATCAAGCTAAAGATGGGAGAGTACAGCGTACTCGTGGTCAATGAGGGTAAGTCGGTGTAAGAGTCGGCCAAGGATCGTCAACTTTATTTGATGCAGCCAATTAAAAGTATTTTGTCCTTCTCGATTCCAGAAATCATAGCCTTGTTCAAAACCACTTTCATTCAGCCAATGCACTAGAGAGAACTGATGATGCAGCCTGTTTGTACATATGTAGCATGAAAAGTTAGACGCTTCGCGTTGTCAGTTTCGATAACAAAATGAGAAACAGGTAGCCATGTCTCTTACGTCCCGAATATACCACCGAACCTGATCATTGCAGCGCCGGTACGGTCAAATTAAACACATTGTCTCGATCAAAGCCATGCTTGAGATCCCTCACGACAGTCGACATTGGCCCATAGAGCTTCTCAAGTACCTCCTCCGCCTGCTTGCCCTGAGTATTAAACAAGGAAATATAAGGCGTAGCCAACAGATTCCCCGGTTCGACGGTCTCGATCTCACGAAGAATGCCCTTCGCCCAAGTTTCCCCGTCCAGCTTTTGCTCATCAGCCGAGGAGAATCCCAGAATCTCCAACATGAAATGCGGCTCCCGAGCAACAAAAACCGAAGCCCGATCCTGGGGCTTAGTGGAAGGCCCCCTCAACTGGTGAACAGACAGCATACACTCCGGATTCTGCGGCATGTCCCGCAAACGCCGGCCAATAATTCCAGCCACAGCCGGCGAGATCGAATGCACACTGTGTGTAAAGTTGCCGAACCCAAACACTCTCTCAGGAATCATGCGCCCATTGCCAGCAAACCAGTCCGGCATAGCCATAGGAGCAACGGTGTTCATCATCAGAGGCGCCAAGCCCGCAATCTTTTCCTTCCACCGCTGGCCCTCCGCCATATCAGCTCCACTCCAAACAAACCCCACGCCAAACATACGCCCCGGTGGGGCGTTGACGGCCATTTGTTGTAATGTCAGTTGTGGTGGCAACCCCTCAGTATCAAGAAGTGACTGGTAAGCAGCGTTGAAGTCGACAAAGGTCTTTTCTATATCGCTGGGATCGAAGAAGATGGCCCCGGCGAGGAGATTGCTCAGGGGGTAGACCTGGACCGTAAGATCGAGAATAACGCCAAAGAGACCCCCGGCGCCGCGGATCCCCTGCAAAATGGTCTCATCTGCTGTGACAATTTCCCCGTCCGGGTTCATGACCGTCGCGCCTAAGATCTGGTCCACGCCGAGACCCCAATGCGAGGAAAAGGCTCCGTATCCGCCGTACGTGGCCCAGCCGACGTAGCCAACGGATGGGACCGAGCCGAGGGGTGTACCGAGCCCTTCGGCCCAGAGGTGGCTGCCTACTTCTCCTTGGAGAGTTCCGCCTTGAATAGTGGCTGATTGTCGGTCCTCGGAGATGGAGACCTTGTTTAGCGCTCGGAGATCGATTACGAGGGCATCCTCGACTAGAGTTCGGCCTTCAAGATTGTGACCTCCGGTGCGGAGGGTGAAGGGGATCGAATTGGCTTGGGCATATTTTATCAAGGTCGATATCTCGCCCGCGGTTTGGGGATACACCACTGCAAGAGGGTTGTCGGGGCGGCTTGCGTTGAAGACTGTACGGGCTTGGGCATATTCAGCTGAGGATTGAAGGACATATTTTATCGAGTTGGCTTGGAAGAAGTCTTCCAGAGCCGAGGATGTTGGTTTCATGTCAGACATAATGGATAATGCTCGGAGTAGCCAGTAGTACTGATTGGTTGTAGTGTTGCGTCAATGAATAAACCCCCAAGGTAAGGAGAATAGGCTCCCTTTATATGCTGGGCTATACGAGCCTCGCCTGTTAGCTTCGTGAGGTCTCCTTCCATATTCCCGGGGGGGGGGGGGGCGCCAACCATATCCTCGGGGCTGAGCATATGAAAAGTTGGGGGCCTTAAGATCAGACGCTGGCAACATATGACTCTTGGCATCCATAGGCGTATACGCGTATAAGCATATGCCCCTTGGTAGGATTCGCTATGTCTGACATTAATCTCGTTCTAATGTGCGTCAGATCCCGCTTCATGGGAAGCTTAGCGGATAGTCGAGCTCCGGAGATCGTGGCATTCGGATCTATATCGGGGATCTGAGACTCGGATTTAGGCGTCATGGTCGGTCTCCGTCACGTCGATCCTGCGGTGTTATGGTCGATCTCCGAGCAAGCAGCGACCGCAAAAGAACGAGGGTCAGAGCTTCGGTTTAGAAGCAAGATATTTGTGCTATCTTCTCTGTGCCTTTTTTTTCTTGAACATAGAAAGTACTCTGTCCAATGAGTCTATGTACTTTTCATCACTGCGTAGAAGTTGTTAGAAGTTGCTCACAATATCTGTAGTGTTGGAGATAGAAGTTGTATGACTGCTAGCTAGAGAAAATCTCGAATATCTGCACAAGCCCTCATATAACTTGCGTGGAAAAATAAGGGACCTACTGAGGGAACTGTGTTTTCTCCATCAAAAAGGCGCGCAATTTCTTCGAGAGCGTAGCCTTTGGTTTCTGGAAACGAAGTAGACGACGATGAAACCAATGGCAACCCGTGGAAGGAAGATCAGGTAGAACTTCCAGTCCAATGGGGACCGCATAGGTAGAGATGAAGAAAGCCTGACCTCGCATACGAAGGTGGAATGGAAAGAGTCTCAGCAATGTACAAACCAAAAATGCCATTGATACCGAAATTGTAGGCCGAAGAGAATAGATAATTAGAGAAAGGCGACCACCGCGCCTCCTGCTGCTAAGAATGCTTTGCAAACATGGCACTGTCCGTGGTGATACCCATCAGACAGAGGAAGATAACAACACCTGGGCCAGGGAACGGTACTCGAGCTTAATGGGAAAAGTCTTCTCTCGGTCTGCAGGATGTCACCTCTCAACTTGGGATTCATGTTTCGGCTGGCTGGTAGTCGGCACTACTTGGAGCTGGAGGTTGAGCATAACATGACAGCAATCCTTGACTTCCGATTTGAATAGCCCAGTCACGCCGGTAGCCTCCTATAGGTGACCTAGTCTGAGTGCTATGAGGATGTACCGAAGTTACTCCCCGGATTCGACGCAAAGGTGACTGTCATGATACAAGCAAGAAGATCACTGGACCAAAGGATAAGGATTATTCGGCGGGGTCACCGCAAAAGCGTTCAAAAGCAGTCTGAAGTATCATGAAACTTTCGCAGGTGAAGAGGTGTTTGCACCTTTCTATTTCCGCACACGTCGATTCCTAGCACTAATCATTCAAGTGGCCGAGCACTCGGACCTTACGCTAAAGGATATTGAACTGACCAAAACCAACTACCTTGTACAAGAGCATGCAGTTTACAACGTTTCTTTAACAGACGCATCGTACCGAGGCCCGTGGACGACCAGCATCTGCACCCTCTCAATTTCATGCATGAACAGTGATCAGCGATCATCTTGAATACCTTCCATGATGCCACATGTGTTCGTCAGACCATGCCAGTGTGTGATGATGTGCTGGAGTCATTTGCTCGGTGACGCATGGGGAAGCTCCCCTCTGTACGAATCTATGACTGAGGTTGCTGGCGTGCGACTGGCGGCGCCGGGGTCGAATGGTATGATCTTTCATGCGCGGGTCAGCTTGTTCAGTAATCTTGATGCTAAAGTCCCCTTTTATGTGAACGGGACGTTGGCTGTTGCTCCTGTGCATTGGGAACGGAGGGAAATATCACCCAGGTATCACTGTCCGTGAAATTGGATTCGGGTGAAACAGTCACCATGCCCATTCGAATGATTTTCGTGGATGGACATGATGAAACGATAAATGATGTTAGAGACATTCATGTTGCTATGGAAGCTACCTGAAGAATGTTTTCAGTGTTATTCTGGAGGAAATGCCTTGGGAGGTGTGATCCTTGTAGAAAATCACTGTTCGGATCACAGATGTAGAACAGTACACAATACAGAGCATGCTATGAGGCAAGGAGGATGTTTGGTCACCAAAAAGAAGATGGTGTACTAGACCGCCGTAGAGGGCAATGCATGGAGGGGCAAGCAAGGATATGAGAAAGGCCACCAACAGAGTGACATTGGCTTGAGATGAATGAATGAACTAACCAGCACAATAAGGGCAGTACCCTGGATCATGTAGTGAACTAAATACAAGACGGAAGCGATAACCAAGCCCACCGTCATAAAATTTGAAGAGAGAGATAGTAGAAGATGGTACAATGTGAAATAAAAAAGGAAAAAGAAAAGTAGAAGCATTAGGACATCTCGTTCGTGTACATGAGTATGCCCACAGCAAGTAAATGGATACAAGACCCATAAATAGGACACCGTATACAAACAGGCAAAAAGGCACAAAATAAAAAGGAAAAATTGCGCAGGCAGATGGCAGATGCGTATGCAGCCAAAACTGGTTAGATATATCCATGCAACAAGCAAGGGAAATGGCAATAAATGGCGATTTGAACCCGAAAAGCTCAAAGGGCGCCTATGATACCACGAGTGAAGAGGGTTGGTGAGAAAGGGGATTGAAAGACGTTGCTATGCGGGGTATCCAAAGGAAGAGACAGATTGAATCAAACATGTTGGAAAGATCGTTGGAAGTGTATAGTGGCCTTGGCTGGGCCTGGGAGTCTCGGGGAAATAATGATTTACTCTGGGGCGCTATTGTCCTCACTTGTAGGCGCAAGATCTCCAGGGGTGGTTTGTGGACTCGAGGGCGAATCTATACTATCAGGGCTGCCACTGCCCCATGAATCTTCCCGCATAATCTCTGCAGAATCAGGAAGGCCGGGTCTGTCTTTGAGTTGATCTGGCTTTGGTGTCTTGAAAGTCGTGCGAGCGCTAGAAGGCGAGGAAGGGTCTTCTTGGGCAGGTTCAACGCGATGACCACCTTGCATGGGGCTGGCGGCGTTGTCAATGGCTGGAGAGCTGGGTCGAGGGGAATCCATGAAGCCTCGCCATTTCCGCCAGCCCTCAAAGTCAATGAGGGCTTGCATGCAGCCCCATTCTGTCACCTTCTGCTCGAGCCAAGGGAAACCAACCGGCTTGGTCAAGAAATCGTTGCAACCAGCGGCCAAGGCTTCGTGTCGATCACTTTGCAAACTACTTGCTGTCAAAGCGACGATAATGACTGGACTCCGGAAGAGCGACAGGTCAGGCAAAGTGTCATCCTCGCTGAGGGTCCGCTGGAGACCGGGTCTTCTATCCAGCAAAGCGGTACTAGACACACTAGAGCGTCCAGAGGCTGTCTTAGGGAACACACCAATACCATTGAGGCGCTCAAGACGTCGGATCTCCTTGGTTGCGTCTAGTCCGTTCATGACGGGAAGCTGGATATCCATCAACACCAGATGGAAACCGCCTTGCCGCCATTTCCGCACTGCTTCCTCACCGTTTGCGGCACACTTCCAACGCACTTTCAATCTCTTCATGAAAGCTTCCAGGAGCTTCTGGTTGATGATGTTGTCTTCCACAATGAGCACATTAATTGGTGGAACAGTACCATCGATCAATCCACCAAAGACTGCGCCAGGGGAGACTGCCGCTTTTGTTTTGCGAACAGAGCGTGGTGATGATACTGCTGGGGGGGTGTGTGATTTGACTTGTGGAGACTCTGCTACTGATACCGGAGGCGTTGAACCAGAAGGAGCGGCAACTGTTGGGGGAGGTTGAGCGTGGGGAGAAGGACCGGTTTCTACAAATATCAGTCACTATTCCAAACAAAGTGATGTTGTATTACATACCTGTTACGACAGGAATATGGCCATGAATCGTGGGGGAGTTTGTTGCGTGTCGCGTCAGCGGAGGTCGTTGGTGATGCCGCCTGCGGTTCCCTGGAGATGGTAATGGAGGAGCAACCCCGGTATTGAGTATGGAAATCGAAGGTGCACTCGCCGCTGCTGCAGGAACTGGGTGTGGATGTGCGGCCGGGCTGCTGGAGGTCGGGTTGACGGGCATGAGGGGGAAGTAATCGCCATGTTCGCCTGGTTCAGAATTATGATGGGTGTATATCGAGTGGCGCGGAGATGGCTTTGGTGTTCGGCGCGTCGGTGCCTCGATCATCAACGCTTCCTCAATTTTCTGTCCACCGGGGTAGTAGGCGTCGAGCAGAGATGACAAAACTTCCTCTGGGCTCAACAGGCGTTCTGGGTGGGTTTGTCGATTTGATCCTTCTCGTGGTGCTATTCTGATCACGATATCTGGCGAGTCGAAACTTCTTCCTAGCGAATTGACATATTTCATGATCACTTGGTCGCGGAGCTCATCCACCACCGCGTCCTCCATGCACGGCACCAAGGTGGCTGAGCCACCGGGTCGTTTGACCCAAATCCGACGTTGTACCATTTCGCGAGGAGGGGCAGGAGCAAAATCGCTTATCTGGTCTCCTAGTGCAGAGAAGATATTCGCCTCCAACAGCCCACCAACCAAGTGCTGATGTGTCGCTGGTAGAAGAGATTGACGGCGGATCGCAAGACTAGGTCGCTTACTCGAGGAAGGAGTGTAATAGGGCGCAGAAGGCCTACGGTCGTATGCAGGCCACTCAACAACAGTGTTGAGGGTGGGAGTCAACTGGCTCGCAGCTGGTGTTGAGGCTTGAGCTTTGTGGGTCGACTGGAAGGAGGTGCTGTCGGAATGCTGAGGAGTTGGCAACGGAGGTGTTTCGAGGAGGGACGAAGGGCCCGTGAGAGGAGTATGTAGCGAAGAGGTATGCGCTTCGGGAGACGATGTACAAGTACGGTTCTCAGGTGTTGGCTGTCTGTCCGACTGTGGCGCGGAAACCGGTTCGTGCGGTCCTAGCGATAGGGGTTTGTGTTCGGTAGGACCGATAGTATCGGCACAATGCGAAGAGACGATGCTATACGCCGGGGATTTGTTGGAGTCGACAAGCTGCGGAGCAGAGGGAGAGTTTGAGATGGAGTGGACCGGATCCGCCCCGTCCGCTTTAGGAATTGGTGATCGTCGTAACAGCTTCGCCTTCAGACGCGACAACCTGTCTGGCATCGTGGTGGTTCTCAAGCCATTCTTGAGGGAAGATATAGGGGAATTACTGCTCGTAGTGGAGGTAATTTTTTGCACTCCCGTCTGGAGAGGAGAGAGAGGGGGTAAGTGCTAGTGACACAACAAAAGTCAGCGATCAAGCTATGGCCGCTGAAACGCCTGTGATTTGCTTTAGCTAAGATTCACCGCTTGAGTAGCTTCAATTGCCTTTCCTGCCCAATTATACTGCACTTTTGCCTGATTAAAGTAAAGTCGTCGCAACACATTAGTCCCCATATGCCATGTAGGTGGGTTTTACCTACCACAATTAATCCAGGGGGCTAAAATGAGCACTTCTGTCTCTCTAGTCCCATTGTAGCTAATATCAATATCCCCATCTGGACAATTTAATTGCATCGATGCGTATACAAACAAATCTAGTCTCTGATAAAAACAGTAGTACTATAATTACCTATAGGGTGCCAAAGTGTCTAGTGAAGACTCCAGTGGATAGTCAAGTCACTTTCAGGTAGCAGACAAATCCAGTAAATACCAAGTGCCATGGATAACTTGTATAACAGTGTTTCATACATGCTCGGCCAACGTGCCTGTGGGCTTTAGAAATTGGGCCCAACTTGCTACATTTTGGCCTATGGGTATACGAACGTGAGTCATGAAACAATATCTATTTACAATCTGACTATATGATAGATCACAAAAGCATTTTTGACACTTAACGCTTTGCAACAGGGTCGATTTCAGCATCGTCTGATGCTGTTCGTTCCGTGTTTGTTCGTGTCTGGTTTTCAGCCTTCTCGGGCCCCGGAATACCCCCCTTTTTCGAGGTCATGCGTGTCTTGAATATTATTTTCATCAAGTAGTTCATCAATGCTAATGCCTCTGGTCTTTGCCTCTTTGCGCAGCTTGCGATACCGAATTCGCCAGATGGTGTGGCTGATATATATTCCCGACTCAAGAACAACCCTGCATGTGTATGTCAGTTTCAATCCAAGAGCTACAGTAAGAATGACATACACCAAAATATACATAATCCCTCCTAAGATATCAAATGAGCCTTGAGCCGCTGTATTCGCATTAGCAATCTTGCATTGACGTCCTAGGACTCGGGTTGATCGTACCTAATGCGAAGAGGGAAAACAGTCCACCCAGTGTATCAATGGACAAAAAGACCCAATCTACCAACATGAGTAAGTATTTCAAGTACCCAGAGATTTGAAAGCCACTCACTGAAGCCAATAACACGTCCATCTCTCTTCCATAACTCAAAGTAAGGTGGCAACAGACCAGCACTGAGAAAGAGAGTAGCCACAACCCCGACCACAATATCAGGCCATGTTACGCCATTGTTATATGGGATCTATCATGTCAAGTTAGAAGCTCACCAAATAAATTAAAAGTCAACAGAAAAGAAGTAAGAACCTACCCTCAGAGTAAGAATAAGAATAGCCTCCAATCCTCCAAACAAAACAATCATCCCAGAGCAAACCAAAAAAGCCCTGGTTTTGCTATAGTCACTATTAAAATCAAGAATAAGAATTAGAACCACCCAGGCAATAGAGTTACAAATGCACTAGAAGAAATCATCAAAAACACAGTATAACTCCACTCACTGATTATAGTAAAGAACCTGACCCCAACTAATAAGCGAAAAGAACCCAAAGATCTGAGGCTGAATCTGTAACGGGATATTGACTTGCTATACAACGAGACGGCGGTCAGTAAATAAGCAAGCAAGGTACCATGATTACAGTTTTATCAACGACCCCAAAAATGAGCACGAGACTTTACCTGCAGGACCAGATATGCTCCCATTGGCACGGAACCTGCATGAATAACAATAAGTAAAAGGCAATTTTGATTTCAATTTCATTTCTGAAGCACGTTTCTTTTTCGATATTGCTCTTGTGGGTATGCCTCCATGGAACATATCGAGGAAACGAAGAACCAGAGCCATGTTTGAGGCAGATTGGGGAATATTCAACACTTACAACATGCCCAAAGAAACATCATCGAAGCGGGGAATCCATCTGTATTCTTCCGACGCCAATTGTGCCATATTTGCGGGATTAGTTGGATGCACCAGAGGACTGTGCCGATTGTGCCGAGGATGTTGGATGATAGCGTTATATTGGAGGACGACATTGTTGTTTGGTACGGTGCGTATACCAAAAGTATTTCAGATAAATTGAGGTAGTCGTATTCCAGCCCGAATGGGTTTCCCGAAGAACAGACGAGGACTCTGGATAGAATGAGAATAAATGAAATGTCGATACTATACTCTCTCCTCCAAGACAGAGATAATAGGTGATACTTATAACCACCGACCTTGCACACCGACACTAGGTAGCATCCAAAATTGAACGCAGTTTCCTCCGCTTCTCCAAAAACAGAAGAAGCACAACCGGAGATTAAACCCTAGCAGAACCCAGTATATCAGGAAGAGGAGCCAATCAAATCCAATTTGAGCCAACCGACTTTCCTCTTCTCACCACGCCGGAAAACAAGCGTCATGCGAGAACACTTGACCTGAAGATAGCCAGTCACGGATCTTGATGATATGCACGAGCGATGCAGATGCAGATGAAATTGTCAAGTGTCAGGTGTGTGCGTGGATAGATTTCGAGGTTCAGGTCTGGGTTTGTCAACCCCCGAGAATGGCCGTTTCTTGGCTGAGATGAGTATACAGGATGCAGCAGAGTGGGAGAATAGAGAAGATTGTGCAGATGAATGTATGGTATAGGAAAGAGACCAGAAATAACAATACATAGGCGAAGTAACGGAAAAGACCAAGGAAGAAACTAAAGCTCGAGCAGACGATACAGCGGTGAATATCTAGACGCTGGACCCAGTTAGTATTGAGTTGTCATTCGGTGACTATTGGTTGTGCATTAGCACGGTTTTGTGATAATGGGCGTTATCTTTGCTTCGTCAGAGAAGACAGAACAAGAAGAGATCAGAGAAGATCGAGGCAGAGAGAGAGGATACAATACTAGATATCGATCTATGAACCTCATCTTCCCCAACCTAGACCCTTTTCCCCCGATATTTAAGACCAAATATTCCCATTTCAGTAAACCTCATTGGCAGAAAGACGAGATCCGGGCTTAGGGACTAGTACTAGAGGGGGTAATAGACGGAGAAGAGGTAGCTGTAGATGCATTAAGTAGCCTTTAGCGTTCATCCCCATGTTATTTTGATGTTGGCATAGTGTAGGCTTGATTTCTCCGATATACAAGGTAATTCCCTGTTTTTACTATCTCGTCTGGTCTGGACTGTTGATTGTTCCAGCGACTTTGAGTGGAGCTGTGGTGGGGTCGGAGGGGCTTGTGGGATGATAGATAACGGGTTTGGTATTGTGGGAGGTTTGTTTCATATTGCTATAAGTGAGCTTGACTTGTAGTTAAGCTTATGGGCTAGATTGTTTGATATATGGATTGGGCTACTATAGCCTTGGAACTCCGGCATTGTATAGTTGATATTGCCCCATAAGTCATTGTTCCTCATTGTTCAATTCTCCGGTGCACATACCACCCAACACGTGGCTAGCCATTAGACTTGACGTGTCTATTCCTTCAAACTTGCCATCACTTATAAGATGACGCTACTTTGATAGAGGTCTGTGGTTAATTCTATGGTTCTACACGTTACACAGTGGGGAACTGAACCGGGGTTGGGCTACTTCGAGCCACGGTTGCCCCCAAATTAGGGACTCGACCTTGAATATACACCCACGGTTGTTCTAGACTAGATTTTCTGTACGCGCGGATTTATCGAAAAGTAATGCATTGTGGTAGCACAGACCATGTATTCTTACTTTTCGCTCATGCAGAGAGCATAGCTTTAGATCAATCAATCCTAGCCAAGATATCCAACATGATGTAGTGAGAATTGCATCAGAACGACAAAAAGGAGCAAAAGGAAAGACTCGGGATAACCACCCGCTGTAAAACAAAAATCCAAGAAAAGCAACCCAGATCAAAAATACGTTCCAAGAAAAGAAAATAGACATGTAACAAAGGAGGCCATCAAGACATCACGTTAGGGGAACCAAAAAAATACACACACGTGTGGAGAGAGGATCCAAAGGGTATCAAGGGAAACGGAAACAGGTTTTGCGAAAGGGGAAGCGCGAAAAAGAAGAACAGACATCAACCGTACCAGCACTGATCACAGAAGGATCAAGTAGTTGGAGGGTGCAATGCCGGTGTCTCCGTTGGATTTCCGAGCCTGCCACCATCGGCCACTGACATCTGATACCTCGAGGATCTCGTGCTTGGCGAAGCTGATTTCATTCGCATCTTCGGGGTTGGCGTCGTATGAGTAGATCGCCTTCGCGCGGTAGGGGTAATCGGTGGGCTGGGGCACTTCGCCGGTTTCTTGTTCGCCGTTGTTGGGGACGCCGCTGGGTGTGCCGAAGCGAGGAGCGGAGGAGTTGCGTTCGGCGCCGGGCGCACCACCGGGGTAGCCGGACACGGGGGACGAGGTCTCAAAGCCACCTAGTTGGGCAGAGGTGTACATCTGCGGGGTGTTGTTGGTGGCCATGGTCTCGGGGCGGGCTCCGAATGCGCTGGACATAGGGCGACTACCGCGGTAGGATGGCTCTGCGGGCTGTTCCTTGTTCAGAGCGAAGGAGTCGATGAACCCGCGGTGCGAGGCTTGGGGGGTGGAGCCAAAGTAGAAGATCCAGACGATGATGACCATTGAGAGCAGGATAAAACCGGCACCCGCGGCTTGCATTGAGCCTTGGGCTTCGTATATGGTGTTGTTTGCGCTCAGCGATGTCAGAACGAGGCCACAGCCAAGGTATCCGACGATCTAGACAATGTCAGTATGGCCACGCAGGCTGCAATAGAGAGGCGGTCATACCGCGACGCCATAAACATGGCCGGTGTCAGTGCCAAAGGTCACAATCAGACCAATGATGACGCAGGCCATATAACTGTTGGCCCACCATGAGTAGTTGGGATACTTGGTGTCTTGCACATCGGCAATGATGGATGAAATGAATGCGATCAGCCACGCCAGCTAGAGTGTATGTTAGTAAGAATCGGCCGCATCGGAGGATCAGGACATACGATGGAGATGGAGATGGTGGCGAGGGCGAATGGATCGCCGAGGATGTTGCTGGGACGGAATTTGCCCATCTTGTGTGTATTCGGGGGCTTGTGGAACGAGGGTGTTGATGGGGTAACCATGAAAGATGTTGATGAAATGACAGGGCGATTGAATAGATGGAGAGTGGTGGTTCGGTTGTGGAAAGAGCGACTGAATGTCCGTGTTAGTGTCAAACTTCAAAGCGGGAAGTCGCGATCTTCAAGGGAGGCACGTACCTGAGACAAAAGTCCAAGTGGGTTCCAGGTATGGAAGAGGTAGAACAGAAGAACCCCTTGCAGAGGAAAACAGCACCAGGCTGGTAAAAAGGAAAGTGAAGAAACCGAGAAAAGAGTGGCGGGATTGAAATGAAAGAAAGAGGAGAAGAGTGGAAAAGGAGGAAAAGTGCCAGGTACAAGTGTGGAGCCCCAAACACACAGACGCGCCCCTGGGAATCGAGACTTGTTCGACTGATTTTATTTTATTATAGCCCGGATGTATAGTCAGTGAATATTTGAATCTCGTCTATTCTGTTAATTCCCCTGACTCGACCTCGTTGTGTTGTCTTGATCTATAAATATCGTCTTAGTCACCCACTAGTTCTTCGGATGACGAGGCCTTCTTTTCTCCATCCTCCATCCTTCAGGCTAACATAGACAATAACGTTATTCACATTCAGAGAACATGTCCATGTCTATACACAAACATTAAGGCTTAGGGCTCAATTCTTGACAGTGACCCATTGTGTTCTGGACCTCACTCCCTAATTTCCCGCAAACTTGCTCCACGACCCACCATGGAGTTGGCTCGACCCGATCGTCCTTGTGATTTCACGATGGGGCTCATTATGCCCTACGTGACCCTACCCATACATGGATATTTCCATCAACTATATGTTAACCCTGGGAGTACACATTATCCAAATCACTCGCAATCCAGCACGTTCACGTGTCGACCTGCTCGGCATGTGCGAACCCGTACTTTTGACGCATGTGCGTACGGACTACTACTGGACTGTAGAGTGGCCCGTTCTCTAACGTCCATATGAGGTATAAGGTATGGAATGTGATATGAGACCTAGATCAAGTCAAGGTTTTCCTATAAAGTCAATTGTTCTAACCACATAAATAAGATGTCTTTTGTGTCTAATGTGCTATAGACGCGGGGGGAAGAATCTGGGGTAAACTTGTACATTCTAGTTGACCTCATGGAATGAGAGTGATCATACGGACGATCTTCACACGCGAAAATGACGCACATAATCTAGTCCAGCAGATAGGTTGGATTTGCGGTAATCTATATCAGACGTATCAGATTCTCGGCGTGATCGAGCCGGTATCAGATAGTTGTTTTGCCCTAGGTTAGGGATTGCATCATATCTTGTTGAGATCTAACTCATGCATGTATTTGTAGATTCAAGGGCTGAGGGATTTTAGATTCCCTGTGTAATATTAGGATAGAATATCATTCGCCAAATCAGAGGATATCATAGAAAACAACAAGAATAACAAACAACACATCCTCCTCCAACATCATTCCTAATACAGGATAACTTGACCCTGTCTGCCACCGTACAACAAATCATATCACCAATCGACCACAAAACTGCAGAAGCTAAACCTCCCCCTCCCTCCTCTCCCTCAAAACCTCCCCACGCCTAACCTCCCTCTCAACATCTTCGAGTCTCCCCTCCCACTCAGCCCAACATTCTCCACTCCCAACAAGACCAACATCATACCAGCGCTGCAGGACCCGCGCACTCCTGACCCTCAGCTCAGAGATCGTAGCAGCCTGTTCAGCCTGCGTGCACGCAAGCCGGTCCAGCTGCGGTTGCAGCTCGATTAGGGCGGTGGAGCTTGCTGCGTCTGGGACTGGCAGGTCGTTTAGGGATGTGAGGCGGGAGGCGGTTTCTGGGAAAGCTGTTGCGTAGGAGAGGACTATTGAGGAGAGGGTTTGGGTTGTTAGGCCTTGGGGGATTTCGGTTGGGGGGGTTGTTTGGAAGAGGTCTGGGTTTTGGTCGTCTAGTTTGCGATGAGTATGTTAGCTTGTTTCGTTGTGGTTTCGAGATGGAGAATAATTGAATTTGAAGAAGGGATGGAAGAGAGAATGTAAAGAGTGTAGATTGCGTAGATGTCGTGTGGTATAGGGAGGTATTAGGTTGCTGATGAGTATGTGTTTTTAACACCCCGTTACAGCTCTCCACTTACGTAATTGAAGAACATCTCGCACAGCTGGAACACTCCGGCTCAGCTTCTCAAGTTCCCTTTCTAGACGCGCGAGCTTGCGGGAGACTGTCTCGTCGAGAGAGGCCGGCTTCTCGGGCGCGGTTGGGACGCCTGTCCAGTCTGTGGCGCCGGTGAGGAGGTAAGTGAGGCGGCGCAGGCGTGCCTCGAGGAGTTCAATTGTAGCCCCTGCTACTGCGTCGCTTTCGAGTGTCATTGTATATGGGGATCAGTTGGTGGATTGAGTTGGGGAGCTTGTTGAGTAAATGTTGGAGCTTGATGGAGTTAATGCAAACAGGGCAAAATGTGGGGACGTGATAAACACTGATCTATGCCGTTGCTCTATAGATTTCTTGTGTTTATTTATTCTAAAGTTTTACACTGAGGAATGAATTCACTCTCAGATCATTGTGGATTGAATGTGACGCTTGAAAAATCTGATTGTATTGTTTACATCTGAAGGCTAGTAGATCTGTAGTCTCCTTGCTCTGTCCATAGATAGCTTGAGGAAATGTCGCTCAAACTGATGCAGCTGTCTGTGTCGTAGATTCATCATTCATGTAGGGGTTCCAAGTATGGCTACGCATGCTCGACATGGTCAGTCATTTCTTCGTCGTGCGCAGACTTCCGCTCCGGATCAATCTGCAATGTATTCGGCGGAGAGTTCTTGGTAGTGCCCTTGCTCAGGAGGCTGCCACCATCCCTCTGCTGCATCTCTTGCCTGGGTCCTGGCTCGTCGTCGAATCCAGAAACCTCGTAGTCAAAGACATTAACTTGCTGGCGCTTCTCGGTCATCTCTGGTTGCTCGCTGTGTTGAGCTTCAGTACTGCTGGGTACCGCCCAGGGATCTTCTTCTTGGTCACTGTTAATGATTGTGGCGGTCTGATCGAATTCAGCCTCGAAAGCGTCATTGTCTCTGTTGACGAAGGCCTGTTCTCGGTTAGCTTCAAGTCGGACATATGACATTGCGCATCTTACCTGAAGTTGAGACGGCGCAGGGTCGACCGGCGCCTTCATAGCATTCTCGCTTGCATAAACAAGTAACACAGATCTCCACTCATCACGGGCGGCTTGGAGAACTTCATTCTCTTGGACCTTTGAGACGCTGTAGCCAACAACATCTCCATTCTGGGGTGCCGTGTTGTCTCCCTTGGCTTTCCGTTTCTCTGCTTGCCCGGTCTTTCCATCCTCCGTGGAGTAGCTGATGCGCCACCACTGTTCTCCGCTCTCCTCTTCCATATCCATTAGGTCTGGGGAGCCCGCCTTTGCATTAGAAAGAACATAGGTGACGTGTGGTTCAGTGCATACGCCTCGTAGTGTGTATTTGTATGAAGGGGGCTCGGAGGGCGATTCAGAAGGTTCAGTGAGTGTTTTGGCGATCTCGCGGAGAGATGCCACAGCCTTCTCCTTACTAATCTCTAACTCTGTTCAATGTTAGATAAAGTGCTTACATGATGGCGATAGCGGACTTACCTTGGATTTTCTCTTCGATCTTGGCGGCAATCGCTCTCAATTGTTCAGCGACTTGCTTCACATCCACACCCGCCTCCTGGGCACGAGCAGCATTGTTTGAACCCTCCAGCACCACCACAGGAGCAGCCGCTGCTGCTCTCTCGAGCAACTCTTTGACTGTCATCTTACCCACAGGATTCTTTGGGAAAGTGTAATGGCGTATGAGTTTCTCCAGTTTCAGAATGTCGCGCTGAATCTGCTGTCGCTTCAAGCGAAGTTCGCGAGCGGTTTCACGACAGCTGCTGAGATACCGATCCGCGTAAAAAGTAGCAGGAATGTTCACATCCACAGCGTTTGGTCTTTGCAGACAGTCAAGCTTGATGCATAGTACCTCTGCTATGTTTTCAATCCAGATATTTTCAAGCTCTTCCTCTGGTCCCTCGTTCCATAAAGCTCTATCGATGACCTCATATAGACTCTGGCCATGGTCTGGTTCAACGGGAATTTCGAAAGTAAAAAGATCTTTGGTGGCAGGCTCATCGTAGTCATGGGATTGTTGCTTGAATGCATGTGACGTGAAAATAGCTGCAAGCTGATTGTCAGGGTCGGCTCGAATGGCGGCGCTGTGCCATGCTTCCAGGAACCTTGTGACTATCTCCTCTGAGTCGGCGGATAACAGAGAGAGACTCCGGATTCTTGCCAAGCTGTCGCTGCTCCCAAAGGATCGCTTTGTGGAATCCATAAAGGCCATTAGTCGCTGCGCTTCATGAATGACGTCGTCCCAGTCGGCGTCTCGATTGTCATCGTTCACTGTGACGATCTTGGGTAGATTAATAGACTGCCCATTCCACCACTGTGGCTCATGTCCGTAGTCAAACAGCGGTTTCTTTCTAAAAAGTAGCGCCTCGCGGGCGAGAGGAATCTCGTGGATAATGGTCAAAAATCCACCTATGTAGAGACCATCTTGGGTTGGGCGTATGAACGCAGGCTCACCCTGGCCTCTCCTGCGGTCTTCCGGTTCGGGTCCGAGTGTGAACTCTTCAGAGGTGGTATTGAATAAAGTCATTGCCCAGTCACCTTCCTCGTAGTGATCCCGAGTTGCCTTGCCGAATTGGGGCTGGCTGCTCGATGTCACGCCGACTTCCTGCTGCCCCAGGCCGGCGTTCAACGACATGGCTACTGCCTGTTGTAGTTCCTTTTCTTCGCGCTCCGCCAGGCTTAGACCCTGCCCGGTACCTAATATGCCCTCAAATCAGTATTTTCCCTGTGCTAATCACGACTAATGCACTGATACCTTGTTGAGCCGTTGCCCCAGGAACAGTTTTCTTATCTGTATCGTTCATGTTCATTCGAGAAGGTGGACGCGAGGGTGGTGCTGTTGCGGGTATTGGGGGCGCATTGTCCTGTTGGTCAAAATCCCACGCTGAGGCAGGGTCTATCAGTTCTAGATCTGATCTCATAAAAGAGGTGCATGCTTACTGAGAGTCCGTTTGTCATTGTGGTAGCTATCAGCCTATTCAGAATGTCAGGTCGGACTCAGGAGATAATGCGCCATCGCGATGGAAGTTTACCTTTGGATGAGGGCCGGTGGGATCTTCAAAGTACGCGTTGATGGCTTTCTGTGAGTCGAGGTTATGAGCCTGAAACCATGTTAGCTGTCATAGTGCCGAGTGTAAGCCGAGTCCAAGCTCTGACCTTCAGAAAGTTGATGGCTTGCTCGCGCGTCGTGCTCGTGAAGCTGACAAAGTTCGCGATGGCGTCCTCGCTGGGTTCGGAAGCCATGTTGCAACGATATTGAGGGGACAAAGAGACAAAGAAAGGTTGAAAGAGGGAAGATTGTCACATCGGAGCTTCCCCACCACATGACGCCAAGCGTTCCGCTATTTTTGACCCTTTGACCCTATCGCTTTATACTTCTCTTCTTCTTCTTCTTCTTCTTTCAAATACTCCACCATTTTCATTCAGCTATGAAACGCGCTTCAACTCTACCACTTGTCGCATCGCGAGTTCACGTCCAAAAATATATGCGCTTTACTATCCTTCCCAACCATAATTTCTTCCTACTGGCCACGGCCCTCTGGTTTCCAGGACAAAGCATTGCTTCCTAGTGCATTACATATGTGCTGTATGAGATTCAAACTGATAAGTTATAAATACTCTCCTTTGTCGAAGTACAGCCCTTCATTGATCCCTGTTCAGTCCTGCAGCAACGACGGTTTTTCTATACTTGTATCGAATTTCTGTCACTGATAGATCCAATTTAGTTCAAAATGGCCATCAAGATCCCTGTGACTGATAGGGTCCTCAGATCAGCGAGACAGCTTGCCGCTCTCAATTTATTTGCCGTGGTTAAGCCAAATGCCATTCCCCAACCAAAGGCTGTAGAGATAAAAGGCCGCGAGGAAGGATAGTGAGGAATCTATGTCACGGAGCTTGACAGACCTGCCAGAGCTTGATTGTTCCCCAGCCAGGCCCTAAAGGCCGACTGAAGCCGACCTACAAAAGCGAACAAATGCCGACGCTCTCAGGAATTCTGTCAACCATGTACTTTGATATCAACAGCTTGCTAATCTTCCAGAACATTGTACAAAACGTGCCAGATTATGTGGTCATGACAGTCTGGCAGAACCAGATCGACGATACCAAAGATGTCGTTCACCCCGAAGTATTAACCGCCGTCGAGAAATACCAGAAACTTGAGAATGCCGCCGCAGACAAAGAAAACGGCCTCAACAGACTGTATCAGTTGTAGAAGCATATGGATGGAAACTCTTTTCAATTTGTCTCCATGCCGAATCATTCCGCAGAGCATTCAGAAATACTCCGGACAGGCTCTGGAATGCACTGTTCTTGATTATTGGCGAGAACCAGCTCAGTCTCAACGGCCTTGCAATTTCCCGTCAGTGTCAGTGGTGCGACTCTCTCGAATATGTTCGCCTGACAATCAAAAGCATTAAAGTCTTGCCACCCTTGGAGGACGTACTCTCCGATGTGCCTACATGGGGATTTGAGATCAATCACCCACATGATGTTGCCACTATACTCGACGGCGAAGTGCAAAAAATATGCTTTGACGGTAAACCCCAGACCGTCATCTACGAACATGAGTGGGACTTCAAGAGATAGGGTTGCCCAGATTCTACGCTCCGAAGCTCGCTCACCCAGGATACCAAGTTGTGTTCTGTTTCAGCGAATAACCCTGCTCCTGTCGTTTGGTGCTCCTGGCAGGAGGGATGGTTGAGTTGAGGGAATACCCAGGGAAGAATATTGGCGTTCGTGCGCTAGCTAATTTCCAACGGGAGGACATTCTGGACGTGATTATTGGGAAGACATATCCAATTACTTAGTTCTCTGATGACGGCCGTGATCAGTGTTATCCTCTCACTCAATTTCCCAACGAGAATGCAAATGCTGGTGGTGTTGCAGAGATTCTTCCTCACTTCAAGGTCAACTGGACTCGGTCTGTCAATCACTCGTGCCAGCCTTCATGTTCTCCAAAATCTTGATGGTTGGTGTTAGGGGACATGGTAGAGCCAATTTGTCCTCAATCACATGACCGTGGGTGTATTATCGAAATATCAAACCCATTTGGGCCCCCCAAGTTCGGGAAGCAGAAACTTATATCTACAAGGGGTTTGATCAGGCTGGTTGGTTGTGGATTCCACATAATGTTGCCATGGAAGGGGTACGTCAGTGTTTAGCAGATTTAATAGAAGGGAAAGTTTGACAGAAAGAAAGAACATCAACTAGTCCGTGGGAGGTGTAGTTGCTCAAAACTATATTCCCACAAGAAGGTGCCTCGGCAGTCAAATGAGCAGAAGAACAACGCGCTTGCTTGTCTTTGGCATCTTTGACAACTGGTATAGATCGACATGAATCAAAAGTAGCAATTCATAACAGACGCTATGTTGTCAGTTATCTTTGTGGTAACATTGATGTCCTATCTGACTGTTTCCATGCAGGTTCCTAGTACCCGAGCACTGTAGTTGGAGTTCATGATTTATTTTGACTTGTCACCTCGGCGGGACCCGACCCCCGCACGAGCAAACTGCGGGGAAAGCTTCACTTCCCATTTTCAACTTCCTTCAACTCACTGGTTTGGTCTGTTTTGCACTTGATTTTGTTCTGAACCGATACAACTGTGCATTGTACAGCTCCTCATATCAACATCGTCTTACACTCTCCTGGCCATCCCTACGAACTATGCTGCTGCCGTGATCACAAGCTAAGACCGGGATACGAATATGGGATGCAGCAGGGTTCTTGTAGGCTTAGGCTCCAGAGCTCGCGTCAATTGTCGGGGCTTTATATTTGGAGGAAATAGACTCCTCCACCCAGTGTCATTGACCAAGAGAGGAATACTAACCGAGAGCTATGCTCGAGGGCCATCAAGTGTAGGTCACCACAACTCGGGATTAATCCTGGGTACCACCTTCTCCCAGTTCACTTCTGATTGATTGCTCCAATATAGCCCCCCTTGATTGAGTCTACAGTCGGAGAACACTTCGCAAGGGTTGTGGCAGAATGCGGGGATAGAACAGCGTGAGCATTGGTCTACACTCTTGAGAATTGAGAATCGAATTCACTAAAAATTACGGCTAGTATCATTTCAAAGCATCAAAATGACCGAGCCACCTATGCCTCTCTAGACACCAGGAGCAATGCGCTCGCTCGAGGGCTCGAGTCAGTGGGTGTACGCAAGGGAGAGCGGGTTGGAGTCATGCTCGGCAACTCTATGGAATACGCGGTGGTATGGCCATTCAGAATATAATTGGGAGACAGATACTTATGGTGATGATCAGGCAACATACGCACTATTCAAACTCGGTGCCATTCTGGTAGGTCAGTCCGCCGTCTCACGCAACGATCAAGTCTGAAAACGCGCCAGGTCCCCCTCAATCCCTCGTTCAATGCCACACAGGTAATCGCCGCACTGGGTCATCTCGAATCGAGCCATCTCATTATCAGCGCAGAGTCAAATCTTCCGCGAAAAGAACCTCGAAGTAACATGCCCTTACTTCAGGAACTCATTGTGGATCTTTTCAGCTCGAGGATAGAGTCGTCTCTGGTTCCCTCATTAAAGCAGGTCATTCTTGTCGATAACTCTGAAGGTCGCGTGGATGTATCTTCTTACAAAAGCATAACGCCATACACATCTATCATGTCCCAGATCGCTGCAGATGGGCGCTCACTTCCTCCCCAAAACCTGTCAACGCACGATATTGTGAACATCCAGTTTACATCAGGAACAACAGCAATGCCAAAAGCAGCTTGTCTCAGTCACCACTCTATTCTGAACAATGGTTCTCAGATTGGTGACCGTATGCTTCTCACCCCAAATGACATTGTCTGCTGCCCCCCACCACTATTCCATTGCTTCGGATGCATATTGGGATATATGGCAACAGCAACACACGGCTCAGCTATTGTTTTCCCAAGTGAATCATTCAATGCACGTGCGGCATTGGAGGCAGTCCAAGAAGAACAATGCACAGCCTTGTACGGTGTCCCAACGATGTTCCTCGAGGAGCTCAGCTTGATCGAGAAAGGAGAGGTCTCACATGAAGGATTCCAGCATCTTCGGACCGGTATCGCTGCTGGAAGCAGCATCCCAGCTGAATTAATGAAGAAGCTACACAAGGTGCTGAACCTCACCGAGTTGACAATCTGCTATGGAATGACGGAGACCAGCCCCGTATCGGCCATGACTACTACAGATGATCCGCTTGACAAGCGAATCACCTCTGTCGGGAAACTCATGCCGCATGTTGAGGCTAAGATTGTGAATCCTGTAGATAACATTAGTACCCTGCCTATTGGGGCTCGGGGTGAGTTGGTTGTGAACGGATACTTGCTCATGAAGGAGTATTGGAACGATCCTGAGAAGACAGCGGAGGTTATGATTCCGGACGCGGGTGGGAAATTATGGATGCATGTAAGTTCAAGTTGCCCTTCTTTTGGTCAGGCTGTTCCTCCTAACCTCAAAATTCCAGACTGGCGATGAAGCTTCCATGTCAGCAGATGGATACATCACCATCACGGGCCGGATAAAAGATCTCATTATCCGTGGTGGTGAGAACATCCACCCCCTAGAAATTGAGAACTGTCTGCTCGCCAACTCCGATGTTGCCGATGTATCGGTTGTTGGTGTTCCCGACGCGCGATATGGTGAGGCTGTGGCTGCGTTTGTGATTGCTCGTGATCATAGCATGAACAAAGTTGCCGCCGAGGATATTCAGCAATGGGTCCGTGATAAACTCAGTAATCATCTCGGTGAGTTTCCCCGATGTAGTCCCTAGCACCTAACCTATAATGCTGATACTGTTCAGTTCCGAAATATGTCTTCTTCTTGGGTCCTTCGGAGCCTTTCCCCAAGACGGCAAGTGGAAAGATCCAAAAGTTCAAGCTCAGACAGAAGGCTCTTGAGATTTTGGCCCTCAAGGCGGCGACTGCATAAATGCTTTGTTTGGATAATGAGGCTGTCTTCGGTGTATAAGTACCGGGTGTACATATGACCCCCAGAGTTATGGCGACGCACCTTCGGCTCTATCCCAGCTAGCATCTTTGATACAACCGCACTTTGTCCCTCAGTCTGGTCAAATAGAATTGTCGTGCAACATGATGCATACAGTACGGATTATTGGGCATCAATTTCTCATGAGCCATGGTGACTTGCACCGTATTACCTTTGGGATTTGTCAGTGATCTAGACAAGAGACAAGAATAAGGAGATATAGCGATCCGGTAATCCCGACAACAAACGCATCATTGAAAGCTGATATGCAGCCAGTTGTGTACATCAATGCTCAACCGTCACGTAGATGATTTTGCTTCTTTGAGAATTCTGTAAGTAAGCCCCCTCTCTTTAAGCCCTTCAATAACTCTTTTCCACTTATAGTAATCCGGTATTGACAAATTATAACTACCACAAATACAGCGAACCGAAAAGAGAAGCTACTATATATCAAACTAATCAAAAGAGGGAAAAACGATAAGCAAAGGAGTCGTCGACGGGCTAGATATCGAAGGTAGCGTTGTAATCCTTCAAATAGGCACTTTTGTGAAGAGATAATTATGTATTTTCCAATTGCAAATGCCAAAATAATGTGCCGCGCGGGTATATTATGAAAGTAATCGTGGCCGGCACCATACAAAGCGAAGGAGCGCACCTTTGGTGTTTCTTTCAGAAGCCAAAGGTCGCACCAGTTCTTCTGGTGCTAGAAATCCTGGATTCCCGTTTCACCCTGAAGACTCGAGCGGGCATCCTCCCCGCGGGTATTATCAACAACCCACTCAGGTTCCTCATCCTCAAAATACTCATTCTGCTTATCAGACCAGTCATCCAGCTCATCATTATCATCGACAGTCTTATAGTCAAAATCAGAGTCATGTCCTTGCACGAAGCGCAACCCCATCTCCCACTGCCAGCGCCGCTCGCCTTCTTCCTTGTTGGGGGGTATTTCATCACGGTCTTCTGCAAGAATCTCCCCATCCGGGCCACGGGTGTAGCTCATCTCCGCATTAGGATTTGGATGTGCGATTGCATCAATCCTGGCTTCAGATCGCAAGAGGTCCGCCTGTAGGATACCCGAGAACCCCTTCGCGCGCCCTGCTTCTTCTCTTTCCTGCGGCGTCTGGAATCGGCGGATTAGGCGATCGTATAGTAACGGGTCTGTAGAGAAGTCGGGCAAGATTAGTACTGGGTTTTTGCTGCTTTTTGTTTGCTTCGCCCGCGATAGATTCAAGCCAAGTGTATCAGCTGGCAATGGGAAGAGCAGGCGGACCGGCTAGCTCGAGCTCCGCCGAGAAGTATTCTGGGTGCAGGTCCAGATACCGCTTGCGACGGTTTTTGACTGTGACAGCATGGCTATAAGTGCTGGTTTCGCCTTTGGCTGTGAACCCCGAATCCATAGGGAAAAGTGGCATCTTGGTGTGTTTCAGAAAGTGGAGGGGAGATGAAGTTGGGAACGCGGAATTCGGCGGCAAAAGAGCTTCTCTCCGTAACTTTCTTCCACTTTTGACATTGTTTTCGTGGCTGGTCTGAACGTGTAAGTCAATGATTCATTTCCAATTGTTTGGAGCTTCTTGAGCTTTGAATGTCTCTTGTAGCGAGAACAGGCCACAGTTGCAGGTGCTAATAAGCTCGCAGATGCGCTATCTTGACTGATTCCGCGCTTGCCACCAACATCCATAGCTGCATCAGCTGGAAATCATGCCTTCTGTCGAAGAGTTCATGCAGCAGGTCGATCGCCGGCGAGTTGGCTCCGGCGTGGCCTTGCTGGTTATTCTCGCTTTTTACTCACCCCTTTCCAAGCTGATTCTATCTCCAACTTATGGATCCTTGCCTGCTGAAATCTTCCATGCCTATGGAGTCGCCATCTTTGGCGGAGCCGGATGGTTTTTGAAAGACTTTATTATCAGGCGTCTGGGTCGTGCTGGTGGCTACCTGCTCCCCGTGTTGGCGTTCTGGGTTCCAACTCTCCAGTATTTCATGAAGCAGAAGAGCTCCTCATTGGGCAACCCACTCGGTCCGGTCATCACGGAGCTGTGTGGCTATTATCCTCTGGTACTCCTCACAGTAGCCTATGCCGGGAAGCAAATCCAAAGGGGTTTAAGACTCGAGTCGCATGGCGATTTGGTGGCTGAGCACGTTCCCCTGCTGGGCACCTACGTATTCTATTCATTTGGCGATCACTTTGCGAACATTATATTGCACTGGATCGTCGGCACTACCTTTTTGTTTACCAGGGTTGGAATGCAAATGATCCTTGCGGTCTGTTATTCTGCACTCCTTCCGTCCAAGTTGCTGGTTCTAGCCATTCCTTCTGTGGTCTTTTCTTTTACCTCGAACGTGCACTTTGCTGGAATTAATGGCGTGAACTCTGCCATTGAGCACGAAGGGTACTCCCTTGTGGCACGTCATGAATCCACCACCGGCTACATCTCTGTGTTGGACAACCACAATGATGGATTCCGTGTGATGCGCTGCGACCACAGCCTTCTCGGTGGACAGTGGACCAAGCTGCCTTCAAGCTACCGCCCCGAGGTGGAGGATCCTATCTACGCCATTTTTGCTATGCTCGAGGCTGTCCGTTTAGTTGAGCCGGACCATGGCGTTTCCCGCGTCGATGCCGATAGCAAGGCGCTGGTCATGTAAGAATCCCCCAGCAGATATCAAAAGCTACAAAAACTAACCGATAAACAGTGGACTTGGTATTGGCACAACTCCTGCCGCACTCATCAAGCACGGTATTGAGACTACTATCGTTGAAATCGACCCTACCGTGCACAAGTACGCAGTTGAATATTTCAATCTCCCACGGAACCACATCCCTATCATCCAAGATGCCGTCAAATACGTCAAGAAAGCTCAATCTGCCCCTAAGCCAATCCAGTACGACTACATCGTCCACGATGTTTTCACCGGTGGAGCCGAGCCTGCCGAACTATTCACCTATGAATTCCTCGAGGGCCTCGAGGCGCTTCTCAAGGACGACGGTGTCATTGCCATTGTAAGACCAACCAAACCATACATGCTACCGTAGAACAATCATTGCTAACAAATCAAACCCAGAACTACGCCGGGGATCTTACCCTCTACCCAACCGGCCTGGTAGTCCGTACCATCCAACACGTCTTCCCATCATGCCGTATCTTCCGCGAACAAGCACCAGTCGGATCTGACGAGAACTCTGATTTCACCAACATGGTCTTGTTCTGCAAGAAGAGTGCTGGCACCCCCCTTCGCTTCCGTGACCCTGTCCAGGCGGACTTCCTGCGCAGCAAGTCTCGTGAAAGCTACCTCGTTCCTAAGCATGAGCTTGACCCTGCTATCTTTGCGTCTTACCCCAAGACTGGTAGAGCCTACTTGTGGGAGAAGGAGGTTGGTAGATTGCACAAGTATCAGGACCGCAGTGCTTTGGAGCACTGGGGCATTATGCGGAAGGTTCTGCCTGATGCTGTTTGGGAGAACTGGTGATCTATTCGCTTACTACTTTTTGCCAAAAGTTGAAGGCGGGCAAATGTTTTTACTTCTATATTGTATGTCTTTATTATAGAAAATGGATCGTCTCAAACCAGCTCGATGACGCTCGGGATGGAACATCTTTTTAAAGCACGAGATAGTGATCTTCATTAGCTGCGGTTATACCCGTGAAAGCCTATGTCATTCTTCGTATCATATACCTTTGCTGGGTGAGGCTTGCCAATCTCAACCGCCACTTACCTTTTTATGAAAACGCCCAAATTCAGGCTCATAAACTCCAACTCTTAGTTTTTTTTCCAATGTGTCAGCTTTGTAGAAAACTTGAATATAAACCCATGAAAATGGAGAACCATGGAATGAGAACCTGCGTTCGTATTCTCCAGGTCTCTCCCGAGGTCGATATAGAGCGGAAATGACGACACCCGTGCAGATGACATTCACAGCTCCCCTAGGTTTCGCTCAAACAGTCGTCGAACCTGTCCTGCGCGTCACGGTACTAGAAAAAAAAGCCACTTGATAGGTCATGATCTAGAGGAGCTTGTTTTTCCACATATATGAGCTCCTCATAATGTCGTCACTGGAGATCTATACGCCCGGTCTTATACGAGTTTTATCGAGGCAAAACATGGCTGGGAGGCATATAAGCCTGTTAGTGGCCTTCTCATCGTAGAAGATACTCACTCTTATTATTCAACTTCAAACAATCTACTTATTATCTTATCGCCACAAATTATCTACTATGTCGAACTTCATGCACAAAGTCAAGGAAGCTGTGACTGATCACGACAAAGATACAGCTCGCGGCTTCCAGGCTGACCGGGATAACCAGGGAACCTCCAATGCCCCAGCCACCGAGTCCGGTATGGGCCAGAACAGATCTCATGGCGTGGGCTCTAACAACCCGTACGGCTCTGGTTCTGCCTATCGCGACTCCAAGTTCAACGGTTAGTCCTCGGAGACTTTTAGTTTCTCTTGGTCTATCTAACTTTGTCGGTGTGCTGACTGGATAATTAGACACCCAGAGTTCAGCTGATCCACCCAGGACCGGGTTGGGTTATCAGGGCAGCCGTTCTGGCGATGGTTATACGAACGTCAATGCTGGTCCGCATGACTCGAACCTGGCTAATAAGATGGATCCTCGCGTCGATAGTGATAGGGGTAAGTCAAGTCGAGCCACAGAGCCCGAAGTGTAAGCTAATAGTATAGACAACCGCGCTACCAATCCCAACGCCGGCCCGTATGAATCACGGATGGGAAACAAGATGGATCCCCGTGTTGACAGTGATATGGGTGAGACACGCCATGCTCTAATGCTATAAAGTCAAACTAATAGTTACGGTATAGACAACCGTGCTACCAACCCCAATGCTGGTCCACACGAGTCACGGATGGGTAACAAGATGGATCCTCGCGTCGACAGTGATATGGGTAAGCCAGGCCAAGTCCTTCAGACCAGAAGCCAAGCTAAGTGTATAGACAACCGCGCTACACGGGGAACTATGAACCAGCCTAGCAACACGTCCTCGGGCGTCAGCAGTGGTATGGGTAAGTCAAATACAAGCTCCAAACCCGAAGCTCAAGCTAAACAAATATACAGACAACAGTGCTACACGTGGAGGAGGTGGAGCCATGAACCCTCCCAGCAACATGGGCTCAGGCGGCCTCGACAATCATGAAACCACCGAAGACGACTACAAGAAATCCACACAGGAGAACAGGTCTCAGACCCAGCCCCAACCCGGCGACTACGGCAACAATCCATTGACCAGCGAGGAAAGCCACAACACCTCGACGCAGGAGCACAAGTCGCACTCTGCTACTAGCCACGCTATGCCCTGCCAGACAGGAATGCAAGGCGAACAAGGGTTTGATAAGCCAGGCCTTGATAACCGGGTTGACTCTGGCTTCGGTGGTAGTGCGGCTGGTGGTAGTAGTTACACCTCTGGCGCGCGAGAGCCAACTGGTGCCCAGAATGATGATCCTCTGAACAAGCTTGGCGGTAGGGTTACCCGCTCGAGTGACCAAGCTAATGCTGGTAATCAGCGCGGAGGATATTAAGTCTGACTCTTTGTTTGCTTAATTAGTTGTTCTTGTGTTGTGATTTGTATTAAGTTATGTCCTGTCGAACATGTACTTCTGTCTCGAAAATGAGAGAATCATGAGTCTGGAAAGTCGAATTTGGATATGTATATCTATCTATGTCAAAGCAGATTATCAAGTATTCCTATATCCATTCATGCCTAGCTAGAAGGTTTATTGGCTGGGGCGTCCGCGATCAATCATCATTGGGCATGCCCGCGGGTAGATGGGTGTGAGAATGCTTTATACACGTCATATTCAGCTACGGTTCCTACACCTTGTAGCCCTAAGCTGAATCCACAAACCGAGCTACTGTATTCGCCGTATGAGGGAATACGATGGCACTAAGCACACACAGCAATGTACTGGATCATTTGAAAGCCCAACAGTCCCAATTCTACGGACTGTCTATACTGCGAGCGCTGATCTGCAGGTAGCGGTTCGAATGACGTCGTCGTCTTTTGTCTCCAACCTCGATATCCTTGGTTCTGTAGATATGGTGCGTCCCGCCCCTGTCATCATCGTGCAGCTGAGCGATCTGACGATTCTAGCCTGCATATTTAGACGAGACTGATGGATTTTAGTGGCTGATCCAGGGTATGCTCTTTGGTCTTCTTCAATTGGACCTATCTTGGATCAAGATGGATCGCACGCTAACTCATGATAGGCAGGTATCGTTAGGGCTTGTTCACCGTAAGGAAATTGCAGCAAATAATCAAATCAGGAAAACTCCCTATAGACTTTTATGTCAGGGACGCAGCAGTGTGAAGGATTAACAGAGATGATATCAAAAGAAGAAGTGTGGAAGATGAAAGCCAAGATTGTCGAGTAAATCATATACATCGACCTATTCTATAGGACTATTTAGTATCAAGCACAACTAGGATCAAAAATTACAAAGTCTTCATATTGGTATCATTATCTAACACCTGCCGAAAAGCCATAGAACCTCCACGCCCGGGGGAAATCATAACGACCGGCATCTTCCACAACCCAACGAACATCTAGGATCTGTATTCACCACTATCCAACCATCGAGCCCAGTGCACAGGCGAAAGTCTAGGCTTCCGGATTATGTACGCACAAAGAACTAAAATACACAAGGAACGAAATCATTCAAGCAGAAGGACTTCCACGGGGACTGGCGCCGCCTTTCTTGACAAGGCCAGCAAAGAAGTTAGCCAGGGCTTGGTTGTGAGCTTTCTCGTCACCGGTGTTGGGCACGGGGCTTTCCTTCTTCTGGGTCCGACTGGCTTCGCGATCCTGGGTAAACAATTAATTTAGCTTAACGTTTGGGTAGGGGCGGGCGAGGGCAACGGGGTCGTATTGATGGATGTCTTACCCGAAGTTTCTTCAGCATGTCATCGGCGTCAACTTGGATTCCGCCCATGTTGAACTGTACAGGACCGATGTGCTCGTTGACTTTGCCTTCGTCGTCCATTGGGGACATTTCCAGTTGGGGGGTTGCTTGGTTTGCACGGTCCTTTTCGTCTTCGGCTTTGAGCTTCTCCAGGATTTCCACTTGGCTTGAGAGGAAGGCTTGGATGTCAGAGGTTTCGATTTCGATCTTGGTGCCGTTGCTGTTGCTGTTGGGGTGGGCGATGGTGTTGTCTCGTTTGGGGTCATTGATTGTTTGTTCGAAGACTCTTACGGCACTTGTGCCGTCTTCTCCAGGGCCGTTATCGTTCTCTGGGGGTTGATCAATTGGCTCAGGGGGGTCTTGGATCTCGATTGACCATGCTGTTGACACTCCTTCCATATCGAACCCTTCCCGGATAATTCGAATCTTACCCCATGAGTCCCAGTTAGCTGGTACCAGGATCTTGTCGCGGTCGATCACATTATGTTTTAATGATTGCCTCTTCAGAAGAGAGTGTATTCCCAGTGAAGAGTGGATCAGACTCTGAAGAGAATTGGCGAGAAATGGGGTGGTGTAGATTAGCGATGCGCCGTCTGTACGGGGTTAGGAATTGATTCGGTTGATCGACAAGAGACGGTGTATAAAAGTTTTCTTACGCTTCAGGAGAATAGTTCGGAGGAACTGAAGAATGAAGTCGAACTGCTCTTCATGCCATCCATGTTCCTTCTCCAATTTCTCGATCTTGTCCGCCTGGATATAGCAACGTTCATGTTAGCAAGAGCCCCCCGGAGCCAAATTCAAAGCTGGTGCCACATACCCCTTGGCAGACAACACACATTGGGACACCAAGGCCCTCGTCCCATTCACCAGGTCCGAGGGGTATCGTGACCTGACCACCCGAAGTTGACAAGCCGCCTGCAGCCGCTGAGTTGGCGTCTAGTCCCCTTTTGCGATCGCGCCACTCCGTCATTGTCTCTTCCATGACGATCTTGGTCTCATCGTCGAGCGAAACAAGCACTGTGCGTAAAAGGCGAACCCATTCTCTGAGTCTCCGGATCCATGTCCACGGGTCAGACCAGTCCATCAGAATCACAACCAGCGTTTCCGGCACGGACTGTGGGGTCAGAAGTGGTTTGAGGAGGGGTGCGAATGATAGCGAGGGTTCGGACAGGAGATAAGCTGAGACGCGTGCCAGGGTATCTGCAATAGAATTTTTAACATGGGAGCAGCTATACGGAAGCTGCAGTGTTCATATACCTTCTTGATCGGCATCGAGGACATCTCGATATGTGTAACCAAGCGCAAACTGATTGGCAATGGGTGGTGTTTTCCCTTTGGCTTTGCGCTTCTCGTTCACTAAACCAGAACCATCAGAGAGGTCTGCAGAGAAAGACTCTAAAAATTCCCGTTGGCTTTCCGGTGTTCCGCCTATTGTCAAGCTGTCAGTGGCATGTCCAACAATCGAAAGACGGGACCAGTAATGAGCGCGAGTAGGCATGGAAAGCCCCAAGAAGATGGTAACTTACCTAGCACTAGCAAGTTCTTCTCAGGCAAGCGCTTTCCGTTAGCAACACTGTCTAATAGCGAGGACCAAATGTTCTTCTTGGAGCCATCTTTGCTGGTCGGTCGACTGTTTGTTCCGGCCGTCTTCGACCCGTGCGGACTGGAGGCCATCGTTTGGTCTCGTCCCACCATGCCTCAGAGGGCATTCACCCAGGTGTCTGTCTATGTCGTAGCACAAGGAGATATGCGCGTGGAGATGTTGAGTCGAGGTGGAGGTGCAAGAGGTGTCAGGGGAATCCGAGGGGTGTGGGGGGACGAATTGTAGGCGGTCCAGCTAGTAGCAAGCCCGCTCGCGAAAAATTGTTGAAGATAGCGCACAACAGCGGAGTCTGTGGTCGTGCACGTCGTCTTCGATCGAGCAGGGGGTTAGTTTGCAGCGTAAACAATAATTACGGTTCCGCGGCTCCACATTTCTCTCTCCAACTTCTGCGCTCCAACTTTCCCTCTCCCACCTCACCATGAATTCCATTCGCCAGGTTCAGGCGCTCAACAAGCGCGAGCTTGAAAACGCTATGTAAGTTCTGATTAGCTTCTTGGAGCTCTTTTTTTGACTAATAATACCTTGACGTACAGACCCCCAGAGGCATCATGGCACGCAGATTACCGAGACACAGCTTATATCTACATCGGTGGACTTCCATTCGAGCTATCTGAAGGAGATGTTGTCGCGATATTCTCGCAATACGGAGAACCAGTACATATCAAATTAGCTCGCGACAAGGAAACTGGCAAGAGCAGAGGATTCGCGTGGCTCAAGTACGAAGACCAGCGCAGCACAGATTTAGCCGTGGATAACCTCGGCGGTGCGAGCGTGCTGGGACGTTTGCTTCGTGTTGATCATGCTCGTTACAAGCGACGGGACGACGACGAAGAGGAGGAAAACAATGTCGCCAAGTTGATGGGAGTTTCGACTGCCACCGAGAACAAGGGTAGGGATGATGACCGCAGCCGGAAGAGAATCACCGAAAAGGAAGAAAGACGGCCAGTCTTGAAGGAAGAGAAGGAGCTAGACGAGTTGATCCGCAATCATGATGAGGAAGACCCGATGAAGGAGTTCCTTATTGAGGAGAAGAAAGAAGAAATTGCGCGCGCAATCGAGGCATGGAAAAGCAGCCAGAAGCCTTCTAGGCGACGCCACGACAGCAAGGAACGCTCCAGCCGGCATCATCGCCGTCACCGTTCCCGTTCTCCGCGTGAACGACGGCATCGGGATGATCGCTCCCCCGAAAGGGAGAAGCGATCTCGCTACAGATCATCTGAAACAGAGGAAAGGCCACGGGGAGATCGATCATCGAGAAAGTCGCGTTCGCCAGATTCCCGCAGACATCGGAGTGACCGGGATAGACATGATCGTCATCGTTGAAACATGAGATATCGTTACTATTGTTTGCTATTCACTCTCGAGTTTGTGGTGTCATGTACATCGCATTTCATGTTCGTCGCCTGGTATCCTTACTGCAGCTTCGGTTACTCTCCAAAAGCGCAGTCCGCAGCCCCAGCTCAGTAATGGTGCTGGCTTGTTCGGCTGCAGACAACGTGCCGCAACGCTTGGGTTTGGGTGGGATGGCATCGGGTTTGAGATCAACTGGTATGCTTTTCATCTGTCAACCGCCACCAAGATATCTCTTCCAACCATCCCGCACACAATATCTCTTGCCTTCCTCGCCCTCCCGGATCACAAACTTCTCCCAGCGACCGTCTCGTCCGGACCCAATTACCAAAAGGGTCTGGTCATCGCACCAGCCTATCAGGCCTTTCTGGGGTCGACCCATTGAAGGCCCAACTGGTGGAACATACGGGGATCCTTGGATGGCTTCTCTACCCATCTCGAAATGCGCATTAGCAAATGAGTACTCATCTGAGAAGACTCGAGGCAGAAGGGGAATCCTGCCAAGGAACCCCCACTTTTGGCTAGCGGCTGGTTCCTCAGACGCTGATGCGGGTGACTGGCTGCGTCGTGTGACATGTTGCTGGTGGGAAATATCAAAGATGTGGAGTGTCGATTTGTCGGAGGTCACTGCCAGAAAGTTGTTGGATGGCGAGAAACAAACGGAGAATATCACTGCATGGTCGACACCCCGTCGCAGTTCTCCCATTTTTGTACAGTTCCCGGTAGCGAAAATCCGAATCAAGGTTCCCTATACACATGTCAATAACCACCCCTAGATGATCGCAACCTACAAGACCTTACCGCTTCACTTGCTGTTGCCAGAATTTTCCCATCTGGGCTCAAGGCCATCGCTCGTAGCGGCGTACTATGCGCCGGGATAATGCTGATGTTGCCAGTCTCTAGCTCTATCATCTGAACCTGTCCCGGAGACCGACCTGGGAAGGCCAGCACTCTTTGATCAAGACAGGCCAACCCCAAAGAGTTGTCTGAGGTCTCGAAGACTGACTGCTTTTGCGGGGGATTCGAAAATGCAAAAACATGGACACTATTTAGTAGCACGACGACAATTTTCGATTTTGATAGACGCACGCCGAGGACCGAGGTGCGAAATTCGAGCGTGATGGCCGCTTTCTGCTTTGCATCGTCCCATATAATCAACTGCAAAACAGATTCATGAGATTTTCATGCTTTGTCTATACTGCTGGAGACGGCGCACCTTGTTCTGCGGGAATTTGGGGTTCTTCCCGCCCCCGACGATAGCCAGGTAGTTTGACTGGCCTAGCATTTCTGCCACGCTGATTCCTGCATTGAAATCTGAAGTGCGTCAAGGTGAGTACGAATACAATTCAAATGCGCTGGACCAGAGGGCAAACACTCACCTCGTGATACTTTAAGCTCGCATGGGTTGGAATTGAAGACTGCAGTATACATTTAGCATCGGTGCATAAAATGTGTAAGAATACAGCTAACGCTTGGAGCTGTGATCTGTCTTGAGCATCCCTTACCACAAAACCCTGTGTCCAAGCCCACAGAGAAACAGCTACTGTCATGGTTAAATGTCGCAGACAGTGAGTATGGCCCGATGGACTCATCGATAACCTGGCGAGTGTTCATAGCTGAGGTGCCCACCAAGCATAGCTGGAGCAATAGCCACTTTAGACAGCTCAAACAACCTCCAGTTAGCAATAAATTAGAGGTGTACAGAACAAAGTGCAATATAGGATTCCCCGGAGACGATAAGATGCGGGCAGCTACCTCAGGCATATATTTATGTAATCATACGGTGGCCAGCAGCGACCCACCACTCCTTCAACCCCTGAGTGCTGCGTATCTTCAATTCAGCAGTCAAGTGGTCAATTATGTAGATGCAAATAGCTCAGGCATTCAATGTACAAATTTCAATAGTTTTCTCTTCTTTTTCCTGACAATTTCATATATCAATTGTGACAGATCAAGAGCTCTGTTGTAGAAGTAAAGTAGACTGGAGAAGATGCACGTCCCGTGATTGGCCGCCTGTTTGGGAAAGGGGGAAACACGAACTGTCTTTCCTCCGCCCCCCTACTCTCTCCAGACTCAGGAGAGCAAGTTTCACCCATCTTCATATTACTTGCTTTAGCCCTCTTCTCTTCTCTGTATCTTTGTTTCATTCACTCTCTAGCCCACTATGTCGTCGGCCCTCAACGCGGTATGTGCATTCCCCTTTTCTGATCGCTTCCCATACCTCCAAAAAGTTCCCCGAGCTAATTGCATGCCCGCACTTTGTTCGGGTAGATTAAGATTCGTCGCAAGAAGAATGTCAAGAAGGGAATTCAGTTTTGTTTGATGGTGTGCGGTGCCAGTGGAACAGGTAATGTCCTCGACACGCAGTCAGGTCAGAATGGGGATTGACCCATCTCCTTTTCGCAGGTCGCACAACTTTCGTCAACACTCTCTGCGGAAAGCAGGTTCTGGAGGGCAAGGATGCCGACGATGCTGCCAACGCTCACATCGAGGAGGGCGTCCGCATTAAGCCCGTTACAGTCGGTGAGTTGAACCGTTCTCCGCATGGGGCCAATAGTGGGTGACTACTAACAGGAGATTACAGAGCTCGAACTTGATGAGGAGGGAACCCGTATCTCCCTGACCATCGTCGATACCCCCGGATTCGGTGACCAAATTGACAACGAGGCCAGGCATGTACACCGCGGGAATACTTATCAGTACTGTTGCTAACTTTTGCACAGCTTCGGCGAGATTGTCGGCTACCTCGAACGCCAATACGACGATATCCTTGCAGAGGAGTCCCGGATTAAGCGTAACCCCCGTTTCAGGGATAACCGTGTCCACGTTCTGCTCTACTTCATCACACCAACCGGTCACGGTCTCCGTGAACTTGATATCGAATTGATGAAGCGCCTCTCTCCTCGTGTCAACGTCATTCCTGTCATCGGAAAGGCCGATTCCCTCACCCCGGCCGAATTGGCCGAGTCCAAGAAGCTGATCATGGAGGATATCGAACACTACCGCATCCCCGTCTACAACTTCCCCTACGACATCGAGGAGGATGATGAGGACACCGTCGAGGAGAATGCTGAGCTCCGTGGATTGATGCCCTTTGCCATTGTTGGCTCCGAGGATTTCGTCGAGATTGATAACAAGAAAGTGCGCGCACGCCAGTACCCATGGGGTGTTGTCGAGGTTGAGAACCCTCGTCACTCCGATTTCTTGGCTATCCGCAGCGCCCTGCTGCACAGCCACTTGGCTGATCTGAAGGAGATCACCCACGACTTCCTTTATGAGAACTACCGTACGGAGAAGCTCAGCAAGAGCGTCGACGGTGCCACTCCGTATGTTTCTGGTCCCGGGGTTTCATATCCCGACTTCGCTAACTCATTCGTAAACAGTCCCCAAGACTCTACCATGAACCCCGAGGACCTTGCATCTCAGTCAGTGCGCCTCAAGGAGGAGCAGCTCCGCCGTGAGGAGGAGAAGCTGCGTGAGATTGAGCTCAAGGTACAGCGCGAGATTGCCGAGAAGCGGCAGGAGCTACTGGCTCGCGAGAGCCAGCTCAGAGAGATCGAGGCCCGCATGCAGCGCGAACAGCAGAGCCAGGGCAATGTCAGTGAGGCAGCTGGAGAGGCCTAGATATACCCTGTTGAAGATGCGGCTCATTAAGCGGGGCCCCAGTTCGCAATGTGATACCGTTTGTGCCACCCTGGACTTTATGGCACCAAGTTGGTTTTTGTTTATGGGGATAATATTGACAGTTTATTCACGTTAATAGCTTTTTTTTTCTCTTCTTCTATCTCTGGGGACGGATCGACTTATCATAGATTGCGGCGCCTCGGTTACCAACGATGGGGGCAACGCAAGACACTCAACATTTGTTGTGTCGAGCTGGATTTCCTGCCTCGGTATTCCTCGATGTGACACTCGCGTCCCATCCGGTGGTTGCTCTCCTCAGCATCATGGTCTTCTGCTGTATCTGGGGCAGCTCCTGTCTTTTCTTCTATCACATCACCAACTGCGGCTGGGGTCCTGTGAACTGCATCCTTTCTCTTTTCTCCTTCCCCTCCTTCATCTGTTCTTATCGAAAGTCCGCAGCGCAGCAATATTCCCTCTTCTCTGTTGTTTTTTTGTGTTCGTGGCCCACGTCCTGTTCATTATCTATCTTTTTTTTTCCCTCACCTCCCTTCCTAGTCCTGATAGTAATTGAGGAAGAAAAAGTATTTGAGCACTTGGCTTGTGCTGTGATCCCTCTATTTTCCTTTTTTTTCATTTGGGTAGAAAAGTAGCGCAGCAAGGAATATACATATATTTCGGGGTGTGTCCAGCTGCTTTGCTCAGATGTAATCTCTACACATATTTTCCGACTAAATAGATTTGTAAGAAGGGTTTACTCCATATTCAGACGTGAAATAAATGTTTATTATAGACAACAGCCAATAGTGTATTCTCACATACATTAAAGTAAACACAAACCTAGCCTCAAGCCTACAACAGAACGAGATCTCTCCACCCAAAATGCAAACAGAACCATCCACATCATTGACATTGCTAAGTTAACAGACAACATAAGTAACCTCGAACCCAAAAGATACAGACAAGTAAGAAAGAGGAAACTCTCAACACAGCCATGCGGATAGAAAAGTTCGACAAGTATCAGGAAAATAGAACGAGCTTAGAATAGATGAAAATTTTAAAGGGAGAAGGGATGAAGATAGAGGGAGAAAAGTGGGAGAAAAATGCAATCAGCAAGAAGTGAAGTTGAAAAAAAGGGATAAGTGAAGAAAGGGGGTTGAAAGCAGGGAAGCAGACACGCAAGAAGTGGTATTTGCGCTCCATTGTACATTGCGTAGAAATGAGATGACAGGTTGATCCTGTTCATTTGTTATTGGGAGGGTTGGAGAGGTTGCGGGTTGAGGTTGTGGTTTGATTTTCATGGTCAGTGGTTTTTGGTTCCGAACAGCTTGGGCAATTAAATGCTTTGCTGTTGCGGTTTATTGGTCCAAAAGTCGAGACTGGCAATCACGTCGTAGCCGCCTTCGTCTTCGTAGGCATAGATGATCTAGAGGGGTCAGCACTTGGCTATTAAGATAGGGAATATAAAGGTGACAGGGAATATAAAGGTGACATACCTCTCGAGTGGAAGAGTGCAGCATGCGAATGTTTTTCCCAGTCATCAGATGCGTCAGTTCACTTGTCTCCACGTGCCGGATCTCAACGAAGTTCGGTTCGAAGGCTAGGATGTAAGGGTATGAGAGGGCGAATGCGTTCGGGTTGCCCTCCCAGGCGATCTTCCAGTCCGGACGGGCTCGCCAGCCATTGCGATTGACAAAGAATGAGAAGTCACTGTAATTGAGGAGGAATTCCCCATTCATACGCTCGATATGAATGGGCTTGACGTTCTCTTTTCGTGCAACGAAATCAAGGGAGGTATCTGCTTGATCAAGAAGAGACTGGGTTTCTGTCGTTTCTAAACTGACAACCTCAAAGCCACGTGCACAACCAACACACAGAGTAGAACGAAGGAAGTGAATCGAAGAAGATTCAGCAGGGATGTAGTATTCCTAGAGCAGTATGTTAGCAAGTTATGCCTCGTCAAATCGGAAAGAAGAAAACGAACCTTGAATGGCTTGAGTGTGTCCTGGCCACTCTGGAACATCTTGCTGACAGCAGACTTCTTCTTTCCCTTGGCGAGATTGTCCATCGGCTCGTACACCTTGATGGTACTTGAGAGTGCCGATGTCTTGACTGAGCAAACCAGATGACGACCAAGACCAATACCTGCCTTGAAGAAGTTGGCATGACCTTGGATTTTCTTTGGGCGCTTTGCTATGGCGTTTTGGCCCTCCCCGAGGTCGAGAGCATCCATAGGGTACGAGGAGAGGGTCTTGTTTGCCAGAACCAAAACCAGCTGATACTCCTCCAGGGTGTCGATTTGCGTGACCTGGCTAGCATCGAGAACTCGCTTTGGTTTGACTGACTTGTCTTTGGGCCAACGCTCAGAGACGTAGATACCGCTATCTGTACCATAAACCAATTTCCGACCACCGTCGATAGGAACAAGACAGTTCACACGGTTCAAGTTGCCAAAGGAACCTTCACACAGAATAGTCTTGTTGTAAAAGTTGCTGTTTCGCTCCCACAGCTTCTGTTGTTGTTGCTCCACCGCTTCGATGAACTTGCGTCGTGTGGCGACGTTTGTAGCGTAAAGAGTCTGTTCATAACCGCCCTTTCCGAGATGCCTGAAGGTAATTGGGAGACCACCATCCTTAGCAGGTGGGGGATTGATCGGAGCCTTGTTGGACAGAAGACTTGATGAAGGTCTTTTAGCAATTCCTAGTCGAGGGATAACCTCGTCCATCTGAGCGATAACCAGCAACTCGAGAGGAATAGGCTTTTTATAGACTCGGAACTCTTCACGCTTGTTGACCACCTTGATTCGAACAAGCAACACAGCGTGATCAAATAGATATGCGGTGACATCAGAACTGTCGGCGGTGGTTTTCTTGAACGCCATCTTCATGAGCATTTGACGGTTCTCTTCTGTAAGTTTCAAATCGACATAGTCCGCGGAATTGAACTTCAGTGCAGCGTTCAGCTGGACCAAATTGAAATGGTTCTCTGCTTTACCACTCTCGGTATTGACTCGCGAGAGGAAGTCCTTGATCAGCTTGATTGCCTTCGGGATATCTTCCTTGTCCGGATTACCGTCGGCAGTGTTTTTCAAAACTCCCTCTAGCAGAAGTGGGTATCTTGCAAGACGAGTGGTGGGCTTTGTCAGGTAACCGTTAAGTTCAAGCTTTCGAGACTCTTTCAGACGTTCCGTGTCTTCAACAAATTTGGCAAAAGCCGGATTGGAAGCTTTCTCCTTCTCGAATTCGTACTTTCCGTAGAGTTGGTTGGCACCATACTTGATAAATGGATCAAAGCGAGGCACGTGTTGCAGGAAGATATCACCAACGGTTTGGACGACCTGGCTCTCTTTTTGTCGACCGTTCAAAGCTTCACACAGAGCACTGTTGACCTTGAGAACCTCTAAGCAGTTTCCAAACACGGTTCGAATGAACTTTTCCCGTCGGTGTTCTGGAATGGGTGAGTGTGTTGTGGTACCCGCCGCACGTAATGGCCGCATCCAGAAATCGCGCAAGTATTCCAGGTCCTTCACAAAATCACGTTCCGTATACATGATCTCGAAGATAATCTCCTGTCGTTTCTTCTCATGGTCGTCCACGGAATCCGAAACCTCCTTAGGCACCGTGCTGATCCACAGCTTTTGATTGTCGTTGTCATCGTCATCGTCGATTGGAATGGTACCTCCTAGTTTGGTGTCCGTAGTTCCTCCCAGAACCGGCTGAGGTTTCAGATTCAATCTGGCCTGTTGTTCCAGTCGTCGCGGACAAGCAATCGAATAACACAGACTGTCTCGGTTACAGGTTGGAGAATAACATTCAGTCAGGAGAGTGAAAACACCATTGACCTCAGTTGTAGACTTGTCCTCTCCTAGCGTTTCCTTAAACTGATATACTTCACCGGGGGCGTCTCGGAGCCGGTGGTCGTAGGTGACATCGTGGAAGAATTTCTGAGCATCCAGCGCTCGGCCCAGCAGAAGAGCTAGGTTGCGATCGTTGGTCCGAATGATGTTCCCAATCAAATCCACCGAATCAGTACCCGAAAACGCATTCTGGTAAGACAGACCGTTCTTCTGTCGTTCGCCGAGTGAGATCTTTTCCCTGAAGACATCTGCAACGCGAGAAAGTAAAGCAGGATAGACCACCGGAACCTTGCGCTGTGAGTCCCGCGAGACAAGCGTTACCGGACCAGACTTTTGCGTGAATTGACTGTGAACACTCATGGTCCGATCAGACATAGGTGTCGCAGTTGCAGTCGATGCCATTGACATTGTACGCGATCTCGTAGATGCATCACTCGGCTGGCGAGAGGTAGGAAGAATATCTGGGCTGGCCTGCGCCATTGAGTCCTGTCTCGGTAAAGGCTGTTGATCGTGACCCGACGGAGGTCTGCGACTGGGAATGGACCGTCCGCTGTTCATAATGTGCGCATCTCGATCAGATGACCACGAAGTCATAGACATGGCTCGCTCATTGGTATGCTTTTCCGGCACCGGACGCCCGAGCTGGGTCATCGGAGATCCAGCATGATACGGTTCGCGGCGAGAGGCGATGGCGGATGTGTGATTGAAGTTGCTCGGCGGGGGTTGGTACGGTGGCCCGCTTAACTTTGCCATTGATCTCGATCGGGAGGCATCGGAGTTTAGCGCAGGAGGCATTGGGCGATTAAAGTCTCTAGCTTCTGGGTATTGCGCGGTAGGACTTGGTCTCGAATCGAGGCGTTGGGGTCGCGGATAGGCAGCGAAGCGTTGACCTCCCGGGTATGGCCGAGGAGGTTGATGGGAGGACATTGTGGCGGAGGCTCCCGGATTATATGCTTGGTATTGTCCTGATGGCGGAGGAGGAGGGTATCCATTTGGTGGTGCTGATGGCGGTCCGTATCCATTTGGTACTTGCCGCGTCGGCGGCGGCGGCGGTCTCTGGAATTGGGGCTGTGCGACATGCGACGACATGGTATGAGCGCGGCCCTGATTGAACTGCGGGGTCTGCGAATTCATCGTCTGGGAGCGCCCCGGAGGTGGAGTGCCTCCAAAGATGTCAGAATACGCAGCATCCCGCTGTGTCGATGAGGCCGGCCCGTGAGGCCGGTAATTCCGGTTACGCTGGCCCCCCAAATCCGCCATTTTGTCGAAAAATCAGCAATCAAAACTAAGAAGCAGTAGATCGGCGAGAGATGGAAGTGATATCTATTCCGGTATGCAAAGAAGGCGACAGGGGGTATCCGTGATCGTGGAGGGCGTTCAGGGCGTCGCAAGAGTTCTGTTCAAGATCGTAGGCAACGGAGGAAGCGGAAGTTGTAAGACCAGAGACCCCGGTATGCAATCTCAGGGAAAAAAAGAGAAAATGGTGGAGATTGTCAATATGTCATAACTCCCCTCAGTTGGGGGGATTTAAAGACAATGTCAAATCTGGGAAAGCGCCAGGAGCCGTGAGCGCAACAAAATCAGGGCTCCTTTTAATTTCATACCCTCAGCATCCTCTTTGAAGAGAGTAGAGAGTGGAGGGGGGACGTTGGTTGAAAAGTAATAAACTGGGGGGAAGCAGGAGAGAGGAGGATGGCGAGGTGACGGCGAGTCCGGTAGGGGTAATTGTAATACACAAATCCCCAACCTGGATGGGCTTGGCGGGGTTTTAGGTGTGTTTTGTGGTCATTAGCCGTGTATGGTATTGTCACTGAGCGGGAAGGGCAGTACGGGGGACTACGGTGGGCGAAGTGGCCATGTGGAACACTCATCAACAATCCTCTCCTCTCTCTAACCTTCAGGGAAGCTCCATTTCCTACTATCTTTGATCTTTGCGAGCTTGGTCTTGCACTACAGTCACCATGTCGGAGAGTGAACTCGCCCCCAAGTTCGCTCCCTTCTTTTCCTTTGTGAGTGGTCCCGCGCAGCGAAATGGTGGAATTGGTCGACTAACATGTTGCTTATATCAGGCTGGCATTGCCGCTGCAGTGAGTCGATTCCCGTATTCCTCTTTAATGAAGTACTAATAATCTTCTGAAGATGATCTTCGGGTGTATGTGAAAGCCCTCACGGGGCAAATGCGAGGTATCGAGACACAGACAGCTTACAATCTCACAGCAGCAGGAGCAGCTTATGGCACAGCAAAGTCAGGCATCGGTATCGCCGGTGTGGGAACCTTCAGGTCTGACCTGATTATGAAGGTAAGAAATGATGTGTACACAGGATGCACAGGTGGCTAACCAAATGTCTGCAGTCCCTTATCCCCGTCGTCATGTCCGGTATCATCGCAGTCTACGGTCTCGTTATCGCAGTTCTCATTGCCCAAGCTGTGGGCCCCGACACCAACATGAGTTTGTACACGTATGTTTTCGAGAGTGATTGAGAGGTGGGAGTCGGAAGCTTGGCGCGGGCTGACACTGCACAGGGGATTCATGCACCTCGCTGCTGGCACATCCGTCGGACTTACAGGTGTGGCTGCTGGTTATACGATTGGAATTGTGGGCGATGCTGTAAGGACTGCCTACAAGATTTGTGGGAGATGGAGCTCTAACGGCTACACAGGGTGTTCGAGCATACATGCAACAGTCTCGGGTTTACGTGGGAATGATTCTGATTCTGATTTTCGGTGAAGTACTTGGACTTTATGGGTAAGTGACTCCATATCGGACCAGACTACTCTTACTAACACTGATTAGCTTGATTGTTGGCTTGATCCTGAACTCGAAGTCTTGAATCCGTATTAACTCTGTACTGTTTGACTGTTTCCTCTCACATACTGCGACCAAGTTTTTGAAAAGATATCTGGCTGGGCTACAGACCAGAGGAAATTCACATGGAGTGTATAATAAGGCAATAAGAGATATAGATTTGAGCCTCCGATTTATCACCGTAGTTCCGTCTAGCCCCGCCCCCAAGTTCCTACGTCAGAACTTCTTCCTTCACATCCCCCACCTCCTAAACCCCCAGACTTTTTTTTGGAAACCTCACTCAATGTGCTTGATAGACCCGCCGGAATAAGCTGTGTTGCCCGATTGGTGGCGCGCTAACGGGCCGGATCTCATATCTTTTTTCTCACTCTGCTTTTGCGATGACCTTTGGTTATTCCAATGGCGACCGGTACAGTGCAACATTCGCCTGAGGCGCCAGGCACGATGTCTCTTCACAAACATGACCTGCACGCCCGAGGCAAGCAGCTCGTCGAGTCCCTCCGCCACTCTCCACGATCCAACCCGTTCCTCATCACCGAGCGCCAAGACGAGAAGCAACTATGTATCTCCTCAAGAACTCTGCGCGTAAATGACTTTGTGCTCATAAAGACTCTTGGTACTGGTAAGTATTTGCCTAGACACATATTTTTTTTGCGCAAGTTCCATCTGACTATTGATTTTTTCTTCAACACCTAGGCACGTTTGCTCGGGTGTGGCTTACAAGGCTGAAGGACCAAAAGGACAAGAGCAAAGTCTATGCGCTGAAAATTCTTCGCAAGGCTGATGGTGAGCGCCGCTCTATCCGAGGTTGCGCAATGTGAGAGCTAACGTGGACCGGTTGCGCCTGGCAGTGATCAAACTCAAGCAAGTCGAACATGTGCGCAATGAGCGCAAAGCCCTCGCAGCGGTTCTCGATCACCCTTTTATCACAAATTTGGTCGCATCGTTCTCGGATGAGAAGAGCCTTTACATGCTGGTACGGTTGAAATTGGAACACGATCTGGAAAATCCAACGCTAACGCAGTTCAAGCTGGACTATTGCCCTGGAGGCGAAATCTTCAGCTACCTACGACGCCAACGACGATTCAGTGAAGAGACTTCGAGATTCTACGCCGCCGAGATTACAATGACCATCGAATTTCTACATGACATACACGGCATTGCCTACCGTGACCTTAAGCCGGAGAATATCCTGCTAGACGCCGATGGTCATATCAAGCTCGTTGATTTCGGATTCGCGAAACAAGTCGACAACCGCGAGACCTACACGTTATGTGGCACACCAGAATACCTTGCACCAGAGGTTATCCACAACAGTGGACATGGTCTTGCAGTGGACTGGTGGGCGTTGGGAATTCTAATTTACGAGTTCCTGATTGGCCAGCCGCCCTTCTGGGATTCAAATCCACTTCGCATCTATGAGCAGATCGTTGAAGGCCGCCTACGCTTCCCAGCTAATATGCCACCCGCAGCGCAGAACATCATCAGTCTGCTTTGCAAGACAAACCCGTCAGAGCGACTCGGTCACATCTCCGGCGGCTCAACCCGAGTTAAGTCCCACCCATTCTTCCAAAATGTCATCTGGGACGATCTTTTCTATCGCCGGGTGAAAGGTCCTATCCTTCCCCGCCTATCCCATCCCGCCGACACCAGCAACTTTGAGGAATACCCGGATCCCCCCGATGCCAGGCACGCCAACATCTACACCGATGACCTAAAGAAGAAGTACGAAGCCCTATTTAGTGATTTCTGAGCGATTTCTTTCCATCCAGTATGGCCAATATCAAGCAACCATCAAACCTTGGAAAAGTCAAATGACGGGAGCACGGCCACATACCCCCACGGACACCACGTGAGAGGCCCTCCCGAGTCTACAATCTCTCGTGTCCATCTTTGCTTTTTCTTCTGCTTCCATATGGGATCCCATGACTGCCATGGTATGTGGCGAGTCTGTTCTCGGAGGATATCGCCCCAGCGCCTACACGGAGCACACTTCTCCACGCCCACCCAAGCCGGTCTCACCACGCCAACTATCATTTGGCTCTTCACACATCTACATGTACAAGCACTCACACGACAGTCTCGGCTTCGGTATCTCGACTTTGCCCAGCAAATAATAGGTCGTTTATTTTCCCGCTTCCCTCTCTACCTGGACTACCCTATCCTTTCCCTACCCCGGAACTTCCAGCCTTCGATCATAAGCGCTGATCGCCTGGATTCCATACACTCGTGACTGATACCTCTTGCCCTTTCCTCAGCCCTGTTTGCAAATGATATATCTCTTTGCGAACGCTGTGCGTTCTAGTCCCCCTCTGTCGTTTCAACTATTGGGCGACTTTTGTTATTCATTGTAACCTGTTCAACACGCACGACATGGCTCGAAAGATTGGGCGGCGGGTTTTTATTTTCCATACAAGGATTTCTTCTTCGTACAAATGGGTGTTTGCGATTACAGTTGGTCAATATTCTCATTTAGGATAATACCAAGTACATATTTTGGGTTTCTATTCGAGTGCGATCAAACATGTCAGTTTAGGGCTTCTAAGGTCATTTGACTAATTTAAACAGTTACTTTAAGTCAGAGTACAACTAGAACAACTTGATATGTGCTGCAATTACGTTTTCGATTTAGAGATGGTCGGTTCTGTGGGAATATTGATTTGAATCTATGAACTAAAAGTCGTAAAACCACCCGACAAACATATCTAGGGATAAGTTATAGGCACGAAAGACAAAGGGGGAATCATATGTGCAGGTAACATAAAACAGGGAACAGGACTGGTGTTTGCGCCTGGCTGGAGCCATTTACCATGAGGTAGGAGTGCCGGCATCTCTATGCCGGCTTGACATATCGACGGGACATGGATAATCGGTGTTCCATTGAGGGAAGAAGGGTATGTGATGAGGATATGGGAAGGGAAAGGGATTTTGATATAGGGTTAGGCATGACGTATAAAACGTTTGAATCTAGGGATTATGGACGCTGTCATAGAGATGGATCTGTCTTCCATGTACCTGTAACCGAGGTGTTAATATTAATCCTGTAGGTTGACATGTCAATAAAGATGGACATACCCTCGAAGTTATGCTTCACAAAAGCCATGGCATCATCCGTATCTCCAGCACCCATTTGTCCAACACCAGGACTAAAGCTAGTGATAGGCAAGACAATGACATCACCAACCTTGCGGTGGGTAGTCTGGCGACTAAAGTCCTCATATGTGATGTTCTTATCACCAGGCTGGATATTGAAATAAGACGGGTTATTGAAATACCGGAAAACAGCATCGGTCCAGGCACCAGGCCCAGTGAACTCCATAATAGTCTTATCCATATGCCCAACCTTGAGAATACCAGCCCTCTTCATACGTAGCGCTTGTTCGGTAATAGTAGCCACCATATCACGAAGAATAGGATGCCCAGGCTTAGACACAATAGTCCACTGACAGAACTGAAGACGGCGGGAGTACCATTCATGCCAGTCGTCGCGATCAGGATCAGCCTCAATACCAACAATGAACCCAATAGTCGATCGGTCAAGTTCCTCCGGAAGCCACGAATGGGCAGGCTTCAATGCCGAGGTATCGATATCACTGTAGATACCACCACGCGCGAGCAGAACCAGATACCGAAAGAAATCCGCCTTCATAACGCCCAGCGGGAGAGAATCATACGCCTCAAAAACATCAGGCACCGAGCCAAAGAGGTATTGAATAAGATGGCGCTGATTTTCATCCGCGATAACCTCATGCGTAAATTTGGGATGCATCTCTGTCCATGAAGCCTCCAGACCCCGTAGATCCTCCGGGAACCAGTACGAGCTCGGATCGTTCTTCCATGTCTGCCAGATATACGCCGGAAACCGCAGTTCAAGTTCGTAGGGGAATTGGTAGCGCAGACGCTCGATCAGCGGCGCACTCGGCGATGCGCCGAGAGGCCGTTGGGCCCGGCCCTGGGGTGGGAGTTTCCGTGACGGGTTTGCGCGTCTATCTGTTTCTTCTTGTGATATTCCTGGTACGGGTCTGTATCCCGGTGCCCCGGGGATCTCGGGGTCTCGGAATGAGCGGAGGATCAGGAATAATGTTACCACGCCGATTAAGGTGAGGAGGGATTTGCGCGGGGTGAACATTGCGGGCAGCTGGCTTGGTGTAGCCGGATAGTAATTGTCCGGGATTTGCGACAGCCGTGGAAGGGCCGGTGGCCTGTGGTTCGAGGGTTCTTGGGCTGTTTGGGGTTTGTGGTGCGCGAGTTCGGGGGATTTGAAGAACGTGGGTGCACGATTCGGCTTGGAGGGTGGGACGGTCGAGTTTTTGGGGAGGTTCCGAGGTCTAATTTAAGGGAATTGAGAGGGTAACATTTCGGGACTTGAGGTGCTGTTGCATGGGCCGAGTTCGATTTGTGATGTGACCCGGATTGCTGGTAATGGGTTCGATCCGGAGAATAGGAGGCGCGCCCAAAAATGATCCCGGGGGCGGTTTTGGTCAACCAGTTCACCACAACAGAGCAGTGAACAAGAGTGTTCGAGGGAAATTAGGCCACGCTGGCTCGCAGCGATTGACTGATGGCGGTGGACTTGAGGCTTGCGTATGCCGGAAGCAGCTTGTAACCACTTTAGGTGGAGTCGCTCACGTGGCCTGCAACGTGCTACTTCACTGCGCTATTGATTTGGCCGTCAATTTCTTTCATTTATGCAAATAGTCTCCACGAAGCATTTGCATGATTTATACACAAGCTTATACACTTGGCTGTTATCACCCCCACATCAGTTCCTTCCACACCTCCAGACTTGGTGATGATCGTCCTGGATGATGAATCTCATCTTCCTTGAAATTGACTCTTGCGTTCGTCCCGAGCTATGGCTCAACTGAGACGAAAAATGGGATATATATGAACATACTACGATAGAGAGGCTTGCCCAATATGCGACTGTTATCGAAGGGCGAGATCATCGCGCAATCAGACTGAAACAATCCCCGCCCATAGCTCGGGCTTCGCTGCTAGATAATAAGACCTTTTATTCCCCATGGTGATGCGAACAAGTCTTTCTCTACTTGCCGAGGATGTTGTTCTATATCTGCACCCTACGAATAGAGCTGTGTAGTCGGTGCAACGCCCAAAACTCGTGCTCAGACATAAGACTACATTTACGTTACATAAACAGATAGATGGATATCGTCGATACCGACGAAGCTGATACACTATACATTGTTCATAGCGTCTGTCATTGTATTCAACGGTCTTCCGTCAAACTGTGAAACAAACGTAGTGCTTACACCTGTAAATTGTAGCCACAAATGGCAGATCTTGAAGCCACATCCTCAATTTACCGAGACTGTTGAGTTTGATATAACCGGACCATAGGAAAATTAAGGGTTGGGAACATTGGTGCATTTCCCGTTTTATTGCGCCTCGTTTATGATTCCCCGCACGCTACGTTTCTGATTAGAAGCCACTCTTGCGCTAGTAGCATTGCGACACAATGCCTAAGCAGCGATTTAAATATGTTGACGGAAATTTGAAATCGGTTAAGAATAGATAGCATTGGCACAAAGAGGATCTCAGCGACTGTGAAGGAGAAGCCGGGAGGATTTGAACTATCGATCTGTCATAGTATCGATCCCAAGATGAGTATCTGTAAATGCGGTTCTCGATCACCCAATGTACATCGCATACTTGGCAAACTCGGCGTCTACCCTCATGCTTCCCATATCTTCATCTCTAAGACAGATTGCAGCTTCAATCCCATCCTGAAGCGTTCTACGCATCAGAAAAGCCAATCCCTCGAGGGTCTGGAACTGCAGTCGTCGAACTGCCTGTGGTGTACCCAATCCCAGTTTAAATTCAAGCCCATTTTCTTCAGCTTCGCCCAGGAACTAAGAATTAGATCCACCGAAGTATGACATTTAGCAGTGACAGAGAAAGTAGCCTTATTCGGCGTGCGGTTGAGATACATGGCGATGGCACGGGCAGAGAATTCCAAACGTGACGTTTTAGGATCTACAGCCGAGCGCGCTGTAACGAATTGTTCCCAAGTGGTTCCTCGAGCGTTGAATGGAGGAAAGAGGTGCAGTACGCGCTTATTTGTATTGGTCTCGGGTATGTTGGCGAAAAATCCAGATATGGTCGCACATCCACGGCACTGGCTATCGTTGATCGGATCGACGGATCGAGGCGCGGGAGACGGACATGTGTAGCAGCTCGCCAAATGAATGCAGTTGAGGTGTCGTCAGAAGAGACGTCGGCGGGGACACTGACGAGTTCTGAGGCAATCGATTTGAGCGATGCGATTGAGCTAACGGGTCAGATGAAGTATGCCCAGGTGCATGGCGGTGGTGTGTTAGATATTGATCCCGAGGTGTCCCGAGGTGTTATTAGATGGAGTTGGCCCCCAAGATGTGGCGCTGAACATCTGGTCCTGGTGTCCACACGCTGTCGAGAAAGGGGAAGATGTTGGGTCGGGGGAGGTTGCAGGTTGCCGGAACATAGCTCCTCTTCTGTGAATATTTCACCAAGGCAGTATTTGGAGAAGGGCAGATGATGCGCGCTTGGCCTGTCATGTTCATGGTGTTGTGCTGCGCGACAAACGTGAGGATCAGTCTTCCGGTGATGATATTGGCCTAGATGAGGAATACTGGTGCTGGATCGGAGTTGGAATCTCCGACGAACGTTTTGCGTGGTACAATGATATTTTCGTCTAGCATTCTCATAGAGAAATTCTCGTGTTGAAGGACCTCCATTGTTGGCATAGAGCTATGACGCGTATGGTCTTTCATAAACAATCCGAGGGGCTTTCGGAAGTGGCTTGAACTTGTAGATTCCCAGGCTATCTTTGCCTGAGCCCTCATTGACTACCCCCCACGCTAGCCATGGGAAGCTTGTGTATAGTCGGCCGAGCCCATTTGCCAAAGTATTCAGAATAGCCGTGTGTGAAGATCCAGTAGCGGAGAGCAGAAGCATATCTGCGTATTGATTGTGAAGAAAGGCTGCTGCCCAAAAATATCAAGCTAGTCATCCATGTCAGCTCTCTTGCGGTGAGCCTGTGCATTACTTCTGGCTGAAGATATACACTGTCTGCTCCGAATAGAGAGCAGTATCCAATCACCATGAGTCACCATTACTCAAAGTGGACATGTGGAGGCAACAGGCGTTAAAGGCTAAACCCAGAGAGTGGGCGTCAAATATTGATATTGACAAACTGCCGAAGGAAGAGTTGGAATGAGATTTTAGGTTATGAGGCTTAAGCTCGGAATCATGCTAGGTGTTAAGAGGCTTCTACAGCTTTACCGACAAACCCTGAATTGACACCAACGAAAATAACCGTAATACAGCCTCATTGGCCTTATTTGAACAGGCTAATGTTCCAGAAGGCGGCCGGGTTCGGTACTTGATCATATTCTCATATTACCTCTAAGAAATTCCCCCGCATCAAAATTACCCCCTTGTGCGTAATTGGCGGGTATGGGGTTGCTTTTGGAACCTTTGATAAGACCAACTTTAGGAATACACCAGAACCAACCCCAACCTGACTAAAAGCAAAAACAGATCAAATAGCAAACTATAATTGGACATGTATCTATCATAGCCAAGACGCCGGACTGCGCCGCTCGTACGGCTTGGCGTATAACGGAGGTTCATTCGAAACAGGACAAGTTTATTTACTAGGGCGAGTCCTAGTTACATTGTGTAGGGAAATATCTTGAGTGGCAATTCGCACGGAAATCGGCAGTTAATCTAGAACTCACAGACGGTATCCAAATTCTATACCGATCAAAGCGGCACGCTTCCGGGCGATCCATGCGCACGTGGGGAGAACAATCCCGGGATCTAAGACACGCGATAAACGTGTCAGGCGGCTGGCATGACTTTTTTAGTTTCTTTTTCATTCTAGGCTTCCTTGGCTATGGGAATTTGTCCATGGCTCTGATACCCAATATTGAGAATAACTGTGCTGCCTGAATATGCCGATAAGGTCAGTTATACTATACCAGGGCGAATCAGTGGCCGTTAAACATTGTAGACTTGATTACCCCACACTTTTGTGTGATATCTGCCGTGTGGAACATACCGTGTGGGAGTATGCAGCAGCCAGTATGCCCATCCAAGAAGATCTAGCCGCTGATACGGAGAAAGGCGACATTGTGGATCAACAGGAGACAAATTATGCACTAAACTCAAGATGGAAAGTGATAACCGACTCGTTGACAGTCAAACAATGCTGATTGGTTGGACCTGTTCCTACTAACACCCTCAAAAGCTTGTCGCTCGGTATTTCTTTGTTTTTCTTACAAAGAGGGGAGTATTTGATATGGTTGCCACTTTAATTGGATCTAAGGTGCTCGCTTTTACTTACAGGGTCTGCTCGGCCAGGGTCTTGTTCGGCTACACCGCGGCTTATTATCTGTCACCTCATTTAGGCGCTAGATTCCTCCTCCATTATAAAGATGCCCATGGACTCGACTTTGTGCAATCTTTTGCCATCTTTCAATTTCACCTTTGGCATATCCCCCCCTAACTTCATTATGGAATAACATCTGCACCTACCCTTTCCGACTCAACTCTCCACCCCCAACCCCAGGACTAGGATTTGGAACCAAAGTTTCTTCCACCTGCTGAATCTATCTTTGAATGACGTTTCTCTCAACCAGGGACCTTCAAGATGGCGAACAAGAGCACAATTCTGCCCGTGGTGACTGAAAAGTCCTTTGCACCCTCCATTCAGTCAGTGCCAAGGAATGAGACCTCAAGCCACACTAGCCAGCCATCATTGGACGCGAAGGCGGTAATCATCCTCGACAATGAAACCAAAAAGCGTTTCTTTGCGCGACCATGGGGACCGTGTCAGAAAGCCGTTGCAGGTGCACTTGTCTTCGTGTGGATTACCCTGATTGCTTTGACCGTCGCTCTCCCGATCTACTTCACCAAAATCTACGGCTTTGCGAAGGATACCGATTGGTACTGGCAGCTTCCCCAACCAAATGAAGACTCGAGTTACCACAGTGAGGCGAACAGGCCTGTCTTCGCTCTGAAGAATTTCCCGGACCCGGGCCTTGTTGAGCACAATGGAACGTGGTTTGCTTACGGGACGAACCCCAAGAAGAAGAATGCCGATACCATTCATGTGCCTGTCGCTACATCAACGAACTTTGTCAATTGGACTCTCCATGAAGGTTATGATGCACTGCCCACTCTTGGTGGTTGGGAGAAGAAGGTCAATCACTGGGCTCCCGATGTGATTCAGCGTGTAAGTGTCCGAGGAAGATTTTCCTGTCTTTGGAAGGGAGGAAGCTTCTAACATTTGAATTTCAGGATGATGGCAAGTTTGTGATGTACTACTCAGGGGAGGTCAAGAACTGGGGAAGCTTCCACTGCGTCGGCGTCGCAGTATCCAACGACACAAATCCACTGGGACCATACATCCCCGAGGATAAGCCATTGGCATGCCCCCACGATCTGGGTGGTGCTATTGACCCATCGCCATTCAGAGATGCCGATGGCACACTCTATGTGGTGTACAAAGGTGACGGAAACAGCATTGGCCATGGTGGAAACTGCAACAACGGAAAGAAGCCAATCGTCTCCGTACCCATTCTACTGCAAAAGTTGGAGAGCGACGGCATCACTACGATCGGAAAACCAAAGAAAATCCTCGATATTGACGATACCGACGGTCCTCTCGTTGAGGCTCCAGACCTCATGCGCACCGATGACGGTGTCTTCTACTTGTTCTTCTCTTCGCATTGCTACACCTCACTGGGTTATAACGTGAAATATGCCCACTCTACTTCCATCGAGGGCCCGTACAAGAGAGCTGATCGGGCCCTGCTGCAGACTGCAGACTGGAATCTCCTCGGTCCCGGTGGTGCGACAGTTTCCGCTGACGGAAGGAAGATCGTCTTTCATGCGAACTGTGGCTCTCACCGCTGCATGTACGCCGGGGCTATCGATATCAAAGCCAACAACACCGTTGTCATGGCAAGTCTCCTGGGGCAATGAGTTGTCGAAGTTGGCAAACTCCACATCAGTTCCCAATGAGCTGCATAGGGACTGGATGATCCCGACCCCTCATTTGACACGCCAAGCTTCTGAAGACAATATGTCTGTTTTATGATATCTGACGTTTTGCATTTTACCTGGCGTTTTAGCACTACTCTCTTTGCTTTGGTTTCCTGATTTATTGGAGTTGCTATTTATACCCGGGTGGATTTACCGGACTCAGCATGGAAACGGTGTTATATGGAAGCAATTATCTAGCATATGAAATTTGAACCAATACTATTTTCTATATCCTTCCAAAAACCCCTTTAGTAAGCTGTCTTGTTTGTATTTCGACATCGGAGTTCTGTATACTTCTCCGCCAATCACCGCCCGTACAGATGACGCCACTGATTAGCGCCTGAGGCATCCAGATAAGTTCTCCGCTACATGAATGAATCCATACGTAAACAGCTCCCCTCCCCAATTCCTAATCCTCCTAATATCCAATTCATTATGCGCTCGATTCAGGGTGCAGCTCGTGTCGCTTCGCGCGCACTCGGAGCCTCGCCATTGCGACAAGGCCAACCCAAGATCACTCCCGCGGGATCGCATCGGACTTTATCGGCGCAATGGTTAGCAGCGCGACCATTGCACACGGTGCCACCACGAAAGGCAGCATCCGCCTCGGCAGAGTTAACAGAAAGAGACTCCTCCAACCCAGCAATGTCATTTCCCTGCCTGGATGCCCAAGAAGCCCGGTCCGCACAGCTCTCCGCGCGGTCGCTCGAGTCCGGCCCTGAACCCTCATACACAACCGGCCAACACGAATCCTTTCACTGTGACCAACCCCTCCTCCTCGACTGGGGCGGTGTTCTCCCAGAATTCGACATCGCATATGAAACATGGGGCGAACTGAACAGCGACAAAAGCAATGCCATCCTCCTCCACACCGGCCTGTCAGCCTCAAGCCACGCCCACAGCACAGCCTCCAACCCCAAACCAGGCTGGTGGGAGAAGTTCATCGGCCCAGGCCTACCACTAGACACAAACAAATACCACGTCATCTGCACAAACGTCCTGGGAGGCTGCTACGGCAGCACAGGACCATCATCCGTCGACCCATCTGACGGCAAGCGCTACGCTACCCGCTTCCCAATCCTGACCTTAGACGACATGGTGCGCGCTCAATTTAGACTCCTAGACGGCCTGGGAATCAAGAAGCTAGCCGCCTCCGTCGGCTCCTCCATGGGCGGCATGCAGAGTCTAGCAGCAGGCGTGCTCTTCCCAGAGCGCGTTGGCAAGATCGTCAGCATCAGTGGCTGCGCCCGCAGCCACCCATACAGCATTGCGATGCGGCACACGCAGCGCCAGGTCCTGATGATGGACCCGAACTGGGCGCGCGGGTTTTACTACGACGCTATCCCGCCGCACTCGGGTATGAAGCTCGCGCGTGAGATCGCTACTGTGACGTACCGCAGTGGACCGGAGTGGGAGATGCGGTTTGGCCGTCGTCGTGCGGATCCTAGTAAACAGCCTGCGCTTTGTCCTGATTTCCTTATTGAGACTTATCTTGACCATGCCGGTGAGAAGTTCTGTCTTGAGTATGATCCTAATAGTTTGCTTTATGTTTCTAAGGCCATGGATCTGTTTGATCTCGGTCAGGCGCATCAGTCGGAGACTTCGAAGCGTCGTGCTGAGTCTGAGGATCGCATTAAGAATGGTGGAATCGAGCCGAGTGTTGCCGATGCTTCGTGCAGTCTTACTCTCCCTGACAGGCCGTACGAAGAACAGCCTAGCTCGACTTCCTCTGTACCACCTCTCGATCAGTCCGCCTCAGTTGACCAAGCTGATGGTCCCCCGCGCGATCTCGTCGCTGGTCTGGCACCCCTCAAGAACCACCCCGTTCTTGTTATGGGTGTGGCCAGTGATATCCTCTTCCCTGCTTGGCAGCAGCGTGAGATCGCGGAGACTCTCCGCGCCGGCGGAAACAAGAATGTCGAGCATATTGAGCTTGGGGATGATGTCTCCTTGTTCGGCCATGATACCTTCTTGTTGGATCTGAAGAACATTGGTGGTGCCCTTGGCAAGTTCTTGCAATAGGTGTAGATAATGTGGTGCTTGAGTGTGGTGATTGTGTATAGTTGGTTGATTCTGAATATTTGTGAAGCGTGTGACTTTAGAATTAGTGCATTAGCAGGCGTTCATATGTTCGAAATGGAATACCTCTTCTCTGTGAAGTCGAGTCTCTTGTCAGAGGATGGGTAGGAGTCAGTGTACATGTACGTGCACGAGTACCAGTAGCTGATGTAGAGAACACCGTGAAGTGGGAATCGCCAAGAACGGTAGGCTTCAGTCAATAGGTACATGTACGAGTATCTGTCAAAGAGAAGAACATGAAGTGGGAGTGAGAGAAGCCAGCACCGATCCCCAAGATCAAACAAGTTTGGACTAAGTACATGACAGATGAAATAAGAAAAAGGCAAAGAGAAAAGGAAACTCGAGATCAGCAAGAAAGATGGAAAAGCCAGCCCTCAGAAATGCTCTCATTGATCAGCATCGGCCTCATGCAATACAGTGGCCACCAGTCCACCTGGAGGCAGCTGGCACGTCATGTACCGCAGATGCATACAGTATTGGCTTATGTTCATCAATAGACGAACTCATCACAGGGCAGCATGGAAAAAATAGAAAAAGAACCCCTCGCCGACCAGCCAAAGTCCGTAACAATTGAAAACCTACGAGTCGCTTCGACACCCCCAGAGGCAGTTGATCCCCACCAGGCAATTTCAATGACCATGATGAGCCAGGAAACGCGGCAATCAAAACCCACAACCAGATTGACAACCTCGAGTTAGTGGCGATGGCTGCGAGTCGGGGTTATGCCCACGGGACGACTCGAGGCAGTTGATGCCCACAAGGTAAATTTAATGACCATAAACCAGAGTACTGCGAGACGACTGCATCCCACATGAAGAAGCTAAAGAAGGAGAGTTAGGGGGCTGAGGGAAGAAAAAAAAAGAAGAGGAATGGTGGGTAGGGAGGTTTTTGTAGGCCGGCCATGTGAGCAAACGAGACAAATCAGAAACCGCGGACAAACTGGATGTGGACTGGACATGACTGCTTTTCTTGCTTTACTGCCTTGACTTTCTGCGTCAATTAATGGTGCCACAGTTGGTGCCCCATCCCAAGCCATGATTGTCTCCCTGCCTCTAACCTGATCAACCAGACAACCTGCAATAGAGATCAATCAAGCTCCACAGTGACTGTATTGATGCACGACATAATGCGTCGATCAATGATACCTCAATTGGAGTCTCGTCTCAAGTCAGGGCTGTCTTTTTCGCATTTCCCTGATCAATCGCAACACCCAAGATGTAATTCGATCATTCTTCGGCAGCTGTGGGCCATATCAATAAAGTCGAGGTCTACCTCGACTGCCATGATTGCATGGTATAGCTAGGGATACCACAATCGGTGACCCATCTCAAGGCACGATCGTCTGTCTCGCATTCCTTGCTCAGCAATATCTGTAATAGAGTACAGCCAAGCTCTAGCATTTGCATGCTATCTCATTAGACCTGAACTTAGTTTCGAGTATGAGTAATTTGTTGGCGGGTATGTTCGTCGCGCTTGTAAACGCTGATTTGTGGCCATCCGCTTAAACTCCACATTTGAGTTACACGGTATTCAATACGAGGCGGTATTGTTCAATGTAATAGCTGCTGATATGGTGGAGCTTTGAATAGCTTGGTGGATGTTATATCAGGGGTATAGAACAGATCCTAAACGGAAGAGGTCGTTTTAAAGCTTCGGGATGAACTATTTTCCGGTGCTCCAATTTGACGCCAAGACCGGTGGAAGGCAACAGCGAGATATGCAAAACCGAGACATTTTAAATCACATTCGGACTTGGTATTTCCAACTTAAAGCGTGGATACCCAATGCATGTTGCCTTGTAGAGCTACCAAATTCCCAAAACAAACCTAAAGCACAGCATCACCCATGGTTCTCACGAATATCCACGAACAGTTTCTGGGGTTGTTCCACTGAACAAAAGCTAATGTACCTTATGAAATCATTTAGCAAGGTGCTTCAACAATGCTTTACCACTCAATCAAGCCCCTAAGAGTAGCTAACCCCCACATGAAATGTGTAGCTCTACAGTCATAGCGGATATAGCATGATAGGACTGTAGGAATAATAATCTGTCATGATTACATAGCCGTGTGATGTGGTATAAGGAACGCCTCAATTCTTCCATAAAATGTCTATTTTAACATTGAGTCGAAATTATGCTTTCCTTTCCGTACCTACTCGTATTCTTTGTACATATTCACGCTTTTGAAACTGATTCCTCTGTCCAAAATGCCTCGCGGTGCAGTAGAAGACGACCAGGAGTTCGATAACCCCATTCAAGCTGAGTATGCGGATACTGATGAGGCACTTGGTAAAGCTTTTACTCCTAGTGTGCACTGTTGTGCCTAAAGTGATTTAAAACATTTCATGTTTCAGCCGAGAACGTAGGCTATGCTTCTCTTTATGAATGTATCTTGCAGATTCTCCCTTTGAAATTATTCTTGATAGTAGTGGAAACACCAAACACAGGCATATCTCTTCACGATAGGCTGTACGCATTGTGACTGGGGAGTCCAGGGCCTAAACTCACGATGGGGTAATAGTTACCCAGTAATGTGATGGGTGTCCACGGCGAAATGTATGTCAGTGGAGAGTCGGAATGGTCACGGAAGTTTCACCATTGCCGACGTCATGCCGATCAAGTACAGGCTGGTCCTGATGATGTGGTTTCCATCAGTCATTGGACTTGGCTTGTTCATAGCGGTGGGACGGTATATTACAAGGTGCATCGGATGGTTCCGATCTTTGGGACGTTTCTGGTTATATTTGGGTCGTTCTTTGTGATTATTCCCTCCCAGCTGTACCTGGTTGATCTGTTCGGGCCAGAAGCAGCGGCATCTACGCTAGGGGCTAACATTCTCCATCGCTCAATGTTTGGGGCTCTATTTCCCGCTTTCTAGGTCCCATATGTACTCGACGCTTACCTGTGGGTGGGGTAATACGCTGCTACGATTCCTAGAACTGGCATTTGCGCCTGTGTCGATTCTATTCTACCGATATGGGGAATGGCTGGGGAGCCGGAGCAGTGACAATCTGTAAACTTTTCGCAAGAGGCTTATACGTAAGGATAGATGGACTGCACCAATCTGTTACCCAACATGATCAGAATACCAGCTGAAATCTTCCAGTCGTGCAAACGCACCTGTTGAATGCCAGCCTCAAACAAATAACAGAAACGTATGCACCGCGATCACAAGCTCACAAGATTAGTCGCACTCAGGGCTTTACCATATATCCATAAATGTTATTCGACGCATTGATATCCCTAGTACCCATCACAGTTCGATAGACTTGGGAACACTTTCCTTGCGTGGTGAACAATTGAAGTGTCTGGGCACCATTGGATCCAGTCCAGCTGATTTTAGCGCCCCTGGGAATGACAATAGGCTTGCAACCCCTGGGTCCACTTCCCTGGTATGGTTGATTGTTTACTCGGAGTTCCCAGGCCGAGGAAGTGCTCGCAAGCAGAGCGAGGAAAGAAGTAGTGAGCGTGGAAAGCTTCATGGTTGTCTTTATCCTTGTTTAGTCCGGTCGATCGCTGTTTTCATCTCAAGGAGAAGAGTCACACATACCGGTATAACAATGTTGCCAGATATCTGTTTGTCGAGAATATGCTATTTCTTCCGAAGGGAGGACTCGTGTATTATATTGCTTCGTAGGTGTGCTTCTCCCATGATGTCACTACTATACGAACACAAGGACAGCCCTCAAAATCCGCCTCATTTTTTTCGAGTTTCTAGATCTTCCTACGACCATGGAATGTAGAATCATGTGATCCAAAACGGTTGGTGTTTGGGGGGTTGAACCAAACTCTCCCGAGAGTCTAAAGTCCAGCCTGTTCTTTGTTACAGCATCGCAAGATCTCGCCCAAACAACGCACAACTGAAGCCAACAGGCCAAAGAAGAACAAGCAAGAGATAAATGAGTAGCATTAAGAGAAGGGGAAAAAAAGATAAAAAGTTAAGATCTACGTCCCGGAGCCCTGATACTGTGGGGTAATCATCACTACAGCAGCATCCAATTGCGCTGCGTTAAGATCGTCCAACCTTCTTTGATAACTGCTGGTATCAAGCCCCAGACCTGCTGCCCAAGACCAGACGTCCAAATAGCTGGCAATGTCTTCGTTGGGCAATAGTTCCTTGTTGGATGTCGTTACCAACTAGACTAACCGAGGGTAGTTGTGTACTTTACTAGCTCCTTAACAGGGGTTTACCCGGTGCTTTTCCTGATTTTGAAGTGAGTAATTGTGCCGAAGTAGTCACAACATGTTATTATTGAATCAAACCTTTCATCTCTTGCCTGGACTAGGAAATATCATGTCCTACGTTTATCTCAGGAATTGAACCCCAGCCCAGCCTGGACGAATAGCCGATATTGGGAGTGCTCTTTGTGGAACGTAGGGTGACTATAGTTTATAAGACTACAGCTGAAACAATCGATATAAGAATATGCACCTGCTAGGCAGGAGTTATATCGATTTGGACCAATTTGCCACTTAGCCCCTTATAGAAAGACAGCTAAGCTTACTGCTAGAACAGCGTCGACGGCATAGCAAGTTGCTTGTCCCTGACCGCCTGCGGAGCCCTTTGAACCGTTATGAAGAAGTCGACATCCTGGTGGAAACAGAACCAGTAAATCACATTCACACGAATAAAGATATAGCCACTGAATGATCGAACAATGAATTGAAGTGTCTTCATTTTTCAAAATGGCCTACGGGTTAATCGACATCCCTATTAGAAATGTCGGTATTGTCAAGTGCGCTCTCTTGGCAAGCGACCGCCTAGGTCTGACAGGGAAACATCAACTTGCCATCAACTGTTTCATTTCGTGAGACGTCGCCCATCCAGCTATGTATTTCTCCCTTCCTTATTATCGGGATGCCGGTCAATTACCAGGGCCTCTTCCTGATCAGAATGAGATTGAACGGGCAACAAGAACCCTCCCCAAGAGATCAGATTACGGTGGGCGCCTGGTCGTAATCAGAGACAAATATGTTGTGAAATATGGCCCGCTTGTGACCGAAAATGAGGGATATACTCTATGTTTTCTTGAAAAACGGCTCAACATCCCAGCGCCACGACTCTACGCCATGTACCGCGATCATGATATCGTGTATATCGTCATGGAGTATATCCCTAGCATTTCTCTAGGAATAGCGTGGCCTTCGCTCACCGAGGCAAATAAACATTCGATTGCTAGGCAATTGCGATACATCTTTGATCAGATGAGAGCGCTGTCATCGCCCGGATTTTATGGCAGCGTCAACCGAGGACCCGTTCCCCATAGGTATTTCTTTTCTCGTGAAAAAGACCCTGCTATTACCGGCCCTTTTCAGACGGAAGAAGAATTCGGAAAAGCTATCGCACTTCGCTCAAAAACTATGTGGAGCGAATCAAATGGTCATAGCTTTCTCTCCGACTATCTTGGTCGCCACCTCCCATTGGCACTTCGCAATCATCCACCTGTACTCACCCACGGAGATCTCTCTAGAGAGAATGTTCTTGTCCGGAAGGTCATTAATTCTGTCACGAATGAAGAAGAGTATAAAGTAGCTGCTCTTGTAGACTGGGAAGCGGCCGGATGGTATCCTTCGCACTGGGAATACTCTCATATTTTCCCCCTCTTGCAGTGGATTGATGACTGGCCAGCATATGTTGAGAAGATTCTCGATCCATTGCCGCTGGAGGGTGCCATGATGCGGGTTGTCTTTAGTGATCTGGAGTTTTAGAGCGAGATAATACGACGTTGACCCTAGTGTCTTTGTCCGGCCACAATGGAAGGCTTGATCGGTGTCATTTGATCTGAAATTATGTTCTAGCCTAGAGCTTGATAGCTGGTAATTTTGATTGTGTTCTAAGAAGGACTGATCTTATTCACTTTAACTGAGTAGTTTCCATTTCGAAGTTGCCGTTAGCCTTGATTAAGCGTTGCCAATTCTATAGATCACCTCAGCAATATTGTAAGTGTGGATTGAAAAGAACGTAAGATAATTGAAGTAGTCTATTATCCTAGCGAGCATAGCTAATTAGAGGTCGGGCTTATAGCTATCAATGTCGTCTGAAGATGATTTATAGCTATCGGTGTCAATTGATGAGGATTCGTAACTACAAGTGTCGGTTGGTAGGAAACTGCTGGTTGAGTCCGATGATCCAGTTCAACAGTCGGTTCTGCTGGACATGGCCGCAACAGATTCCGTGCTCGACCTATACGATAAAAGGCGTTTTGGGGTTAGGGTCCGACTGCAGGGCTTAACGAGGGTGCATCCTTGCATGTCAGTCACTAATCTGTTTTTGGGGTTCTCTACTGCTATGCGTTACTTAGATCTTTGTTTATCAAAACTTTGCCTTAGCTGGAGTCCCACTATAGGCGATCTCGTTCCACACACTAGTCCCGAAGCCGGCTTACTTGTTATTGATCGCATACTCGACGCGACCTGCTTAAGAGTCCTTCCATTCTCATAAGAATGCATATACCAAGATCTTAGCTCTAGAACAAACAAAATCTGGTTTTATGATGTGTTTAGTTGTGGCTATGTGTGGATGCCAAAACGTGAAGTGTTTTAGGTGGAAGGGTATATTCCGACCACATTCTGTTGTTGTTCAGCTGAGAGGGTCAGTGCAGTGGTCGTGCGACTTAGGTGATTCACACCCGGATTCTCACCCTGTCTATACTGCAATCACCCTTCTTACTCCTAGCCGAGCGACGATATAGCGGCCTCTACACTCATCTTTATAACCCCCTTTGATGACACGCTCAATACATACGACCACAGGGTGTGGAGAACAGGGCTTCCCGTCCGCTCAGCCGTACTTAAGCCACACGCCGGTAAGTTAGTAGTTAGGTGGGTGACCACTAGCGAATCCTTACTGTTGTATGTTTTTTTTTTTTTGCTTTTCGCACTTAACATGTATATAGAGTGTGATTTCTAAAAGAAATCTTAGGCATATGCGTATATATCTCTCCAGCTATCGAAGTCCTGTACGAAGCGACAGGCTCGAAAAGCGTTAATATAGGGTTGAGTGTGCTTCTAACAATCATATACGCTTCCTGTCTTCCGCCACAGTGGGTGATCCGAGGACGCCTTGCCTGGGCATTTGCAAGAGATAGAGGGGCGCCTTTTCCAAATTTCTTCAGCAAGGTGGACGAGAAACTTCATTTTCCCGTTCGTACGGCTATAGCTTCCACAAATTTCGCTACCCTCTATGGGTTGATTTACTTGACCAGTACCACTGCCTTCAATTCGATCATCACATCTGCCAGCACGCTAATCAATCTAAGCTATGCCGTCCCCCAGGCTCTCTTAGCTGTGCGCGGTCGTGAAAAGTGTCTACCGAAAAGGCCGCTTGGCCTTGGACACTGGGAGTATGCTTGTAATATCTTTGCGCCGCGTTGGTCTGCTATTATGTGTGTGATGGTCTGTTCCCCGCCAGGTCTTTCTGTGATGAGGGCCTCGATGAATTGGAGTGCGCCGATGTTGGTTGCTTTGACTCTTGCTATTCTTGCCTTTTGGTATTTGATTGGGGAGGAGTTTCAAGGACCTGATTTTGACTGAGATGCTCTGAGTATCAAGGTTGAGGTACGGAGCAATGTTGAAGCATCTTAATGAAAGTTTTGGAGTAGGACAAACATTTTGATGGAATATGGAGACTGAGAAATGAGATCCAGCAATGCGTAAGATGTGAAAGATGTCTATATGAAGAGGACTAGTCCAGAAATTGGATTTGAAACCAAATGTATGTATAAAAAGGCAGAAAAATGTGTTATCTTGTACTTAGAAACTCAACATATGCTTTGCAAACCCTCAGATTGAAAACTACCTTTTTGTCACTCTTCACTGGCATACTCGTCGTTTCCTTTGTGAGGCATACAGACAGAGCCCATATACAGGACCTCAGAGTATATGACGAATTTGTCTTCATCGGGTCATGCTTAACGCATTGTGATCGAGGGAACGAGAAGGGAGTTGCTCGTCAATCTGGGGGGGGGGTTGATTGAATCTAGATATTATGATGAAATGTCAGTATATCTCGTTCAAATATGCTCACAGCACCAAGAGCAGAAGTAGAATAAACGACAGTCGCTCAGATCTCTGTTCATTCTCAATCACCCATTGACCGATGTCTTCTTCCACTCAGATGTACTGGGGATGAAGTCCACCGGCCGCCACGTCATGAAAAGCTCATATGTGAATTGTGTATCTTCATCACGACTAGCAATGGGGTCCTTGGAAGCACACAGCATGGGACAAGCAAAACACTCAATGGGCAACGTACCTGTTGTGGTGCGATGAGCCAATGCGCGAGCACATCAGACGTAATCGTTTAGACTTGTGATCTTCAACTGATCCCATGTCAAGTCCAGTCAGGCATCTTGACATGCGATAATGGATAGATGCCGGTGTGACCAAGCGCAAAGTAAACAGGTTCAACGTCACGCAGCCCGATTCTGGAACATCCTCGCAGGTTGGGTATTGACGCGATATTGAGACCTGATTTCCTAACAGGTCCACCAACAGCGACGCGTTATCGCAAGAGAAGATGCCTTAGGACGCGTGGGAAATAAAGCGACGTAGATGTGATGGAGTCTAAGTGAGTCTCGGCTAAAGTCCGCGGGACGCACGTGATAGCAATCGTGGTTCCAGTGATGATCGCATCTGCAGATTGACATTCCGTTATAAAAGGCCAATGCCTGCACTGATCGGCTACTTGTGATGGTACGTACCATACCCCAATATACGCCATGGCTCCCCCAGCTTCCAGGTGGTGGGATACCCCCAGCGATGCCGACCTCGACTACGGATTCGATTTTGACGAACCTGGTACTAGATACGGGCCTGATCGCAACACGAACTCCAGAAACCAGAGCGAACCGAAAGGACTAGAACCCCAGGATACAGAGGAGAAAGGAGTGGTTGGAAATATGTCTTCGTGGCTCCAGCGTCAGGCTGGCTCGTCGCACGGGCAGCTTGCGACTACCGCTGTCTTGTCCGGTGCAGCTGTCGCAGGTGCTATCTTTGGATACCAGTCATACAAGCGAAAGGAGGCTGTCCATGACTTGAAAGCTTCAATTCCAAATATTGATGATCTGCACCCCGCTGAAAAGGTGAACCGCTCTCGTCCAGCTTCGCCGAGTGCCCAGCAAGCTACAAAGCGACAAAAGCATCAAAGCTAATGCATACGCCCACAGCTTACCGATTTTGGTGCCGCTGCATCTGATATCCCATTGAGCAAGGAAGATGAGCGTAGTGCAGCTTTGGCTCGCAGAGCGCAACAAGGTGACTACGATGATGGTATACAACTTTATCCTTGCCATTTTTCCCAACCTGTCTAACAAGGCCTGTGCCTTTTTCTAGATCTGATCCTTGAACAACTTGCCCGGAACCGCGTGTTCCTCGGTGACGAAGGTCTCGCCAAGCTTCGTTCTTCATTCGTCGTTGTGGTTGGATGTGGTGGTGTTGGCTCTCATGCCGCTGCCTCACTCGCTCGATCGGGTGTGTCTAAGATCCGACTTATCGACTTCGACCAAGTCACACTATCTTCGCTGAACCGACACGCTCTTGCCACGTTGGCCGACGTTGGAACATCCAAGGTTCACTGTATCCGGAGACGGTTGGAACAAATCGCCCCATGGGTCACGTTCGATTGCAGGAACGAACTTTTTGGAAAGTCCGCAGCCGACGAGCTCATCGGTCCTTGGACTCTGACAAAGGATGGGGAGGGACGCCGTCCGGACTTTGTGTTGGACTGTATCGATAACATCACCTCCAAGGTGGACCTTCTACACTACTGTCACTCCAACTCCCTACCTGTGATTTCATCCATGGGCGCTGGATGCAAGTCAGATCCAACTCGCGTTGTGGTTGGCGATGTCTCGCTCAGCACCGATGACCCTCTGTCTCGCAGCACGCGGCGTAAGCTGAAGGCCCTGGGCGTGACCTCTGGTGTCGCCGCTGTGTTCTCGACAGAGAAGCCGGGCCCTGGCAAGGCAAGCTTGCTCCCTCTTCCCGAAGAGGAATACAAGAAGGGTCAGGTTGGTGAGCTCGGGGTTCTCCCCGACTTCCGAGTTCGCATTCTCCCTGTTCTCGGAACCATGCCTGCTGTGTTTGGTTACACAGTAGCCAACCACGTTATCTGCAGCATTACTGGCTATCCACTCGATTACAACATGGGCGCCAAGGGCCGTGAGAAGCTCTACGACGGCATTCTCGCCGCTATGCTAGCCTTGCACGAGCGTATGATCAAGCACGTCACTGGCGACGACACAATCGGACTTCGCAGTCCCATCAGCAAGGATGACATCGCATTCCTTGTTGAGGAAGTCTATCGCGGAAAGAGTGCAGTCAGCAGCTTGCCGAACAGACTGGTTCTCATCCCCTGGCAGAACCCTGCCCATGGATGGAAGATGGATTTGAGCCTTGAGCACGAAGGTCAAAAGTCTATTCCCATCAATATCAATGAACTGGTCTGCATGACCAAGGAGGAGGCTTCTCGCCACGAGAAGGAGGTCCTCAAGGGTGGCAAGCCGGTCGAAGAGGTCTACGATACAGTCATCATCCAGCGTGTGAACCTTCGGAAAAAGGAAGCGGAAGAGTATGAGCAATACCGGGGATAAAACAGTCAAAATAAATAGGAAATGAATGTAATGAATATGAGATTGCATCAGTATGAGTATTCGTATGCGTACGCAATGATCTCCCGAGTGGGTCTGGGTGGACGTCAGATCCGCAGGGAGGTCTTTCTGCCTAAAAATATCATCTTCTCTCCGCTCTCCCCACGACCATGAGATAGGACATATACCTTTCGAGGTGGACCAAACACCCTCTCCAACTCGTCTCCCACCCAAAGGCGCTCCTTTCGCGCCAAAATGATGCCCCGCGACCCCGATACACAGGGCGTGCAGTCCGACGCAGATGATGACTTCGAGTTATCCGGGAGTCCTCCTTCCTACGCAGCCCACCGGTCCCAATCCCGCCCTCTCATACACTCTGCTAGAAACGCATGGCAAACACGGCCTGGTGGGAGCTATAACCCGGTCTCCCGGTCGTTGGAAGACACGAAATCCCCGCGTTGGATTGAGATGATTCGCTCGGTGGTTTCTGCGCCACGGTTCCGACGCTACGTGCTTATTTGCCTCAGCTTGTTCTTGGTGGGTTGGGTCAGCTGGCGAATGCTGCTTTATCCGCGACTCCAAGAGCGAAGCTCATTATTGCATTCGCTTGATCCCAGTACGAAGACGGAAGCCGGTGGGTGGTTCGGGTCAAATGTCATGCCTCAGTTCGACGACATTGTTCAGATTCGCAAATTGGATCCGGAGCTCGTGCCCACAAGCTCGGCTGGAGTAGAAGCAGAGTCGTCAAGTCGGAAGCGATTGATCTTTGTGGGCGACGTTCATGGCTGCAAAGCGGAGTGTAAGTTATCGCTAGGTTTTGTCGCAACTTCCTCGCATACTGACCTATTCCATAGTGGAAGCGCTCCTTGACAAAGTTTCATTCAAACCAAACAGCGGCGATCACCTCATTTTCACTGGTGACCTCATCAACAAAGGGCCAGATAGTACAGGTGTTGTAGATCTAGCTCGTGGGTACTCGGCCTCCTGCGTGCGCGGAAACCACGAGGATCGAATCTTGCTTATTCGAAAGGAGCTGGTGAAGACCAATACTCTTGCGACCTCCGATGATTACGAAGAGTCACATTTATCATCTGGGGAAGCCCGTGAGCGTGCCCTTGCACGTTCGTTGAGTGACGAGCAAGCCGCGTGGCTGAGCAACTGCCCAGTCATCTTGGACATTGGCTCCGTCCCAGGTATGGGGCCGGTGGTTGTTGTGCATGCGGGCTTGGTACCAGGCGTCGAGCTTGAGAAGCAAGATCCATCTAGTGTGATGACTATGCGGACCATGGACTTGGATACGCATGTGCCTAGCCCAAAGAAGAAGGGCATGAATTGGGCGAAGGTATGGCTTACTTCTACGTTACCTTTTGGACATTACTGACATGTTGTAGTTGTTTGATAAGCATCAATCTGTGATATACTCGACCCTTGAGTCCTCAACTGAAGACCCCCTCTCGGGCACCATGACTGTCGTCTACGGCCATGATGCTTCTTCTTCCCTTTCTATTCGCCCTTACACTAAGGGTCTTGACTCTGGGTGTTTGAAGGGGGGCAAGCTTACAGCGTTGGTTGTTGAGGATGGCGGCAAACAAAATATTGTACAAGTGAAGTGTAAAAATCGCCTCAAGGACTAAAAGCTTTAATGCTGGCTTTGTATATTGCATTCATGGAGTTTATTGAGGGTCTATGGTAATAATGACACAGTAGCATACAGCGAAGTACTCGCTCAACATACACAAGTCTTTGGGGGTTTTATTACATAGCAATATTTGGAAGCATTGGTAGTGTAGAAATAGTTATGCCGGTCCGACTCTCTACTAGAAAGTAATGATATAGAATCACCTGAATCCCAAAAATCTATAAACAAGAAAACTAACATCAATCATTCCCATAAAATTTTCAACAGACTAAAGAAGTTAGCAAAAAAAACCCCCTCCAAAATAAGAACCAAAGTATGGTGAGACTTACTGCCAATAACACCATTAACAGGGATATCAATAGAAGTAGTGTAGCTGGCAGCTTCACTAAGCAGATAAACATAAGCCCCACCAAGCTCCTGCACCTCAGCAAGACGAGGGAAGCCTCCATAGTACTTAAGCTGCTGTTCCCAGTCAGGCTGCTGGGGCACCCAGTAAGTCATAGCGGTATTGACCAGGCCAGGGGAGACACTATTAACCCGGATACCGTACTGGGCCCACTCCATTGCTAGGGTGTGTGTCATGTTGCGGATTCCGGCTTTGGAGGCGCCGTATGGTGTTGAGGGGACGCGCTAGAAGCAAATAAATATCAGTACAATGGGACGAAGGGCGATGAAAGCAGAGACAGGGGAGTATATGTATACATACCTTGTTAGGACGGTAAGAAGCCATAGAAGCAGTAAACACAACTGAGCCCTTAATGCCAAGCTTGATAAAGGCACGGGCAGCAGCACGAGCAGTATAGAATGCGCCGAAGAGGTTGACGTTGAACAAATTCTCAATCTCTTCCTTAGTGAAATCAAGGGCGGCTTTGTGATGGGTTCGGCCAGCGTTGACGACCATTCCATGCAGTGCACCGGCTTCGGCGATGATCTGGTCGACGGCAGCTGTAATTGTTTCTTCTTGTGTGACGTTGGCATTCACGGCGAAGAGCTGGCCTGGGAAGCGCTTTGACAGGGCGGCAAAGTCATCGCCTGTTTCGCCGATATCGATTGAGTATACCTTGGAGGCTCCGTTGACGAGGCAGCATTCTGCGATGCCGAGGCCGATACCTCGGTTGGCTCCGGTGACTTTTTGGTTCCATGTAAGACATTTTGCTAGACCTGAGCAATATTTTTTGGTACTTACTTGCGATGACCTTGGAGCCGAGAGTGACCTGGGTCTGCGGGACAACCGCGGGGGTGGTGGAGGTGGAGTCTGAAGTCATGATGAAGATATGAGGATATGAAATCGGGGGATTGGCTTTGAATGGAACTTAACTTGAAAAGAGTTGGAAATCCGCGTTACTTATAGCTATTCTCTCGCATTGATATCATCGCAAAAGACTTGTATTGTCTCACAAAGCCCTCGAGTCGAACGTGGTGGGGTTTGGAGAGTTCGGGTCGACCCCCGAGACGAGAGCCACGATCGTCATTTTTCGGGGCCAAAACACGCCAATTTCCGTCTGGCGCGGGGTATTGTTCCATATGAAAGCTCACGAGACCCAACTTGACAGATTTCCTATAGTCCATCTCAATCCCTCTCCTCTCCCTCAATTCATCACACCTATATTCACAATGGCTCTCCCCGCCTGGAACCTCCTCAAAGGCAAGACCGCCGCCATCACCGGTGGCACAACCGGCATCGGCCGAGCAATTGTTCTGGAATTTGTCCGTCAGGGGTGCAACGTCGCAGTGAACCATCTCGGCCTTGACAACTCCCACACTCACAGCCTCCTCGAGGAAGTCAAAGCCATTGAGAAGCAACAAGGGGCCAGCGCGGGCAAAGTGCTCGAGCTCGCCGGCGACGTCACAGCTCCGGAAACTAGCAGTCAGCTCATTTCCGAAGCCGTCAGTCAATGGGGGAAGTTGGACATCTTTGTCGCCAACGCGGGAGTCTTTAAACAAGCAGAGTTCCTCAAGTGGGTTATGATCAGCGGATCTATTCGTGAAATCGCCTATGCTAATAATCTACTATCAGAATTGAGCCCGCCCTCCTAGACCACAGCGTCGATGTGAACGTCAAAGGATGCTTCTACTCCTGCCAAGCCGCCGCCCGCCAGATGGTAAAGCAAGGCCATGGCGGCTCGATCATCGGAATTTCCTCCGTCAGTGCCCTAGTAGGCGGTGGCCTACAGACTCACTACACACCTACCAAGGCGGCGATCCTATCTATGATGCAGTCTATGGCTATTTCACTGGGTAAAGATCAGATTCGGTGTAATGCGCTGATGCCTGGTACCATCAATACAACGCTTGCTGATCATGATATGAAAAACCCGACTAAGAAGGCTGCGCTTGAGGCGCGGATTCCTCTTGGTCGCATTGGGAGTCCTGAAGATATGGCTGGACCAGCGGTCTTTTTGGCTTGTGAGCCGATGAGTCGTTATGTTAATGCTTCTGGGTTATTGGCTGATGGTGGTATGTTTAGTAACTTGCAGTGATTTTGTGGTCGTTTAGAAAAGTACATAGATTCTGTTTTGTTTATTAGCCTCGTGCAGAAACATCAGATATCTTTCATTTGCGAGATGGCAGTAGAGAAAGGCCAGCAGCGAACATCGTCAATGGCGATGACATCCGCATAATATATCCTGGAAATGACAAACACTGAGACGGGCAGATAACCGACGGACGCACAATGAGAAGCTTCTCTTTCGCAGATGAGGGGCCAGTTCTGCCATCATCTCAGTAGCTTCAATGATTACAGGTGACCAGCGGTGTAAAGGCCTCATTAGATTGATGGACGAGGTTGTGTGAGTAATGATTCCGATGTTATTCCGTATTTCACACAGCTCCGATTCCGCGTGTCCGAGGTTAGGTATGAGGATGTCCCCGTCAAGCACAATTAGTCGACTTGGATCGCAGAGCTTGTCGACTGTGTCTGGAGACAACCATTCCCTACACCTAGCTTGAAGTTTTCTATAAGGGATATAATCAGCATGGATGAAACGTGAATTAATTGTGGCTTATCAATTCGATGTAGACTTAATTGATACCTCCCCGGCAGATGAAGCAATTGCGCGACCCGGACGTGGCAGTGAGCAGACGATGAATGAAGGCTGTGCCGAGAAAGTCAGATCCACCGGTCACTAGAATTGATTTCCCTTGATAGTATTCCTACATCTTCAGCAACTTTGAATTTACATGCGATCAAGCAAGTAAAATACTCAAGTATAAGAGTCAGAACGGAACAAAGTATGATGTTTTCAAAAGCACCAGGAATATTGGTTTCATTCAACACCTTCGATCCTCGATCCTCGATCCTCGATCATTCGTTTGGGTCTGAATAATCCGCCTAGGAAGTTCAAATAAGCGAAAATGATAAATGTTCGCTAAATATATGTCTATTGAGTACTCCAGCTCTGTACTCTACATCAACGTCTAAATCCCAAGCAAAGCCCCTTTGACATGACTGCCCAACTGAACCCTCCACAGCCGATGCTCATTCAGTGCGAAGATCTCACCTTTCTTTCCAAAACAAAAGTTGGCACACCCTCCTTCAATCCGAATCCGCCCAAGGAGAACACCACCAGGCGACCAAATATGAATCCCATCTCCACAACCACTATAAACATTCCCTTCCATATCACACTTAATGCCATCAGGAATCCCATTATTGGTCATAGCAAATAACCGCCGATTAGTAAGGAACGGCTGCCCACTATAAACCGACATGTCGAAAGCATAACTATTCAATATCAATCAGCATATAAATCCCACCCCCAAATCAAATCAGATAGAAAGATGAAGACAAACATAGAAGAAACCCGATGGGGATCATCCGTCCCATCCCCATGATGCCGATCAGTATCAGTAACATAAACAGTCCCCTCATCAGGCGAAAAACAAATCCCATTCGGCCTCCCAAACCCATCAGCAACAGCACGAATACTGCCATCAGCAGTGCTATAGCGATAAACTTGACATGGCAGCTGAGGCTTAGGTCTATACCCCTGCTCGAATCCATAAATAGGATCCGTGAACCAGATCGATCCGTCCGAATGTACAACGACATCATTGACCGAGTTGAACGGTCGACCTAGGAAATCGCCTACGAGCAGCTTCGACGTGTACGGTGCTCTTGTTGACATTGTGTACAGTCCGCTTGGCTCATTTAGGTTTCCCTGGCCGCATATTAGGATTTCGGCGTCGGAGTAGTTGACGCCGCCGTTTCCCATTGGGATTTGGGGGTCGAGTTCTTCGACGGTTACTGGGTTGGTGGATAAGTCGATGCGGGTGATTTGGATCTTCTGGGCTTTGGTGTTGGCATCTATGCATCGGTTGCTGGTTATGAAGAGGCTCTTTGCGGATTGTATGTAGATGCCTGCTTCGTGGGCGAAGGGGTATGCGTCATTTTGGTGGAGGAGGTTGATGGTTGGGGATGGACCTAGGATGCAGTGGAATTTGTCGTTGTGAGCTTGGAAGGCAGTGTTTTCAGACATGATGCTGTGTGTAGCTTCTGCAAGTGAGAGAAATAGGGAAAAGAGAGGAAGCGGGTAAAAGGAAACAGGAGTCTGGGGTGTACTCGTCTCGAGGTCATCTCCACCCCCCACTCTCTCCCACTCCGCAAGTTGACAATTTATAAGGACTCCATTGGCCGCACTACCAAACCACAAACGTCAAATCCCTCGTCTCCAAATATCCAATCCAGAATGTCCTGGAAAGAAAGCAACCGCCACAAAACCATCCTCTGCGCCGCGGAAACCGGCAAGTACGGCGTGATAGCAGCAATAGCCTACAACATTGAACAAATCCTAGGCCTAGTGCTTGCCGCCGAAACTGCCAAAAGCCCCCTAATAATCCAATTCTTCCCGTGGGCCATAACAGCAACAAATGGCCTGCTAGTCCGCACAGCAGCAGAAGCCGCCAAACGCGCGAGCGTCCCAATCAGCATCCACCTCGACCACGCGCAATCCGAGGAAATTATCAAACGCGCCGCGGATGAACTCCCTTTTGACAGTATCATGGTTGATATGTCACATTATGAGAAGGAGGAGAATCTGACCAAGACCCGGGCGCTTGTGGAATATTGTAATGCTCGGCAGATTGCTACTGAGGCTGAGCCTGGGCGCATTGAAGGGGGCGAGGATGGTGTTATGGATACCGAGGGACTGAAGGCTTGTATGACTACCGCTGAAGAGGTTGATGAGTTTGTTGCCACTGGTGTTGATGCGCTTGCGCCTGCTTTTGGGAATGTTCATGGAGAGTATGGGCCTGTCGGGCCACAGTTGGATTATGAAACGTGAGTTTGGGCTTTTTGTTTTTTTTTTTTTGTTTAGGGGTATGGATACTGATCCTGGTTGTTGCTAGATTCAAAAATATTCGTCAACAGGCTGGTGGACGAGTTCATCTCGCGCTTCATGGTACCAATGGTTTCTCGCCGGAGACGATGAAGCGTTGTATTGCGGCGGGTGTTACCAAGATCAATGTTAACAAACTTGTCTTGGATGACTACTATAATCATCTTCATGCCAATGTGGGTAAGATGCCGCACACTCAGTTGCTTGAGGAGGGGATTCAGAAGGTGGCCGATTTGACTGTGAGATGGATGGAGATTTGTGGGTCTGCTGGAACGGCATGAGTGATGTTTCCGAGAGAGGATACTGTATATAATTTGATTTTGACTTAAATCTTCAGTAGCTTCAAGAAATGAATTGAGTATCATTTGAACGTTAATCCTATGATCTGGTAGGCTCGTGCAGGTCCCAAATTTGCTGCAACTCATCTCCTAAGGAACGAACCGGCCAGCCGGTCCTCTTCCTGCATGATTCTAATAATTCCAATATAGCATCTCGGGCGTGAGGTTCATGGGTAAATATTCCAGCTACGTTAACATTAGCATTCGATATTTCTTCCTGTGCTAGACTGAGCATACCAATAAATAAAGCTTGTGACGACATGAGACTAGACGCATCGTCTTTTAAAGTCATAGCAATGCCACATATTCTCTCCGCGGAACGCTGGATGATTATTTGTCGCTCCAGATATCGAGTGAGCCCTCCGAGGCTTGGCTCGTGGGCTATCAAGAGGATACGCGCTGCGGAATAAAATTGCATGGCAACAGCTTTAACGAGGGTTAGCTTCAATACTTCTACTTCGGCAAATTTCTTGCTGGTCATCCAACACTTACCAAATGCAGGGGGACGAATCCAGACAGGACAAAAGTACCCCTTCTTCTCACGAGAGCTAACAGGCAAAGGGGAGAACTCAATAGTCAAATGGTCCCGCCAGTCATCAAGCATAGATCGAAGATACTTAGCCTTATCAAGTCGACGCTGAATGTATCCCTCGACTGGTGGACCCTCCTCGGCACAATAATTGATTACTTTAGCAGTGATATACACCGCACGCGCAGCAAGTTCATGTGGTGATAGTGCCGAGAGGGGTTTATGGGGAGTCCAGAATGTCAAAGTCTTGCGTTTTTCTCGGAAGGCAGCCCAGACATCCTGACAGAGCCATGCCCACCAGACAGCGGCTTGTAATCCGCCTGATTCGCCGTGGATAACTTGAGATCTTTGGATGAGGAATACGCCTTCCAGATGTCGTTCCCAGTCATTAGAGGAGTTGTCTAGCATTTCGTAGGCTGAGATGATGAGGGTTGTTGAGAGGAGTTCCCAGCTTGTCATGTAACTGGACTTTTGCATTGCTCTTTGAACATAGTGGAGAGTTTGGTAGTAGTACTGGAGGGCTGCTTCTTTGTTTGGCAGATCCTCGTTGTCGAGATGGGGATTTAATGATAGATGGCGACAGGCTAGAGCGAGAATGGCGTTCAATAGTCCCGCATTCCGTATCTAGCGATTGATCAGTCTGTTTCTCTGATGGAATCCACGATCACTTACTGCCAGATGTGCAACAAGCGTAGAAAATTGGCTAGTTGGGTCAAAGAGATCGATCTGAATCTAGAGTTAGAGTAGCCAAAAAGACCAACGAGAGCTTTAACTTACCCATTGACTAACATGTTGTACAAAATGCTCAAACAGAAAATGTTCCCGAGGCAAAAGCCCAATCGGCTGTCGAGACTGCCAGATATGCTCATCTTCACCCGCATTGCTAGACTGCGCAGGTGAAACTATGGAGCCTTGGCCCACGATCCCATTAACATGAGGAAGATCAAGTACCTGTGTAGCTCGTTGCAGAGAAGTGATCTCTACTTGATCACCAATTTGCGGGCACTCAAATGGCAGACCGTCATTTGCAAATCCAGTTGGTATAGTGGGCACTTGTTGGTGATCTCTGGCTGCATCATTTGCCAACAGATCAAACCACCAGCTTGCTGCCGCGTTCACGGTTGGCCCAGGGGAGGAGAATGACCCGGTTACCGATTGTAGAATATATGATGCATCGGAAGGAGAGAGGTCGTTTGGATAAAGTGCGGCGGGACTTTGGTGAGCGGTCAAGTCAACACTCGCGAGGTGATCATGCCGTGCGTGGGGCGTTGGCGCATGGGGAGTCGAAGCGTGGGGTGTTGGAGCATGAGGGTTGGGCACCTGAGCAGGTGGTGCCTGAGGATAATAATGCTGAGACGGCAATTCCTGACGTGCCTTCTCATGTGGAGGTAAAGTCCGAGGGGACACATCTTGCGGCGAGGCCTGCGGAGGGAGAGTCTGAGTAGGCACCGTCTCAACAGGCACAGCTTGAGGCGTACCAACCTGAGACGGAATACCAGCATCCCCTTCAGCTTGCGACCAAGACAAACCTCCAACCCCAGACGCAACACCAGTCTCAGCCTCAGATGCATCACCACCACCACCACCACCACCACCACCCCGCGCCGGACTATGTTGCCTCACCCGACTCTGCACACTTTGTGCCCTAGAAACCGATGGCGAAATAGACCCATCAATAACAGTATCCAGGAAATTCCGCCTAGGAGCCGGTGTCGTAATCGCACTGGCACTCCCATTCCCACTCGCGAAATCGCAAGCCCGCCCATGCTTCCCACAAGCCCCACAAACAGGCTTCACCTCGTCGCATTTAATATGACGCTTGCGACATGTGAAACTGTCGCATACGCATTAGCATCGCGCACTGGGCAATTGCAATTACCCCGGACACGGCACGGGGGTAAAGCGGGGATGAAGATGCAAGGGTATCTTACCATCCATTCGTAGTGCGTAAACCACGACCACGCGACTTGCGCGTACGTGCTCGTTTCGCAGAGGCGGATTCTGTTGCCATTTTTGTTCGCCAGTCTGTGTCTGTGTGTCCATGCGAGTCGAGGGATCTGGACTTTCGCGGGGTTTGCGAAGTGATGCGGGATTTTCCTCGTCTCGGGGATTGAGGTGCGGAGACGGTAGGACCACTTTGGGTCGGGCCATGACGAGGGAGTTTTGCTTTTCTTCCATGCTCCGTTATAGCTCACCTTTCTTCCACCCGATACCTTTGTGCTTAACCGAAATGGCTGTTTTGTCATAGCCGGGAACGAACTTCTGTGTTCCCTCTCTCAATTTCCCCTTGCCAAGCCCTGGTGAGTTGATGCTTCAGGTATAAGGCAGCAAGCTGACTGATAACTTAGTTAACTAACTCTGGCAAGCGCTCGGGACCTCATAATGCAGTATTAATCAAAACGTAAAGGATACCTGATTTCTCTTACTAGTTTCCCTTCCGTTTTAGCCTACACTTTACCACTTTCCACTCGTTTTTTTTTACTAGCGGCTGCCTGCATATTTAAGTCCGAACTCAGATCTCAGATTCCAAAGATACTTTTTTTCATCTCAAATCTTCTGCCATGGCGGATCCTACTGCAGACACATTACAGAACCTCAACCAAGAAATCCTGACCTGGACTAGGCTACAGGTTCCCAAAGACCTGGAGCTGGATACTGAATGGGCTGGATTAGTCCAGCCACTGATTAGGGCATCCGGACACGAGGGGTCTAGGTGGGCAAAAACTCCAGCGTTCAGACATGATTCTTCTGGTAACAGGTGAGCCGTGCATCAAACGGGCAAGACTCGGCTAATTTATGTCATAAAGGATGGAAGACAACTTTGGATCGGAGAGAATTCATAGCCTCGCCTTCCGCCCAGCTTTATCAAGAGAATCTGAAGAGTAGAGGAAAAATACACGTGTCCTCTCATGAGACATTTTCTCGCAGGATTGTCCACATCGACGCCTTGCTCAAATCATACGTTCTATTTTTCTGGATCTACTTTTCGGCACCTGTGACCGAAGCCCATAAAGCCCAAATTTCGAAGCTGAAAGGCATTCGTGAAACGGCCCGAGGAATTAATGGTCAGGATTTTTGTAACGAAAAATGTCAACTTCATTTTCCTACAAAGATGTGAGCCACCCACACCGAACTTGTTGCATGGCCAAGAAGCTCAGTTGATGCTGTGGCCACATTTCTGGCGAAATGCGGAAGCGACCGAGTATAGGCACCGTGGAAAATATACTAGGTCTGGTAATCCTATCTTCGGCGGCAGAACCCTACTCGAGAGGTTCGGTGATCTTCTGGATAAAGTAGGACCCATGAAATGGAAGAAAGATTTTGTTGATTTGAAGCCAATCACTTATGTTTGAATATCTCGCTTTTTTGGTTTGAAATTCAATTCGGTGGAATATTGGAGAATTCAATGCATTGGTAGTGACTAATTTATAAGGTCTCATGCAATTATCACTATAGCTCTATTGATCATACGATATTCTGATATTCTGATATTCTGTAGTACAAGAATCTATGCAATGGAACTAATGTGATGTACACCGAGACCAGTGAGAAATTAGTGAGAGATAAGCCACAAACGCCGGAGCTCATTAGCGCTGTATATTCTGGCGTATAAAAAAAAAAAACTAAGGCAGACTAAGTGGCAACGTCTAGATGCCACTGAGACAATCTTGCCAGTCACCAGATAAGTCGCTCCCCGAATCTCGTGATGACCCCAAAGCATATAAGCTGCAAGTAACCCCCCACCCCCTTCCCCCCTCAGATCATCATTCCACCCTGCTTTGAAAGACCAAAGGGCCAATTTCCGCCCATCAACCTGTCGACGGTAAACAATGTATCAATCGAGGAACGGGACACCGCAGTGGACTTTGTCAACCGCCATAGCTTTTGTACTCGATGAGAAGGACCCTACAACGTCAACTGAGTACGAAGGATTTCACTAATACTTATGCAGTGCGAAGATTTTTCCTAGCCAAGCGTGATTCTCATACAAACAATGAAAACGCTGGTTTCCCGTCTGTTAGTAGTCAATAGTTTGTAGGATTTTTAGAAAGTAAAGAGGAAGAACATAACGATACTTTTTTGTGGCTTCTGTGCAGAGGAGCACCATATACCCTTTGAGACCTGATTGAGAAGCGTTGCATCTCTTGTTTAGGTTGTTAACGGCTGGAAATCTAAACATAAGCACCTTCAATAGAATATAAAGTACATACGACCACAGGGTGTGGAGAACAGGGCTTCCCGTCCGCTCAGCCGTACTTAAGCCACACGCCGGTAAGTTAGTAGTTAGGTGGGTGACCACTAGCGAATCCTTACTGTTGTATGTTTTTTTTTTTGCTTGATTCGGAAACTCCCTCTTGCCGCCCTTTTCTGTTAGTAATTTTAGTTTCTATTTAGAAAATACTATTGAGCTATTAAGCTATGTTCTAAGAATAACGTGGTACATAGGAAAAGTGGTGGTGGGCCATGATTGGGACAGGATCTATGCGATAGGATTTTGATGTGATACAGAGCTGATGCAGAACGAGAACAAAGCTAGACCAGCGGGAAAAACTCCTGGAGTGTCTTATACGAAGAACCAGTTGATTTCAAATCAATTGAACGTCTGAACTATATAATTTGCGGCCCGCTCACTGAACACCGTTTGGAATCGCCAACGTCAGCATCTCAATGTCTTCCAATCGAGATAGCTCGCTTCATCTTCGTGTCATGCAAAAGGAATCAATTAGGTTTCCTGCCTCACTAAATCAACCGTTGTGCAATGAAATGAGCCTCCAATACTGTTAACACGTTCAAATGGACGGGGTATGGACGAGGGTTGATGAGATAGACTAATTTTGTATGCGGATCAACCCATGTAATCATCTTGTTTGCAGACAGGTCATCAGAATCATCCTGCGTTCTGGTCATGTCTTGATCTGCGGGCTGTGACTTGGGAAACCCAAACGAGACTTCAAAGTCTAGGCAATCTGTGTTATCCCAGCGACTCAAACCATTCACGACTTTTAAAGTCACTAGCCTCGACCACCATGTTTTGACCATCCAACACTAACGCATTCAGACAGAGCCATAGACTGGTCATATAAAGAGGGAGGGACCCTCGGTTTTCTGGTGTTAAGGGATATGGCCGAAGCTCCCAATCAGCCTGCACCATATGCTTCCTCCGGACTTGCTCGGTGACCTTTTTCGGGTTGTAGACAGGGAGGCCCTGGCAAAAAGGGAGAATTGTTGCGTCGATGTGCATGGCATTTGGATCATTCAACTCAATCATTTCAGCCTTGTATCCTTTAGGGAGGTTTTTGATGAACCCAATCCCCACCCGCTTGATTCGTGACATTGCTAAGCTGGCCAATGATTGTGGTGCCGAACCTCATAAAATCTGCTGTGTCGAATGCTGGACGACTATTGTTGATTATCCATTGACCATTTATGGTGCCGCCATCATCAAGCAAGGTGTTTGCAAAACTGTCTCTTGGGTGGCGACCAATTTTTACTCGAGGATCAAGAGCCAATTGATGGAGTCTGAAACACCACCAGTTTATCAATTTCAGACCACGCAAAGCCCTACCCATTCCGCCGTTACCTCCGTGCCAGGACCCCCATCCTGCCACCAGAACGAGAGGTAGACGGCAGCATGCGACCGCCCGAAGGGCCAGCCATGTATTGAAAAACATTGGAACGCAGACCAGAAAAGTCAGCGTTTAGTCTACCCACAATACGAGACATATTGTATTTCACGCTGCTGAGACTTCTACTTCGCTTACCCACCTAAACCAGAGACACTGCGAGGTCTCATAGGTTTTTGGTCGAAACCCTCGACCCAAATTGGGGTTTGCGGAAGCCTAGTGAGCCCTAGACTCCAATTGACAATACAGTATATGGCTTATATGGTTAGGACACGCTTAGCTCGCCTAGTCAGACGAAATTAGCAACCCAAACATCCATGGCCCTGACTCCTTTCCGACCGCCCTGTATACCCTCTAAGCTCGCCTCACACGCATCCCGTGACGCAAAAACCACCGCGCGTTCCCTCTCATCACTCACTTGCTCCTCTACTTCCCTTTCGAATGAGGAAGAAAGACAAGCAGAGACTTCCCATTGTCCGTCCAACAGCCCCTCCCCACCTTGCACGAGGGTCTCACTCTTCAGCTGCCACCCGGCAGCCAGAGCTAGCTCGATAAGCCGCTTTGGCCCCAGCATCGTGCGGACATTCGAGTCGCTGTTCTTGGATTTACGGCACTCCAGCGCTGCCTGGGTAAGCGCAGCTAATATGTGAGGCTGGGCAGAGGGGTGTGTCGCTACTAAAGACCACTCAGCAAGGAGGAGACGCTTGCTGTGCTGCTTGAGGGCGCGGAAGGTGGAAAGGATCAGCGAAGGGGAGGCGAAGTACCATAGGCAGTGGGCGAGCACTGTTGCATCGAAAGCCTTACTTTCATTGGCGGGCGGCGAGGAGCTGGAAGAGGGGGTGGAAAGCGAGGAAAGGTAGTCCAGGGGGGCTGTTGGACCCAAGAAATCCGCCCACCCAGCGGGCCTTGCGAGATATGATTCTGTGCCTGGCCGAGAGTGTACGGGGCACCTGCAAGAGCCATTAGTCGGCTGCTTTCCGCTCGCACCCCCAGGACAGGCAGCAGGGTCAGAAAAGCTAGAAGACTCACCATAATCCAATTCCGCTGGATCGACCGCCACCACTTTCCCCTGCTCGCCAACAGCATAGGCAAGGACAGTCGTGCAGTCCCCTTGCCCGCATCCTAGTTCCAGCACCCTGGAGTCAGTGGGAATGTTCCAGTGCTGCAGGAGCACCAGGCGGTGAAGGGTTTGGGAGTGTTGGATGTTCAAGTGGGTGGGGTCGTGTAAGGAGAGACGGGCGATAGAGGCGGCGTCGAGTTGAGTGGACATGTTGTTCTCGATGGGTGTTGGACACAAGACGGCTGAGTGGGTTTTGCGTAGCTAGGTGATGGAACTTGGAACTATAGCCTTCATTGTAGAAACCGAAGAGCTGCGGATGAGGACATCTTATAGTGTCAGACTTGGAGGGTCGCCTACCGCAAAATTAGTCCGGGGGTAAGCTACTGGGGTTTGATATTGTGACATATCCTTGTACTACTGTAACAAAGCCCCCTCCCCACTCTTTCGGGCATCTACCGGAGTATTCGGATTAAGATAACTCTGGGATATTCTGCCAGCAATTTCCTTGAAAACTTTAAGTTCTTTGTTTAGGATTGACCGTTTATGTGGGCTCGCTTAACGTATAATAAACCTTGAAGAGTGCCTTCAAAAAGTTTATCTGAGCTATGAAAGTTGAATAAAAATATCAAAATAAAGGATGATAGAACACTTTGAATAGCATCAATGTGGTACTCTAAGTGGGCTAATGGTATTGAGTGTTAGGTGGAACGCCTAGAGTCGCTAAAGTTTTGGGGGTGATCTAGGATCTTTCAGGGGATAGGGTCCGATAGGGTAGTTGCGGCAGGCTAGTGGGACCGAGGCTTGATCAGATTATCAATCTCCAACTGCCCAACTACCCCGCTTTTTAGATTGACCCTGTGAGCTCTTCGTATAGAATTCTTAGAATCAGACATCTCCTTATCTAACAGATTGGCCCCCACCAGTGTTCAACAAATAGGTCCTATTTCATGGGCGGGAGAACCGTCAGCGCAGTAGGCCGATTAGGTGGGTGTACTAGGGCTACCGGTGACCACGAAGTCGAAAAGTCACTAGACATACCTAGAGACGCGATCCTTCTACGTGAACAATGAGGCTGATCAAAGCACCATAACTATCCTGCCCCGCTCATTCTCTCCTTCTCACCAACTCAAACCCAAAGGTCGGCGCTATATCAATCTGCATAAATTCCACATGACACGCCACGCGCTGGCACCTCATCTCCACCACTAGACTCTCCGCCCCGCTGGGACAAGCAAACTCCAGTGTTGTGCTGTTCGGCTTGGCTGTGAGGTCTAGTACGCCAAGCAGCTCTCCGCGCACGGGAAGGGTCGAATACGATAAGGTATCAAAATCGAGCTCGTCCATAGTGGAAGAGACGGTGGCCGAGTTGGCCGAGGGCGCAATAAGCTGCCAAACTTCAATCTCCGTTATATCCCCCTTGACTATGAGGTCCTTGGCACGCGCAGAGAACTCGGGAGGCGGCCGCCAGGAGAGTGCACAGGCGTTGACGCCGGTGGAGGGGATAGGGAAGCGCATAATTGTCGAGTCCTTTTCTTGCGTCAGCAGCTGTACACAGAGCGGTAGAAACAGAGCCTATGTGCCCAGGTGGATGGTTTGTTGAAGAAAATGAGGAAGGAGCAAGTACGGAAAACGGACCTCGACAGTAACATAGACCTGCACCCCCTGACCCCACACGGCATTCTTCAATTTCCGGCTCACACGTGCAATTCTATCCGGCCAAGCGTGGTGATAGACCTGGAGAGGGGGGATGAATTTGGCTGCCCTGTCCAATCCCAGCCTAGCATCGCCATAGGGGAGGGCCTCGAGGTCAGAGTCAGAGAAGGGGTAGGCTTGGTACTTTGATAGTGTAGTGGGAAGGAGGGCGACATTCACAGCCGATAGCAGCGCTAGGGCGAAGGAAATGTAGATTATGAGCTTGGGCAGCTGGGAGGGCTTGGATGGCGCGAGGGCGTTGAGGTTGTCCGAGGCTTCCAACAAGGGGGCAGAGTGGTCGTCCTCGGAGGAGCGCTTCTCAGGAGTTGCGCTGGAGTCCTCGCCATTGTCGTGTAGCGAAAGGGGCGCATATTGGGAAGAGCTGGACTTTGCTTTGGAGGAGGACATGGCGAGGGGCGGTCAAAGAGAAGAGCAGAGAGGGCGTGCCGTGAGTCAAAGCAAGTACCGGTCAAGCAGGCAAAGGCGCCCGTACCAGGTAACCGCCTAGAAAGTAGGACCTGCATGACGCCTGGTACACCTTGCTACCCACCGCGCTCGCCAAAGATAGTAGAGTTACAGTGCATTAGAAAGTCGGCCCTACTGCATGGCCAAAAAGACCCCTGTGCGTTCGTAATCGCGGCCGAGTGAGGTGGGGACGGGTCCACCTCTATAGCTGCCCATATGTACTATCTGACGCCATCCAACTCGGCGACCAGCCATTTTAGGGGGGTGGCCGTAACGGCTTTTTCTAGTAGGTAGGAAGGGTCCGAAGGGAGTCACATCGTCTAAGGACACTTTATGTTGCCCTCGCTCTCTGCACCGTGCTGCACTCAACCTCTGTCCACTATGCCCTCCAATTTCGCCGCAATAACCTTCCTGCTTGCCCTCATCAACCTCACATCCGCCGCGCACGCCGGTTTCCACGTCCAGTTCCCATGGATGACCCGCGGTCCAAATGCCAGGACCCGGCCAGAGATAGATTGGTACAACCCTTTCTGCGGTATATTCCTCTCTGTCTCCGGTCTAGCAGCAGCGTAGGCTGATACATAGAAGGGGAGATAGTGCATAACCCCCAACGATACTCCCGCCACTCCCGCAGTTTCCTCTCGTTCTCCGGCCATCCTGGGGACCTTGTGACGGCCCTCTACACCCGAAATAGAGTGCCAAGGAAGAGAGATGACTTTCCCTACATTATCCTGCAGGACGTGCCCATCCAGCCTTCGGGGCAGCTGTGTGTGAATGTCACGATACCATTTCAGACCGAGGTCGACGAGATGGGAGTCATATACTTCGAGGCGAGGGATCCAAAGACGCGGAATGTGGAGCACTATGTCAGTTGCTCCAGATCGCAAATAGTAAAGCTGATGCTGATGAAAATATAGTGCTCCGACGTCAAGATGGCTGACATGAAGGCTCTTCCGGAGGATCATCCGGCTATGTGTGCGGCTAACAACGAGACACTTATCCCGATGCCAGATGAGTACCTGTAGATGCAGGCTAAAGGGCTGTCATGTCCTGCAATTATCATGCGTGGTTCGCTTCTAACGTGCAACTTTGCGCCCCTCTCTCATCTTAACGTACAACGGCTCAACGCAACGGCACTCTACTAGCTTGGAATGAAGCAGATTTACAGCTTGCTAGCTCCTATTTGTTTCTATCGAATCCAGAGTAATCATCGTAGTGCTACTGCTATCTATAGCGTCTCCGAATGAGCGATCCGTGATACGGCTTCATATACTCTTCATATATATGTATACTACTTTGTACCAAAATGTGGTGAAAAGAATACCCCCAAAGAGGGCGCAAAGTTGGTGGATTGCAGCGCTCGCCTGTAGAACATGCTATAGAAGTTTTTAAAGCTAGTTGTAGTTGAGACTTCGATCATCCACAGCCGAGCAGTGTCTAGACGTACACGACCTCGTCTTCATCTACCCCGTAGGTGTGACGCTTCTCGAGTGCGGTCTCGTCTTCATCCACCCCGTAGGTGTGACGCTTCTCGAGTGCGGTCTCGTCTTCATCCACCCCGTAGGTGTGGCGCTTCTCGAGTGCGGTCTCGTCTTCATCCACCCCGTAGGTGTGGCGCTTCTCGAGTGCGGTCTCGTCTTCATCCACCCCGTAGGTGTGACGCTTCTCGAGTGCGGTCTCGTCTTCATCCACCCCGTAGGTGTGACGCTTCTCGAGTGCGGTCTCGTCTTCATCCACCCCGTAGGTGTGACGCTTCTTGACCGTGCTAGAGAGATAGACATTGTTGATTGCATGTTCGACGCGGCGAGCCAAATCAACGGTGGGAACCGCTGCGGACTGAACAGGGAGCATATTCAGGCCGAGGCTGGCGAGGCTGAGCAGAGTGAAGGGGAAATGCATTGTTGGAGTTTGGCGGTGAGCGGATGCTTTCGATGGGCGAGGCGAGAAGGTGGGTCTTTGATGAGATGTTGTCTGTGCTCGTCATGCCCTTGGGAATTTATACGTTTCGCGATCCGAAGGAGAACCAGTGTGCTTACTACATTTAGGAATAGGTTGAAGTGACTCCTCAAAGTGGCGACTCAGATCTTCCCCTCATCTAGTCGACGATCACTACTAAAAAGAGCTGAATAGCGCATGCTTAAAATGTACAAGCAAATTTGGAATGCATATGGTGTGATCCGCCATGCAGATGATTAGTACGGACTCCATACGTTCCGTACCTGTGTACGCCCCACTCTCGCTTCGGACCGACGGGGTTCCACCGGTCCGAAGCGAGAGTGGGGCGTACACAGGTACATTAGTGTAGAGATAAGCTCAGCATTACCCACAATTCTTGCTCTTTGGTCCTAGTTGTAAGAGGCACGCGATAACGTCCTCAAACCTCATTGACTAGCCACCTGGCGAGAAATAAGCCTAATGCAGGGTGTAGTATTTAATTGCCCCAATGGTGATCCCGGTGTCCATCTAGGTACTCTCGTGATGAGTAGGGTAGTATTATTTGTGGAACCGCAAACTGCCCCGCGTGTGCTTCTCTCCTTACTGACAATCTCCACTTCACCGACAAAGTCCTTTGAGTAAGGGCTCTAGCGAATAGAGCATCTCGACAGTTGCATCTCCTCCCTTCCCCTCTTCGGGACCATCGTGACTTGCCCACCCAAGCCAGAGCGAATAGGGCCATAGCTATGTTAAACACTATTAGCACGCTCCTGATGCTGAACATAATCCCGTCTCCCGCTGCTATCCTACCAGCACACCAAGATGCTCCCCAAGTCCCTGGCACCCCAATTACGCGGCCTCTCCCTCGGTCTGCTCGCAGCGCTGAGCGTATGCCTCGTCCTGAATCTGGGCGCCCTCTTCTTCTCACTCCGCATCATAACACGTGGAACGCGAGGATATAGTGCGCCATATCCCAGCTACTCCTCGCACTCATGACTAACGAACAGTAGCCTACCTCGCCGGCGACCGGCCTCGTAATCTCCCCCTAAAGGTCCGCACCATCCAAGCCGCCTTCCACGACGACCCCACCCACTACGGGATGGAAGGCATCACGGCCACGGTTGAATGGAACGAAATCCGCCCTCCCGGCAAGGGTTTCGTTTTTCTAGGGGAGGAGCACTTCGCATTTGGTGTGTCGATGTGGCACCAGATGCACTGCCTTAACCACATACGCGCGGTGCTTGTCAACGGGGACGACGGGTCGGACCATACGGCGCACTGCTTCCATTACCTACGGCAGGGCATTCTCTGCGCCGCTGACACAACCCTAGAGCCGGGCGGCACGAGCATGAAATTGGCTAATGGGGATAGGGTCGCTGCAGGCGGGGGAACTGTGCATACCTGCCGGGACTGGAGACAGGTCCATGATTGGATGGAAAGCCAGCATAAGGAGTGGACACCGGACATGTATACGAGGATCCAGGAGTCTAGTTAATAATATAGTGGGTACAGGATGGGGAATCTAAATAATAGGTGTCGTATGGAGCTAGACAACTGTTCTTTGGGGTTTGTGTGGGAGAGTACGTAACTATGTGCGCAGAACCAGTTGAGCAAGGCACCTCGCTTCTCGTTTCCCTTTACCAAGAACGAGAAGCCAGGGAAGTGGCCGTAGGGGAGCAAGGTGGGGCGGAACCCCAACCAGACTGAATGTAACCCTGATATGACTGAAGTCCAAAATATGATATCAGTCTAGTCTAGTACCAGTTACTCCTCGTCCGTATACCGATAACACAACGGCCAACTCTCCGTATCAAACACCCTCTTCGGCGCCACAGGCACACTCTGAACATCGAAGGTCATCTGATGATCTGCGTGCGCGTCAAGGTCGTATCGTGGATCGGTCATATTGTGTAGGGTTAGGGGCATGCCGGAAAAGGCGGCGAAGTTGGATGGGTGGTGGCGCTGCCACTATACAACTCATGTCAGTAGCGTTGTACTGCAGGAGACATGGAGCGTGAAGATAGCATGGATTCGGGGGCGCACCTTACTCCACAACCGGTCAATTTGCGCATGATGCAGCCAAAAGAGCGGGTCATTAGGCGTGAAGCTGATAGCCATGCCCTGGCAATCCTCCTCCGACAGGATCTTCGGGCAATCTCCCGCCAAATCGCCCCCAACGAAATTGTGTACGTGGTTGTGCAGTAGTGCCATTGCGTGCTGGAACCTAAAGAAGTCGCCCGTGGTTTGCTCGGTCGAGTTGCGCACGAAGTCCGGGCTGAGGGTGCGGTTTTGAGGCAGCTCATGGGGGAACCAACCGGTTATGAGCGTCAAATTCCTCCGCAGCCGGTGTGATATCGGCCAGGAAAGCTCGAAGTTCCCGGTGGGGGCAAAAGCACCTGTGGTGACGATACAATCCGCCTCGGGGAAGGAGTCGCAGTCCCCTGTTCCACCCAGCCCGTACTCCGGTGAGTCCTCGAACACTGGTGAGCCGAACAAGTCTGCGTGATCGCGTGACCAGTCCCAGTAGGGTGTTGGCCCACTGTACCCACAATTGCGGCGGAGTGAGGTGTCGAATAGGTGGGTGAACCAGCGGTCTGCACTCCTGTAAGTATATACGCTTGGGGGAAGGCAAGGAACGGAACGCACGCCACGGCAAAAAGTAGGCATTCCTATGCGCGCTGTGCTCCACTGATGCGTGCGAGTAAGAGAAGTCGTCGTATAGGCTCCTCTTTCCCTCAAGCACCGTCTGGTCCTTCGTCAAGGACAATCGTTCGTGTCGTATGCTTGCCAGGCACTACTCGGGATAAGCAACGCGTTACCTACGGGGAGGAAGGAGAGCAGCCCACCTTGACAGCTCCCACCCACTCGGCTTTCTCGCGATTCGTCAACGTCCGCCATTCTTTGCGTGTAAGCAGCTTACTACACTTTTGTGGGTGTCCCTCGATCCCTTCGTCCGCATATGAGAGGTGGGCACTGGGGAGGACGGCGAGGATGGCTAGTACGAGGAACAAAATCCAACGGCCCATGGCTATAGTTCAGCCAGGAAGGGAGTAGAGAGCAGTTCGCGATCGTCGCAGTATTAATTAATGGCCCTAGCCTAAATAGTCTGCTTACTGTGCATGCTTCTGATCACTACTATTGATGCAGAGCAGACCCGCCTTTTAGATTAATCGCTAAGAGACCAGACATCTCCAGTAAGAATTGACCCCCGCAATTGCCCTGATCACACAATGTCTTGCTGTATCATTCACGATCCCCTCGTGCGACTATCAGCAAGAACCAACCCTCATCGCCCACGTCCATCTTGAAGCGACAAACACAACGATGCACACCTCTATGTGCCTCTCCCGCTTCCTTGCTCTGCTCCTCTTGATCGCCTTCCCCCTCTATATCGCCATCCGTGGCTCCGCGTCGTTGTCCGACATCGCATTTCTCCTCTCCTCGCTCTCCGAGCGCGCTGAAGCCCTTCACATCGAGCTCACCTCCCCACTTGCCGCCCCTTCAGCACCAATCTCCAAAGAAGTCTTCAAAACTTCCACCAAGCCCACCAAGCCCGTGCGTGCACCGGAAAGCGGGAGAAAGAAGAGATACCCCTCCCTTCTCGATGGACTGGTGCACTGCATCAACTCCTTCGAGCAGTATTCGTTCCTCGCCGAGCAAGTGCTCCAGCGGAAGCATGCGCGGTATTCCAAGCAGACGCCTGCGCAGAAGGCGATAAGCAACAACCTCGGCTATCCTGCACACTTCGAGAAAGCTAGGAAGGGGATCGAAGTGAACGCCCGGTTCTCGGAAAAGATCGCGCAGATTGCGAGGGAGGATTACCACACTGGCGCGCAAGCGCTAGAAGACAAGGAAGAGGCGGAGTTTGGAGTCGTGGACCTGGCGTTTGGACACCTTTCGCGAGACTGGAGCACGCAAGGCGCAAAGGAGAGGCAGGCCGTGTTTCCGCCTGTTCTGGGTGGGCTTGAGCAACATTTTGGCGGGAACGGGAGAGGGAACAAGGTCCTTGTGCCCGGAAGCGGTATGGGCAGGCTGGCAAGCGATCTCGCGGATCTAGGTGCGTCCATCTTACTCCATTGGGTTCAAGGCGCGGCCTTACATTGGCGCAGGGTACGACGTCACGGCCAATGAGCTGGACTACGGCTCCATCCTGGCCTACCACCTGCTAACGAACCACACGACCTCGCTGCACCAGCACACCTTGCAGCCCTTTGTGACCAAATGGACGCATCAGGCCAACCCCTCCTCGCGCTACTCCGCCCTAACGGTGCCGGACCACTGGCCAAACAAGGCCGTCAAGCTCGTCGAGGGAGACTTCTTGGAGATGTTCCCCGAGGACGGTGAGTTTGATGCCATCGTCACGCTCTTCTTCATCGACATTTCCAAGAACGTGATTGACTTCCTGAGCAACATACACCGGCTGCTAAAGCCTGGTGGGGTGTGGATCAACGTTGGGCGTACGTTACTGTCCTCCCTTCCTTGAACACTGATATTTATACTTTTCTTGTGATCCGTTCACCGCCGAACTCGGGCTGACGTGTATTTACACAGCGCTGAAATGGGGTACCCACTCCGCTCTCCAGCTTTCCGCGGAGGAAGTGCTCCAGCTGGCAGATCTGCTCGGGTTCGATGTGGACCACACGTCAAGAAAGAATATCGACAGCCTGTATGCCGAGCAGCCGGAGACGTTGCTAAAGTTCACTTACGGTGAGTGTCCGTTGTCTTGGGGAGTGACGACGGTTGCTGATAAGACGAGCAGTTACGCAGTTCTGGTCCGCGACGAAGAGGGGTTGAAACGGGGGTTGTGTAGTCTTTGCTTCCAGGCTCTGAGCTGGATATATTGAAAACTACGAAGGAAATGGCCGTGGAATTGAAATCCCCGCTACTGTTATGGCAGTGGGGTGGAAGCTGTCTTCGTGAGTGACTGGATGCGATGATGATCCCTCGGAAAAAACAAAAAGGATTTTGAGGAGGTTGAGCAGGTATCTGCTTCCATTAATATTATTGAATGCTCGAATACTGGTCTCTCATACCATGAAGAGGTGCTTGCACGTTGTTAGAGGCTTTGTCAACACAGAGACCCCTGCAAAGCACGTTTGTTGATAAAGAGCTCATCTTGCGGAGCACCTTTTACACTCGCGGAGCTCACACCAGCGAGGATGCACATTTTTACATCACTGGGCCGATGATTCCCTGAGAATTTGAATAGCTTGTGTAGCTCCCGTTCCTTGGACCTCGGGGCATAACCACCCAACCATGAGAGACTCCTCCAAAAGCCTTTTGTGAACGAATTGAATACGTCGAATTCGAGATCTCGCTATATGGCTTGGAGAGTAGGATTCTATGCACGGAAAGAGATTTCTGTCATTGGCACCCCGAGAAATGAGTATAGACCTTGTAGGACTGTTGTTCGAGCCCGTGGATTAGTCAGGTTGCTCCTGAATTTGTAGCTTTAACTTACTGAAGATGGTATCGATCTTCCCTCGGCAACATTCAATCAATTTTTTTTACAAATGTGAGAGCAATGCGTTAAAAACAACTTCTGAATTGGGAGGACTGATCGTCAGCCCTCACCGCTTCCTTGTAGGCGGGGATAGCCATGAATATCTGGTCGAAGTGCCTCCGGTCATATAACGGGCTCCTCTAGATGGAGCAGTACTTATGTTGAGCTAGGCTCGTTGATCAGTTGCTGTCGCATCCAGCCTCTTCTGTATAGAGGAACTTCGATGCGATCGTACTTCACACGATTGGCCGCGGCGTGGAACATTCTTTACTGTCAAAGCTTAGTATTGTAGCAGCTTTAGCACCTGTACATAGAATTTTCTTTGTCTCTAGCGCCGAGTTTGGCGACTTGGACATGTCATCCTGGAAAAGTTGAGAAGACGATGGGTTTCTTGTGTCGGAGAGCAACTGCAATATTGATCGGACTAGAATTTTCCAAACAGATCTATATAGGCCTGAGCGAATTAATAGTTCTAAATTTCGGGATCTATGAAATCATTGTTCGCATGCGACCTAGGCACTAGCAGAATGTGAGAGTAGCGTTGCAGTCTCGCGAGATAGGTGGCGGTTGACGAGGAACCGGATTTTGGCTCTCGGTAGCTCGCTCAACTGGCTCACATGGTTGTCCTAGAAACTCGGCTCGGGTTCCTCTCGCTGGCTTTGCAACAAAGTGTACGCTGTTAATCCCTTTTCCGCCCAGGAGAGAAAATTTTATACTAAAATTTGGGGTTATTTTCGACGTATCTGTGTTGCTAGGTAACATCAATCCCGTTGATGGCAACATGAGTTGGCTGCAAGCATGCATAGGAAAGAACGCTCACTCATAGAATGCGGTGTTACAGCATGGAAATAGTTGATTTAAGTGGTGCTTTGAAAAAGAAGCCAACCACGGGAACAATTGAGAGTGACTGTCGGCCTCAAATTCTCCCAAACAGTATTTGAGCTTCCGTTGAAACACTTCAACCTTCATTAGCAAGAAGGTGAGAATTTCTGTGGCCGCAATTAAATACAATCCCTCGCCAGCCCTGAAAAGAAGAAGCCCGAATCTTAATAAGCCAAGGCTCGTTGTCTATCAGAAATTTGAATACAGCCCAAGCTTGCCTCTGATTAATGTTGATCGTATGAACTGTTCAACGCCATCACCCAAGACGCCCGCCGTTACTCACACCAAAGAACACTATATCGGGTAAAAGAACCACTATGTTTTGTCTTCGGGAAGCCTCGCTATTCGGAAAAAGTATCTCTTTTGCCCGCAAATACCCTAAGACATCTGGAAATATTCGTTTGTATATCGGCATTGTATAAAGACAAATATGCTGAGAACTTGATAACACCAATTTTTTCTCTTTTTCTTTTTCCCCAGCTTAGTGTCTTTGATGAATGAACCCTCCTTACGTTGGCCAGTCGCTCACATTCACCATAGAAATTCCCATGGTGGGCGTCCCATGGGGAATGTCAAGGTCTAGCGGTACGGGCTGAATGTCTGCCCAGAGTGCCCTGAATAAAGCGGCGAGCCGCCCATGCCCGAACCGTGGGCGCTAGGTGACCATCACCTTAAACTACCTTTTTTTTTTTGCAATTTTCCATAAATGCGAGTTTGAAGTCTGCTCAGACTAAAGGAGAGAATGTTTTCTAGTGATGTTCTACAATACTACGATGTCCAGTGAAAAATCCAAAATGATACGCTAACAATGTCAGGTAAATGTCGCTTAAGGATAAGAAGTCTATGTGCAAAGCCCCCCCCCCAAACAATCGCTCTATTCCTCCGATTCAGCCTCCTCGGCAACCTCAGGGTCAGGGAAAGAAAAGACACCATCAGCATTCCAAACAGCCGGTGGTGAAAAGTCCTCATACCAAAGACCACCCAAGGAATTCGTATGAACATATCCAAAACGGAAGTACTCCAACTCATTTGGAACGGAACGAGTCCAAGAAAAGTCCGGCAGTGGCTGACCATCTTTAGACCGGAAGGCTTGGAAGCGCTCGACGTCGTTTACCAGGACACTCAGACCGTCGGCGTTGGATTCGATATTCGGAAATGCGAAGATCAAACTGTTTCGATCGACGATGGATGGAGGATAGATTTTCGGTGGGATTGTACCCAGTTTAGCGCCGTCCAGGAGCGCGCCGGGTGTTTGGAGGATGGAGTCAAAGCCCCAACGGGCGATGCCGTTGATGAATAGGCCGACGAGGATACCCTGATATAGGAGACTAGGACGGGTTTGAAGGGTTGTTCCGAGCAGGAAAACAAGGGAGAGGATGTAATGATGGATGCGTAGATTCATGTGTGGAACTGCCACGAGGATGAGGATGACTGCGACGAGGACGCCGTAGATGCTTAGGGTGGGGAAAAAGCGGCCTTCGCGACGGAAACAATGTGCTTGGCCGAAGGCGATTGCGACGAGTGATCCAACGATGATGATCAGGGCTGTCAGTGCGCCGGGCTGTTGCTGGATATCGTGGGGTGTTAGGCGGGAGATGGGGATTCTGTCGAAGGTGTCTGTGTTCAAGGCGCCGACCCAGCAGCCGCCGAGCCAGAGGACGGTCTTGTCCCAATGTGCTTCCAGATTGCGTAGGGTGTGCCGGACGCAGAAGTGGTAGATCACGAAGCCTACAAATGCGCCCGGTAGGAAACGACCGAGGCCAATTGAGATCAGGTCATATAATGTCCCGCTCGAGGGTGGATCAGATGCCATGGCGACTTCAAACCAGACGATGAAATAGATCGCGCTGTAGAACGCCGGGGCAGACGTCACAACCAATGACAGGAGAGTAGTCCATACCAATGTGAAAGCGAACAACAACCAACGAACATCCGAGCATTTGATTAGCTTTGCGTCGCCCGAGTCCGTTAAGTTAGCCTCCCTGGTGAGTCGAAACGACATCGGGAAGCTCGAAAGGAAGTTGATACTCTCAATCCCATTCTGAACCACCGATCGGAAGTTCTGCTGCTCGCCAGTGCGGTGCACAATGCCACATCCACCAGTCGCATCATCGATGATACCAGCATGCAGAGCGGACGCGCAAATCGACGAGTCACCACGGTAAATGCCGCTATTGTGACCATCCAACTTAAAAGGCTTGCCACCAATAACCAGCGGACGGTAGTTATACTCCTCAGCACCAACAACATAAGGTTCCAAAAGGATAGCCTGTGCACAGCCCGCGGGACAGCGGAAAGCAAAAGACTGATCCTCAAAAGGACGACAGAGGTCACCATTCATACCACAGTTCGTGGCATTATTCCTATGTCAACATTAGTCAAAGCTACCTCAATAAAAGCCCAACCAGTAGCATTAAGAAGGAAAGAAACAAACATACCAAAGCCGATGATGACACCCCAACTTAACAGGCTGGCCGTACCCCAGAACATCCCGCCCAGCAATAGAAGCCTGAAGCGAGAAAAAGAAAACAATAATCCAAAAAACAAGCCCTCCAAAAAGGAGCGCAATCTTCGAACTCCTCTTCGGAAATTTACGATCTATCAGACGCCCCGGTGCAGCCTGTAACCGCGAGAACCAAGGGTTGATATGATACACCTGCGGTGGCTTTGGCCCGCGGAGCCAGGCACAAAACCCGGACGGCGTACAAGAAAACGGCGGCTCGTACGCGCCTTTTTCGGGGAGATCCATGTGCCGGGGCAGGAGGGGGATGTCGCCCAATTCTAAATCGAGGCTTAGGTCCTCGTCTTCGCTGTCGCGTTCATGTTCGTCTTTGAATGGTTCGATCTCCTGTAAGGGATAGTCTGGGGGAGATGCAGGTGCAGGTGCAGGCGTGCTTGCCTCGCCTGCCCCGTTATGGGAGTCTGGTTGCGACTGCATATTCGTGTCTATTTGATTTGTTTAGTCATTTGATATGTTCGAAACAGGCAGGAACGTCTGGAATTCTCCATGTCGTCTGGCCTGAGGTTGGGTCCATTTCTTGGCTGTTTAGTCATCCGCCTGTTGGCCACTTCGATATCTCCATCTCCATCTCCATCTACACATGGCAAGCTAGATTTTGATTGTAAGCTTGAGCGTCGCAAATAGTAGTCCGTTTCTCATTTGTAGAACGTGGAAGAAAGTCAACAACGGCCAAAATTAGGTTCGGCCAGACCCAAGCCGCACAGGTCAGGTTGGGCCTGTACTTTAAGTCCCGAGACGAATTGGCGCAGATTTCGTATTATTAGATACGAAGTCTACAATTCCTCATATCTCGTATTACCCTCGTATTGACTTGCGATAAACTTTAGCACATCATGACAACCCTGTAAAGTTAACAGCCAAAAGTAAACAAACCCACAATATGATTGGAAGACACATGATATATTCTCCGGTATCAGTATCCAACCAACTCAAAAAACTACCAATATGAGAAAGCCTGTTAAAATAAGATAGTGTATTATAGATAGATCAACGAGAGTCGGAACGAGAGTCGGTGGAGCAAAAGTTCAAAAAAAAAAGTGCAAAGCACCAAAAATATCAGTCCACCCCGGGTATCAACATAAGTCGTAATTCGTTGGCCTTCAAATCATGAGGAAGAACACGACGAGAACAGGAAACAAGCAAGGCGAAAAATATCATGAATCGCGCTGTTCAATGGTTTCTGGCGCATGCAATCAACGCGAGAGTATTTCTTGTAGGATAACTGTGCGCACAGATCTCATGTCTCATGCGCGATCCTTTAAACGGCAGAGCGACCCCAGCGACGGCGGCGACTATGCAATGTGTCAGTAACGGTACTTATATGGAGACAGGACTGCAAGATGAGAGTGAATCCACTTACGTTCCATCAGTGGTCGAAGGGCGAACACGGAAGGTGAACCAGATACCCTGGATAGAGCATTAGCATTCATCCATCCATCCATCCATTCATTCAAAGACACAGTAAATAGGTGGAAGACATACCACAATACCAGAAACCAACCAAATAATAGCCGAAAGGAAGCTAAACGCCTCAGCAGCCTTCCACCGACCACACATCTGCTGGCCCCTAAAGTGCCAAGACCAGATACTGCCGCAAGGCAAGTGACGGAGTGTATCGACGAGGACACCAAAAGCAGCGAACCAGGCGAATGAGATGAGGATGTCCACTGCCACTTTTGTTAGTTTCGATTCTCAGCATGGCGGGGTGAAGCACATACAAGGCCACGAGAAGAAGCCCGATGAGAATGGGATCAGCCATATCAGTCCAAGTAGTATGGATAAGCCGGCGATTACTTCTGTGTAGATCCATCGAGACTGGGGCCACCAGTCGACGTCATTGCTGGAGTTATCGACGCCGGCGAGGTAGTGGCCGATAATGCCGGCGACGACCTGGAATATGTTAGTTATCATCTTTCAAATGTGGCTCAGGGAAGGGTTGGAAGTATGTACAGCCGCAAAAGCAATTTCCGCGACGCGAAGGATGATAGACACGAGGCGGGAGATGACAGGCATGATGAAAAGCTGTCAAGAGAAACGTGGAAGAGATGAAGATCAAATCAAGGGTTGTAAGATGTCAAGCTCTGACAAGCGTAGCGTGGGCAGAGAAGTATGGGGGAAACAAGCAAGCTATATAACGTGTTCAAGATGTCGCACAGACAAGCAAACTCCGAAAAAAAGGGAGCGAGACAGCGTCTTTAAAGCAAGGGTCTGAGGTTACAACAGAAAAATCACAAGAAAAACAAAGACTTAATAAACTAAACGTAAAGCAAAAAAAAAAACCTAAAAAAAAAGGCTGAGCTTCAGGCACAACCCATATTGTAGAGCCGAATCCAAGCCTGTGATGTCAGATCAATACCAGATAGAGAAGAGCTCAGTCTGAGGCCATTGGTCCAAACACACATCGAAACGTGCCCAACCAATTTCCAGACCTATGGACTGACCGCTGCGGTCTGTGGCTGAGAATACTGGGTTCTGCAACAGGCACATGGAGCAGATGATCCGCAAGGAGTGGGCCTCCTGTATGGCTTAGACTAGGCGACAGATGCACTGTACTATTCGGACTCTAGGCACGCTGTACGCTGTGCTGGGCATCCCTGTCTTCCCCAGGCCCAGCCTCCAGCCCGACAGGATGACGGAGGTTAAGACGTGAGCTGGCATACGAGATATGAAATGAACAGGGGTGTGACATTCTGTCAGTGGCTTTTTTTGTTTTTACTCTAAAGGACGGGATGAGCTGTCCAGACCAAAACACAAAAGACTGCCGATCCTTGGGCTATTGGTGATAGCTCTGATTTGATCCAGGGTTTGGCTTGGGCTCCACTTGCAGCCTTGAGCCTTGACAGGTACAAATTCTCGGTATTACAGTACGTTGAAGTGGTGTGTTACTGGTAGCTTGCTCTTGAGTTAGGTTTTCTGGTTTCAAGACCTTGCACCACTGACGACATGACGACATGCACTTATATTGGGTCATATGACTTGTGGTTTTCAGCCCTATGACGTGACGTAGGGTGATCTCCCAAGATTGATGTGCCGTGGTTTCGACCCGGAGCTATTGTTCAATCTTGCTTAGAATATTACTTAGATTGATTTGAGGTTGCTATACCGGTTAGCCGTTTTCCTGTTACGATCGGCATATAGTCTCCACACCTGTCGCTCTAGGCAGACATACTCCAGAATGATTGGCATGGAACGTGACAAGAAACATGCAGACGCGGTTCAAATTTTGATGTATGCTTCAAGGGTTATTACTATGAATAGCAATGGCGCAGCAAAGCAGGGACCCCCACAATGGAGAAGCCAAGAGACAAGATCACCAGAATGATGCTGCCTGCAAGGTCCCTCGGTTCACAGCAAACCAGAAAAATTACAATAAGAATTAGTACAGACCGCCCACGCAGAATGATATCCCCAACACCAGAGTCAAATCAACATCATCGCTGCAACAAAAACCAAACAGAAAACCTAAACATCCTTCTGATCGGGCAAGTGCCATGCCATGACATCGCGCCACACACCCTTAGCACCAGTCTCAATAGTATCACCATGACACGGAATCAAGCGATCGAAATCCCACGTCTCAATCCTTCTAACAGACTCATTAAAAGCAGACCGGTTCTGCGAAGAAAGAATATACCACGCAAACCGACGATGCCAAGTAGCAGGTGGCTTAGTCGACATCAACGGCAACAACAACTTGGTCAAGAAATTCAACTTCGACCCCTCAGGCGTCTTAGAGTACTGTTCGGTAGCAGGCAAATTAAACAGCATATCAGCCTCGATGATCGTGCGCGTCGGTTTGTGCAGGAAGACTAGCTCGCGCGAGCCATGGCCGTGCACATACTCCGTCTCAAAGTCCGCATCGAACTCCTTCGAGATCGAACGCGGGAGCTTATCTTCTTTCTTGAAAATGTGTTCGAACGGGGTATCTGCGTACTCAGGATTCGACTGGCGTTTCTCGAAGAGGCCTTCTGGTGCTAGAATCTCGGCTTGTGGGTAGGCTTTTTTCCACGGGGTTAGGTGCAGGTGGTGCTCTAGGTCTGGGGCAGCGATGTAGCGCACATTGCCACCGAGGGATTCGACTGTCTCGCGGACTTCTGGGGTGAGGTTGACTGGTGAGAAGACTGCGAGGGAACCGGTGGAGAGCTTGACTATAGGCAAGGAGGTTGTTAGCTGCTGACCTTGATCGAGACGTGCTTCAGTGTGCCTGTGCTTTGACGTGATGGGCTTTGAAATGATCCACTATTGACTTGTTCGTGTCTATCTCCCGGCTCCGGGTCCAAGTGTGGTGGTGTGGGAGCTGTTCCTGCAAGGGACTTACCCAGTGTGCCTCTTCCGCCGAATTGCAGGCGGCCGAACCGCGCAAATGGCAGGCTCATGGTCACTATGTCTGGTGTCACATTGCGGATCACCATGGTCGCTGCTGGATTGGCTGGGAAGAGCTGCGGCATGATGAGCTAGCTGTATGTACGTGGGTATTGCTTGTTAATTCGAGAGCTTTGCTCCCTGGCGTTGTCTCAGTGGTGTCTTGGAATGGTGCAGAGGAGATCGCGCAGTAAAATGCTGACCAGAGTAATGGTAAGACGTGAGGTGAACAAGCTAACTTATACAAAAAAGTACGAGGTAAGCCATGGCCAGACCAGGTGATGACGTTGTGGCAGCGTATTTGCCAAGGCTCCACTCTGGATCCCGCCAGGGCGAATTGTTCAGCAAAATGGAGCTCATTTCATAAATTACTAATGTTGTGTTATAGATAGATGCATTAATTCTTATTTATGTCTTTAAAATGCGAAAAGGGGTATCAGTATCAAACATATCCAAACTCGTGAGATCGTTGCTCAAGCCTAGACCCAGCTCATGCCCGTTTCTCCCTCAATCTCTTCGCGATGAGGGATGATTGGCTTCTTGATATTAAACACTTTGATAAGCTGCTCCCACGTTTCGTAATCCAAGCTGAATACGGCCTGGTGTTTCTGAATGCCCTGCCTTTGCGCTTCACTCGGCGCATAGGGGTTCGAGGGGTCTATTGACAGTTAGTTTCTCATCGCATGAGCCTGGAAGCAAGACCACTCACGAAGCGTCGGCAATTGGCGACTATCTGTTGATATACCAACGGTGCCATCACGAACCAGGAAGCTCACGTAAAACAGGTTCTCGACACTTTGTCCAAATGAATGTGGGTCAATGCAGAAAGCGAACAAGGGAATTCCGCCGTCGTCAGCGATGCCACATTCATCGAACACGCCTCGTAACTGATCTTCGGTGGGATTCTCTATGTTCTGTAGCTTTCTCTCGGCTTTCCTTTCACGTTCTTTCTGTGTGTTTCCGAGTAGTTTGTTAATTTCTGAACATGTCTGTGTCAAATTGACGCTGTCCTGTTGACCAAGATCTCCCTGTTGCAGTTCTATCGGTTTTACTGCGTTTTCCGGATCGATCGCTTCTCGTGCTGTGCGCTGGGTCATTTGACGCGCACGCTTCTGTACCGAGAGCGGGCCCAATAACCATCCTGGCACGACTGGCCTGGCATTATGTGGGAAGCAAGCTGCCCGGCCCAGGTGGTCCCAATTCATTGCATCGCCTTCGTCCTCGTCGCTAGCATATGGGTCGCGCTGGCTTTGGCGAGTTCGTCCTCGACGACCTTGTGTTCCGCGTGGTGTTCCCGTTGCGTTGGTAGGTCCGCGGTGCATAAATGATATACACTTCGAGACAAACTCATCGACATCGATTCCAGCGGAGGAATCACCAAGGGCAAGCTGGGCCGTTTTCTTGTGCGATAAGTCTGCGGCGTTGACTAGAAGGCGGGAATCGATCGTAGCGTCGGAGGTCTGCTTCACTTGGACGAAAATCTCATTTGCCTTTTCAACCGTCTTGTAAAGACCGTCATTTCCAGATTGCATGAACTCGCCTCGTGAGTCTGTTTAGATCGAGTCAGAATACCTGGCCCCGAGTCAGGATCAGACAAAACCTACCGTTCAGTTCTCTGTTCAGATCCCTCAGCTCTCTCCGTACGCGTCGCCGTTCATCGGCATCTTGGTCTGGATCATAGTATCTAGTATCTCCGTTCCGTTGAGATGGCGGGGGTCCTTGCGACTGAATATTGGAATTGCGGTCTGTGAGTCGAGGTCGCTTGTTCAGACGCGATGATGCCATCGCGGCATGTGTACGCTTATTGGAAATTTGTCGCCGATTTTCTTTGTCCGAGGTTGATATAGGTGATGAAGTTGGATTAGGCGAGTGAGAAGTTGCTGCGTCCCGATGTAAAGCAAACCGAGCCATACTCGATCGGCACTCTGTGGTACCAAATGAGATATGACAAAGAATAAAAGTAAACAGCAATTATAAGATTCGATTTGGAGTAGAAGTGACGATTGCGGGATTCTCACAGATGTATAAAAGCCAACACTTGGGCGTGGTAAGGCGCGAATTCCATTGACTTCGGCGAGGCGCGTCGCGTGTCGACACGTGACCGCTGGTCTCCCCGCGGATCTTATCTCCCATGACGCACCCATTTGCTGTCTCCATGCAAGATGGAGGCCTTCACTTTTGCCATATCCACGGATGTGGATATTCCAATTCATATCAAGATGTATGCTACTCCCTGTTGTTTGAACGAGCCTCATATTAACAAGTTCGCAGTGGCTCGTTGGAAGGAAAACAGAAAAAGATCCTGGATTCAGTCCTCGACGAGAACCCCGAACTGCAGTTTATCGCTTCCAATCAAGATCCTGCCTCCGACTTATACGCAACAGTTCAGTTATGGTCTGACTCAAAGCCTATGGGTGTGCCAATGCAGACCAAATACAAGTCTTTCAAAGCCCAACGAATATGGAACGAATGGTTGAAGATGCCCATGTCCATCAAGGACGCCCAACGTAACTCTCAACTCGCGATAACGCTATGGGATCTGTCGCCATTGGCTGCTAATGGTGTACGCCATGTCCCATTTGGTGGCACCACTATCTCACTGTTTGATAAAGATGGGAAGCTGAAAATGGGAAAACAAAAGTGCAAGGTGCATCTTCGACGGGAAGCCGATGGCGATGCCTTTACATCTACCCCGTCCACTCCAGCACCCAAGCGCCGGAAAACGAGATCTCGTGATCCTTCTGAACCGTCAGCTGAAGAGAAGGAGCTAGAGCGAGTAGAAGTTCTGATCAAGAAACATGAAATGGGAGAGATCCCACGTGTTGACTGGATGGATCAACTACTTTTCCGTGAGCTGGAGAAACTGAAGTTGAATGCGGAAGATGCGGCTCGAAAACGTGTCCTTGAGCTCGAGGCTCTTATGAAAAAGGATCCCAAAGGACACCACAAGGACGATGATTCCGACGAAGAAAAGCCTGATGAAGAACATTTCGATGTTTACGTCGAATTTCCGCGCTTCGATCACCCGATCGTCTGGGCTGATCACGAATATCCTCCTCCGCCAATCTCATCTTATCCTCAGAACGGACCTTCCCACCCTAATTCGACTCTCAAGCCTGTCCCGGAGGTCCACTTCGGACCTGGCATCCAACGTGCTGATCCTTACAGTGTCATCCGAATCTACGATCCGGAATGTGGTCAAGTCGCCAATCCTTGTGAGGACAAGCATCGACGTCTGATCCGTAGTCATCGGACGGGCATCTTGGATCGGGACTTAAAGCCAAACCCCAAGATTAGGGATGACCTCAGCATGATCATATCTTATGAGCCGACGCAAGAGCTTACTGCCGAGGAGAAGGATCTCGTGTGGCGATTCCGATACCATCTTACGCGTGAGAAGAAGGCTTTGACCAAATTTGTCAAGTCAGTCAACTGGAGGGATGTTGGGGAATCTCGGCAAGCTATCGAAATCCTTCCCAAGTGGACCGAAATCGATGTTGATGATGCGTTGGAGATTCTCGGACCAACGTTTGATCATCCGGACGTTCGATCATATGCTGTTGAGACCCTGCGAAAGGCTGATGATGAAGAGCTACTTCTATATTTGCTTCAGTTGGTGCAGGCTTTGAAGTATGAGGAGTCTCCCGAGTACAAAGCCGAAGATGCCGCCCACGACTTCTCGCTTGCCAACTTCCTGATTTCGCGAGCGGCAAATAACTTCAAGCTTGGTAACTATCTGTTCTGGTATCTCACAGTGGAGATTGATGATGCTGGCTCAAATATTCTTCCCGCTCAACGTCAGCTGTTCGTACGGGTTGCATACTACTTCATGGCCGAACTAGAGAGAGTTCACCCGGAGCATAAAAAGACACTCCTGCGTCAAGCAGAAATGGTGACTGTTCTTTCAAAGGTCGCCAAAGATGTCCGGCTTTCGCGGGAGAACAGACCTGTCAAGATCGACATGTTGAAGAAGTACATACGTGATCCTGAGAATGATCTGATTACTATCGATCCTCCATTACCGTTACCTTTGAACCCCGAGGTTTCAGTTGTTGGATGCTACCCCGAAGAATCCAACGTCTTCAAGTCCACGCTTTCTCCTTTGCTTATGACGTTCAAAACCTCGGACGGCCTTCGTTATCCGATGCTCTTCAAAGTTGGCGATGACCTTCGCCAGGATCAATTGGTCATCCAGATCATCATTTTGATGGACCGTCTTCTGCAAAAAGAAAACCTCGATCTGAAGCTGACACCCTATCGCATCCTTGCGACCAGTCCGACAGCCGGTGCCGTTCAATTCATCCCCTCCATTTCTCTCTCCGCGGCCTCCTCCAAGTACAAGTCTATTCTCGCCTACTTGAAGATCAACAACCCTGATGAGAACGAGCCCCTAGGTGTTCGCAAAGAGACAATGGACACATATATCAAATCGTGTGCCGGATACTGTGTCATCACCTATCTGCTTGGCGTTGGCGACCGTCATCTCGAAAATCTGCTTCTAGCTCCAGATGGCCACTTCTTTCATGCCGACTTTGGCTTCATCCTTGGCCGTGACCCAAAGCCGTTCGCGCCTATGATGAAACTTTGCAAAGAGATGGTCGAAGGTATGGGTGGCACATCCTCACCACACTACCTGCAATTCAAACAGTATTGCTACACAGCTTACACCACCCTACGCAAATCCGCCAACCTGATTCTGAACTTGTTCAGTCTAATGGTCGATGCCAATATCCCAGATATTCGAGTCGAGCCCGACAAGGCTGTTTTGAAAGTCAAGGAGCGTTTCCACCTCGAGATGACCGAGGAAGAGGCCATCCGTCACTTCGAACAACTCATCGCCGACAGCGTGAACGCTATCTTCGGCGTTGTCATTGATCGCCTGCATGACTTTGTGCAAGGCTGGCGGGCCTAGACTCGCATCTATGATCTTCAGTTTTGTCTCCCAATATATGCCCGTGACAAGTTTTCGGAATGCTCATTTCGCCGATCTTCCCTGTTTCACACTGTTGTATTCCAAGCAGACGGTGTCGAGATACATAGGAGTCATGCGGGTCGGTAAATTTTACTTTTCATGTAACATGGCGCAACACGGTGCATTTACAACCCAGGATACCCAAGCAACTTTTTTTCGTTTAGTCGCAACCAGCTAGAAAGCAATCTGCTAATTTTTCCCATGATGACCCTAGTCAAGAGTCTAGGCTTCTGAGTACAGCATTAGATATAGTGCTAAGCTTCCAAGTCATAGAGCAGGTGACGTGCAGAAACTAAAAGAGAAGCATATACGAGGCCATAGTCCATAGCCTGCAAATGCCCTAACTGGTCAAGCCTCCCGAGGTTGTCCCGAATAGGAAGACTCTTAGTCACAGATATTACGTTTTGCGGAAGCCGCCGCCCTCCGTTGAAGAACACTGCCGATGTCCATTACTTCTAGTATATTTTATTGATCTATTGACGAAATGATGTACATTTGCAAATTATTCATGCCGTTCTTGCCTAGTCTGGACCATGAGTGAATACAGTGGCTATGCCTCGACGTCTGCTTAGAATGACATCAATTTAGAACTATATGAGATGCCGATCTTAGTAGATACTCTCAAAGGGGCCGGGAAATTAAGGGTGGATTACGTTGATGAAAGGGGTTTGTTCATGGTAGTATAACTTACCTCGCGTCTTTCTTGCTACAAGTAACCTCTACCTCGAACCCGACTAAGTAGCAATTGAACGCCACTAAAGTAGTAGTGACCAAATTCAATTGAAAGCAAAGAGCAGACACAGCTCTCAAAAATTCCAAAAATAAACCTAATGTCCCATACTCAAGCTATTTCAAGTTCCAGACTTGAGAACTCCCAACGATTAACTTCCAAATGCACGCGGCACTACCCGTGCCCTAACCTCCCCTCCAATCCAGGCTCACGGATACCTCCGCACGACACGCCCAAACATGAATCATAGTCGGAAAATCCTTGCACTGACTGGCTCGGCATCCAGCCAGAACACACTCCCATGATGAAACCCGCGGGCTTCCGCGTACTTTCCCGGACCCAGCGAGGTCTGAGGTCTGAGTGCCGTGTAGGAAATAGTATACCTCGCGTGCTTCGGTAGTGGAGAAAAATGATCATAGTCGGGATTTGGTTAGGCTGGTGGGCAGGTGGGTGGAAAAAAGTGATATTTACCTTGCAAACCCCGGACTATACCCCGTTTCTTAGCACACCGTTCTTATCTTCATTGTTCTAAATTCCTGCCCTCGGGACTACCTATTCATATCACTTGTCACTTACAATTTCTGAAACTTATATTATATACTTCGACACGAACACCCCGCTCTACTCTCGGATATCCAAAATTATCATTATCATTAATGGAGCATATAATCAACATCAAAGAGGTGCAACATCCAGCCCCTTCTACAGAAACCCAGACACACCACCATAGCGGACCATGCATCCGAGACTCAATGGGCTCACCAGTCGTCTCGCAACTTAGCCATGACTATTCCTTGTTAAAGTCGAGTACGCCCGAGGCTCGCAATCCCCAATATAGACATGATACAAGTACATGCAATATCAATCAACCCGCTCCCATTGTTGACGTACGAAAATTCGCCAATCCGGCTCCGTTGGGTCTATGTGCTTTCGCGCTTACGTCTTTTCTGTCGAATTGCATAAATCTCAATGTGGGAGGCATTCAGGCTTCGGGTATTAGTGTTTCGCTGGCTTTGAATTATGGGGGTATTGCTCAGGTTTTGGCTGGGATGTGGTATGTTATGTTCTTTGAAGTTCTTGATATCTTTCGAGGGGGTTGGAGTAACGATTGCAGGGAAATGGCCGTTGGCAATACCTTCGGTGCAACGTCTTTCTGCTCTTATGGCGCCTATTGGATTACGTTTGCTCTAATTTCGGACCTTGAGCCTACCGATTCTGCGAAAGGTGCTGGTGGGACTTGTCATAATGAGACGTTGATGGGATTATTCATGCTGGTAGGTATCTACTCGTGGGTATATTCAGAATAGTTCTGATGAATATTTTGATAGGCCTGGTTCATTTTCACAACCTTAATGCTCCTCTGCACACTACGGTCCAGTCTTGCAATGTTCCTCTTATTCTTCTTCCTGGACATGAACTACCTCCTACTTGGCATTGCACATATCCAATGCAGCTCCCACGGCGAGGTTCTTATTGCAGTTCAAAAAGCCGGCGGACTGTGTGGTATATTTGCTGCCTTTGCTGCGTGGTGGAATGCCTTTGCTGGTATCGCGGATACTAGTAATGGCTTCTTTACTGTGCCCCTTGGTCACTTCCCTTGGTCGCCTATTGTTCATGCTCACCGGGCAAAGGCGAAGGAGGTATGATATTTTTATGTGACCAGGATATGAATAGAAAGCAGTATTCCCTTTCATGGTATGTTTTCGTCTGTATCACTGTTGAAACAAGTCTCATCTATCTGTGTCGTCCTAGCTCTTCATCTGGGAAGGCTTGATCACCAAGCTCGATCCATTCGTGGTTCGTTTCATCGCTGCTCATGCCCCACGCCCTCTGATCTGCGAGCTCCATATTGTTGCCATTTCGTTGCTGTGATACGGTATATGGTTCAGCTCGTGGTGATGCATCATGGGCCCCAGAATGGCTATGACGGGTACCTTCGCCGAATAGCTGATCGGCACCAGAATCCTCACCCGTTGTACGACTTTTGTTCAACTTTTCGTCCTCTTCATCTTCTGGCGTTCCCTCGCGACAAGCCCAAGCATCCACGAATCGGAGCACTTCACGCGGCCACCAGCGTTTCATTATCAGGAGACGGAAGGGCACGAGGGCGATTATCAAAACTGGGAATGCGGGTGCTCCTCTTGTCAGTGTCAAGATGAAGACCACGACTGTTATGCAAATTTGCAATATCGTGTAGAGATGTATTGGGAGATATGATGGGTTGCGAGGTGGTATCTCCTGGCTATTGGCTGAGTTTTGCTCCGTTACTTTGTGCAGTGACTGTGGGAGCGGTGGTAGCTCAGATGGCGGAGTAAGAAGGTAGAAAGTGCGATATAGAATAGGGCTAGATAAAAGGTTAGCGTCCATAATATTTTGGTTCCCTTCATTGAATGCCTTCATACTTCACCGACAAGCTCTGCTCCCCCATAAAAAGAAACAGCCCAGCCAACACACTGGTCGGGGTTAGGCCGAGGACTTTCATGAACGGCGGGCTCACAAAGAGCAAGATAGCCCCTGAATGAAGAAGTGTCGACCAGCGCTGTTCATACACACGCCGGACTTGCTTTCTTTCGATCTTCTCTTCGCCATCCACGATGACACTTGCAGTCTCTGTTTCCTCATGCATAAGCGATTCAGAGTGCAACGGAGCTTGCGGGAGAAGACCATTAGAAGGCGGTATTCCCAAAATCCCACAAAGAGCCGTAGTTGTTCCGAGTAAGATGATATCCCAAGCAAATCCACCTGGTTTGCGAGTGCCATATCGATCAATGGTGCAAATTATTGAGCTGACCTCGTGGTCAAAGAAGAAAAGCACCGTTATGATTAGACCAGGGATCATTGAAGCAAAGATCCAGGAGACTGGTAGTTTCCAAAATTCGATGAAGAAGATCTCCCGCTCTGGGGATGTTGGCTGAAATGATGTGCTGACCGGTAAGGTCATTTTATCAAGATCAGCCAATTCGCCCACGTATGGCAAACCGATGAATACTATGATGGAGATTGCAGCGGCATATTCAGTCAGGCCTAGTCTGATGTAGCGGTGAAATAGTGGCTTCCAACCCTCTGCTGTGGATAGGAAGATAGCAAGGAGCATTGTTCCGACTGCACCAATGACGGCATAGAGAAATGCCGCGAAAGATAGACTTTCATGTGCTCTTTCAAGCTCTTGGATAGCCTTGTGGAAATAGATAATACTGTTGAGGAGAGAGAAAATCTCCGTTGCGAAGGTCGTCACATAGCGCATTGTCCAGTCGTGGGCATTGATGATCGCTAGGATATAGTGCATCCAGCCGGAATGTATCAGGGACCATGCCATGAATGGTAGGAAAGGAATCTGATGATCGTTATTAGGAAAAGCGAACTCGAAAATGAAAAAGCGGTTGGTCATATTTCACGCACTTTGAAAACCTCTTCACATAATGAGTAGATATTCTCAGCCAAGACCGAGAAAGGACCGGTCACGCCAAGGATTGTGAGGGGTTGGATTGAAAATCTGTATATGAGTGTCAGTCATCCCTGGCTTTGAGTCATTCAGGGTGATTTACAGTGAAAATATGATTCCGCACAACCCAGTGCTCAAGACGACTTCAATAGTTCCCCAGCTCTTGCCAGTCAGGACGTATAGATCACTCGCAAAAGTGATTCCTGGTAGAAGATTTGTAAAGAAAACATAGACTGCGCTGGCAAATACCAGTTGATTGAACACTGTCCAGTCAGACACATACCGCCGACGGAGGTTGGCAATGTCCTGCTTCACTAGACGGAAGGGACGAAGCGGACCACCAGCTGCCACTGAGCCTCGTAACATCCGTAGAGGCTTTGGTGTATGCTTTGAGGGTGTAATGATTGAGTGGGCATCTGGGTCTTGAAGATGACCTTCTGAATCAAATTCCGAAGGCTCTTGTCTGCTTGGCCGCCTACGTCGTCTGGCACGGCTTGTGTCTCGAATGGAGGAGACTCTTGTAGAGCGTGGTCGAAAGGCCGATATTAGTGACATTTGTGGCTAGACAAATGGTAGTATTACAATATCTAAGAAGAACAGAAGAGTAACGAGGGTGAGTAAAACGGAGAAGAGAACTGACGACCAAGGATGGATGTTCCAACTACCTCAACGTTAACTTCTCATGTTGGCCTGGCAAACAAGGCAGAAACGAGGCAACTCGACTTTATTCCTTCATAAATCAGCAAACAATGATCAAATATCTGTTATTTTATATCAGGTCATATCATATATATTAATAGGGAGCTATAGACTCTTGTATGGCATAATAAAAGGAAATGACTCTGCTAGAGCTGTCACAAGATGGTGTTGGAATCAAGATAGCAAGGTTGTCCGACAAAACTTTTTTTTTTCCGTATAGAATGGCAAGATACATCTGGTCCTTAATTTCAAGCTCGACAGCTCGACAGCTACATTTAACATAGAAAAGTTGCTTGCAACCTCAGGGGTAACTGATGTCGATGTATGGTCCTCACCGCCAATCTCTCCGCCCTGGGCATTTTGACGGATTTTTCCGTTCCAACTTTAACCGGTTATCACAACTGTCCAAATAATCAGTCCCTTGAGACCGATAGTCAACAGCTCTGACTAAAATGAATCGCACATTACCAGACTGAACCATTATACACCCTCAACGCGCTACCATGGCCCAGTTCGTGCCACGCAGTGTCTTTCCCCATTATGGGGCTATCCCCAGGTCCTATTTCCTGGGACATCACCGAGCCGGTCTGACCAAGATGAAAAATATGCTGGCAAGCATTGACTATGTTGTTGAATGTCGTGACTACCGAGCCCCGGTCACCTCAATAAACCCAATGTTCGAAGAAGCTTTGGGCAAAATGAGGCGCATAGTTGTTTATACTAAGAGAGATCTGGGTGGGATTCCCAAATCCTCTGCTCAAAAACAAGTGAGTTGCAATTGACGGTTCCTCAAAGTATCAAAACGGTGCGATTCTAACAGAAATGTTCAGACAGAGCGCAAGCTACAAAGTTTCGATCCAAAGAGCGCCGTCTTCTTCACAAGCTCATCTGCCCGCCAGGATGTCAGCCAGATCATCAAACACCTCCGAAACGATGCCGAAGCTCCCGATAAGCTTGTCAGCTGTCGAGTGCTGGTTGTCGGAATGCCCAATGTCGGCAAATCCACCCTGATCAACAACTTGCGCAACGCAGGCGTCGGTAAAGCTAAGGCTCTGAAGACTGGCCAACAGCCTGGTATCACACGCAAGATAGCCACCCAGGTTAAAATTATCGAACGAGAGAGCGGGTCTCATGTCTACGTTCTTGATACACCGGGAGTCTTTATGCCCTATGTCCCCGAGGCAGAAAGTATGCTTAAGCTGGCACTCTGTGGCTGTGTCAAGGATAACGTCATATCGCCAGTCACATTGGTAGACTATCTATTGTATCATATCAACTTGCATGACCCGCAGGTCTACAAACGTTGGTCAGAACCGACCAACGAGGTCGTTCCTTTGCTTGAAAGCTTTGCGCGCCAAACTGGTCTGCTGAGCAAGGGAGGCATACCAAATTTGGACGGGGCAGCCATTCATTTTATCCAAAAATGGAGGCAAGGAGATCTCGGTCGGTTTTTGATTGATGACCTCGAGGAGGAAGAACGACGACGGGACGATCCTGAGCAGGTAACACGCCTGAGCATGACACAGGCCTTGAAGGTCGAACGGGTCACTCGAAAGAACAAACCCGATGTAACTAGCAATCTGTAAAATACTGAACATATAACAAATCCCTCTTGGGGCTAATGATGAATCGTTGGGGAAAGTAATGGAGTATCATTACGAACAGAAAGCAATGCTTGTGATGTGAATATTTTGCAGAAGCACCCGTAACGCCCGTCCCAAGGTAAAGCAGACAAATGAAATCAAAGAAGTGTGGACACCGGGAACGTCTGGATCAAGAAATCTTGTCCAGAAGACGGCGCCGCCGTCTATCCACGAGCTCTTCTTGCACTTCTTCTAATGTGGGAAGTCTCCATTCGACCCCGTCGCCAGCATCACCAGGTAGAGATTGCCAGCCATCTTCAGCATCATCCTCCCCTTGACCACGCAAGTGCTCAACGGCCTCTTTCTCCTGCTGTTTCTCATATGCCAGCAGCGTCCCATCTTCTTCATCGAGGCCATAACCAAAGTAATTGGCATCAACCTTCCTCGTCGCAATATCTCCACCTCTGCCAGCGGTGTCCTCTTCCTCAGCTGGGCCCTTCGCGCGACGGACCGCAGCCTCAATCATTTCCTTAACGCCAGGTAACTCCCGAGCACGGCCGTAATATTTGTACCCTTTGCCTCCGCCCGGGATCTCGCGCCCTTCGTCGTCGTAAACCCGATTTGATCCGCGCATGTAGTTCGGTCCGCCCAGATTACGGATCTGCATTTCCCAAGCCCATTTCTCCCGCATGAGCTTATTGATTTCATCGTTGAGATCGCGGATCTGGTAGTCGCTCAGACTTTGTTCGTGGATGCGCGATACTTTGCGGGAAATCTCTTTGACGACCTGACCGCGCCAACGCTCGCAGGTTGGCACATTGTCGATGGTTGTGATAGCCTTGGGGCGTCGTGTGCGTGAAATGTCAATAATTCCAAGGTCTGCTGCTTGCTGCGCTCGGAAGCGGAATAGCATAGACTGTGCCTTCTCGCTGTTTCGGGCCTGTTACATAGCGGGGGTTTGGTTAGCAAATTGTGACCCGGATTGCACGTCGACGTTTCCTCGTGCAGTTTGCATATCGGGAACTGTTCTCACCATGATGAAGTATTGACCAAGTCAGCGACCCGAAAAAAGTCGGGTATCGGGGGGCGTTGGCAGGGAGGAATCCGAAGAGGAAATCATGAGCTCGAAGCTTGAGGTGAAGTCTCGCGCTAATTGCCGCTTGCCGCGCGGTTATCACGTGCCCTCCTTCTCACCTCGACTATGCAGCTACTTCACTCGTTATGTTGATCCATGGCAATAAACGAATTTCCGTTTCTCTCTTCGAGTTATCCAACTGCCAAAGATTTGCGCTGGAATCGAATCGAATTGTCTTTAGGAAATTCTGATGTGCAAGTGATCGAATATATATGCTTTACACGGTGGACCACAGGCATTGCTATCCTTGTTGATATCCTATCTCGTTAGTATGGTAGCCAGGCCGCAAAGAGACTGATTATTATTGCACTTTTGGCAGTACCTAGAAAGAAACAGAGTGAACAGTGGAGTAAATGAATTGCTGCCTCTAAATACATAGGTCAGTGAGATGATTGAAAACTTATTCACGGATGCTACGAAGGTTGAAGAATCATTAAACAAAGGCAGAAGTAGGCGTTGGTGACTCATTACATTCTCATCGTCGTAGATAGCCTAGTCCAGTCATACAGCGTATTTACTATTAAGCACGCAATGGAAAAATAACAAAATGCAGCAAAACAACCATCCAATACAGGAACCTTCAGCGCAGAAAATATCCAAAGAAAAGCCGCATGGCCTTCCAAACAATATGAACAAGACCGAGGCCAGCTCAGAAGACTGGAACAATGCCTTCCTCAAATGCACGCAAAACGCCATTAACATTAATACAAAAACATGCCATCCATGATTATGGCTGCAACAACTCCGGACAGACAGATTAGTGTGTTAAACATCAATTAACACCCTATTCACAAGAACCCCTTGGTGTTGCTGGGTTGCCGTTGGGGAATGTCATTATTTGCATAGACACCATTACCGCGATGGCTGCCAGTCTCGCCGAAAGTCACTTTGCGGGCAATGGTGCTGCCTCCTCGCTCCCGCGTGGCCCTCCAGCCATCCAACTCGCGCTCTAAACGTAGAGCCTTCTCGCGCTCCTCGCGAAGCTCCCGCTCAGCGCGACGAGCTAGTAGCTGTGCGTCCGAATCGTTGTGCTGGAGTTCCTCGATATTGCCGAGGAGTCGTTCAATCTTATCCCGAGCTCTATTGATGTCGTCGGTGAGCTGGGTGTTCATCTTGTCGCGTCGCTCGATTTGAGACTGGAGATCCTTGACAGTACGATCGACGTTGCGAAGGGAGCGTTGCTCAGAACTGTGCTTGCTCTCCTGGTCTTCGAGGTGGGTTTCCAGCTAAACAGGCATGTTAATATGAAACGTAGAAATGACTCTGGGTATGCTATCTTACCTCCTTGATTCGCTTGTGCAAGAAGCGAACATCCTGGCTACCAGAGGAGTAGCTCTTGGTTTCCAGATCAACACAACGAAGTTGCGCCTCCTTTAGCGACTTCTCGAGAGCTGCCTTCTCCTTGAAGAGCTGGGCATTGGCTTCACGCTCAGCAGTAACTTCCTTCTGCATTTCAGTGGCCAAAGCATCAGCGCGACGCATCTTGCCAACTGCAGCAGCGGAAACGTCTTCCTGCTGGGCAATTCTGGACTTGAGCTCAAGCAGCTCGCGGTCCATGCTTGCAGCATTGCGCATAGATGGGCTTTCGCCTCTGGCGAGATCTTCTAGTCGCTCGCCAGCCTCAGCCAGGCGGCCTTCGAGCATCTTCTTGTCCTTCAGGAGCAAGTCACGCTCGGCAGTAGTATCCTCAACGGAAGTCCGAAGGGTGCGGACTTGGGACAGGAGGGAAACAACCTTGCTCTGGGCCTCGTTGTGGGCATTGACAGCCTCGTCGCGAGAGTTGGTAACATCCTGCAAGACAACATCCATGCGGGACTTCTCCTTGGCCCATGTCGAGCTATTGATAACCTCATTGTCCCACTTGCTGCGAAGGTCCTCGAGTTCCTCGCGGAGACGAGCAGTCTCTGAACGACCACTGAGAACACGTTCACGCTCCATCTCGAGTTCGTTGTTGAGAGTCGAGAACTCTCTCTGGTACTTTTGTCTAGTCTGTTCCATAGACGTCTCCTTATCCTCAAGGTCAATGGCTCGCTGGTTCCTGTAGTCCTCGAGCTCGTTCTGAAGACGCTGCTTAGCCTGCAAGGCACCTTGGAGCTCGGCAGCCTGGTCTTCCATCCGGGCCTCGAGGGACTGGGTCTGTCGCTGCAAGTCCTCGACGAGAGCATCCATTTCCTTGCGCTCAGACATGATTTGGGCACAGGTCTCTTCAGCCTCCTGGCCTTGGGATTTGGCAAATTGCTCGGCACGCGAAGCCTTCATGACAGCGATCTCGGCCTGCTCAAGCTTGTTGAAGTACTCATCCGAGCGGCTCTTATACAACATGAGGCTTGACTCGAGATCAGCAGAGCGGGATGACTCGGCATCCAGACGAATCTGGAGATCGGAGAACTCTTGAAGAAGCTGGTTGCGGCTGACAGCGTCTTGATCTCGGCCGACTTGCAATTCCTGGGCCTCCGACCGGGCATCACGAAGTTCAACCTCCAGTGTTGCCCGAGCCCGCTTCAGCTTCTCGAAGTGAGCCTTAGCATCACCGAACTCGGCCATAGTCTCATTGTGGACCTTCAGCAGAGAGCGGCGAGATTGCTCCTGTGAGTTGATGAGATCGTAAAGTTCTTCGTGCGATTTCGCCTGAACATCACGAAGGGACAATTCTCCAGAGCGAATGCTTCGCTCTAAAGATGATACCTTCTTAGAGGAGTCATCAAGTTGATCATGGAGGCGACCGTTCTCACGCTCGAGGAGCTGCATACGACGGATGGAAGGGCTCTCATCCTGCCAGATATCACCGCCGGGGGTAGAGCGTTCAATCTGGCTCTGGAGATGCTTGTTCTGCATCTCAGTCATCTGAAGCTTATTCTGCAGCTCTTCCAGTTCAGCAGCCGTATCCATGCGTCTCTGGTAGCCTTGTGTATCAACGGTGCGATCGGAGCGGGCAGAGTCGTTTGCCGCTTCGTGAACGTTGTAGCGCCGATTTGGTGTGGTGGGATTAGAGAATCGCTTGAGAGCGTCTTCGGAATTCTTCCTGAAGTGAGCAGGGGTACGGTTATTGGCTACTTCATTCTGATCGATCTCTTCAAGGAAGGCACGCTTGGAAGATGAGTACTTAGTGTCAAGTTCCTTCATCTCATCCGCGTGGCGTCGGCGCATTTCAGCAAGCTGGCTTTCAGCTCTCATGTACTTCTCTTCGGTGACACCAATCTTATTCTGCACTGTCTCAAGGACTTGGGCCAAGTTAACCTGCTTCGACAGGTGTGGTTGAACAGCCTCCCAGGATTGCGTGGGCTCACTAGCCTCGGGCTCGAAGACCTTGTGCAACAGGATCAATTGGCGATGCAAGTCCTCAATTTCCTTGTTCGCCCGATCCAGAGTGCCCTGAGTTTGACGAGTGTTGGCTTGGGCTTGAGTGCGCAGCTGGCGTTCCGTCTCAAGTTTGCGATTGGCCTCGGCGAGTTGAAGGTTGGCAGTGGAGGCGGCCTTTTCAGCGTTGCGGCTTGTCTTGTGCTCGCGGTTGACCTCGTGGTTAAGATCCTCCAGACTCAAGGATAACTTCTCCTTTTGCTTTTCCATAGACGTGATCTGGACCTGGGAGTCTTCTAGCTGGCGACTCAATTTTTTGGTCTCTTCATCCAACCTAGCCTTCTCCTTTTGCAGATTTGTCAACCGAAGTCTGTTGCTATCACTGGCCTTCGAGTTTGACCGGGCGATATCGAGGTTCTTTTGTTGGATCTTAGTCAAAAGAGATCTGTTATCATTCTCAGACGCGGTCAGTCTGCCTCGAAGGGTCACAAGCTCTCGCTCAAGACGCTCCTTGTGTTGGTCATGGCGGAGACGGAAGTTGTCAGATTCCGAAATTGTTTGCATGAGCTCTTGGATTTGAACAGAGAGCTGGGATCGTTCCGCTTCCACTTCCTCAAGCTGGCGTGCCTTCTCCTCAAGGTCCTTGCGCGAGCTGGTCATGCGCTCCTCGGCCTGCTTCATGATCTTACGCTCAATCTCGGCTTCGGCATTCATGCGCGCGGTCTCAGCGTCGGTGAATCTCTCACGAAGCTTGATTAGCTCCCCCTGCAACTCTTTCCGTGTCATTTCCGCCGCGAGTCTGGCCTCGGTAGCCCGACGCAAACTGTCTTGCTGAATATACATCTCCTTCTCGATGGTAATCTTGGACTCGTTGAGCTCGTCGTACTTGTGGGTCAACTGAGCAAGATTGTGCTCAGAAAGCATCTGGACGTCGTCTCGTGATTGGCGTTCACGGCTGAGATCGGCTTGAGCCTGGAAGAGTTGATCCTTGAGGTCGTGCACCTGCTCCTCCAAGAGTTTCCTGCTCTCTCCAGCCTCCGCATCCTCAGATCGCTTGTCATCTAGAAGGCGTTTGAGGTCGGCAGCCTCACGCTGAAGCTGAGTCTTCTCAGAGCGCATGGCATCTCTCTCGGCTTGGACTTCTCGAAGGCGGCCTTGCATGTTGTCGTGGCGTGTTGACAACGAAGTCTTCTCAGCTTCGATGCTCTTCTTCTCTTCTTCGTGTTTCTTGACATCATTTCGGAGAACAGCCATCTCGCTCTCCTTGCGGCGGAGAAGATCCTCGTAGCCGGTAGAAGTGGTAGACAATTCGGCGATCTGGTCACGAATAGACCGATTCTCTTCTGAAATATCACGAACTTGCTTTTGAGACTTTTCGAGTTCTTTGGAGGTAGCGACGAACTTGACCTCGAGGTCTTGATCAGTCTTCAACAATTTCGCTTCCAAGTCTTGAAGCTTGCGATCTTTCAAGCTGAGATGGCTTTGGAGCATCTTGATCTCCTGTTCTAGTCCTTGGATCTGTTCATTCTTTCCTGAAAATTGGGTTTCGGTTTCGGAAAGCTTGCCATTCAATTCCTCCAGTCGAGATTGCAGGCTGTTCTTCTCCGACTCCAAGGTCTGTATGATCAGTCCTGCCTGCTCCAACTGAGTGATTCGAAGTTGCAGCTGCTCTTCAGCCTTTTTCTTTGCATCAACGATTTCGTCTAGCTGTTCTTCAAGACTTTCCTGGTCGGCGATCGCACCGGCAAGCTTTTCAGCAAGTTCTCCTTCACGATCTTGTAGACGCTTGAAGATCTCTTCCTTATCCAGCGCGAGGGCACGTTCGCTCTCCAAGGTTTGCTGGATCTTCTGAATCTCAAGTTCAGTTCGACGTCTCTCTTCGTCCAACTTCTGTCGACCTGCCAGATCCTGTTTCATCTTGGCTTCTAATTCCAGGATCTTGTCGTCTCGCTTTTTAACTTCCTTCGCGTTTCTCGTGTCGCCCAGTAGGGGCTTCATTCTCGAGAACATGCGCCACCAAGGGCTTCCCTTCAATTCAAGGTAGACATGGAAGTTCTGCTGAATGATACGAGTAGCTTCGGCACGATACAGTCGTTTGTTGGAGATGCGCCGTTGGATGAAGCCTCGCGCGATAGACTGGAAGCGCGACATGATAGTGCGGATTAGCTGGTCACGCTTCTCTTCCAAGTCGGCAAGAACACCAGCCCGGAAGAACACCTTCGTTCTACCAACTCGGTACCAAGCCCGATCCATACCAAGCTTCTCCAGCATGATGCGGGCAGCACTCTGTCCCTCCAAGTAGCCCTTGGGCATGTGTTGGCACAGGACTTCATACCGCTGTCTGAATTCCGCAAAGTGCAAACGATTGGGGAACCCAGTACGAGCGATTCGAATACCTTCTAAAACACCGTTGCACCGTAGCTGGTCCAATACAAGTGGAGCATGTAGCATCTTTGGTCGCTTCTTGTGATTGGGCAAGATACAACGGACGAAATGGGGATGAGTAGAGTGAAGTTGAGCCATCAAACTAGATAGCTGCTCCTTGTGCCTTTGAGCAACTGTCCGGAATAGGCCCTTCTTCACGCGGCTTCTTGGGTGGTTGCCACCATCTTCCTCCGAGTCTGCGCAGTCCGAGAACAGGTTCGCGACGTGTGGCTCACTGGATGTGGCCAAGAGGCGAGTGATATTGTCGTTGAGAGGGTCCTTGTTCTTCTCAAGCCAGTCGCTTGTCGAGTACTCAACCTCAGCAGCATAGTGGGTCAGAATGAATCCTTGGTTGAGACGAGATGCATGGTACTTGGGGGTCTTTCGATCCCACAGACCATGAAGCTTCTCGGTGAACGATTTATCTGTAGCTTTGGGCATGACACAGTCTTCATCAAGACAAGAGAAGATACCAATAGGGTTGGTAAGCTCGATCAAATCGATTGTTGGCTGCAGGTCTTTTCCGAAGTCAATAAATTGCCACTCGATTTGCTCCCTAGCGTATTCCTCTTGTTCCAGGACGAACATATGATGGTTGAAGAATTGCTGTAGCTTCTCGTTCGTATAGTTGATGCAAAGTTGCTCGAAACTGTTGTTGTCGAAGATTTCGAAACCGGCAATATCAAGGACTCCAATGAAGTAGTTGTCATCACTGGCCATTGACCGTCCCAGCTGACCGTTGATTCGAGCAACAAGATTTCCAAATCCACGCTCATAGATACCCTTGGACAAGGCATCTAGGGCCATGCGAACCTGGTCAGGAGTCTGAACCTTCTCTACCCATTCACGGCCGGCCTTGACTCGTGGATGAAGTAGGCCCTTGACAAAGGGTTCTGCGGCAATACCGAGAAGTTGACAGGCCTTTTCCACGCTTGAGTAGCCCTCAGGCGCCAACGCTGCTTGGTCTGCACGAACACTCGCCTTGGCCACACTGACATTGCCCAAATGCAACACAGCAGCGATTGTCCGCAAGATACATAGCTGGTCATCTTCGGAGAAGTTCATCACATGGAAGGCTTCGATCAATGAGTTCCACTCCTCTTGGTCAGAGACTCCTACAATCGAGTCATTTCCCTCTCTTGTGTAGGCAAAGTCCTCGATTTGAAGATCCTCGATTAGAAGCTTCTCGCGGGTTTTGCGGTCTGCACCTTGTAGCAGCTGATAGAAAACGTGGTAATTTCGTTCGTTAGAATTTGGTTTTACAACTCGTGATTTCTCGAGCAGGTACCAATCAATCCATGCTCCGGCTATTTGCCCAGATCGAGAGAACTCAATGCGAATAAACTTTCCGAATCGAGACGAGTTGTGGTTTCTGACCGTCTGAGCGTTTCCAAAGGCCTCGAGAATTGGATTAGCTCGTAGGATCTGTTGCGAGAGACCGGTAATCTGTTTCGCACCGGACCGGGCATAAGGTGTATCTGAGGTGGCGACAGCTGCAAGGTATTGGATAACCTTCTTCGTGTTCTCAGTTTTACCAGCTCCAGATTCACCAGTGACCAGGATACTTTGGTTTTCGCCTTCCTCAACAAGGTTCCTGAAAGCCTCATCGGCCATGGCGAAGATGTGGGGTCTGGTTTCCTCTCTCCCACGGCCCTTGTACATCTTCACATATTCATTGGTGTAGATAGGTAGCGGACAGTAGGGGTTAATCGTTACAAGGAATAGTCCTGAGTAGGTCTGCAAGCCCAGTATGTCAGCTGCAAGCCCTCGTCGACATGGCCTTTGGGAGGGAAACAAACATAGATCAAATCCGATTGATATCTGGTGTGGAGGTTATGGACCACAGACGCCTCGTTTAAATGGGTAAGTTCCGCCATATCATCTGCTTTGTCGAACTTGGCTGGGTTAACCTTGTCGACCTGGTCCGCGTCCACCTCACGTTGCTATCCCAATGTCAGTAGATGTCTTCCTACGTGTCTCATGGGCATCCATACGTCGCCATCGTCGCTCTGCACTAGCATGCGGCCTCCTTCCAACTCCTCTAAAACAAGGCCCCGGACAAAAGCCTTCTCATTGTCTCGTAGCCAGACATATTTGTTTCCCGAAAAGTCGTTGTCTCCTTCAATCCCACGGATTTGATCCGCTCCACGACGCAACTCCTCCGACTTGATAAAGCTGGGGGCGAATGTTCCTGAGGACGGACTGTTCTTCGCCGAATTCGATCGTTCCCGGTTTCCAGCCGAAGATAAGGTTGGCGACAGCTGTGAGACGGATGAGTTTCGCAGGTGGCCTCTTGCTGATTCTAGTCCATTAGAAGGTATGATAATAGCCGACTTGGGCCTTGTTCCTTGCGACTGGGATGTCTGTGAGGGTGATGGACGCGCAAAGAGACTGGCGCGCTTCGGCGAGGCATTCAATTGAGAGGGAAGCATGGCGGTCGTAGTTTCAATAGCACATTATTCAAGTAGGGTGGTGTTTCTCATAATCAAGGTCAAGTTCCAAATTAGGGTGTAAATGTAAGAAGCAGAGAGTGTCAAATGCAAGTTGGAAGAAGAAGAGTGGAGTGACGCACCCCGATATCGATGATGTTTGTTTACTCTGCGTTCCTCGGGCGCCCGCCGATCTGGCCCGGTCCGTGCACGAACTCGTCACGTGAACGGCTCGATCTTTTTTGGTTGAGGCGCTGAGCGCACCGGAGGCGCGTTCTCCAGTTCATCCCTATCTCCTTTTGCGAGATTTAGTCGCTCATCTCTTGTCTCACTTGGTTGTTACTCAAGCGCTTTCCTAATAACGACTGATAAATTGCTGAAGTTTCGAATATTTTTTCTCGAGACCTAACAACGCTACTCCCACAATAATCGCAACCTCTCAGTCGTCATGACACTTCGGCTTTGAAATTAGTACCTCTTTTCCATACGACTTATCGCCTTTGCGACCAGAAGATAATTTCTTACTTCGCTCCCTACACGGTCTCATCATGTCTGATCAACAACCTCCACCTTACGGTGGCCATCCGAACTATGCTCAGCAGTGGCCGACATATGCACCGATGATTCCCCCAAACGCTCACAATCGCGCTGACTTCGGTACACCGAGTGCACCTGCTCCGAACACTGCGCCGAAAATCGATAATAATATGGCAGCTTTCAACACGAATTCACAGCTCGCAGGACCAGGTGGCACTCCCAACCAGGCTTTCTTCTTTCCACCTCCATTTCCATTTTTCAATCAGTTTGACCCGTCGCAACCTCCTCCTTTCCCTCCGATGCCTTACCCAGGAATGGGATTTCCCCCACCTCTCCTTCCAACAGGGTCCTCCAATCCTCCCGCGGCACATCCAAGTATGTACCCACCAGGCTTGCAACAATCGCTCGCATCAACTACCAATGTGAACCACGCTTTAGAACAAGCAGACAGCAGCAGGGAAGAGGGAGAAGTCAGCGAAGAGAATGAGGAAGCATCACGCCCGTCGAAACGTCATACTGTGCGCCAGGATTCTGAAATGGAAGAAGGAGAAGCTGCAAGCTCCGGGAGGAGCAGTGGATCACGTACCACTCCCTTTATTCTCATTTTTACGTGTTTGTTTTACTAACATTGCAAAGCATACAATCCTCCTCTATCAATGTCGGTAGACACTGGCGCAGTTCGTCATGTGATGCAGTCGCAAAAGCAGAACGCACACGCCGCAACAATAGCCACGCCTCAATACCAGAAATCAGCTGCACAGCTACGGATCCAAGCTCAAGGAGCGTTGCTCAGCTTGGCGCCTCACAACATTCGCTTCAACGAGTTGGTTGCAGAGGGCATAAACCCAGCGATCCTGAGACAGCTCTACGAGGAAGTTGGAATCAAGGTTGTCACGTCAACAGAACAAGCCCCGGTAAAGGTCGACTCCCGAGCTGCCAAGTCCACACGACCCATTGAAGCTCCTAAGCCACAGTTGGAGGCCAGCAGGACAGCAAATGAAAAGAATGTATCAGCGAAGACAAGCAAACCAGTCTCACAATATTCTAGCTCATCGGCTGTTGCCCCCTCCGGCCCAGATAAACCTCTGGAGAGAAAGGAACTTATTGCGCAAATGCTGGCCGCGAAAGCTGCGAAACTTGCACCTTCGCCAGGAGGTAGTGTAAAGTCCGCACCGAGCCCGCCGTCTAGCGCACTTCCCCCAGCGCCAAAGGAACCATCGGTGAAGGAAAAAAGCAAAGCTCAAACCGAGCTGGCAAGACAACGAATCGAGGAACTCAAGCGCAACGCTCTGCGAAAGACGCAACTTGCAGCCCAGCTAGACCAGGCCGCGGTCTCGTCGCCACCTCAATCTCAAGCTCCAGTCATTCAGCATCCGCTTCCCCTTCGACCTCCTGTGCCCGAGCTCAATCAGTCTGCTGGTCTCCCGGGACTTGTCATGACTGAATCAGCTCAAGAGCCAGATGAAAGTTCTGCTCCCGAACTCCCTCAAGATGTATCTGTCGACCCGACCCCAGTATCACGAACTTCACAGCGCAAACGACCTCGTGCATCCGACTTTGACGAAGCAGTCGCTCCTCCCAAAAAGCCTTTCACCCCAGTATCTGGATATTTCACCCCAACCGACAGACTTGTTATTGCAATTAGCGACGATGAATCCCTCTATGGGGATGATGAGGATGACAACATGGACCTAGACTTCAGCCCTGGAGAGGAACCAGCGCCATCGGGAAGCGCAACCGCTCCCGAGGCACCCATCCAGCCGCAGCCATCTATCACCAGGGGTTCTACATCAACCCCGCAGATCCCCTCCAGCCAGGGTGAACAAGGAGATATTAGACTCAAAGATATGGAAATCCAAGCCATGCGCCGCAAGATTGCGGAGTTAGAGCTACGACGGAAATCGAAACTTACTGCAAGTCGAACCCAGTCACCTCGCACTGTGGATGACTCTGGAACATCGTCATCTAGTGGACAACCCTTTGCTCTGGAGGTTGCGGTTGCAGACACCCCGATCGCACCTACCCCAGTCGCCACTCCTCCCACTTCTTGTCTCGCCGATCGCCCCGGTATAATCGATTCCTTCCGTGATTCATCCATCAGAGTCCTTGCTGCAATGGATAAGAAGCAGCTGGACAGCATGCAGTCTAAAATTTTGCGCATGAAACACATTGAATCTGAGCTTCCCGATTTGGACGCAGGAATTTCTTCGCCCGAGTCTCGCCTTTCTGATTGTCGTCAAGAGGCTGAGGCACTGATAGCAGACATCACCAAAGGAAGAGAAGGTCGATATCAACTCGTGGAGGAATTGAAACGCCTCAGCTATGAGATCAATGGATTATCATCAGAAGATTTGGATGAGCTTCATCGACAGGCCGAAATCAAGAAGCAACGTCTCCCTGAACCAGCACCGGAAGGTAAGGCCCAATTAGAACCTGGAAGGATTCAAGATGTATTGTCCAAGTTCTGACTCACTATTGCTATAGCTTCTCTATCATCTCCCCCTAACTTGAGTACTGTTATCCCGGATAACTCTGGCCATGAGCCAGAAGATACTCGTGGCTCCCAAGAACCTGCGCAAGAAACATCGACATCATACCAGACAGATTCTGCTGGGTCAGCCATGGATGAGTCTGACGACAGTAGCAGCGATGAATCTGGTTCGTCTAACGATGATGAACCTGCTAGAGCCCCCGTCCAAGCCGATATTCCCGAAAATGTCCCAGAGTTCTCAGAATCCATGGACATTGACTCTTCGGATGAATCCGAGTCGGCGAGCTCGCCATCTGCTGCAACCCACCTTGACCCAGAGCCTGCCGATCAGCACACAGTACAGCATGAAGATAACGACCGGTCCGGTCGTGAAATTTCGGCGGTATCTGATGCTTATGAGCCACCTGAGCCTGATGCTGATGCTCAATCCGAAGGCTCTAGCTACAGTCCTCCTCCGTTCAGTCCAGCTCCTCCATCTCCTCCAGCTTCCGTAGAAAACACAGCAACCTCAGCGCCTTCGATTGATATCACTCAAGCCGATGAAGCACTAACGAACGATCACCAGGTGCCAGACCAATTGCCCCGGTCGGACTCGCAAGTTGGCGTTCTTGGCGTATGAACACCATCTTTCCCAGAGGAAACATTGGGTGAACCATACTAACTCCTATCTAGACTCAGGAATCATCCGCCAGCTTGGGGAAGAGATTCACCCCATACAAAAGTCCTCTACGAAACTTCAAGGCTTATCGCTATCACCCCAATTATGCTGAAGACGTTTCGAGCGGTCACCGTTCGCTAACCTACAGTCATAACATTGATTCAATGCAATACCTGTGCCCCTACGAACTGGCCGGTGGTGTCTGTAATGACCGGTCCTGCGAGTGTCAGCATTTTCGGGACATGACTCTAAGCGGTGCGTCGACATGAACAACATGCAACACCTTTTCTCGCCCCGGAGTCCCCTTTGGCCTATTACACCTTTTGGTCTCCTTTCTTTTTGTCTGCCTGCATACTCCTGCCTCACTTTTCTTTCGTTCATCTTCTGCGGTTTTGCCCTGTTCGCATGCTGACTACAGAACCATTAACCTCAACAGACGACAAAATTCTCGTCCAAATGGGCGCCGTCCGAGAGGGTGAGACCGAAGAAGAAAAAGAAAACTATCTCGCTGGACTGAAAGAGATCATCAACGACATGCGACGTGATAAGGTGAAAGACTTTGACACTGTGGCCGCCGAAATAGCCGCATACCGTAGGCGCTTCCTCAAAGACCCGTCGCGAGTCTTGCCCCTGTAACTTTCCAAACCCCTTCATCGAAAGACTCTTCAGGAGTCAAGGTGAGAGCTGTCTTCCATTCGTCTTGTGAACGCCACCATCGAAGTCTTCAATGGCATGGTACATCGCTCCACATGGGACTCAGTCCTCCCAATGGCTATGACGCCATTTGTCTTTCTTTGCGATATGATATCCCTTGACACCGCCCCTCAGGGCACTCATGAAATACTTCCTCCGCATCATCAGCCGACCTGGCTATTTTTTTCGTTGCAACCGACCTCGTCTTTTTTTCTTCTTCTCCTTGTTCTAGGCTCTGAGCCTTTGCATTGTCCAAGGAACTCAGCGAAACGGCGTTGGGGCATCTGCATCTTCTCAGCTGCTGGTAGTTCAGCTCTGGGAGAGCTCTCTGGTTACCGCTAATCTGCACGGTTGTACGATTATAATTACGGCGGGTTTCTCAGAACATATTCATAGCACCAGTCAATATGTATTTTCTATCCAATCATTGGTCTCTCATTCTCAGTAGGATTTCAATCACTATGCCAAGTAACTTGGAACTTGCCCAGAGTATGCACACTTGTGAGTCAATCGACTGACCGTATGACCACATGTTAAGTTTATGATGAGCGGGTATGCATATCGTATATCGAAGATATGGAACCCAACCCAGTGACTCACTCCTCCTGCGACGCTAAAGAAATAAGACAAAAGAAATCACATTATTGAAAATGTACTAGCTTCTAACACCTCAGCTACAGTAGCGGAATCAGTACCCCCACATATCATCCCAGCCGCACACCTTATATGTAGGTACATAACTTATATCTTCAGCTTCACTAACCCAGCGGCCCGTAAGAAATGGGGGCAGAAAAGAAACAAAGAACAGCCCAGACCACGAACCCCAATAAAAAAACCCTCATGACGAGAATAGAATAGATTGCAAAGTAACCAGCCAAGGAACAATAAGCAGTGGATGATCCGGGCTGAAGGAGTGCTAAGTATAGTGCGGAATTTGGGGGCCGAGTTATAGTTCGTGCGACCGTTTCACACGATATCGACGATAATAATAGTAATGGTATATGGGTGAATGGCTGGATTAGCTTTTTTTTTTCTTACTGGTAATAATAGCGATATCTCAAAATATTAATATTGAAATATTGAAATTGTTGATGGTTTATTTGTATGCAGTTCCGATCTATAACCTCCGGTCTATAGTAGCGCGGGACCCGTCTGTGAGTCAGGCCAGGACAAGGCAGAATAGCGGAGCCAAGAGAAAGAGACTCTGGTTTACCATTTCCCCCCTGCTCGCAAGAGAAAAGGCGCGCCATGGTTCGGGAAGGTTTCTTGTCTAACGCGTTTGAATCATATTGTAGTGTAGTATTCTGGAGTATGGGGAGTTCCCGCGCGCCCGAGTCGCCCGAAAGCGAGGGGCACAGGGTCGCTTAGAAAACAGCCGAGGAGCATGACATTAGACGGGTAGTGGGGAGCAAAATGACAAGCAGAATCAAAAGTAGTCTCCGCGGAAGGAACAAGCGCGTAGCCAAGCCCCAGACCCTTCGGGGCGCACAGTCCACCCAGCCAGCACAGCCTCAATGGGACAACTACGACATCACCATATGGAATGATAAGGTGAACAACTAATAAGGAACAAGTCAGATCTAGAAAGGTCGTCAAGGCTGGAGGCTGAGGCTGAGGCAGACAGAAGAAAGGGCGGAGAGGGGGCCAGGACACGGAGACTCCGCCATAGTTCAGTGAGAGCACGACCGCTTCTTTAGTATGGGCCATAGGGCTGTTTGCTGCAGATGGTAGGCCCAAGGAGCGGTAACCCAAGAGGGTACCCGGGCGCAGGTCTAGGGCTGGGACACCCTGGCGTGCATGACGCCCAGAACCGGGCTCCAGTTTCGGGGAGCCGCAAGGTACTTTCTAACCAACCATAAAATTGATCAGCTGGGTAAATTCATTTTACGTACCCTTGCCCGGGTTGAGGCTTTGAACAGGGGTTTGCATATTTCCCTGGTGAAGATCACAGGCGCTACTATGACTACATTCTACATGGCGCAGTCGGGGACCGAGTAGAGGAATAGTAGAGATTACAGAGAAACGGTGAGTAGGAAATAGAGTAATAATAAGAAGAGGATAGATTCTAAATATGTCATATAATCAACAGGTAATAAATAGCAAAAAAAACATCCAAGGCATACAGGGATCCAGCCCCATACGCTAAACCAAATCCAGCCAAGTATACACTCTATCCCCAAACAAAATACACCTGGTATATGCTGACGCTGTGAACATAGGAACCATTCCCATAAGCAGAGATGCATGAACAGAAATAGAAACAGAGATATAGAAAATATTGGAAACACTGGCGCGAGAGTCAGCTCCCATAAAACAAGCCAGTGGAGAGGGATATGCTCACCATTGTAATCATAGTCATCAATCCTTGTAGAATGCAGCAATCTCACTTGACATTGGTGCAGCTCGAGCAAGCAACGTGGTCGCATTCAATGCATTTGGGCTGAACGTTGTAGATCTTAGGTCCATCACCGCAGTTGCAACAGATGTACATGTACGTTGCACCGTGGACTCGTGCACCCGCTAGTGAAGACGACGACATGTCTCTGTCCTCTGCGCGGAGTAACGGCCGGACACCAGGTAGTTCTGGTACTTGAGGGAGAATAGCCCTGGTGTTGATGGTTCCTGTGTGAGGAGAGTCCATGTGTACGGCGGCTGGGTATGGTGATGTGATGTCGCAGCTGTGCGAGTGGGAGTGGGAGTGCGAGTGGGAGGACATGTTCAAGTCCATGTTGATGCTGTCTGAGATCTTCTCTTCAGTGCAGCGAGCACAGCGGCGAACTCCACACTGAATGCAGGAGTCGTAGAGAGAGGAGTTGTGAGGGCCGAAGTTGCAGCCACAGCAGTACCATAAAGAAGCCATGATGGTTATAGGCTTGGTGGTTTGGATGTTGATTAAAGACAGATTGGATTGCTTCGGGCTTTGGGAACTTCGAGGATGCAAGTGGGCTCTATATAGTAGAGCGAGATGTATGGCTTGGATCGTTGGAGTTATACAAGACTTGGTTTGGATGGATTGAGTTTGAGGATAAATTAGATTTCAAGCCTGGGAACGAAGGAACTATATAGGATTCTGACGTGAAGAATGGAATACTTAAGGTATCAATTAGCAGCGCAAGGCAGTGTCCAGCAATAGTCAACAGCCCCAGGCAGCCTTGTCGCCGTATTAGGAAAGGTGGATTAGGGGAGAAAGGGCGTTAACCCGGGGCAGTCATATTTTGGGGCCATGGGTGAGAGGCTGTCTAGTTGCACATCATCCGGGGTATGGGTATTCCCAAAAGATCGCCCGAGTGGCTTAGTGTAAGATTCCCGGGCTGCGATTTGCCCAAAGTCAGCCTGTGCCTAGATACCGGGAGAGGAAGTGAATCATAGATGCCCGGCGTTTTGACTCAACGGGTCCCGCTGCATCCACTTCAGGGCTAAGCAAAGGCTTGCACACCGTCTCCCATAGGCACTCTTACCCGGGAGAAACTATGAGCTTCGGGGCAATCTGGCTGACTCGGCGGAGCCGAAATAACGGTCTACAATCGTCCGTCTAGAATTCGGCTTGCTTCGATGCCTTGTTCTCGTGTGCTTCAATTGGTGCTGTTCATTCCCCACCGCTCCTGTTTTCCCAGGCAGCGCTTGCGCCAAAAGTGAAAAGAGTCATAGTCGAGTCAGGTGCTCCGCTAAGCCCTCTGTTGCCTAAGGACATCTCCAAGCTCTAACATGCCTTCCATATCGTTTCATTGGCTTTTGGAGGTGTTCCTGATGACACTTCGAGATTACGAAGCAACATGCCGTGAAACGTCCACGGGTCAAGGCTGATTTTTAATTCCAAAATCTCACTTCACCATGTGCACTCTGACCTCATAATGGTACTATATTGTCTATTTCCAGAGCGGGTGATCCGACATTCAGCCATTCAGCTATATCTGACGGTCGCAGCTGGGATCTGAACAAGTGAGAGTGAGTAATCGGTACACCGGCATCTACGAGGTTCAAGTCTTGAAGTACAGAGAGAAGGAAATGCAAGGGTAAACGGATGTCCCTCGAACCATGGGTCTACTTGAGCCGCCCTGGATTTGCAACGATTACGTCAGATGTTTGCACTGTTTGTGAGTTACCTTTCCTGATATCCAACTCCGGCCGGGCCTATCTTGCGCTTACATATGTTATTGTATCGAATATTCGATGGCGTCTCAAGCGCAGAAGCGCGTGAATGTCGTGGTATCCAGGCTCATTCCGCCCGTGTTACTCGGCGCAACCACCTACGCTTCTTACGCCATCACGAAACCATTATGCAGTGAGTAACACGCTTGACAGCTGCCTGGAGCCGAACGAGAGAAAGCTAACGGTGCGGACCCAAGTCGACTACTTAATACACCCGTTATCGTTCTATAATGGAGGCCCGCGAGTCGGCGCTGGCGCTGCGATTCTCGCGATCTACTGGGTCCTCCTGATTCCGATGGTTGTCACTTATTTACATCTCTATTACCACGTGCTATGGAACCCCGGTTACCTGCCGCTAAGTGCGGAGCGAATACAAGGAGATGAAAGGGAGAAGAACCCGAAGCGTTCCCATCCGAAGCGCCGCCGTCGGAGGGGCAGCTCGCGCAAAGCCCCGGACCCTGAGAAACCGCTGCAACCCGAGGACGATGCGGAGAGAGGGGTGCTTGCCAACGCTGGAAGCGATGCAACCCAGCCAAGCTTTTCTAATCTGGAAAAGTTCTACACAAAAGACATTTTCGTTTGTCAGGATGATGGCCGGCCGCCGTGGTGTACAACATGCTGCACATTCAAACCGGACAGGTCGCACCACTGCCGTGAACTGGGTCGCTGTGTGCGAAAAATGGATCATTTCTGCCCTTGGTAACATGCTTTTTTGCGATGAAAATTGAATTTTTGCTGACTTACTGTAGGGTTGGAGGTGTGGTCTCGGAAACATCCTTCAAATTATTCATTCAATTCGTCTTTTACACTTGTGTGTACTGTACCTTTACTCTCATTGTGTCTGCCTATTTCACGGCAGAGATACGACGCCAGGTAGGCAACATACGGGATAAATTATGCCGCCTGGTCTTACGCTAATATTTTCCAGACCGGAGGAGCAAACCCTCATTGGTGTGTTTGCATCGGACTGTAAGTCGCATTGAAATCCACTCTTAGGATTCAACAATACTAACGTAGCCTAGGGCTGGTCTATTTGGCTTCTTCACAGCAGGAATGACCCTCAGTTCCGTTCAAATGGCCATGCTCAACGTTACAACAATCGAAAACCTAAACCGCCGCTCAGTCGTCTGGACCCTAGCCGTCCGAGTCCCAGAACACCTAACCGACAGACTTTGGACAACAGACTCCCCTTGGGCCCCGACATTTCGCATGGTATCCTACCCCCCCGCAATCCCTTCAACACCAGACAGACCGCAAACAGACCCATCCACCGGAGAAAAGCACGTCTTCGCAATTCTCCACACCCTCCCAGGTGAAAACCCTTTCGACCTCGGCAGCCCATTCAAAAACCTCCAACAGGTCATGGGATACAGTATCACCGATTGGCTCCTCCCAATCAAGCAAAGCCCCTGCGCAGCCCACAGCAGCATGGAGAGCGATTTCGCTCTGGGACCTGTTGTCACCCGATTGAAGCAGGAGGCCGGTCTCATTCCGTATGAGCATGGAAATGGCGCTGCTGCGTAGGGCTGAGACTTCTTTTTTTTTTTCATTTTCGGTCAGCTTAGCGCGTGGTTTGCATTTGCGTATTCTTATTTTAATTGGTGGGACACTTGTCACCGCTGTATTCTTAGACCATGGTACATTCATTGGCCTATATTATGCATATCATTGGCCTCTCTTTGCATTGGCATGGATCCAGCCATTTAGGGCTGAATGTTCCTTGTTGTCGCTATATCCAGGTGCATATGTATACTAGATAAGATACCTGGCGATCTCCGGGCATTGATATTCCCGGTTCTCTGAGTGCCAAGACATATCCCACACGAACCTCATTGGGACTAGCGTGGTGCCTCAACATTGTGGATGAATAGCAGCTCCTATTTGCCGCCTAATGGTAGAGGGCTAAATAAATTGCTGCCCATAGTTAGTGAACTATGCCTCTTCATTATGTGCTGAGCAAATGTTCCAGCCTGTCCCTCGATCAACAATACCATGATCTCACTGGACCATGAAGAATTTTCCATTGCAATTATGCATAAGTTAAACCTCGGCCCACCACATTAGATATTTACGGACAAAAGTACTACTCACAGAATAAACAATGCAGGCCAGTGTCTATGCCCTTTTCGGTATACTCCGAGCAAGTTTGCCACTGCTATTGTACCTGTCTTCGGTTCCGTGATGTCCAAGACAGACGAGAAGGTAGGCAACAGGACTCTCGACGCCATTAACACTATAAGTCAAGTGCTATAGTGCAAGTTTTCAGATCATCCTGAAATTTCTTCCTGGCTATCATCGCGTCCATTTCTCAACAGACGGACGAAAAGTCGGCCTTGGGACAACTATCTAACCGCTCCCTGAAACCGCTCCACTTTTCCTGTGGCGCTCTGCACTTGGAATTTAATGGAACTGCTTATAAATTATCAGGAGATAACCTTGGAATCTTGGTTCTGAACACAAAATGTGCACATAAGTCGTTTTAAAGTATAAGTATCGCATCACATAATTTATCCATAGTCCTAATTCTTCCCAAACTCTTTGTATAGGACATAATTACCACACAAACGTCAAGCTTATCCAAGATGTCTTCCACTCCACGACTTGAGTGCGCCGATGTCGACGCCAGTCCTCTGGGCCAACCCCTGCAATTTGAATTTTCCGGCCGCAGTGCACCAAACCGTTTCCTGAAGGGTGCTATGAGTGAGCGTCTCGCCTCATTCTCTCTCAAAGATGTCAATGCACGTGGTATCCCTTCAGCCGAACTGATCCAAGCCTACAAGAGCTGGGGCGAAGGCCAAATAGGAATCAACCTGACAGGAAATGTGATGATCGACCCCGGCCACCTAGAAGCAGCCGGAAACCCAGTGATTCCGCAAAAGGCAGAGTTCTCCGGCGAGCGGTTCGACCGTTTCAAGGACCTCGCCACAGCCGGAAAGGCCAAGGGCTGTCTCATCATTGCCCAGGTTGGACACCCTGGTCGTCAGACTCCCGAGTACCTGCAGCCGAACCCAATCAGTGCCAGTGATGTGCAGCTGAAGGCTGATACGATGGGTTCATTTGCTAAGCCCCGTGCTGCTACCGAAGAGGACATTGCCAATGTCATTGACGGCTTTGCTCATGCTGCAGAATACCTTGATAAGGCTGGCTTCGATGGTATCCAGCTGCACGGTGCTCATGGATATCTTCTTAGCCAGTTCTTGTCTCCTACTACTAACCTCCGAACTGATAAGTACGGCGGTGACTTGAAGAACCGTATGCGGTTGATCTTGGAGGTTAGAGATGAGATCGCGAAGAGAGTTCGTAAGGACTTTGTTGTCGGTATCAAGATCAATAGTGTTGAGTTCCAGGCGAAGGGCTTCCAGCCTGATGAGGCCAAGGAGCTTTGCCAGGCTCTTGAGGAACATGCTTTCGACTTTGTCGAGTTGTCTGGTGGCACTTATGAGAACTGGCCCTTGGCTAACCAGAAGCGGGAGTCGACCATCGAGCGGGAAGCAGTAAGTTCCTTCCCCATTCGTCTATAAAGATTCGAACCATCTAAAGAGCTATCCTAATGTCAACCAGTTCTTTTTGGAATTCGCCAAGCTCATCGTCCCTGCTTTGAGCAAGACAAAGACCTACGTGACAGGTGGTCTGAAGACTGTCGAGGGCATGGTCAAAGCGCTCAACACAGTCGACGGAGTCGGTATTGGCCGCGCTCTCTGCCAAGAGCCAAACCTTTGCGCACATATCCTGTCCGGACAGGTTAAAGGTGCCCTGCTTCAAAAGCTGAACATGTTGGACTTTGGCGCCACAGCTGGTGCGGCCGGTCTTCAGATCACGCAGATGGGCAATGGATTGCAGCCCATCGACCTCTCCAAGGAGGAGAATGTGGCAAAACTCTTTGCTACCCTGGGTGCCTGGGCTGCTGCCAGAAAGGAGAACTTGGAGATGTATCAGTTCCCTGTTCTGCCTGATTATAGTGTTCCCTACTCCATTGTGGTCCTCTGATAGCCTTGTTTGTACTATAAGGATTTAGATTTAGATGACTACTACGAGGGGGAATCAATGACGTGTAAATATCTCATCTGCAATTTTCATTCAATATGCAGACCGATATTCCTACACATACATCCATCTTAACTTCCAAGGCATGAAAGCCGCCAAATGGTATAGAAGTACATGTACATTCTCTAACCCGTTCCCTTCCTGTTCAATCCCAGCCCGCCAGTAATCAACCAAAGTAATAGAAGCACCCTATGAAGTGATTCGGAAGTATAATACAAATTTAAATGAAATCGCCACCCCTCAACCAGTGGAAGTCTGCGTAAACTCCTTATCGACCCGAATCTCAGACAACGGAATCTGATCCTCATCAGAGCGCCTCCCAACAATCTTCTGACCCTGAACCCGAGTGAAAGTTTTCGTCCGATCATAGCTCGGTCTAAGCGCAGCATCCATACGATTCTGCTCAGACAACGAGTCTGATTCATCGGGTAAATGATAGAAAGAATGGCGATGCGAATGCTTGGAGTGCTGAATGATAGCGGCGGTACTCTCTACTGTTTGTGAAGGTTCAGTGGCGCCGTTTGTGGTTTTTGTCCTTGTTCCGTTTGTGCTTCTAAAAAGGGCCACAACGCTACCGTTGATACCCAGGATGCGTGCTATGAAGCGCAGAGCGGGGCGGAGGGTTGGGAGGTTTGCTGAGATGATACCCGCTGACATTTCGATGGCTGTCCAGCCGACTGTTGGGGCAAGGGTGTAGGAGGAATCTAGGGCGCTGTAGCTGAATAGGACTGAGAAGCGGTAGGCGGAGGCGAAGACGACGCTGGGGAGGTTAGATTTGGGGGGTTCTTTTTTTGGGATTGGAAAAACTAGTGACTTACAAAAATCCCAAGCTGAATGCGATCAACACGGCTATCTTTTCTGAGGTTCGAAGTTGTAGTTTCCATACTTGTGGGATCGGAAGTAGGAGAATGGCGACGTCGGTTGCGATCGTTGAGACGGCGTTTGCGATCCATGTGCTAACTTGGTTGATGCATCGCCCTGGAATATCGGGATACCATAGCTTCTGGACGGGGACACAAATGAAGATGAAAAGGAAGGTAATGCAGATAACCCAAAGGATGACGAAGGTTCCGATGATGTATGCCCATGTCTTGAAGTATGGGAAGCGGAAGATCCGATAGTACATAAGCAGAATGCTCAATTTGGTCCAAACGAGATTGAACACATAGAGAACCTCGGCAGCGACAAGGTACTTTGCAATCATGACCACGTTTTCCATTGGTACCTGAGTACCTGCGTGAAGTCCCATGCCCTTCTTGACCATGGTGTAGATGAACCCAACGACAATGAAATTCCATAGCTTTCCGACTGTCAGCATTCATGCGATTGAGACCGGAGTGGGGGATTGAGCGAACCATAGAAAAGATGATTGTATAGTCATCCCACCATAACTTTTGACCTCGTTCATAACGAGCGAGTAGTCGAAGACAAACAGTCACAAATGCCAGCACCGTGACCGAAGCCACAGTAGCTATGGTCCATGGCTGCAGACTGCCCTGATTGCTTTCCATGACGCGAGGAAAGTTTGCAGTAGAACAAGCTCGGCAAATGCTGGGAGGCAATAAAATTTAATATAGACTGAGTTTATTGGTCTCCAATCTCGTTGGGGGCCACGGTATATGGTCCCTGGGGTCTGTCTTGATAATCGGACGCTAAAAAGTCCCTTGCATGTTGAGGTAGATACATAATTTTTTCTCTGCAGGATCATTTTTCTTGTAGATCACGGCATGAACTCGGCATGAAATCGTATTGTAAATGGCTCCAGGAATCGTACTTTTGACACTGACAAGCTCGGCGTCTCAGGTTTGAACCTTATTAGCAGCTGTCAACCAATACCCGAACCTCCCGGTTGGGCATTCATTCCCTTTTTCTCAGCATTGATTATAAGTTCAGGAACCGAGGACCAATAGTCAACGACGCTGTGCCAAAACGATTATCCACATGGCGTTGTGTAGGGCGTGTAACCCCTAAGCTGGATTTGAAAGGGGGCGTTTTGGCGAAAAAAAATATGCAAACTCCACACCTTAGCACCATCTAAACAGAAGCAGCCAATTTCACCAAAATTACAAGAATTTGACCCACACCATCAAATCAAAGACCGTCCAGCCGGGCCGATGTCATATCATCCTCTTGGCATGATTCTCAAACGTGGTAGCAAATACCTTAATACTTTAATTGGAATCAAAACCATGGTTCATTGAACGGTTTTATCTACTATCTTCATCGACTCTTCGCAGTAGCGGAACCGTACTTCTTGACCATAGCCAACAGGGCCTCATTTACCTCCTTGGGGTTGGTAGCATTGAGATAATGCGCACCCCCCTCAATCATCACAAGTTTAGCATCCACAGACGAGGTGAAACGTTTAATGTGCTCCGCCGGCACGATCGTCGAGAACGGAACATCTTCGGTACCCTGATCGATTTGTCAATGCGCAGATCTTCCACAACGGGTAATGCAAGACTCACCTGTAGCCAATGAACAGGACATTTGATATCACCGATCCGGAGCAGCAGTCCGTCTCTCTCTAGCAGACAATTGAGCGCCATGCGGACCTTTTTCCGGCCCTCATCGCCCTTGTATACATCCTTCAAAGTTTGAGTCCAGAATGCAGATCGCTCAGCGGTGGCAGCGGCACCGAAGCCAATTCCACCCACCAATCCACACCAGACATCATCCACAACAAAATCGGGTGTAGCCGAGGGACTAGTCCACTTCTCGTAAAATACCGTGAGATTCGCAGCGGGGTCCCAGCAGTTCTTGGAGCGCGATTCCTGAGATTCATAATCCATGGAGGTTCCAAGAGGCATCAGACCGAGTATCTAGTAATATGCAAGGTTAATTCTATCTGAGCTTTAAGTCAAACGGCTGTGCATGAGCAGGGGCACCTACCCTGTCCGGGGCCAGAAGCGCCATTCTAGTCACGATCCACCCGCCCTGGCTTGTGCCCAGCACGAAGGATTTCTGAATCCCAAAGTGGTCCATGACCTGCAAGGCCATGTGGGCGGAATCCCAGTACGTAAAGTGCTCAGAAGGGGAACTGGTCGAGCCATGTCCTAGCGGCTCGATGGCAAGCAGGTTCATGGCATCGTTCAGGGCGTCGTTGTTGAACTGTTCATAGTACAGAGACACGGTCATGCACATCGAATTAATCAGCACGCATGTTGGCTTGGTGGGATCGTATTGGCCCTTGGCGAAGGCGTAGCCGGCCTTGACGCCGCCTAGGTGGGGGACGGTGATTGTTTGAGTGGCAGCCATTTCTGTAATAGTCAATAGTTCGATAGAACTTGAGATGAATGGTTTGCGATTTTATCTCACTTCTGGGGGAAGATATGCCGCTTTACCTCGGAGGTTAGCCGAGTTTGCCCCTGGATTTCACTACGAAGTTATGCCTAACCCCACTAATACCGATATGTACGTATTTCTCGAATTGTGTGAATCCCGGTAAGGTTCCAGTAGTGCACGGAGATGGCTCGGTTTTCGCACTAAATCGGAGTTTGATCTCCAAATGACCGTTTTGTGGAGTCTTTTTGGGTTATTGGCCTCGTTCTCGTAGGATCAACAATAACCCCGACGTGTGGGTCGCTCTAAACTCAGTAGAGTTAAAGTAAAGCTGCCAGCCGTGTCAGTTGACTGCCATTTTCTGAGACATTATTGGCATCTGCCAGAAAGCGAACACCCGGAACAAAAGCAAAGCTATCTGCAGTAGTGGGGAAAAACGCTAAGAAAATGAGACGAAGAATGGCAATGGCAAAGTCTGTGGCCTGATGCATGAGATGAGCATTGTTTGTAGACCTGTAATTATCCTGACACCTTCAAGTTTACTTATGGAGATGTGATGTGCCGGTGATGTATTGTTGACTTGAAAGGAAGGTGGAGGGCGAATGGAGAACTTGTTTTGACGGCAATGGTCATCTTGATACCTTCCTCTCTTGGCGTTCTAATTGGTGCCTGGGCCTTGTTTCGCGTTAGCTAAGCAAACCCCTAAGCAGAGATCCATGGATCACTCCAGTTGTTTATATACTCTGGTTACTTTACTTTCCATGTAGAGTGAGAGCTCCTATGATGAGCATGTGGACCCTACAGCATCTGCCTCTGATAATCTCGGTTGGGACTAATTCAGTCATCATATTTCATGCGTATTAATTGATGAAAATCCATGCACTTCTTGGCAATGTTAATTCGCCGAGCATCGGAAGTCTCCTGAATACATAACTTTTCTCGCAAAGTCCGAATAACGTATCTCCCGGTGAAGTGGCCACCCCAAAACACCATACTAATTGGGATATATTACAATTTCATATCGCAACAACGGTAGTCTATATGGTCTATAGCGACTTTTGCCTCGTAGCACAATACTTTTTAGGTGATATCTAGATTCTTTGGGGTTTTTAGAAGATATTTATATTTCTGGCCTCACAGCAACGTAGTTCTCAATGGTCTGATGATGCAGCCTATCGATTTCCTTGAACTTGAATGTAGGGTTGAACAGTCTTACCAGTAGCTACCAAGAAGCAATAAAATACAATAAAACGGGGTTGTTGAGTGATCAAGTTGAAATTTATTCTATCTAGTATGGTGTTTTGGGAGTGGCCACTCGACTGGGAAATACTTTAGTTCAAGGCGGCCTCGTTGGCAAGGATTGCTCCTTGCCAACAGCAAGCAAGCAAGCAGAGGACACCTGAGCCTCCAGGCATGTATGTCCTGACACATGCCTCTGTTTCTAGACTTGATCGCGCGCAAAATCTCAGATACAAAAGCATGTCGTGTTTCAGTCTGAAAACATAGTGATATACGCACCTTCTATCAAGTTCAACTTCACTCGAAACATGTTTAGTGATCCATTGTCTTGCCTCTCATACATCTTTAAGGGGTCGCTAGCCTCCAAGGGTGGTCGCAGAACTTTCTTTGAAGCAGCCGGGACACGGAGAGCTCTTTCTGCTGACAGTTTGAAGCTCTTTGGAGCCGAGTTCCGACGCAAAGATAGGTTGGTATAGTCTATTATAGAAAATTGTACCTCCTAGGATTTGACAAGGGGACAAACACCCCAACCTTGGGATCTTCATATTTTGCTAAACATGTTAGAATAGATTACATCTACACTTGTATTTATTTTTTTGACTTCGCTTACTGATTTTCTTCTCCTCTGGAGGCTTCCACCCATTCAGGGGAGCGTCTCTAATTGCCATGCTTTTTGATGTTGCTAAACAAGTAATATAACCTTGCATCTGTCGTAAGAAAGTAAGATCTATAGAGACGAGGTCTTACAACCACTCAAATAGCATCCATCAAATAGTATCCATCAAATAGCATCCATCAAATAACACCCATCAAATAACACCCTTCCTTCAATCCAACTTAACAGCAACAACCTGCCCACCATAAGTAAAGCCCCAAACCGTCCCACCCCTCGTAGTAACGTAAGCAACCCTCCCACCAGCAGCAATCTGCACAGAAGTAGGCCCAACAAGATCCAAACTATCCCCACCACCAGCAAAAACACTAACCGTCCCAGCAGGCGTAACCCTAGCAAGAGCATTTGTCGGTTGCGCGATATACGCATTCCCATCAGCATCAATAAAAAAGTCATCCCAGTCAGAACCACTAGTTATAGCATCCAACCGCGCAATAATCTGCACACGACCAAATCTCATGCCATCATCGCTAACAGGGATTTTGGCGAAGATGTTCAACGCACTATTTGTAAAGTACACATATTCACCAACGATCTTTAACCCATTTATTCCAATGGGCATTGAAGCATTGCTCGGGGCGGCTAGTGCGGAATTCGCGAATACAACTTCCGACAGTCCGGTGATTGTATCAACTCGGAACAAGGAACCAAGTCTTGAGTCGGCGACAAGGACAATATAGGGCCGGGTAGGAAGGGAAGCCATGCCATTTAACATTTCGGCGTCAGGGATATACGCCACGATATCCACAACTGGCCTTGCAGCATCGTCGCTGAAATCGATTGTGTACAGTGTCTCATTATCGTAGTGATATGAACCGCGGACGCCGCCTACAATGACGAATTTGTCGGTGTCTATAGCTGTGATACCGCAGATTGCAGTGGCGCCTGGGAGGGCGGTGACTAGCTTGGCTTCTGGGTTTGGGGTTGATGGGTTGAGTGTGTAGAGGCTTCCGTTGTTGAATGTCGTCAGGAGGAGGTGGCCGTTAGGCCGGAGGGCGCTGTTTTCGATGGCGATTGGGCTGGTGAAGTTGTATAGTTGGGTTGTTATTTGGGCCATTGTTGTGCCGGCCAGGACGGTCAGGCTTAACAGGAATTGGGGACGCATTATGGTGATGTGAGCTCTCTTATTGCAGTAAACAATAGCGTTGATTTGAAGTGGGATATGATGATTTTGTTTATATTGTCTTTCTTTATCTCGGAGATAGGAATGATCGGCATGGAGCCAAGACGGGATGCTTTATATGGGAGGCTCCAACAGGAAATCTGCACCGAGGTATGGAAAAATGTATTCTAGCTCGATATGCTGGAAAGCCGTGGTCGGTTTGCTCGAGGCAAGTAGTTCCGCCATTTTGTAATAATGTTAGTATTTTATTAACCACCGAAAACTTAGACTAAAACACATCATGAAAGATGCCTCCACAACAGATGTTTGATATCCTGCAACCGTAGCTTGATTGAAATAAGTATGATAATAAGAAAAGAAAACCTATTTGATGGACCAAATCTATAAAAGAAAAGTCTAAGACAACCAGACTGACACACCGTCTTTCCTCATCCATCATTTACCCCCCAGCAAAATAGCTGATATAGCACTGGCCAGTGGATATGGATGGAAATGAGGCACAGATAACGAGAGTAAATAGTACATGGATATGAGGAGATAAAGAACGAGGGTATCATGAAGGTAAGTGAATAACTCCAATAGGCCACACCAGAAGATGAGAAGAAATGAGGGAAAGAGAGAAAGAAAAGAGGAAAGAAGGTATCAAGTGAAGGGTGAACAGTAAAGGGGAGGAGAGACCATACAGTCGTAAATCTCCAGATCAAAAGGCAAAGACAGAAAAGTGGGACGAATACCCACAACAAGAATAAGGATTCACGCGGGGGAATAAAGAGACAAAACCGAGGGCGTATATCATTCATTAGAAATTAGATAACGTCGAAGATCGGATCAAATTTTCGAAGGGCAACAGTAGCCATCGGGGGCTATAAGACCTCTCGTACACACAAGATGAACAGAGAAAGAAAGAGGAAATAGAAGAAGAAAGCATTGATAGACATTATTGACACCGATCTGCGCCTTGAGTTGAAAAGAACTGCAATCAAGCCTTCAGACCGAACGCCTTCCTGAGCATAGGGAATCGCTTCTTCCGCCCAGAGCCGGCAATCACAACATCGCGTGCAGAAGGACCATGGTCGTCGGGATTCGTGATCTCCGAAGTACTGTCTTTGTGTGAATCGGTCCTGCTCTCGCGCCGAATTGGCCCGGGCTCCTTGCCAATTGGAGATGCACCACGTGCATCGTCGCCGTTGACAATGGCAGTCCCATTGTGCACGGGTGCAGCGTTGATTTGCGGCTCGTTGGAGTTCTCGGTTCGTTGAGATGACGACGGAGCAATAGCGCTCTGCTCTGGTGCTGACTGGAGGGATTCTTCGTCCGCTGGGTCAGGGCGGAGGGGCCAAGACGGGCCTGTGGTGTTTTGTTTGGAGCTCCTCTTCACAAGTTTGGAGTGATGTGGTTGTTCAGGGCTTCCGGCTGTCACAGTTGTTACCGTGCTGCCATGGGTTCCGTTCACAACATTATCTTCCCGCAATTGATCGCGTTCCAGGCGCGATCGCTCTAGATGTGTATCTCGTCGTGACGGACTTTCGACATCAGCCTTGCGGATTCTGTGTTCGACGTTCTTGTCTTTTTTGAGACCAAGTCGCGTGAGAAGACCTGGCTTTCGTCCACGTGGAGGTGACAGGAGAAATTCTTCCAGATCTCTTTGTGACATTCCGCGTTGTTTGGCGACAGCGGCCATCCCGGACATGCTCTGCGGTTCATTTCTACCACGAGATCCGGGAGGAGTAAGAATCGACTTGGGTGCAGCAGCTGGCTGTGTCTGTTGTCGGTGGCCTTCCTCTGAGCTATCGTCCAGCTCTGTTGAGTCACCATCATCGGCACCTTGGCGACGGGGGATACCGCGGACCGGGCGCATGGTCTTAGTACCAGGCTCTTCCTCGTCGCTCGATTCGAATCGGCTGTGGAAAGTCCGCGCGCGAGCTTCGTCTTCCTCACCATCCGAATCCACAAAACGGGTAGAGCCGGCGGCCTTGGGAGGCTGTTTCGAGACCTTCGCCCTGGGTGCTTTCTTGTTCGTCGAGAAGAACGAGTACCGCTCGTTTCCAGCACCTGTTCCTCGGAGAGTCTTGCGCATCGTACCCGTACCATTGGACGAGGCGGCTGACATAGGCCGGTGGTCAATGGGCGACTCATTTCGCTCAACTGGGGCAGCACCGTTTCTCATGGTTCGTCGCATCGGATGTGCGCTATTTCCACGAGGCGAAGTACGCGTGAAGCTGTTTGAAGAATCACTTCCACTGGACATCGTTCGGCGAGGCGTAGGTCGTGGCTTCTGGAATGCAGGGCCAAGAGACATGGGACGTGTTCTGCTATTGCCATCCCGTGGAGAACTCTCATTGCTCGGCCAACGAGGATCTTGCACACGAGATGTTGGACCAACTGCCATAGACAGAGGGCGTTGTTTCCCGTTGGGTTGAGTTCCGATAGTTTCATTTTGAGGGGCATGGAAGTTGGTGTTAATTGGCAGCGGTGGGTAGGCGGACTCAAGATTGCGAGCCTTGACTGGCGAGATAGGGGATTCTTCTCCCTCTCGGTTGACCGAGCCCTGGGTTGGAGTGGCGGAGCGCACCTCTTCAGCCTGCTCAGGCACATCGCGCGACTGGGTGTCCACGATGGCAGTTCTATCCAAAGCCTTCGGTGTTGCGTCACGACTCTCGCTCGCGGTGTCCGAAGCCGATACCGACCTAGGAGCTGATCGGCTGTCGACAATAGCATTAATCGACCCAAATCCATCGCCGTCAATGTCCTCAGCTGCATCGCTATAAACACTATCTCCAGACTCCCCTTCAGTATCCACGTCGTCCAAATTTGGAACGGCGCTTGCAATAACAGCTTGAGCATTGGTCTTCTTTGCTGTGGACTTAGGATTGCGGTCTGAGTTTCCAGGCGGGAACCCGCCTGGAATCTTGTACTGATCCATGCTGGATCTTTGCTGCTCAAGACTTCGCTTTGGGTCGTCTAGAGGGGGCGTAGCTGGTTCGATAGCAATATCAGGCACAGAAAGATCAGAATTCATACTGGAATACGGCTTTCTCTCGGTGATTCCAATTGGCTTCGACTCCCTGTCCGCACCTGAGCCGGTGCCCACAGTAGCACCATTGACGGACATTTGCTCCAAAGTACTGACATCGCGGGGTTTGAAGTATCCATGATCTTGAGTTTTGGAGAGCATGTTCCCGATGGCATGGTCGTTTGATAGTGCCACAGGCGGAGCCGCAGCCTCGTTATCAGAGGAAGTGGATTCGTTGTCACTAAAATCTGGAATAGGCGATCTCTGGAGACCGCCCTTTCGGTTGCCTCTTACACTACCGAACGATGGAAGAGCTTGTCGGGGCTTGATGACCGCATTGAAGCCGTCGTCATGGGTAGCAGGGTCTGACTTCTTCTTGCCAAAGAAACTCACGCGATTCTTGGCTTTGCCGCCCGGTGGTGAATCAGGTGTATAGTCCTCTGGTGAGGTAGGAGGGCTAGCTGCCACACCTACAATCTCAGCCTCATCATCAAAGCTGACCTTGGGGGCCTTCTTCTTCGTACCAAAGCGAGACCCTTCATCCGATGCCACCGAGGTACCGCCATCAGACAGCTCGCTAGCTGCGGGAGCTCGATTCGTTGTACTGAGATTCCTTTCTGGGGATAGAGAACTACCTCGATGGTGCTTTAAGGCGGACTTGAACGGAGATACCGAGCGGGGAGGGGGTTGGTGAATTTGATTTCCCTCATCGGCCACGGATAGTAGTTGCGAGAAACGAGCGCGACCCGGGCTATTCGACTGACGGATGTGTGGCGCATGTCCAGCTTTCTCTGGGACTGCTTCGAGGTGATCGGTCGTTGGTGACGCACTCGTCATGCGATTTCTTCCCTGCCTAACTTGAGTTTCAACAGTTTCTTCCGTAGGCTCCGTCTCTTCTCGGACTGTCGACGGTCGCCCCTCAGAAAGAGTGCGCGAGGTCGGATGTTCACTCTCCGCTACGCTGGTCGCAATAGGTCCTGCATTGTCCGTAAATTGGTCGGATTCATCCTCGACTGGTTTATCGTGTACTTGCTCGGTGCGAGTCTTCTGCTGGGGGCTACCCTTTTGCGCGTTAAGTGCTTCGGCAGCAGCAGAGGCAGCCAAGGGACCCCGGTTCTTGTTCGCAACAGGACTTCCTTCCACACTCCCAGAGACTCGAGCCCTAGGCTTCTTCTTAGGAGTCTGTTCCGACTCTTCCAAGGCAGACTTTTGCAGAGCACCGGCGAGGTTCAACGAGTCAGTTTCGTGTTCCTTCGTCGGGGAAATCGGCCGTGAAAGATTGGGATAGGAGAAATTCGCCGAAATGCGACTTGCTGATCGTTCGAACTCTGGCACCGTCCCAAGACTCGTCACCCGTTGGTGTGTATCAATGTGGATAGGCGAGCCTCTTCCCTGCTCCCGATTCACCCTCCCAGCCCGCGGCGGCGATGACGGGGGTGACCGCATCGACGGTCCCATGCTCATTGCCCGCCCATTGGGGGGTTTCCGCTGGCCATACTGCGTCGGGAGACTAGGCAACGGGGGCACATCGACAGGTCCGGAGCTAGTAGCTGGGCGATGGGGGGATTGTTCGCGGAATGTTCGTGCAGTCATCGAGCTGTTACTGCTCGAGCGGCGGAGCGTCCCACTCACGCTTGCTGAGCGACGACCGCCAACAGGGCTAGCCTGCGACTGGGTCGAGGCACGCCGCTGGACCATACGTTTCGTCTCGACATCTCGGATGGATGTCGGGGTGGGCGTGGAGTTGCGTAGCGCTGCGGCAGCTGCCGCGGAGGATAAACTGCTCGTCGACGGTTGTGATCTTAGGAAGGCATGGCTGGCGGCGGACTGGGCGGATTGCGACGCGGGCGGAGAGAGTGGCTGGTTCAAAAGGAGCCGTCAGTTTCATGCATAGGTGCAGGGTACCCGGTGAGTTGCAGGATAGGGCCCGTGGGAGCTGGGATTTGACGCGTAGAACGCACCTGGTGATGGGCAGAGGCACTTCTCTTGCGCCGGCCGAAGACCATTGTTGACTCGGGGTGAGGTCGCAGAGATCGGGTAGCCGGCCGGACACTGCGTTAGGCAGCGCCGGGGTTCCGAAATTGGAGTGGATGAAGTGGATGAGGCTATCGAGTGGATCTTAGATAGATCTGGGATGTGATGGTGAAGATAGCTATAGGAGAATTGAGAAGTGAAAGGGGAGCGGCAAACTCGGAGCGATCGACAAAGGCCAGTCAGGAGTCAAGGAGAAAAGAAAGTAAGGATTTGAATCAGGAATTGTGGCTTGTCGCAAAAAGGAAAAAAGTGGGAAGAAAAGCGTGCAGTTGCAGAAGATCTGAAGTTGCGTCATGACTTGGGTCAGGCACCGAGGAGTTTATGCTGATAGTTCTTCCACCCTCTCTCTTCATCGCTAACCTCGGTCGTTTGCCATATAAAAGCTACCTAGACACTCCATTTCTCATGTACATAGCCCTGCCTGCAATCCTTGAATCCTTGACTCCTACAATTATCCCCAAACTCAAAATCGAGTCCCACATCAACATTTCCAACTATGACCACAAACACCTCCCTACCACCACTCCCCCTCCCAGAGGGTGTAACAAGCCGCTACATCCAAACAAGCGACCTAAATTTCCACATCCTGGAGGCAGGGTACCCACAAACAAGGACTCAAAAGAAACCCCTGATAGTCCTCCTCCACGGCTTTCCCGAAATAGCCTACTCCTGGCGCCGCGTACTCCCAAAGCTCGCCGAAGCAGGCTACCACGCCGTAGCCCCAGACGAGCGCGGCTTTGGGCGTACAACAGGCTGGGACACGAGCAGCTATGAGGACGTCGATCTCGCAAGTTTCTCGTTATCCAGTCTGGTACGGGATATCGTGCTACTCGTGCATGCACTTGGCTATCGCTCTGTACAGTGCGTTGCGGGACATGACTGTGGTGCTGTTTTGGCTGCTATGTGTGCGCTTATGAGACCTGATTTCTTTCGTTCTGTTGTGCTTATGAGCCATCCCTTCAATGGGAGTCCTGAGGTGCCGTTTGATACTGCCAGTGGTGGTGCTGATGCTGGTCAAAGAGTTGCGGCGAGGGGAGGTAGTGCTGGCGGTGCAGAAGGGTCTGCTGCAGCTGCCGGTATTCATGAAGCTTTGGCTGACCTGGGACGAAAGCACTATAAGTGGTATTATTCGACTGCACGGGCTGGTCCTGAGATGTCAAATCTGGAGCCTGAGGAGATGCATCGCTTTTTGCGTGGATATTTTCATCTGAAGAGCGGTTCTTGGCCAGGAAATCGGCCTCGTCCGTTGGAAAAGTGGTCGGCTGAGGAATTGGTGAAGTTGCCTGAATATTATATCATGCCCTTGGATGAGACTATGCCTGCCACAGTGGCTGTTAATGTGGCTGAGGAGCCATCAAAGGGTATGTCTTCGCATTCGTGGCTACCGGATGATGAGCTTGCTGTTTATGCAGCTGAGTATGGACGCACCGGTTTTCAGGGTGGGTTGAACTGGTATCGGGTGCGCACGGCTGCTGGCGGTCGATATACCAAGGACTTGGAGGTCTTTGCTGGGAAGAAACTCGAGCCGCCTTGTGCTTTCATCTCTGGGAAGCTGGACTGGGGTAATTACCAGGAGCCTGGTGCCATTGAGAAAATGAAGCACGGCGTGTCCTGCGCAGATCTTCGTATCTTTCGCTTCCTAGATGGGGTTGGACACTGGACACCCCAGGAAGGCTCGGAAGAGGTAGCGCGGACGATTGTCGAGTTGGCTGAAGGTTTGCAGTAGTCCGAAGGTGAGTGAGCTATGTGGCATTGATACGCCTATACGAATTACGATAGATGCATAACAACATGATTGAGATAATTGCCATAATGGATGAACATATCCGTTCTGTAAACCAGTATAGAGCCCAAACACCAGTAAGCGCCAACAAGGGTTCAAAGACCCAAAGCATCAAGTATAAAGCCCATTCAATACATGCAGTATCATCATTGATTTTGAAACATCATAGATTAATAACACCAGGGGTATGGCGCAAAAGAAAGAAAAGCGAAGCGCGCATGAATGCAAACAAAATCTGAACCGTCTCTACAGATACATGCCAAAGGCGACAGCAGTCAACAGCGGTACGAGGACTCCGGTGGATATCTTCGGGGGCTGAAGCATTCCTGCGCCAGAACCAATGGAACTGGTGGTATACATGTACTCGAAGGTGATGTCTGATGAGTTGAAGCAATTGTTGCGAGTCACTTCCTCAACAGAGGCATCGCCGTCTTCGGCGAACTCGATATCCACGCACTAGAACATGTCAGTATATGCGATCAGGTCACCGAGAGGGTGGAAACATACGTTGTACAGCGCAGCACCATGCTTGGCCGTCTCAACCAACTGGATAGTGGCATAATCACCAGGGCTAACACTGATATTGGCGGGTAAAGGAACCTGTGGCAGACACACGGTGCCCGGGTATGGGTTGTTGGTCGGGCCGGTGATCTGGAAAGGCGATACAACGGGGTGGCTCATATTCAGGGGGACCTCGCCGAATCCAAGGTTGACATAGATCAAGGCATTCTGGTGGCCCGGGAACCAGCCCGGCTGGAAGGCGACAGCACCACCGCTGACAGGCCACTTAGTTCGGTTGTATGATCGGGGCATACCACCGCCTTAAGAAAGAGAGGAGTCAGTGTTACTGGTCGTGACTTGGTTGGAATCAACTGTTCTCACATGGGTAGATCCACTCCATGCCATAGGGGAAGATGTATGAGCCGTTCTTCACATCGTAGGCAACACCCAGACCATTAGCCTGCTGGACTGTTCCGTTGGTGTGGAGATTGTTTCCTCTGTAGCCTGGGTATGTGATGACGGTGTGAGCTTTTGCCAGGCCTAGGCATAGCAGGAGGAGGACAGAGGCCCATCGTGTTACGGATTGTTGTAAGCTCATAGTGAGGGTAAGAGGCGAGGTGTCGTCCCGAATATATGGCGGCAAAGGCAAGAGAATTCAACAATTAAATAGAAACTGGTGAGAGTCTCAGACCCTACTGATCCGATCGCAGGTCAAAAATAATGGGAATTGATGTCAAACCAAAACCGCAGATGAAGCTCCAGGACCAAGCCACGGATGATTTTCGAGGGCTGATCGTCTTTTTGAGGGGGCCTCCATTACTAGTAAGAACCTGTGAACCAAATGTGACTTGGCCTGCATGAGTGATTGGGAGTATGAGTAGCAGGGGTGGCCCGGATCATCACAGCCAGCTGCAAGTGCCATCACTTAGAGCGTGATGCTGCATGGTGATTTGCTGAGGGGGAAGCGCCCAGGGAGACACTAATGTTCGGAGGGGAACAACGGCGCTTATGGTGTGAACATGAGAGCATGCAGTGTTACTACTGTAGATGGCATCACTATCAGTACAGTAGTGTTGAATTAGTGTATTTGGTCTCAAGTAGTCCATAGTCCAGTATAGTCCAGTATAGTCCAGTATACTTACAGTAGTAACCAAATAGACTTGGTTTCCTTAACACTCCTCTCGGAATGCCAAGACTCTCCCCGCAAACTCCAAAAAAAAAAAAAAAAGCTTCAACAGCCATATGTGAATCTCACCGAGCTTATATCGTTAATTTACATTATTATAATATCTTTCCTATACAAAATATGCCGAATACATCGCGACGAACAAAACGACCCCCAAAACGAACCCAAGTGACCGACGAGAACGGCTGGACCCATGTGACAAGCGGCGGCAACGTGCGGCGCGTAATGCGCAGCCGGCCAGACAGCACTGGAACGTCCGACCCATCCTTTGAGCCTGTGCTAGCTCCTGCAGAGGCACCAGCTCGACTGACAATTACCCAGCTGCAGACCCAGTTCCGGGAGCATAGTGAGAAATGGGAGGGGTCGGAGACTTGGGTCAAATTGGCGGGGGTGTTGGGGAAGAAATTAAGAGAAAGGGGGAGTGAACAACCTTCTGGTACCTCTCAGTCTGAGCCGGCATCCGGCCCTGTGGACGCCATTGTATGCATTGGCCTCGGGAGTCCGAGTGGGTTCCTGCGTGATGGCTGGACTGATAGGCGGAGTGTGTCTATGTACCAGCTTGCTGCCTTGGTGAGCATCAAGGATACGATTGCGGGTGAGTTTTATATTCTTACTTTATTCCTTCTTTCTTCCGAGCTTGCTTTTGAAGGTTCCCGGGCGCTTGTCCTTCCATATTCCCTGGCTCTTATTCGCTCTCACACCTATACTTCTACTTCTGCCACCATCTATACACACAACCCCTCCGCCCACATCTAGTCTCATCCAAAATTAACAACCTGAAGCCCAAACAAAAAAAACTTGTCTCTCCCCAGTCCAACCTCTTAGGGTTTACGCCCAGGATCCCGTCTTCAACCACCTGGACAAAGCCCTCCTCGAAGATCTCAACATTGAAGTCCTCGCCCATCCCCAAGCCTTTTCACACATAACACAAAGCACACTCCTTTTCTGTCCCGGCGCAGAAAGGAAACATCTCGAACTCCTTCTACCTTCCAAGCCGTGGGTGGTATTCGGTGGCCCACTTGAGCATGCCACTGCGGATGCTGAAGGAGCTTTACAGACTTTCGTCGATTCCACTGGTTCATACTGTTTACCTGAATTTGGGCCATCGGAGCATGCTTTTTGGAACATGAGGCTTTATTGGGTTGAGAGGGAGCGTGAACAGGAGCAGAAAAAAGATTGATTTGCATGCTTTGGCATTGGAGTTTGAAGTGGATTTTCGGGTCTAGCATGGATATATGCCAGATGATTCATGAATATAGCATCGATTGGCGTTGGTTTTGTTTGTGACACACCGAGAGCGATCTTTCAGCATCTAGAAAGCACACCACGGTTCATACTCATCTCCTGGTCCCTGGCTCATTACTTCAGTCTTGTGGCGTAATCAAACATTTAAATATCAGTATATATGGTCAAAGGGATGATATCGTAGCTGCTAACTGCAACATGAGTTCGATCCAATGAATGATGCGTGTATATGTAACAGTCTAATACAATGCAAACGAGTTCCAAATCAAAATCTAAGTTCCAAACCAGCGCTGCATATCCAACCCCATCCAAGGCAAGCCTGAGGTACAACCGCATCCGAAACCGAGGAGCACACTGACACGCGACGAAGAATAGAACCACAAATAGTAAGAATGATCCCGAGCATCGACACAGCCTCTCCCAATCTAGGGAACATTCTCTTCTTTGCAACAGCCATTGTTCTTATGTGCACAAATTGAGCAAGTATTCTCGGAGGCAAGAGCAGGATTGACCAAATTCTGGCAATTACAGCACCTCCACCAGCCCCCCACCAATTGTCTCGGGGCGCCGTTAGAGAGATAGTCGGCTGTGAGGACCGGCATATCATTCGGGCATGCAATTAATGTAGAGCGTACACGATTGACGAGTGAGTAGGTCAATCCATCTGAATCGATGGGACCAGGCTCTGTGATCTGATCGGAGAAGCAATGGGTTGAGCTAAGAGCTATGCTTAGTCTGGAGGCAACCTGTTCGATCGAAACAATGTTGAGCATAGAGGCAGACATTGCGATTTGATGTCAAGAAAGATCGGTTGGTCTTGGTTGTTGAAGCTTCGAGTGAAGTTGCTTTAGTAGCCGAGAAATATAGTCTCAATATGAAATAACTCTTAAGCGATGAAGCCTGAAGAAGCATCCCAAGGCAGCCATAAAAGAATCTCTTTATACACTTAAGGCCAGGAGAACAAAATACCTAGACTCGACCCTTCCATCGCAGCAACTGCCAACACACAGGATACCCAGCATGAACAGCCACAAAGCAGAACACCCGGTAAGGGACAGCGGAGACAGATCACAATGCCCACCGGGTAAAGGCACAAGAAAAAGAGCAACAGACAATACCCTTTAGCTAGCGAAGCGAATCCAACCCTATCACCCAGCGAAAGGGAAACAGAAAACACCCTACTTAGCCATTTTATACATGTCACCCACAACCCGGGTCAGGTACAGCCAGAATCGCGCCTGGCAATACCCGATACCTGGGCACCGGGCACGTTCATCCCTCGGTGACAATCAGAGTAGATGAGGTCAGGAAAAGAGCGGTGACATTCGTAAGGAAATCTAGAACTGCCGTTCATGATGTGGTACCTCATGCCGGGAGATGTCAGGTCACGCTGGGACTGCGGTAGGCCCATTTCCCGCCAGGCGGGCCATATAGGGGCTATGTGCTTTGTGGGGTCACGTTGGGCTTGAGGGTTGCGTTTTGGTGGTGGTTGCTCTAGATTGTTTGTCTGGGTGATTGGTGAGGTCGCTTGTGGGGAATTAGTTTCCTTGCCTCGGTTGGGGCGTCTGGATCCAAGCCTCCCGCGGGTGCGAGGGTAAATCAGCGAGGATTCTCCCTGTTTTGTTATTGGTGTCCGGCTTGCTAAATGGGTGTCTCGTGGCTATTGAGATTTTTGGGAGGCATTCAGATAAAGGGAAAGGAATTAGGTCTCAGAATACGTGGCTTTGGAGGCTTGCTCCCTGATATTGTTTTATCGAGATGGGATATGTTTGACGGCCATGAGTTTTTTCCACAGCTTTATCCTCGAAGGCTATTTGATGATTACTCTGGGGCACTCGAACAAAGGTGAAAAAAGGGTGAAAAGGTGTGAATAAAAGATATGCCAAAGCAGGACGAAAGCAATGCAGAAACTATCTAGTACCTCACTACATTATGCAAATGCAGACCTGAGTACGACCCATTGCTCTTTTGGGTCCAGAGCCAAGCAGTCGGGCCCGAATAACCAAAAAGTCAAGATCTCGGGATTTTCTTGCAGCTATTTGAGAGCATGAAACCACACATTACCTATGCTGCACCACAATGTGCCAAAATATATATCTCAATGCAATAACCCCTCACCACTGAGTTGAAACAGTCTTCTTGGTTACATATAAAGCAAGGTCAATGCATTCACTAGAGCCTGCTTGTACAGCGCATTGCTGTGTGGGTAGAAGCCCAAAAAGGTTAAATGTGAGGAACAGAGACCCAACTGAGGGTATAGAACCAGCGCTTCGCCTTCCCTCTTTTGCCCTCCTTTTTTCTAGTACATGACTACACTTCTCCATTGATTAAAGAAATGTAATCATGCTATCCGAGCTATATCCGAAACTGGCTTTTTGGGGTGGGAGTTTTGCCCGGGTGTGGGGACAGAGCCTCAGACAGTAAGGGAGCGATGTGCATCGTTTCATAGTTAAAGGTGGGAATGGCATCCATGGTTTCGAAGGCGGCCCCAGTTTCCGAACATTCCTGATCCACGGATGCAACGCTGCATATCATATTGAACAAGTTCAACTTCAATTCAACTTCAATGAAACAGTCTCTCATCACCGAGACAAAGTGATTACTGGGACACGAGCTAACGGCTTAACCGGCAATGACCGACCGTTTTGTCAGCGTCCAACCCACTTTTGCGTCATTGTTCATCCACACTCCATTTTCATTTTCAATCTCCAATCTCCTGAATCCCTTCAGCTTCGTCCGAGCTTGTTTGTTTTTGTGCGTTGGGCAGTATCGGGCTCCACCTCGTGTCGGTTTCCAGCTGCCCCCTCTAATTTCCTCAGCTTTTTATCTGCTGCTCTTCGGATTCCTCACCTCCGATCCCTCGATCTTGCGTTTCGGCATTCCTACAAGAAGCGAGCCCTATCATATTATCTGACATCTAAATTTCGAGAGATCTGAGACCGCCACACCCGATTTACCGCCCACATAAGCGTGATCTATCAAATCCATCAAATTTGCATCTGTGCCGCTGGAAGGCCTCATGATGACAAGCCATTACCGAACCCTGTCCCCTAGCCGAGCACGGCACTCCATGGTTGATCCCATGCGGGCGTCCACTGGCATGGTTCAGACGGGCTCCTCTCACGACCCTTACGAATCGACCAGACACTATTACGACGACTACCCCTCCGATGCTGGCTACGCCAGTGCCTACGGGTATCGCTCGAGTCGTCCATCGAAGCTGGAAGCACATCCTGTGTCTTCCCACCGAGTCCACGACCCAACTTCATCAACCAAAAAAAGAACCGAATACACCGTTACTCCCAGACACAGAAGCAATACTGCATCAGCAGCGGACCCCTACGAGACTCCATTGCGACTGGCTGTGCCATCGACATTTCGCCAGCGTCTCTCACCTGTGCTTCAATCAAGCCATGGTCACGCTTCGAGCCCTCTCGTTTCGGAATCGGGCCACCATCTGGTCCCAGCTTCAGCTTTGCACCCTGGGCATCGCCGAATCTACAGCACTGACTACACGAGCGATACTGGCCACTTGGGTTCGCGGGATAAGGTGCATCACCGAAGCTACGATAGTCACCGACCACATGCACCACCTCACCCACGTCGCTACCCAGCGTACAATGCTTTGAAGAAAGGCGACGATATCGATGACTTCGATGCCTACTCTTACACCACACCCCGTGAGCAATTTGATCGCGATTATCCAGTCAAATCCCGCTCCCGTGGATCAAGATATTCGCTCGATCGGCCTTTCAGCATTACTGGGGTGGAAGATAACCCCCAGTGGCTGGCACGGAGGGATCGACCCCACGGCCCACCCCCAACTTCCTGGGGTCTCGACAAAATCAGCCGCGACCGACCAAGAAGTTCTATGCGGACACGAGATGACCTTCGTGATCCCCACAGATCAAAGGATGGGCTTCATGACCAGGCCTTGGTCCCGGTAGCTCACGACTCTGAGGATGAGTACCCCTCTCGGCCTAGTGAGCATGGCCGTCGCCGCCGCCATCACAGATCACACCGTGACAGTAGTCGGGACCCCCACTACGCCGAGGATCGCTACTCAAAGCCACACGATGGCGAGCGGGTCGCGGTTGGCCTTGGAACGGCGGCTCTGGGAGGCGGATACTCTGACATTTCAGACTATGAGCGACCCTCCCGACGCAAACACAGGCACCATGACGACCGTGACAAGCGCGACCACGGTGCAGTCCAGGCCCCGTCATCTCGAGAGATAGTGGAAGCATCTCCTGGCGCTGAAAGAATCAAGCAGTCCTACTTGGACCCAGCGGATGCTAATCGTCACGGCCGATCGCGCAGACATTCTCGACACCGTCAACACAGCGACGATGGTGAAACATCCGACGAAGACCTGCGGAAGTACAGACGCGAGCCTTCAGCTTCAGCGCACCGCAAACACAGCAGCGAAGACACTTCAGAGAGCGACCCTGACCGAAGCCGGGACCGTTCTCGTCGTCGTCACAGACGGGACCACTCGCGTGGACACCGCTCCTCTCGCTCTCGTCCTCGTATGCTAGAGGATGGACATGCCAGTGAGACCCGACGGTCGCCACCAGTGGACCACGCCAAAGATGACCCGAGAAGACCTGTCACGGTTGATCCTCCTGTGGCACCAAAAGAGCCCGAGGCGCCTCCCAAGGGAATTCTCAAGGCTCCTCGTCCAGCATTCCCAGAGGAGCCCAACCCTGTCAGAGAAGGAGTCGCGCCTCTCAAAGATGCCCACAAGCAGGGCATCCCGCCCGGAGCTCGATGGACCAAGATCGACCGGCGGTTGGTAAACCCCGAGGCATTGGAAGCAGGAAATGAACGATTCGAGGAGCGCTCGGATTATGTGATTGTGCTGAGAGTCCTGTCAAAGGAAGAGATTCAGGCATACGCTGTCAAGACACAAGAAATCAGAGGTAAGTCGCGCTGTCTATCCTCCCAGAGAGGACGGGTTCAATTGCAATGCCAGAATACTAACATAAACGTCCAGATACCCGACACAAGGAATACCTTCGCGACAAGCGCCAACACAGAGCCGAAACCCAACGTCATGGCCATCGAGGCGAAGAATCCTCAAGCGACGATGAAGACGAGGGCGAGGACGAGCCCCCAAAGCAGCTCGAAGCATCCCCAGCATCAGACCCGCAGAAGCTGTCTCTACCCATGCGCCCGCACACATCCAGCCACTCTCTGCCGGAACCCGACAGGCCCCGTATGAGTCCTTCCGTTGCGCCGGCGTAAATCACTCACCCACCCACCCAACGTTACGATGATCTGCTTTAACCTAGCGAAAGGAGTCCAATGAGAATCAATTTTTATGTCCATAGTACCCCCCTGAATGATTTATTTTCCTCGTGCCAAGAACCACGGAGCAAAACTGGACCTGAACCGTTGGTGGTCACGTTGGCTTCAGCCTAGCAAATGCAACTAATGCATCCTTCCTCTACGACTACACCCACGCCGCATGACGAGTCCCTGCAGTCGGCGAGAATCGCTTCCCCTTTCCATCCCTCCCTATCTCCTGTATCCGAGGTCCATTCACGAGTCAGTGCCAGAATTTATCCTATCTCATGCTATATTTTACTCTCTCGGTGTCCGGCCACGGAAACGGATACACCGCTTTTCAGTACATGTCCATGTACATACCTGTACCTGTCAGCTTGATGCACCTAGATGTCATGTCTCGTTTGATAGACGCCCAAACCAACGCGTCTCGCATACTGGCAGTACCATGACACGCCGCAAAGGAACCTTCCCGAGCCAATCAATCAATGTTTATGCTGCTCCTTCAGCCCTAGAGTTGCAGAAGAGGCGATCTGTCTTTTGTCCATCGTACTTAGGCACTAGGCACTAGGCATCCGCAGCTGCGCCCGCGTCTGCGCCTGCGCATGTGCTATACTAGTCGAGCGCAGCAGGTGCAGTAACAGTAGCAGAAGAACCAACGCGAGACCAACTCCGAGTCTTGCTGTTTTGGGTGGATCAGCAGTTGCATGGACATTGCATGACATGTCCCCATGTCTCCCCCAATCAAGACCGCCAGCACAGCCCTTTGATTCAGCTTTCAGCTTTTGTGCGACGTTTGGGAGGTCCTCTCACGGCACCCCGAATGGGATTAGGATCGTTTGGTAAGGTACTTTTGTGCAGATTGACCCAGCGCATTTATGTTTTGTTCCCTTTTTTTTGGCATTACCTTTTTCAGAAAAGAAAATTGGGGAAAGACGTTGATTAGTACACTGGATGGAGTACGGAGACTGGATCTGTCGACTCTATTGTTAATGACCGTTGGGCTGCTGGATCTTTGTGCAGTCCCACGGCGCTAGACACAGCCAAATTATCAGCCTAACTTGATACACAAGCGCCCTCTCAAAAAGAGGATAGCAAATTCTGTACTGCAAGTTAGAGCCCAAAAAAGAAACAGAAGGAAAGTCGAAATGCCACGCCCAAAATGCGATTGTCTTTACTATTCAAGTAACAAACAATGACATATCTTTTTATTTCTATTTTCCTTCCGTTTGCTACAATATACAGTACCACCCAACCCGGAAATTAGCCAACAGCGCCTAAATCCAAGCATCCACAAACGCAAGCCCGGGATCACGCCTGATCGACCCGAAATCAAAATGGAAAGAGAAAAAAAAAAAGAAGAAAAGAATAAAAAGCGAAAAAAAGCAAAGATCATTCCACTCCGAAAGAAACAGTAAATAAAAAGGAAAAAAGGGGTGTATGGAAATCACGCATATTCGCGTGTTATGGTAGTTGCATAGTGGCTGCAGGATCTAGACACACGCCACCTCTGGCGCAAACATTTTGGAATCTGCCTTGTCGGTTTGACATTGTACTCACCGGAGCATCAGTTGCGGAAGATCAAATCAGATGTGACCAAGGGGGATAGTAGATGGGCAACAAGCCGAGAAACCTTGGAAATAGAAGAGGAGATGTGATGAGATGATGGCTGATATTGGAGGGTTTTATGATTCTAGTAAATGTACATTTATTGACGCATAAGCTCAGTTACCGGACTCCGTGCTTTGTGTCCTATCAAAAGCTATCTAGCTTGTAAAGTTGTGACTTGATTTGTAAGATAACTTGGACTTGAATTTGCCTAGTGAAGTTGAAGTTGAACTTGATACAAGCACTTTTGCATGTACAGTACTTACATGGAGACTCTCGCTCGTTTAGTAATGGTATTGCCTACTGTGAACAGTGCAATATACGAGCACTAACCCCCTCCCCCCTGTTCGAGGCTTGTACGTCACAATCTTCCTGTGTGATCATATCCGCCCTGTTACCACCTTGCAATTTGCCCGGGTCAATTATTTTATATTATCTGTTTGATCATATATTGGGCATGAATTGTGCGTGAAGGGCTGGATATACATGTCTAGTGAAGTTTGGCATGTTTGGCATGTTTGGCATGTTTGGCATGTTTGGCATGTTTGGCATGTTTGGCATGGTTGGCACTAACATCTGGTTAAGCGTTCATCCCCTGGCGACAAGGGCTATCACATGTTTATTTTATTCCAGCATCTCCCAAATAGTAATGGAAGTAGTCTTGTGGGTATGGTTTAGTTATGGGCGCAAGAAGAGTAGTGGTGGTTGCGGTAGAGTAGGGCAGGGTAGGTTACAAGGGTATCAGCTCTTAATGCAAGACTATTGACCTAATACGGCATAGGCACTATCGGGCCAGGCCGATGGTGTTCTGGGAAGAAAAGAGGTGCTGCTCTCGTCTATCCCCCACCCCCTCTCCGTCTCGTCTCGGCTCGGGGGCTAGTTGTTATGCGGCATTTAATTGACGCGTGTATACAAGAGACCAGCGACTATACTAAAGCAAGAGAGGAGACACGATCAATAAGACTAGACCGGAATCTGGAGACGGACTATCACTGCAAGTATCCATGGTTGTGATGGGCATCTCGATCTGTGATCCACGGTAGGTTTGATTTGATTTGAGAGGCTTTGTTCCAGGAGAGGTATGGGCCGAGGATATGACGGAGAGAGGTATGGACCGAGGATATGAGTGGACGGGTACAATACAAGTAAACAAGTAGCGTTGCAACCATTAGATTGTAAGAGATTGTGCGAGTCATGTCCCGTGCCCACCCAAGTCTGGTGGCGAGGGCTGGAACGGCTGAACCCCACCGGGGGAAATAAGCCAACGACGATCCAGAGAGATCTCCCGAATGAGACTCTTTTGGCCCAGGATAGATGGAATGGATGGAGAGCTTGTTTCTCGGTCTGGATCCACGCATGGGGCTGGTGGGCTCGGCGCTTGGGGATTCCCGCTCTCGCTTGTCGGGATTGATCCGTGTCCTCTGGATCCTTGGGTGGGGTTTTAGCTTGGAAGTCTAGCATAGTCCCGAATAGATCCTGCCACTCATCGTGGTTCGTTTAGAGAGTCCCGTATGGCAAGGGTTATTGTGATATAGTGCTGACGGACAAACAAGAAACTCGCCGATCATATGACGAAAGAAGCGATCTTCAATTGTTCTTAATCTTGTCGGCTTTGCCAATCTTATCCGTACACTGTACGGATAAGATTGGCAGTAGGGAAATGAGATATTAAAATCAAGTTTCTTTGTTACTTATGTGCGACTATCCCAAACATGTCTATGATCGCCGTGGCACATGGGGGCAAAAGCAAACCCCCCCCCCCCCTGCTTCCGCCTCTTGACACATTTAGTCTCCGTCCTATGGGGTCATTGATGAGATTCATAGCTATGACTGCCATTATTTAGGGACGGGACAAGTTTTGGTGACGTAGGCACGAGACTATCGAGTAAACAATTGGATAATTCCAGTACAACGACCTACATGTAAATGTACATGTCTATTCCCTATCGATATCAAGGGACGCCAGTATACTTTCCTAAGTATAGGAACAGTGTGTTTATCCCCCCCACCTTCTGTGCAGCGATCAGCGATCATCATCTCAGGTTTCCATTTTGCCTAATATATCGGAGGGAAGCAGTAAGTAAAAAACAGGTCGGAAATAACAGCCCCTTCTAATGTGGTCGCGACTCTGAAACAAATTGGCTAACTCTGGCCACGCGACACGCTACTGCGCCCGTACTGCAGCCTAACACTGTTTCGCGTGGATGGCTCACAAAGTTTCCCTACGGTGAGACCAGAGTATACCTACATGTAAGTTTTTGGGTTTGCTTTAGAAGATTCGGTGTGGCCTGAAAACCTTAATGACCACATAGCACATACCACTTAACATGTACAGTATTGAGGGAGTTGGGATGACTGTCATTTCCACACCTGCAACGGTCTTTGGGCATCCACTTTGCTCTGGACTGTTCGCCTAAAAATATGTTCGGTACTCGTGCGACTCCACGCTCGGATCCGGGTGGTGGGGCCGTTTCCCTAATGTACAGTACACAGTTATAGACAAAGTAGACAAAGAATCGGAGACAGCCGTCAAAGGTATTTGCCCCGGTTAATCATTGCCCTTCGGAGGGATCCCGCGTGGGTCGTAACACATCCGTCTTAGGGCGATCCGGAGTGCGGAGAATGCTGGTTTGCTTTTCGGATTCTCCAATAGGACCGAGGCGTAAAACAGGTTTCGAAAGGAACACATCATATAACTTATAGTAGCTCGAAGAAGAAAGGGATGATTCGTCGGAGAAGAGCCGTTGAATAGCCCTGGGGTAGATCATCGCAAACTAAGCACGGTGGCCGATATCCGCATGGGTGAGAGACAAGGGTATGACAACTTTAATTTGGGGCCAAATCCTGGAAGATCTGGTCATAGAATGTACTGTACAGTCACAATATACAGAAAAACAAATATGTATGCTCTTTCCTTTCCACGCCAAGAATCACGCCAATTTCCACCCATAAGTCCGTGGACTATAGGGACGATCGACTAGATTGTGGCTTTCACCCGTCCCCCCTCGTGCCATTCCTAGTGCCACAACGGGCGCGGGGCCGAGCGTCACTTGATATTGTCTGAATTGTGATCCGGAGCACGGAAGGAGCATTTACCGATAGCTCCGTGGAAATCCTCACTTCTTCCCAAGATACGGATAAGTCCGGAGAAAGCAAAAAGCTAGTTCTGGAGGTGAAGAGACAGCCTGCAGGAAGCAAGGGCTGCCAACGTGGCAATGCCATCTGCGACTCTTTTCATGAATGTGACTCCCGAACGAGTAGGTAGTCGGCTGATTGTGCTCCGAAGTAATTTACTGTAGAACGCCTTGGAAGATGAAAAGTCACTTTGTTGCTTCATCGGGTGTAGTCTGCATGGAAAAGCCGAAAATGACCAGGCCAAATCCTAACGGTGTTACATCAGAAGGATCCAGGGGGAGAAGTGGTTCGTATATCTCCACGGCACACCTCCCGACCAAAATTACAAGGGAACTACGGGTACGGCTTGACGGAATACCGCGGACCCCCCCAGCACCCTGCATCGATCACATTCGACCTCCAATAAAGAAGAGATGGAAGACCCACGTCCAGAAAGGGGGGGGGGTCAAGCACCCGTGCACAAGTTTTAGCTCCATCCTTCAAGGCTGAGTTTCTTCCTGATATGTCGCTTTTCATTGGCATTTCAGCTCTGCGAGTTCAGCTGTAGCCAGCGGCCGCAAACTCCGAAACTAGCCTGCTTCTGGAAGCTGCTGTTTTTTGACATTCTTATTAATCCTCAGGATCCTCCGAAGTGGGAATGCCGTAATTTCCCTTCATGCAAAGTCACTGCGCAATCCAATCGACAGTCGCCTTTACTCGTTTGTCTTGAAAGAGAGCCGCAGCCGGTTACCCGTACCTGAACCGTTTAAATCCCCATTTTATCACCCGACTTACTGTAAGGATTCAAATGCATATGCCTAGGCGCGACGTTAGTCGGAAATTTCACATGGCGAAGCACGGGGGTGATGGAAATGCTTAGGAGTGTCATGCATCGGCGGATTGCACGGAGAAAAAAGGGAGGGGAAATTGGGGCTTGTCCTCGTTTTTTTTTTTTTTTTTTCAATACAAAATGGTTGTCTCAATCGCCAAGATCGACTAAGATGCGCTATAATATATGCGGAATAGAGCGAACCCGGGTGGAGGCCATCGAGGTTGGGATGGCCGTAGCCGCTTACCGAATACCTACTTTCTGTACAGAAGTCACATAAGAGTGTATACGTATACAGTATATGGTAGGATAACTTATAGTTGACTATTGTCGAGACCGAATGGCGCCGTTAGGCTGTTTCGGGTTTAGGAGTCAAACGGGCCGTGGCAACAAGGTAGAGATGTAACTTACAGTACGCGTCCCCAAAGGATTCTTTGTTTCCGCCGATCTCTTTATACTCCGAAGGGAATTTTCGTACCTGAAACTGGCCTCTGCACGATCCGACGTCAGCTTTAGCCTCGAGTCCGAGGTCCACATCTTCTAGACTTGATCTCAACGGAGTTTCCCGTATACTTACAGTAGCCCAACAATAGTTATTTTATTTTTCTATTTTCTCTTTTATCCTAACGGCGCTTGTCTAGGAACCAGAATCCTGATCAGGCCTCGCCTTTTAATTATTTGATTATTTGACGTATCATGATCCCTCCACCGGCTCCGAGCTTCGACAATCATATCGTGAATCTTTAGATTCGCTCCCCACTCCCCACCTTCTTTGTCTAACTGCATGCTGCATATCATCCCCCCGTTTAAATACATTTCGGATCTTTACAGGGCCTCGAGTAATCTCCCTTCAAGGACTGATTTCTCGCCTTTCCTCTTTTGGCTTTTTCTCTCTTTTTTTCCTCTTTCTTTCTTCTCCTCTTTTTCTTTTTCTCTCATTATTATCGAGGTTTGCCTCCCTAAGAATGGGGTCTCACGGGTGCTAAATAACCCTGGACCCTCCACTTGCCTTCACATCTTGAACCCCTAGTGTCGCGCAGCTTCTGTTTAGCCTCACGGGATCGCCCTACCTTTCCTGCCCCCACGCGTGGTTTTACGCCATAAGGATCCTGAATCCCAGTTCTCTTTCCCCTCAACATTCTATCCTGGTCTGTGAGAGTTGTCCTTCACCGGCATGGTACAGCCTGACCTTGGGACGAAGTACAAGGAAGACCCTATTGACAATTCCGTGAGTATGATTTCTCTTTGTACCTCTCCCCGTTTCATTATAGCTTTTTTGTGAGATCTTTCCTACTTCAATATCATTTCGATCTTCTTGATTCTTTTCATATGAGGTTATATGTTTGGATTTTCTTTTTCGCCTGGATGTCTTGGGTTTCCTCGCCTTGATCTTTGCATGCACTGTCCTCGACAATATGGCCGACTCAGAACACATAAGCTCATTGAAACAACTTGGTATGCGCTGAACATGAAGCCCAATTCCATTTGTATTCACTTTGGGAACCCTCCAGGGCTATATGAGCTATGCGCAATGGAGGCGCAAAGAGCACACCCAAAGCTTGTGTAGCTTTGGAACCATCTACTTGGCTTCGGAAGACAAAGAGCTCGCAATATCGTCAGCGCTACACAGATCCATGCTTCTGTTTCCCTTTGGATGGACAACCCCGGTTTCTACCCTGGCCATTCGGTATGCACCTAAGGCAATCCCTGCTCAAGGCTTCCACGGTCCAAGCCATCCTCTGAGCCTCTGTGAATCCCCAGGGCTGTCATCACTCCGGGCTCTGGCTGTGTTCCCAAGACTTTTCTTTTTCTTTCTTGTCCACATTCTGTGGTTGTGTCTCGTCATATCTTTCTGGGGGACATTTTTATTGGGGGGGGGGGGCTTAGTTTCAGTCACTGATGCGTTCTGCTACAGATTCGACATCCTGGACATTCGAGTTCTCATTCCCAGGCACTGCAGCCTTCAATTTTAGCTCAGAAAGGCCCTGCTTCGCCTGTTCACCCTTCTGCAATCTCAGCATACCCTCCCCATACCCTAGGGAACGGAATTCACTACGGGCCTCAAGAAGCGCCGTATTATACCACACATTCTCCTTACGCGACTTCCTCGGCGCATTACGCTTCTAGCGGTAAGCCCTGTTTCGGCTGTCAGCAGTTTTACATGCCAAAGCTTGTATTTAGCTTTTGAACACCACTGATCCCGAGACTTAGGACCACCCGATCTCATGGCATCAACCGCCCAAATGCAGAGACCATATCCCCCCATCTATCACACTCCCCAATCAACCTCCCCGGCCTCAGTAGCTTCTCAACCGCATGATCAACATGGCCGCAACATCTACGCCCACTCTCCTCAGATGCCGCAGATGTTCTACCCACCTTACTCGCCCATGAACCCTGTACACCCACCGTACGCAGCCCACCATTCTCCCCAGCAACACCCCCTCACAACGCAATCCATGATGATGCCGCCTCAGAAAGCACCAGCACAAATGCCCCCACATCAATCACCACACATCCCAACCAGTGCCATGACCAGCAGCCCTATCATGAAACTTGACACCTCCCAGCAACCCACCCCACCACAGCAAACCATGCACAACCCACCTCTCTCCGCAACAAGCAACCACCCAATGTCCAGTAACATCCACTCCAGCCCACCACTAGCCGGAAGCTCCAGCGCAGCGCCAGGCCCCATCCCCGCCACGACCCCGCTCGTCGTGCGCCAAGACAGCAACGGTGTGCAGTGGATTGCCTTCGAATACTCTCGAGACCGCGTGAAGATGGAATACACCATCCGCTGCGACGTGGAATCCGTCAACGTCGACACCCTCGACCAAAACTTCAAGACGGAGAACTGTGTGTACCCCCGCGCATGCTGCAGCAAGGACCAATACCGCGGCAACAGACTCGTCTACGAGACGGAGTGCAACGCCGTTGGCTGGGCCCTCGCAGAGCTCAACCCGGCTCTGAGAAGCAAGCGCGGTCTTATTCAGCGCGCTGTCGACAGCTGGCGCAATAGTAACCAGGACCCCAGACTGCGCAGTCGTCGCGTGCGCCGCATGGCCAAGATCAACCGCAGACAGTCTGTCCCTACTGTTCCTGTTAGCCATATGCCTGGTGCTGGTTCTGCTGGTCCTGGCCTTCCGGGCCCTGTCAGTGCCATGCCGGCTACCATGCCGGCTGCCGTACCGCGGCCTAATCTGGGCCCTATCTCGATGGGCCCTCCCCAGCTACAGCACCATCATCATCAACCTGATGGCAGTCCTAATGAGGAAGTTAGTGGTATGTTTCACCATATGTGATACGTTTTTGGATTCCCTTGCACCCTGACCTGGTTACTTCCCATGTATTTCCTGTTTCTTTTATCTTTCGTCTTTCACTTCCTCGTTCTCTTCATCTTTCTGTTATTCTCCTTGTCTACTCTTCTTTTCTTCTCTTTGGCCTTTCGTTGGACCGGATATGTCTCTTGCGTGTATGTGTATATGTGGGAGTTTTGTGTCTGCTTTACACTGGATATGTGTATGTGTGTATGTGTGTATGCTGCGTGAACGTGTTATACGTGTGGACAGGTGTGCGTGTGAATGGATGTATGAGATGGAAAGAAACCTGCCATATATCCCTACCTGGACATGCTCCTTCACCTTGGTCTTGACTGTTGTTCCATACCCTGTTCGATTTGATTTGCCTTCCTGTTATCGTGATCGTGATTGTCGTCTTACATTTGATACCGCCGCGCTCCTTGTGCTTTGGCTCTTGTTCTGCTTCGGAGTTCCTCCCCAATACCTTTTGTACAGCGTAGGCTAATTCCCTTTCTCCTCGCCTGTACAGGCACAGATTACACCACCTCAAACACCAACACCAACACCAACACCAACACATCTACCGCAACGGCGACTCACCACCGTTCCAACGTTGACAACACTCGTCTCCCAACAGGGTCAATGACAGATCTCCGACCAGCCCACCTCTTCCACAACGCCCCAACAACCCTGACACCGTCAAACGCAACAGCAGGCCCCTCGATGCCACCCCTCCTCCACGAAACAAGAATGGCCTCCCTAAACCGCCACCCGTCAATAGCAGCCGCAACCCCCTCCCAATCCCAAGCTCACATCGAAGAACAAGCCCCAACAAACGAAGACCTCTTCAGCCACCTCCCAGACGGCAAACGCCGCAAATTCATCCTAGTAGACGACCCCCAGCGCGGCTGCCGTGTGCGCGTCAAAGTAGTCCTGGACAAAGTCAACATGGACGAAATCCCCGACTCCTATCGTGAAACCAACGCCGTCTATCCGCGCACTTACTTCCCCATCCAGATGCGCGATGAGAACCGTGTCGTGCTGGGCAAGCGCTTTTTCCGAGATGAGGCTGAACACGCTGATGCCGGTGCTGATCCGCTCACTGATGCTACGCTTGGAAGGACAACTGTTCCTATGCCGTCACTTGAGGCGGAGGTTGCGGGTGGGAGGAGTGGGGATGGCCATGGGGATGGGAGTGACGTTGGGGTTGAGGTGCCAAGGTTATCGAGGAAGAGGCATAATAAAGAGCTTTTGTTGAATGATTTGGGGTATCGCATGAGTTGGAGTCAGAGTCGGGTTTTTGCGGGACGGATGTTGTTTTTGCAGAGGTCTTGTGAGTTTCTCTTTTATTTGATTCTTATTTTTCTACCACCTTGGCATTTCTTGTCATGGCTTGTTTTTCTGTGAAGGTGTTCTGGTTGGTTGTGTGTCAGTTGAAGTGGCTTTGCCTTATTGTTACCTGTTGCCTCCACTTTACATGTACCCCGGATCTCATCTGAGACATGGACGTGGACCCGGGCTAACGTGTTTCGCTAGTGGATGCCTACCGCAACAAAATGCGCAGTAGTATGCTTGCTGCTGGACAGGATCCCTCGGAGATCCCCGATCATTTTGAAACTCGGCGTGGGAAGAAACGGTTCTTGGAGCGTGGACATATGGAGAATGCTGCGCAGAGGAGTGCGGAGGAGGTTGCGCCGTAAATGGTTTCTTTTTCATTTTTGACCTTGATCTTTGATGTGGCTTGTTTTCTTTTCTTTTGGCTTTCTTGAGTCTCTTTTCTTTGTGCTCCTTGGATATGTCTCATGCTTATGTGTCAAGGGCGTTGGGATCTACGCAAAACAACCAAAAACAATGAAGGGATTGGAATGGAGGGAATTGGCGCTGGGGTATTGGATTTGGTATAGTATAGTATATGACTTATGAGTATAAGTATGATATGATATGATATGATATGATATGAATATGAATATGAATATGAGGTCCAAGTCGGAATGTGTACTGTGTAGTTGTGATATGATGATGTCCAAAAATAGAACAGGGACCAAAGGGTTCGCCAGGGTCTTTCTCCACTTGGCAACTCGGTCCATACCAGAGCGATTGACAGGATTGACAGTACTCTTGCCTGAGCATACTCAAAGGAAAGGACACTTTCAATGATTAGCAATTGTTGGCTTGACTGAATTCCTCGTTCCTCTTGCTTTCTTTTCTTTTCTTTTCTTTTCTTCTCTTCCCTGTGCCGTCTCTCGCCTTATGACCCGTGGTTGTCGGGCCCACCAGTGTTTTGACATCCCGCTTTCGTCGGCTCACTTATCCTTCGACGAATCCAACACTGTCTCACTTCCATTTGCAGTGCCTCGTTTTCAGTGATGAACTAATCAATCTCCCTTACCCGCCGCACCTTCCATCTAACAATTTCACCATCCGATCTCACCACAACACACAACACCCCATCTGATCTCTCTCATTCACATCGAACCCGGTTCCACCGGCGAACCGAAACCAACAATCTACACAAAACACACCTCAAACTCAACCCAAAAATGCCCGACGACACAGAAATCCCGCAACCCCCACCACACAGATACACCCACCACACGCGCGAAAACCACACAGTAACACCAGGCGTGGACAACCTAGGACCCGCCTCAGCAGGCGGCGGAATAAGCGGCATAGCCCTAGGAATCGCCAACACGCACGACCGCCAAAGCGGCCTGGACGCATCGCGCGGAATCCCAGACCAAGACAACAATCACAGCTACTATCCCGCAGAACGAGACTACAACACCTCCGGCTCAGACAATCCCTACGTACCCTCAGCCGGCTACACCAGCGCCGAAACCCTCCACCACCACTCGTACGGGTCGGGCATGGCGTTCGGCGGTGCGGGCGCTTCGCCGGGTCTCCAGAGTCCTTCGCATTCATCGGCGCATCTGGGTGAGCGCGGTACGGGTTCTGATCAGTATCCGGCGCCGTATCAGAGTATTAGTGATGGGCCTTACCAGAGACATTCTGGGTATGGGGGTTCGGAGATGTCGAACATTAATCCGGATGATATTGCTGATGATGGGGATGAGGACTTTGGGCCTCGGGGCCGGAATAATCGCGGCATTCCTGCGGCGGCGGCGGCGGCTGGTGGGGGTGCTGCGGCTGGGGGGCTTCTTGGTGGGTTCTTTGGGCGGGAGAAGAATGCTGATGTTGCGTACAACACTGTTCCTGGGGGCGGACTTGAGGGTGGGGATGGGGAAGGGAAGGGGCCTAAGGGCATGGATGGACGCAAGAAGATGGGGTGGATCGTTGGGCTTGTGCTTGGGTTTGTGATTCTTGGGGCTATTATTGGTGGTGCTGTGGGTGGTACTATTGGCAGTCGGCATAAAGAGGATAAGTCTTCTAGTGCCGGATCTGCTGATGATGATTCCAAGAGCAATGGTGATCTTGATAAGGATTCTTCTGAGATCAAGGCTCTCCTGAATAATGATGAGTTGCACAAGGTCTTCCCTGGTGTCGACTATACTCCTTGGGGTGTGCAGTATCCCGACTGTCTGAAGTGGCCGCCATCACAGAACAATGTGACTCGGGACATGGCTGTTCTGTCGCAGCTCACAAACACTGTTCGGTTGTACGGAACCGATTGCAACCAGACTGAGATGGTTCTGCATGCCATTGACCGACTCGAGCTCACGGATATGAAGCTCTGGCTTGGTGTGTGGATTGATTCGAACACCACCAGTACCGAGCGTCAAATCAAGCACCTCTACCAGATCCTCGACGATACCAAGGACACATCCCTGTACAAGGGTATCATCGTCGGAAATGAAGCGCTCTACCGCGCCGGTCCAGACAAACAGACTGCCGAGAAGACCCTCATCTCATACATCAAAGACGTCACTAGTGAGGTCAAGAAGCGCAGCCTCGACCTCGCAATCGCCACCTCTGATCTGGGCGACAACTGGAACTCACAGCTGGTAGATGTCGTCGACGTGGTCATGTCTAATGTGCACCCCTTCTTCGCAGGCGTGAGTGTCGACGTGGCCGCCGCCTGGACCTGGGACTTCTGGCAGACCCACGATGTCTCCCTGACAAGCGGCACCAGCAAGAAACAAATCATCTCCGAAGTCGGATGGCCCAGCGGCGGAGGCAAGGACTGCGGCGAAAGCCCAACCTGCGACGATGACACCCCTGGATCCGTAGCCAGCGTCGACAACATGAACTCATTCATGTCCGACTGGATCTGCCAGGCATTGGACAACGGAACCGATTATTTCTGGTGTGTATCCCCTAATTTCCTCGAATGAGTTCAAAGTTCTAACTATAAACAGGTTCGAAGCCTTCGACGAACCCTGGAAAATCCAATTCAACGAAAAAGACAAAGAATGGGAAGACAAATGGGGTCTCATGGACTCCGCCCGCAAAATCAAAAAGGGCCTCAAGATTCCCGACTGCGGTGGCAAGACTGCCTCCTAAATCATCCTCGATATCCGATCCTCCATACCTCATTCTACTTTACAGTCCAGCGTGTGTCTCTCCATTATGGAATCATGATCATGAAACATTTTCACTTTGTGCATACTTTGTACCTGTCCTCTCTGGCGTTGGGTTGCTTTTTGTTTTTGTTTTTTTCATTACTCTCTTATGCAACACTTTTCATAATGACGGGAACCTCAAGATATCCAAACTTTTTTTCGCTCCTTTTATATGCCCGCATGTCTATGTTGTCTCTGCTGTCTGCTCTCTACCTGTTCTATCATGTGTGGGTTTCCGTCTGGCGGTTTTTGTTTTCTTTTTTGGTTTGTCGGATTAAGGGTTGTCGTGTTGGAACTGTACATGCTAGGTTCTAGTCCTTGTTCGTGGCACACTTTGTCTTGTCTTGCCTTCTCTGTTTTAAGTGGATGTTGGTTTGCATATGCTCATTTCTGTGTTGTGTTGTACTGTCTTTCGATGGCTGGTGGCTTTGCATCTTGTGTCTTTTTAGTGTTTTATGTATATATGATATCGAAACAAGTCATCCATCTGAGGAAGATTTCTCTATTGCTGTAGATAATGTGGATGGCTTTTCTTCAGGATGAACAGCTTTCAGGTACTCTGAGGCGGTTTGCAATTCTTCAAGTCCCCAGCTCTGCCAGCACTCCTCGGAGTATTGTTCCGTAAATGAATTGAGTTCTAAGGACCAGAACAATCGAGTATTTACTGCGCGTGGAACGCAATGAAATGTCGCCAGAGCCCACAGCACACGTTGCATTGATAAATTTCAAGCTATGACAGAGCACGTCGCTTAACTCGAAATGTTTCGTTTGGAGGCTCGGGCAGTCTGCCCATTGTCTATTCAAAAGTAGCGCTAGTAGGGCCTCCACGCGCCGAGGCTCTGCTACTGCTAGGCGATCTAGAAGAAGGGTTAAACAAACAGAGATAGCATAATAGATACTCGCTATAGTACTTACAGCTTGTACAACACCAAAAACGTGGGTGCAGGGGAGAGAAAGTGGTATAACAGTCGTCGTCTATACGCCATCGAGAAGCTCCGGTAGGCTTGAGGGAGTAAATGTTCCTGATTCGAGGACCATGCAATTACGAAACTCCTACTACAGTCGCTGGGAGACAATCGGACAATTGTTCACGATCCGTTCAGTAATCGTCTTGTAATATTTGCGGCACACCTAGTCCGCTCAGACAGATATTTTCAGTAATCCATCCAAGGCAGCGAAGTCGGAGCAAGATTCGAGGACTGACACAATCACCTCCAGAGGGGAAGTTGGAAAGGCATCCATGATATGCGAAATAGTAATACACGTCTATGGAAATGGAGAGAAAGAGAGATGGGGGCGACTTGAATAAAGTGCGGTGTTAAAAGGACACCCTACCCAGCACACGCCTCGCCCGAATAAGAAAGGGGTAGAAGTTAGATAAGAAGCTACAACGCATCTAGAACCTAAGTAGTAGCTAAGTGAAGCTAGTATTTTGAACTATGCTTCTCTCATTCACACTGTTGATAACAGCCTCTATCCCCCTTCAAGCCAATTTATTGATACTCCTTTGAGAGATAACCCAGCCTCACGCTCTTTCGCATACCAAATGAGAAGCCTGCCGATGCGGAGACTTCTCAGTATGACGAAGGGTCATCAATAAGTGGGTGCTATAATCCATTCTCATTCTGGAATTTCTTCAAAGGAGAAACCTGTTGATCAAGCGTGGAGACTAAGTACTCGTTGAAATGATCGCCAGGAGCCAATTGAAGGAGCGCAAGAAATTCGGGATAGTAATCCACGCGTTTTCTCTTCCCCAGAAGGCATCGGCGAAGTTGGGTCTTTCTGAGAATGTCCAGCTATGGTACCAGAGTTCGGTACAGTTACCCACGAGATACTTGATGTGGAGTAAGAGTTGACGTTTGGCTTCTTCCGCGTAACCTGGTCGATTGAGCAAGACTCCGATCTTTGCGAGGGAGGACGGATATCATCACGGTTTCATCCCATATCTGGTCCTCGTTGACTTATCTGAAGGTTATATGTTGACTTCCCTGTTCTCTGCAGTGTTAGCTAGCTCCCTGGAACGGAGATATAAAGGAATATAATGGGTAGTAAAGTTGTATCTCACCTCCTGTTCGCGATAGTCAACCCATGATATATTCAGCCCAGGAGTCCAAATAAGCGCGGTATTCAGAACTCCTGTGTGCTCATACAATACGCTGGTTAGGCTAACTTCGAACATGTGCAGATATCAATTATGCAACTACCTTCGTTTGACCAGATCAAACCACATCTCCTAATGGGTCCAGTCACCGTACCGATCAGGAATCTATCGGGTCTCTGCGTGACCGAGCAAGATTTACACTATATCTCCATGTCCTATCTTAGCAGAAAGTGACAGTGCTCATCTGTTCTCTGTGCAGAAATTCGGACTCCTCATCAGGCAGTCCAGGATTGACCCCGACTGGCACGATGGGACAACAGAAGAAGAGGGGAAGGAGTTGGCTGGATGTACATTTCTGTCAATGACTACGTGGATATGTATGACAAGTTGGAATGGCCTTCTACTTGTATCTGGCATGACTCGTGTCTCCGGCGGCCTCAAATGCCTGAACATGATGATAGAAGAAACCAACCAGGCTTCTGGCGAACTCCATAGTCATGTATCAATCTGACGGGCCAAGAAATCAAAAAGCGGAAGTCAACCCTGGACAGCGAAGATTGTTTCATTTATCACGGCATAGCATATCAACGGAATACTTCCATGCGCCCGATAGAAAGAAGGCACAGGTCCACTTTTCCATCACTTCAAACCCTAAGTCAATATCAAACAGAATGTTCAACCTGAATAAATTCCCAGGCCGTCCCTGCATGCTTCCTAGTACTAACCACCAACTCCGTCCTACCCTCCACCCGCATAGGTAAGAACCCATCATTACTCCACCTCACCAGCATAACATGACCTCCATCCGGATGCTGCCGAACACAAAACGACTCATGACCGCGATGCCACTTCTTATCCGCAATGAATTTCCTCTTGTTATCATGCCCGATATAAGTACCAGAGATTGCATTGCGGAATCCGAGCCACATGTTCTCAGATTCGACGCATAACCAGTAAATACCACAGACGTAGCCGTTGCGCTCTGGGACCAGAGTGAGGATGCCTTCATTCAGGCCGATGACAAGTTCTGTGTTTGGGTCGCGGATGATGAATAGGCGGCCTTCGCTGGGGCAGCTGTTGGGGTCGATTATTATTGGCTGCAGGGAGGTTACTCTGCCCGAGGCTCCGCCGTAGACGCTGCTTATGGGTGTATCGCATCGGTCGTCCTTTGTGGTTGTCGATGATGTTTCCATATTGCAGGATTAAAATGAAGCGAATTAACAGGTTGGTTCGAGGCTTTCTATTATACTTCAGTGGATGTTTGTGATAGGTGTCAGATCCTTTCTTTGTTTGGGGTAGTAAGGTGTGTATACTACTAGTAATTCGTTTGCGGTGACTGAGTTGCTCGGGCCTTTTTAACTTACACGACTTGACTTCTGGTCGATCACCACTGACAGCTCTGTATGCTTTGGGGGAGGGTATGTATTGCCAGCTCCAATTCCTGTGAGCTCCAAGTGATGTTTGCCGATATCAAAAGCCAATTGACTAGTTTTAAGTGCGGGGTAAGCCAGCAGAACTAGGAATGCCATGGTGACCTATTGGCCCCCACCAAACAGAGAAAGCTATCTTAGATAGTTCAAGGGAGTAATTTGGATTTGCAATTTAGTAATTGGATAGAAGCTCAGACTCTTCTCCAGCACCTCCCTTCCCTATAATCGATAAGGCTCTATGCCTGTGAGTTTTGCGTGATCGTGCTTAAGAACATGTCTTTTGAGAGCGGAACGAGACGAGAACCCTATGCACCTCTAGAAATAAGAGGAGTATGGTGAAACTTGAGGGCCATGAGAAAGTCGTCGTAGAGGAAATAGTATTGTAGGGCAAAGTGCTTCTTTAGGCATAGTCTAAGTAGCTTAATTGGTTTAAGCCCAGACTAAAATCTACTTAGTGAGCCTAGCTCTCAGCGCCAACATAAAAGCAGCGACAGCTAAGGTAGGAAAGTCCCACTTGGCAAAGGAAATCAAATACCTATAGCTACCTGAATATGTCTGCTTTGGCGACATCGTGGCTGTGTCAGAAAATAACAGTCCGGTTATAGACTCCGGTTATAGACAAAGGACATATCCGCGATACCTTCCTTTCAGGAAAAAAGAAAGAGACTGAAGACTTTTCAAAGGATGTTTTAGCAGGATCTCAATGACGATCCCGTTGTTTGCGGAAAATCCGAGCATCTTCAACCCCAGACCCAATCAAAAGCTCCCCCAGCTTTTCTCCGCATAGTTCACGACGCTGCGCCTTCATTGGGTACCGCAATCAAGGGGAATGTCACCTCGGTAGAACTTCTCGAATAAAACGAATTGGTTCCGAGTGGGATTGGGTGTGTCACATTTAGTATAGGGCTGCGAGTATCCCTGCTTGCAAGGGACGCGCAATGGGGAATGTAAGGTGATGATGCGGAGGCGTTTCTTTTTGCCCCTCCAACTCCGTAAATCCTCATAAGTTGTCGGGATTCCCTTCTATTGAGTTATCCCAGGTGACGATCGTACTTCTGGACTATAAACGTCCAATCCCGGCCCGTCCCGGTTTCTGGCAAATTTGAAGCCTTCACAGTTGAGAGATCGATCCAAGGGGTTTGGGCTCCGCACTTTGACCGCTACCCGCTCAAGGGTCCAAATTCTTTTGACTCCAGTTCTCACTCTTTTGGTTTTAACCTTCTGTTCTCTTTGTGGAGGGTGTCGATGTGGTCTTAGCGAATGCTGACACACATGCTTCCTAAACCTTGGAAAGCTTGAAGTCTCGACGTTCAGCTGTGAACATTTTTTTCTCCACTGGCCTGGGAGGGCAGGCCATACCCTGGAGATGATGTGGGTTGAATAAGAACTAGCCTAAGGTCCCAGTTAGAGCACTCGTTTTTCAACGGACGTTGTTGGAGACAAAGGATGACTGCACACCTCGACGTCGCCTCGCCACCATTATCTACGCAGCACTCGACATTTGTTGACATTGTCGATACTGCCCATCCTGACCTACTTTGGTCCGCTAGTCCTCCTCGATACAGATCTCTTTCTATTTCACCGACAGGACACGACAGGTGAAGATGGAGCCAACGCTCCCTCAAGGTCTGGTAACTATGGCTGCTATGCCTGCTACCGAGGGGTTGCGGCAGGAGAAGCTGGAAAGCGCTGTTTACAAGAAATTTTGGCAAGGTAACAGATTGCTCCCATCATGTTGAGGCACTCATAGACTGACCCGGTAATCAACAGCCTACAGCACATCCAATCTTGCCAGCAAGGACCAAACCGATTCTCGCCTGGAGCACCTTTTCTGGAGGATCTGGGGCAACAAGCACCTCTCAGGAAACTTGAATCTCCACGCCCTAGACCGCCTCATCCTGCGCATTAAAAAGACACCAGTCCTGCTGGGACAAAAGGTGGAAGTGAAACAATCGGAGCCTGCAGTAATCAAAAAGGTACCAACATTATTCGTCCCAATCTCTCACTTTCACACTCACATTAACCAATCGCATCAGCCCGTGAGCCAGGGACTCTGCGAAAACGGAGCATGCTCATTTCACTCCATACTAAAGAAGCCGCGGCCTAGCCAGAGTGAAATACCCAAGAAACCCCGTCTGGCAATCTTCGCACCTTCAGGTGAACAAATCACACGAAACCCCTCCAATCCCCCAACCCCCATCATGACCGAACCAACTCCAGAAGGTCCATCGCGACAGGGTTCGAAGAAGACCTACCTCGCGGCAACCCGCAACGGCCGCGGCCCGCGCCGCCGCCCCGTCTTCAACCGCCGCAAGTCCTCACAGAGCACCCTCCCAAAGACAGCTCCTCCTCTGCGCCGCCGCTCAGAGCCAGCTGGAGCAACCAATGCCACTCCGGACTCCTACATCGAGCTCGGCCAGCTGCAGCACATGAGCTTCCGCGACGAAGATGAGGAGGACGAAATCGTCCGCGACATTGCGCGCGAGATCGCACCCAAGCCAAAGCCCATCAAGCCAAACACCCCCCAATTCGACGATGAGTTTCTCGAAGGTGATCCCGCTCTATTGCAGGCTATGAAGCCCGGCTGTGTCGACGGGGGTATCCCCTTCCCCCGCGGTTCGTCTTTGCGTCACCCCATGCTCGCCCCGGAAAGTTACACGCAGGCCCTGAACCCGTCATTCAACCTGAACTCATTCGACGCCCGCGGCGGCCCAGACCTGGCTGTTCCAACTTGCGAGGCCGATGCCGAGTGGACTGATGTCGACGCTATCGAAACCACTCTTCCGGTCCTGCACCCTTTCAAGAAAGCCGTTTCGCCCCAGGAGCCTTCTATCGAGGAACGTGCGAAGGGTCCTTCGGATCTTGGATCTCCTATTGTTACTGTTTCGGTTGGGCAGGATGATTCACTGTTGACTCATGCCGTAGAAAGAATCAGATTGTGATTCTATTCGGTCTCTTTTGCCCTGACTCCCGTGACGTTTGCCCGATTTTCTCGATATCCATCATGATTGCTCGGAGCTTAACCACTTCATTTTTTTACGAGAATAACACGCTACGCGTTGACGAACAAATGTGCCTCGCACGCGGATGGTTCGTGACGAGTACATTTCGCTGGAACTGATTACATTGGTAATAATTGTATCGCTACTTCTGATTGAGGTTGGCCACCATTGAAAAGGAGAACATGTTGCGCTATTTGCGCTGGACCTGGCAACGTGATGAAAGTGGAGGATCAAATTTGGCGCTGGAGACTCATCAAGATAATTTAATTGCTCACTTGAGCTTATCCAGCATTATACTTCCCTCGCATGCTCAAGCTCAATTTCTAGACTAGCGCAAAGCAGGACGGTCTCCATCCGCCACGCTACAGTTACAGAATCCTATGGGCATGAGAACGCGTCCGATAAAATAGTGTTGATGCATTGGATAATATAAACGCCGCCTGGAAATTTCCAAAAGTACCAAATACCCTGACTCCTGAGTCAAAGGTTCAGAGAAAGGAAACAAATATGCAAAAGCCAGTATGCATGGCTATACCCAGCGCCATCGAGACATGTCCCAAACCCCCAACCCAATGTGGCTCCAACCCACTATCAAAGCGAGTTTCCACACCCCATGAATATCTATATCTACCTTGGCAACTCAACCCCTAAAATTTATCCCCCTCACCCTTCTCAGCATCATCACCAGCATCCTCAGTAGCCGCAGCCCGTCGACTCTTCAACCAACGCATCAAAACCCAAGAAGAAGTAATGACCCAGAAACCAAGGTTAATAACATCAATCCAGACAGCATGGCGCATACGGGTAATCTTATCGGCATCACCAAGACTGGAAGTCGAAGTCGAAGTAACAGCCTCATCCCTCTTCCCAGAACCAGAACTGGATTCAACAGCATAAACACCAATATACATCTTCCCAAACACCCCGAAAAGTGCCAACCAAAGCACAGTAACAACAAACTCCCATGCAAACTGCGGCAATAACCATTTAGCATTCGGCCCAGAGGCATGCTTCACACGACGCATCAGGAATGGCATGGTGAGGTGGATACCCGCAGTGACTGTAGCTAGGAAGCCGGTAACAAGTGCGTACACCCATTGTGAGCGCCAGATGTGTTTCTCCGAGTGGTCGTGGTGCACGTCTTTGCCATAGAGGCCGATGACTGTGAGGCCGAAGACGAATTGGAGGAAGCGCAATGCGGAGACGAACATGAAGCTCATTTTGGCGCGTTTGCTCATTGGCTCCTTGGGGCTTTCAAAGTGCATTGTTGTTCCTGGGACGGCGCCGGCTGGGTATGCGCTCATTGGGTATTGTTCGTTGTTTAGGTATTGGGGGGATCCGGCTGCGGCGGCGGCTTGGAATTTTTGTTCTTCTTTTTTGGTTTTGTGACGCTTTTTGGCTTCGTTTACGCCGATTTTGAGGAGTTTGACTAGAATGAAGGACATTGGATTGTGGATTTGGTTGTGGTTTGGCGGGACCGATCAACGGTTTGGGTGTGAATGTAGATATTGATGTAAGGATGCAAGGCGAAAAATGAACGATGCAATTAAGTTCGTATAGCGCACAGCGCGAGTTTTATGTCGAAGACTGTGTGTTGTGTGTCGAGAAGAAAAGAGAAAGAGATAGACGTAGATATGGCAGGCCAGATGCCGAATAAGAGGGAGAAGGAACTATTGTCAAGAACGAATAGCAAGGACAAAGGAGAAGGTCCGACGTTGGAATGACTATATCAGTAGAATAAGTCGAAGAACACAAGAAAGGAAACAATGAAAGAATAGGATGGGAATAGAAAGAAAGACAAGTCTAGTTTCATGCCCTTGTCGTCCAAAGCTGTGTTCTTTATAGGCAGCCATTGTGCTCCCGCTTGGCAGGACTCGTCAGGACTCACAGTACACAAGGCTCAAATTCTATTTCCAGCATCGACATCTGCAGCCCTAGATGAGATGAAACGCTGCTTCGTGGAGCGCGCGTTTGGGGGATCTCCACTGTGTCAGTTCGGCATCTGTCACTTTCATCCACAGACATTCGTCTCGGCGTGAGAAGATGAAACATTCAGATCAAGATAGCCTGCGGAAGATCCTGAGCAAAATTGGTTTCTGCAGGGCTGCAGATGTGGGGCAGCTTCAGCTGGCGCGCGCGAACTCATGTTGGACGTCGTTTCAGCGTGGCGGTTCAACGAAGCTCGAGATCCAATCAAATCATTTGTGCTATTTTAATGACTGAACTATAACACAGTTTACTATTCTACAGTAGAATAAACATTGAATCATCTCAGATCTCATTGGAAATATGCATATCGCTGATGCGGACATTACAATTACACAGGATACCATCATGAAACTCTCTCCAATGATTTGCTCGCCGGTCCAGTATGCTTGAGAGTGGAATGTCATGCGGAAAAAAAAAGAGCCCATACACCGAAAACACCCAGACGCCCACATTAAACGCGAAAAACAGAATGCAGGAGACCCCAGTGAAAGGTCACAAAGCCAAGCCTGTCATGCCGGCCGACTAGCTCCTGAATCGGCAGCACCTTTGATGCCCGGGGCTGACGCATTTATCTTTGGATAATTGCCTGGCGGTAATGGGGGTTTGAGGTCGGTGGGGGATGCAGGGGCCGAAGCCGGTATTGAAGATTGTTCGTCATCGTACTCATGTCCTAAGTATTCATCATCGTGAAGACCTGAGCCCGTGGCGGAAGAGTGGTCCACGGAAGCGCGGTCGAATCCTTGCTGGTAGGGGTGAGAGGAATTCTTGGAGGCGTTCTTGGTCGCCTTCTTCGTCTTGCGGCCCTTCATCTTGGCCTTTTCAAGAAGTCGCTTTTTCTCTGCCAGTCGCTTTCGCTCTTTGCGGTCTTTCATCTCATATTGTCGGATCAAAGCCTCAGGTGGCCGGCCAAAAATGCTTTCATATTCACAGAATTCACAAATCCAAATGTCCTCCAGACTAGGGGGGTGATGCAAATTCGTGTATTGTTGTTGGATCTTGCGCTGGCGAGCAGACAATGCGTAGATGCTACCCGGAGAGCGCTTTTTCTTTGGTCCTGCAGGGTGTTGCTCCGCACCCTGTGCGGGTGGTTGTGTGCCAGGTGGACCATTCATCGATGCAGCCATGCTCGGACTGGTCTGCGTACCTTGTGTAGAGAAACCACGCGCGTTATGACTCGCGGGGCCAAGAGGCGAAGTCGGGGATCGATGGGGGATTGAGTATTTCCGCTGCATAGCCATGCCCTTTGAAGAATCGGACTCGCAGGTGAACGTGAACTGTGTCTTGGTGGGGGTGGTGTTTTCCTGGTCCAGCAAGCTGAGATTGCTTGGGCCTTGAGGCGGGGAGGATAGTGTCGCGGCATTGGCAATAGCGGTAGAAATTATTCCCTGGTCTGATGGTGATTCTCCTAAAAATCATTAGTATAAATCGTAATTACACAAAAAATTATGAAACACACCAGTTGGACCGGGGGACGACATCAAGCCATCGCGTCTTGGAGTTCGAGCTGTCATCCAACCATTCTGAGCATTAGCCGACAACGGGCCCCTACTGTTGCCAGTGCGAACAGTGCTCCGACTTAACCGACCTCGTCCTGAACCAGATATCCCAGCCAGCGGAGATGCAGGGTTTCCAGTGCCATAATATGTACCAGTAGGAGCTTCGGGAGGAGGAGGTGCGGAGGTTGAACTCGTCAACCCCATGTTGGCGAATTCTGGAGACAAAGCAGAATGCCCCAAATTGCCCGGCGTGGGGATCTTCCGTTTCTTTTTGTTGTTTGTATTTTCAAACGCGTCGTAACCGTCGGGGCCTGAAGACTTGGGAGGGCCCTCGTGGTGTGAAGAGGAAGGTGAGGACGAACGAAAACCAGCACTGCGGCGAACGACTACCGGACCATCTTCGTCACCGCTCTCAATTTCTACGGCCGTCTCCAATGTATGATCGATTTCTGGAGAAAGCTCATGGCCTTCCACAGTCTGCTGCACATACACTTTAGACTCGTTCACTGCCTCTTCCTCCGAAACACCATAGAATATTTGAGACGCCGGCGGTGTAGGCGGGTAGAATATCGTGTCGGCGGCATCGGACGAGAGACGAGAACGAAGAGTCCGCTTAGGGAGGGGACGGATCAGACGATCGGGATAGATAGCAGAAGGTGTGTCAGGGGCCGAGTTGAACGCCCCGTCTACTCATTCCCATGTCAGTAACTGTGAGGGCGTCCCGAGGAGGTTCTAGGCTACCTGGCCGATAGTCCGGACTTGACATACTCAAGGTAGTCATTATGCAAGTTGTCCTCTCCCTCCACCGATGCTAGCATATGAGAAGATATACTAGCCCGTTGTCCTTTTATCCCCCTCCACCGTTTCTCTCTTGAGAGGTCCAATAGTTCCAAAGTCGGGGTTATATCGAGGGGTTGAATTAGATACCCTGTAGACTATAAGCTTCCAAGTCGCAAAGCCGGAGAGGATCAGGTAGAGTTGGCGAGAGATTGAGCCCCCCCCCCGCGTTGTCCACAGTCCCAAATATCGACCTGTCCACGAAGAGGGAATACTCACCAAGCAGAATAATAGTCGACAGAATCTAAATGTCTTAGAAACCGAAGCCAAATATCATCACATATAAGATATAAGAGGGGTCGAGGGAAGTGAAGAGAAAGAGACGAGTCACGGGAGTTCGGAACACTATACGCTAACCTCTTTTAGGAAACCCTGTCGACCCAATGACTTCCCTCGCATAATCATCTACTGTATGGAGTGTTGGATATTCTCCTATTTCTTTCATTTTCATATATAGCAAACACCTTACCTTTGCTCGGTTTCGCTGCCCTCTACAAATGCCCTCCGATCGTCCTTCCTGCCGTACCTGCATTCGCGAACATCATGCTCCCGACGCCTTGCGTGAGGCAGCCTCTGAATATCGGGGACCCGCCGAGGGTGATTACCAATGCAGTTCGCAGCTATGCAGTCCATATTCAGTGACGATCGAATGTGCTGAAACTTTGGCGAAGGTCTGTTGATCTGTTGGAGGGGCCACCTCATATCTCTTGCGACTCATCCATTCGCCAGGATATTTCGGGGGAACAGGTATATTATAGATAGGATCGGAGGAAGCAGTGCGATGTATTCCGAGTGATATATCAGTCGAGTTAGCCTTGCCCGATTGGAGGGAGGGAGTCGGGAAGGTGTCTGGAACTGTCAGTTAAGGTGGAAAGGTGAGTGTGGACTTAAGGAGAGTAAGCAGATCAGTAGTGCAGTGGGTTGCAGATTGTCTGATATGTAGGTCGGTTTCAGACGAATGACTGCAGAGTCGGATAACACGGCTTAAGCCTTCCCGGTTCGCCTTGGATTTTCTGCTTTTTGTGCCCTTTCCAAGTCTCTCGCACTATGTCGCCAAAGTCCGGAGTGTGTGCAAGATTATGTAGAACAGTAAGCCTTTTGTCGACTGCTGACTTGCGAGCTTAGCCAGATGTTCCTGTGGTCCTGCAAAATTCAGGAACAGACCAAAGTGGGGACAAAGGCCTTGTACACAACAAATCCAGAGTCAAAAGAACGACAAAGACAATGAGTAGACCCAGATCAAAGACCGCTGAGAGGCATTGGGAAGAGAAAAGTAGAAACACGAACAGAATGCGCGGTGAAAGATTCGCGCGTCGAAAGGCGTCGAGAGCGGGGAAACCGGCGATGGGATCTTTTGGAGTCCCGTTCCGGCGCTTTTCTCCTTCTCTTCCTCCCCGCCAACACACGCACTTCTCAGACTATGTAGTCGTCGGGCTCTTCATCGAGCCTTGTGACTTGACTCTGATCTTACTACGATTCCCCAATTGTCCTGCTCGTTTTGACCCTCCCCCCAGGAGCTCTCAATCGCGCGCAAAGAGCTCCCTCGCAAACGGCTTCGCTCGAGTTTGTGCAGAAACCACGCCAACCATCGTTACCTTACCTCACTGAATTCCTCTCATTTGGCTTCTTGAGCTCTCCTTTAATCTAATTTACTCAGAAAAAGCCCATCTCCCCGCCATGACTCCTCGACGCTCTTCTCGGGCTCGCACCTCCCAGCCCTCTCCTGCCCTCATCCAACAAACCAACTCCTCCAGCTCCTCCAGTTCTACTCGGGAGAGGAGCACCCGATCGAATCACAAAAATGCCTCCCCTCACGAATCCAACGGCCACGGGTCCCAGTCTACCGATGATGCTGAAAGTGGCTCAAAGGACCTCCCACACACGCGGCAGCGCCAGCGTGCCCACGACGATGAAGATGAGGTACCTGGCGAAGAAGACGAGGATGACCTAGATGATGAGGAAGAAGAGGTTACAAGGTGTCTCTGTGGTCAGCAAGACTACCCAGGCTTGCCTCCTTCTCGTCGCGAGGCCCTCGGTCGCGGCACCATCAAGCTGGAGTCGGTCCCAATACCCTCCGATCCATCTGATATCATGGCAGAAGAGATTGGGAGCATGTTCATCCAGTGCGATTTGTGCAAAGTTTGGCAGCATGGTGGTTGTGTGGGAATCATGGACGAGGCGACGAGTCCTGACGAATATTTCTGCGAGGAGTGCCGAAAGGATTTGCACAAAATCAAAGGTGAATCTAATGGGTAAGTGAAGATAATCGGTTTATTTGCCTTTATACCATCGTCTTCCTCTCTTTGTCTTCTATCTGTCTCGCTGCCATGGTTTTCCTCGCTGCTTGGAGGGGCTGCCTTTGGCAGGATCACTCCAGCAGTTGCACCTTCAATCTATATGCTCTATCGCCACGAGTATCATGCTGATGCCTTCTCAGATCACGGTCCTCTACCTACCTACCAGTCGCTCCGGTGTCTTCACCAACACCCCCTCCACCACCGCCACCACCGCCAGCACCAGCACCCTCAGCCGCACCCGCACCCGCACCGGTACAAGCACCTACACCAGCCCCAGTGCAGGCGTCCTCTCCCGCCCCATCCTCTCGGGCTTCGTCTAGAGAGACCTCTCGACGCTCGAAAGATCCAAAGTCGCGGAACAGTGAAGGCGCTTCCAACCCCAAGCGGCGCTCGACGATGAACAGTCGAGATGCTGCATACGACGAAGAAGAACTGATCCGACGTGCAATTGAGGAAAGCAAGGAAGACTCCAAGAGCAATCCGGATGAGACAATCACGCGTCGGACTAAACGAAGTCGGAGTGACAGTGTGACGTATGTATACTCAGCCTCAACAGCATTGAACGGTTCACTGACATATACTCAGGAACAGAGAAGGATCAAAGCGTCCACGAACTGCCTCTCCATCACCAACAGCTGCATCCAAACACACCGCCTCCCACCCACCGTCCGATGATGAGCAGAAGCAGAAATCTGCAATCAACGGAACTCGAAGGCAGAGGGCCACCTCCCGAGGCCAGCTGGATAAGGAGCCAACCAAAGATACCGATGAGGGCGAAGCGGAAGCTGCCGAGGCAGCTAATCGCCGGAAAGAAAGACCCAACCGGCGCAAAGGAGAAGGTCAGTCACACAGTTCCAAGCTCGCAATTGATCCTTACTCATAACTATTACAGAATCCGAACATGAACCCGGATCTCCTACGAAGACCGCGCCAGTCGAACCCGAAGCGACCCAAGCAAGTCCCAATACCCCCACTCCTCAAGAGCCAACCCCTGCTCGCCCGTCGACCCGCAAGTCCGGTCGTCCCCCAGCGCGCCGTGGCCGTGTCGGACGAAACCAATATACCAAGGACCGAGACACAAACGGGAATGGAGTGGATCAGGGATACATGGCCAACTCACCTCGCCGCGGTCAGTCACATGAGATTGGTGGTGACTCACCGCGAGTTGGATACGCGGGGATGAATGGCACACACCTCAACGGTGGAGAGTCTGGACGACCAAGCAAGCCACGACACATGCACCCGCAGCGAACAACAATGAACGAGATGAAGCGCCGCGTGGCCGCCATCCTTGAATTCATTTCGCGCATGCAGGTTGAAATGGCCGTTGCCAGCGAGCACTCCTCCACGCCGACTAGCAACGGCGACCGCGCTCAAGGCCTTCTGCTAAAGAGCATGGTCGACCAAATCGACAGCGCGATGCCCTCGGGCCGCAGTGATGGCGGCGAGTCCGCGCCTGCAACAACTGACGGCGGCTACGGCGATACGTCGACGCACGACAAAGATTTCAAGGAACTCAGCAGCGTCGAAATGATGGATGTTCTCACGCGCCATCTGCTGAAATGGCAACGGGAGTACGGCAAGTTCGGGGAACGGTAGTCTGTCCATGCTGTTCCACTTGCTCCTCACCGCTTGTGGTTTCCCTCGTCCCACTCTCATTCATTGAGCTTGTCCCGCTACCCTGCGTCGCATCACGATACCCCCCCTCAATCCAATTCGATTCTGTTTTACTTTTCTTTTCAATGGCCACTGATGTACAATAGAACTCGCTTTCAGTTGTTGCTTTTCTTCTCTGCTCTTTTTTGTTAGGAGATTGTGCGATCATCTCGTTCTTATATCATATCATTCCATACTGGTCCGGCGTCATCTTTATATTGGATATCGAGGATAGACTGGATCATCTTGCTTGTTCTTGCTTGGTGACTCGGTCATTTATGTGTGCTCTATTCTATTCTGTTTATCTGGGTTTCCATTTGGTATGACGCGCTATTCGGTATGGTCATTCTTCTCAAGACTTCTCGCTTTTAAGTGCTGTTTTTGTGTTCGGGGCGCAGGTCTGGTGTTTTGGAAAAGTCAGGGCCTATATATGGCAGTTTGTCTTTTCTGTATGAATTTTTTCTTTCCTAGTGGGAACAATATCACTGCTCTTTTGTTCATCAAAGCCGATGCCTAGTATTATATGTTATGTGTGGATACTGCAAGTCTAAAACTGGCCCATGCTTCCTAGAAGACTCGGAGTTAACATTGGGATTATTGCTCTGCCAAGCAACTCGTCACCTCCGATTGACCTGGAGGACCATGGTAAGTGACGGTCATTGACCAGGGGCTGGCAGGGGGAACCCTTCTCGGTCTCGGTATAAGGTATTGGCCCTTCACCGGTTTTGTTTAATCGCTGATAAGTCAGCGTTTCAGATCCCGCGGCTGTCGAAGAGCTCCAAGTCACATTATGCATACATCTCTGTACAATAGTGCGTCAGCGATGGAGCAATGTATTAGCATGACGAGGAGCCCACATTGGGCACATCAATTCACAAGCAAAGTGTGAATAAAGCCACTGGAGTGCAATGAATCCAACGGCAATATTGAGATACCGTCGAGGCTGGCGACTCGGGATCGCCGTAATGAGCTCTCCTCACAGCGATCACAC